TAACTGAGATCGGAAGAGACACAGACGATAATTACGCTGTAATCTATTTAAGGAGAAGTTAATTTACTGAGATTGTTAATAGAAGATTTACATAGATAGGGGAATTACTATCTTATTTAGGGGGATTCCTTCAAATCATGATAACTGGACTTGGCTTATTCATTATATACTACAATAAAATTTAGAGTAAAAATTACTAATAATTGTAGTGCAAATAGAATTATCTAATAAGCTTTATAACTTTAAGATCAATGCTGGTGAGAATAAAAATATTGAGTCGAAAGTAATAAAGCTAAATTAGATATCTAATTCAAAGGTGCAATAATAGTGTATGGATGATTCATAAAATATAAATATAAATGATAGCCTAATAGATGAGAAATTTAGAAAGAATTATCTGAAGAGTGCAATCATTAAATAGTTTCATTAAGTAAATAAGATTAGTTTATCGTTGAAATTATTCTTGAATTAAATGACTTTTGGATTTATGTTCAATAATAATGATTCTCAGTTTTTGAACAAAGCTATGTACACATTTTTTTTATTCTTTTATTTAGTGGCTAAGTCAATCTTGACCTAAACATACATCACATACTTTATAAGATTTAGGAAATACAGAAGTTGAAGTAAGTTTTGTTGAGACGAGCTCAGATTATTTTATTTAATTTTACACCAAAACCTTTGATTACATTAGATGAAGAATATCAAATACCAAATCGAATGGACATTGAAGAGAACCTTAACGATTTGATAAGTTCTAAACTAACAGACTAAACCGATAACAATTTGTTCTCCAATTTATATCAAGTACAATTTCATATGCATATTCATAAAGGCTTATTTGGAAATAAAGAAGGAGTTAGAGGAATAATCGCTGCCTTTTTGTTAGTTTTCAGTGAATGCTTAATTGGCTTCAGAGTTAGGACCATAAATGTAGGAGATATTCAAAAAACAGGAAATGATCGAAAATCAGGAAAAAGCGGGATTTTCAGTTATTTTAAAGTCTGTAAGTGAATGAATTGAGTAAAAGTATTATTTGGTTAAAACATATTATTATTCACTTTTTATGTGAATTAATATATATAATGGATTCAAAGAATTAATGGAATTAAAAATCATCAGTACAAGAGTTTGGGATTCAGAAATCAACTTTGGCTAAACCAGTGCACCAGCAAGTAAAACCAACCTAGTAGGTGCCTCCTAAGAATGAACTAGAGCAGAATCAGCTCGTACGTCGTGTGACGAAACGAAACATTGCTATAAAAAAGTCAATGGCTACAGATGAAGGAACAATCTATGAGACATTTGAGCCATTAATGAAGCCACAGACTCCTTAAGATATAGCATTTATAGTAAAATGCTTTTAATCGCATTTTGTATTTTCTTCCATGAATGAAACTTAATTGTAAGATTGATAATTAATAGAAGAATACAATTAGCAAAGAGCATGTTCTATTGTAGACTGGTGATTGGTTAAACTATCATAAAGTAAAGGGACGGGGCTAGTTCTTTTTTTGTGTTGGAAAAGGGAAAGATAAATGTGTTGGTGGATGGAATCTCTAGGAAATAACTCACTCAAGGCAATGGATTTGGTGAATTGGCACTATTGTACAATGCTCCAAGATCAGCAACATGTGTGGCTATGGAAGAGTGTTTTTTGTGGGGAATAGACAGACACACTTTCAGAAAAAGTGTTGAAAACGTCATGAGGAGTGAACAGGAGAAGAATAGGTAGCTCTTAGAATAAGTTAAATTTTTCAGTAATCTATTATATTGAATCATTAGATCAATTGACTAAGGATTAAAAGGATGCAATATCAGGAGTGTTGATATTGTAAAAGTTTAATCAAAACGAAGTTATTGTGAATGAGGGGGACCAAGCTAGTTCATTCTATATAATTGTTGAAGGCAAATGTGGAGTTTTTAACAAGGAAGACGTTTAGATTGCAACTCTGAATCCTAAGGATTCATTTGGTGAATCTGCATTGAAACACGACAATCAAATTAGAATGATGACTATCAAAGCCATTGAAAAAGATACAAAAGTGGTGGCTTTGGGAAAAGACATGATCACCTAGATTCTAGGTGATAAAGTGCAATATATCATCTATAAGAATATTTGTAAATGGGCATTGAATAGATCAAAATTATTTGGAAAAGTTCCTGGAAGCATTCAAGATAAACTACTAGAAGGGGTTATTTATAGAAAGTATATTCCAGGCTAAAAAATAATAAATAAAGGGGATAAAGTTGGATTCTTGTATATAGCTTTAGAAGGCAATGTACTGGATGAACAGAAAAAGGCTATCACTAATAATATTGTAAATGAAGATTCTTTATATGATGAAGTTGCTAACACCAAACATTTGTAATCCTTTACTATGGAAACAGAAGGACATGTGGCTGTGATTGATTATGACAAATATCGTAATGCACATGGAAGTGTTGAAAAACTATCAGAAAATGATTAAAGTAATGCTTAATCAAAAGAATTCTAACAATCCAATGATTTAGTCAAATAATTTTAACTAAAGGAGCTGATTTTCCTTAACAAGCTCGGATCTGGATAGTTTGGATCGGTGTATCTTTGCAAGAACAAAAACTTGGATACACTATTTGCACTCAAATATGTGACAAGAGCTCATATCCAATAATATGGGATACAAAAACATGTCCAATAGGAAAAAGCAGTATTGGAAATAATGAATCATCAATTCATACTTAAGTTTTATCGTTCATTTAAGGATGGAGAAAACATCTACTTTCTTACAGAGTATATTCCAGGTGAAGAGTTATTTGATGCAATCAGAGAAATAGGGTTGTTAGGTAAATATGATTCTCAATTTTACGCTGCGCAAATGATTCTTCAGATGGAATATTTACATACTGTCCATCAAATTGTATATAGAGATATTAAACCTGAAAATATTATGGTTGATCAACATGGTTATCTAAAATTAATTGATATGGGTACTGCTAAATGTCTTAAAAATGTTTGTAATTATTATTCATCTATTTCTTAGCTCCTCCCAAAACATTCACTATTATAGGAACTCCTCATTATATGGCTCCAGAAGTTATTTCTGGTAAGGGTTATGGATACTTTGCTGATTTGTGGAGTGTAGGATGCTGTCTCTATGAATTTATATGCGGGGGCTTACCTTTTGGAGAAGATCAAGATGATCCTTTTGAGATCTACAAAGAAATTGTTAAGAATCCCATTCATTATCCACAATATATGACTGATAAGACAGCCACGACAATCATTGAATAATTGATGAATAAGATTCCTGAATGTAGATTGGGAGGATCTTATTCCTCTCTCAAAAACAATTAATGGTTCTCAGACTTTGATTGGGTATTTATTAATCAATTATAATTGTTTAGAATAAGTTGATTTCATATCAACTCTAGCCTCCATTGATTCCAAAAAAAGAAAAATTAATGAATGAAACATAAATTTAGGAATAAATAAAAAAGAATATTTTGGTTATAGATTAGATCTAAAAAGATACTATGGGATCCAAAAAGGTCTTTGCATAACCAAAAGATACAGAATGGGATTCAGTATTTTGATTATAAATTCTATATAGAAAACATATTATGATCGTTATTCTTATTCCATGTTTATTATAATATAGCCAAATTATTTAATTAAGTAAGTTAAGCTTATATTATAAAAAGGTGATTATTTACTTCAATAAGATTGTGATACATTTAATCAATCTCGTAGAAGTAATGAGAGTCTAATCATTAAATAACATAAAATGGATTTGACATATAGATGAAATGAAGAGAGTAGTATTTTCTGACATTGACTAAAATAATAATTACTAATAAAATTATAATTTTACCGTATAAAAATTAATAATGAAAGTTCATCTATTTTTATAATAAAACATTAAATATATAATTTTTGTATATATTTATTTTTGATATTAAATATATGAAATAATAACCAGAACTAGAGATTCCTACTCTACAATAATAGGATAAATATTTGGAGAAGAAACGACAAGGACAGGGGTTGGATAAGAATTTCAAATTATTTAACGACTTTCTTAAATTACGAGCAGCAGACTTCTCAAAAGTTACTATCATGTTACTAGTTTCGTTTTTTCATTAAGCTTTGAGTTATATTGCTTAGTAAGGCTCATTATTATATTCTGATATAAGCACCTTGCAGATTTACACTATTCAACAGAGAGCACCTTGTTAAATCAAATTCTAAGTGCGTGTCAATATGTAGACATTCTCAGTTTATTACGGATTGACACTAAATTTTCGTATTTCCTATTTACGGTAGCACTAATCTTCACAATTGGTCTGACTCTCCTATATTTAATAATATTTATTTTGGGACAAGAGTACAAACCTAGAAAAAAGTTTATTGGGAAAGTATATAATTTATCATAATGTAATAGTTATTTGTGTTACTTTGTGATATGTATATTTGGTTAATGTTCTTTCCATGTATGGTAACTTGTTTTGAATTTTGTATTTGTAACTAAGAATAGGATTGTAATTTTGATGTAGTCAGAATCATCCTAACATTATTGGCTATTTTTGGATTAATATGTGGTTTACTTAATATAATAGTATTAACTGCCTTGTTTCATAACAATTGGGAAAATAAAAAGGATTGTTTTAATGGCGAAAATGTAATCTATTTAAGTAGTTATCAGTTCAGTCGCTTTATAATGGCATTCTTTGTAGTTTTTAGGTATAATCACTTATTATATTGAAGCACCAAAGTATACACTTTTCTATGGCTATGTATGATAGTTTCCTTTTTGCTTTATACGTTCTTTTTAGTAAACATACTAATCGGAAATGGTTTCTTAGCTTTTGGGACTAAATATACTAGAACATTATTCATCATAATGTTGATATTTTTGGTTAGCATAACCTTTTCAACTATAATTGATGAATTACACCGAAGTTAGAATTCTGATAAAAGTATTGAAAATTTCAGCGTTTACTTTGTATTCACTTTTACCTTTCTGTTGTTGGCAGTTGGATACAATTTGAGACATACTCAAAGTCTAACTATTTAGTTTGATATCCATTCTCTCACTCCTGATGCGTTATAAAAATAAATATATACAACTCTTGCCTTTTTAGAGGTTTCACTCAGTGACATTTCGATTGACACTTATTTTAAGGGAATTCTGTAGAGACATTTGGATTTCGAATGTCAACATCCTGAGATAAAAGGAGAAGCGAGATGTTTCTGTAAGAAGAAAAGAGTCTTTGATTCTAAGAAGCGAAAGGAAGTGAGAGTTGAAGAATGGTTTACGACGAAAGCTATAATAATGAAGTTCTTGATGAAGAGTTGGATAGAGACCTATCTTAGTAATAGACCTAATGATGTAGGTATTCAAATACTCTATGCAAGGTAGGATATTTGACTAAATTAGGTTTATGTTCAGTAAATTTCATAACCATCAGATTGCATTGCATATCCTATCAAATCTAGAAAAGCGATTCACTTTTGTATTGGATAGATACAAATCGTATTAATTAAAATGGAAAATAATAAAATTCATAAAACATAAGAATAGCGATAGTTATAAAGGGAAATTAGAGATTGAAAATGCATTATTCGTAGAAGAATAAATTGATTCAATAAAAAGCAATATCACAACCATTCTGAAGTAGAACTGTATATTCTGGAATAATCTTCAATAAACAACTATTGATATGAGTGAGATGGACAATCTGTTGAAGATGCAATTCAAAAAAATAGAAGAGACTAAACATTTATGGATAACAATTACTAATTATCTGGAGTATAAAAAGAAGTGGAAATTTTATTATGCTTGGTTCACTCTCTATATTTTGAATAAGAAAATTAAAAATAGAATACTTGATAACTTCTAAGGGTTCTAGGTAAATGAGAATGATATCTTCTCAGAAGAACTGCAAGAACATAATGTCGATGAAGATGTAAATAGTGTCAAATCTGGATTCTTGGATAATGAGAAAATAGATATAAAAAGCAGGAAAATCATATTTGATAAAAAAGCATGTATTATATAAGCAAGTGATGACATTCAATCGTCAATTCTTAAAGTCAATAAACAATTTACTCGTATATTTGGTTATTCTAGTGAAGAAGTAGTAAGGATGTAAGTATTATTGATAATTTAGGTTGCCAATAAATACTTTGATGCCTGATGTGTATAGTAAAGTGCACCCTCAGATACTCAATGATTACAAACAAACTGGTAAGAGTAACTCTCTCTATTCTCAAAGAAAGATTTATTGTCTGCATAAATCTGGAGTTATGTTTACTGCCTGGAAATTCCTAAAACTGTATGTTGATTTGAATGGCCAATCATAATTCGTTATTATGGTGAGACCAACTGATTTCGATAATGAGAAGAAACATGATTACATAATACTTAATAATGATTGGGAGATAAATGGAATGACTAACAATGTGCTCTCAGGACTTAATCTCGATCCTCGTTTGTTTAAGAAGGCCTCATCAGATTATATACTCTTCAATGTTCTTTTATTTGCACCAAAACTTATCCAATATTCAAGGATAGCTCCTTTGATAAACGAAGTAAGAGATCTGCCCATCTTTGGCATGATGAAAAATCCTAAGAAACCAGAGAAGAAGATTCATAATTAAAATGTCCTTGAAAATCAATTATCTAATTCTAGCAAACCCAAAATTAATGTAAATATGCTTGGCTCATCTTCACTCAAATAATCATTTGGGAAACCTATACAAGGCATGTATTCAGATCTCGATTTTGGATCCAAAGTGTTATTGCCTTAATAGTCCATTGATTAGTAGATACCTTAATAATTGGTGATCCAAAATGAAAGAGATAAATTCTTATAACATCAAATGAGTTCTATTAGTGATAAGAATGAATTTGAGGATTTCAATAAATAGATAGGTTAATTTGATAAGATCTAAAATCTCAATTAAGAAATGGAAAGAAGAGCTGAAGAGTAGATTAATCAATTCAAAGAATCATAATTCTAAAACAACTATTAGAAAATTTAAACTATGGGCAAATAAGATAAGGATGCTTACAGTGAGGATAATGCAAGCAGAGATGAAATGATTGAAAAAATCAAAGGAATTAAAATGTTAGAAGGCAAAATCAATGGCGGAGAATAAATTCAATTCAGAATGAAAATCCCAGAAAACATGGATAAAATAATTGAATATTATTCATCTTAAAAATCTAAAATGTACTAATTAAAAAAATAGCAAGATGAAGTATGATATCAATTATTACAATTATTTTAGCACGTTAAATAGGAAGAAATTATAGATCAAGGAAAGAAGAAAGATAAAGACAAGCTCTTTGTCAAATAAGGCACAAAACATATGGAATTTAGGAAAAAAGCTAGATTGATGTTCTAAAAGGCAGCAGAATTGAAGCGATGTTAAGATGATGTGTAAATATATTAATCATATGATATAGAAATTTCTATGAATTATTGGTTGAGATCTATTAGAAACTAATATAAGAACAAAAGTCTCGGACATTTAAAGTAAATTGTACTATTTAATTCATTAAAATTAAAGATGAAAGAGTTGGTATCATCAAGATTATATCAATAAATGAAATAATGAAGATTAAAAGAGTGGCCAGAGAAAGGGATGGGAATCGTAAGCAATCATTCTTTCTGAAGAACCTTTAACCTTCAAGAGATTTAGTAGCAAAAGCATCAAAATTATCTGCTACAAATATTTAAAGCCAATTTGAAAACTCAAAATTTGTATCTATGGCAAGTGAAAGCGATACTAAATAATAAGCAAGTCCTTTAGAAGTGAAAAATGGTTAAAAGAATCCTCTTCTTAAAGATAAATCTTGTAAGGGAACCTTAGGCTACCAGATGAATGTTCCAGTTTAAGAAATGGATGATGATAAGGATCTATTGATTGATAGTAAGGCCTTTAATAAGATGATTAATTGGGATACCTTTTAGTAGCAATTTAAGATGCAACAGGGAGCACTTAACTTTTCCCTTAATGCTGGAGATAATATATTCAGAAAAGAAGACAATAATAGACCTCGTAAATTCTTGATTAAGATTGCCTATCTAACTTGGTTTTTGAGAATAATGTTTGTTGCCATCATTACCTTAAATCTTTTAACTTACTTCCTCAAACCTTTCGTAGAATTCAATCCTATGATTTCTTAGGCTAATAGAATCTTGGCGTTATCGTAAATGCAAACAACTATGATTGAAACCTATGATACTCTCTTAGATCTATTAATATATTAAGATGAACCCGATTATAATGAAATGGGTATGTCAGACTAATTGGCCTATTACAATTATCAATTATCAAAGGTTCAGGAGAGTTACGATTATATTAAACTGCAAATTAAGGATCTAGATCAACTTCAGACCTTTCTTGACGATGATATTTTTTATTCTAGTGCCATCTCAGATGAATCTATTATTGGCTAAGCCAATACTACTCTTATTTTAGACAGCAAAGACTTCTTCACTAAATTCATTATGCTAGAACATCAAATATCTATGATGAATGCTTCTTCACTAGAGATCATGAGTCCCTCAGACCCACTTGTTAAATTTATTCGGCATGTGACTATACCATAATTATACAACCAACTAAATAATGCTGTTATGGATTTATAGACTATGGTGTTGGAGAAATCCAACTCCATTTCTGATTTTGTTATAGTAATTCTCAGCATCGAAGGTTCTCTATTAGCGAGTGGTTTTTTTGGATTGTTGATTATAATCTTTTGGATTAGTCAAACTTACAAGGCAGTTTTGAAAATCTTCATCCTTATATAAAAGAATGATTTGAATAAGATCGTCAAACAATAAAAGTTCATTGAACATCAATTTAAGTACATCATTGCAAAAGACCAAGAAATTGCTGGAGTGTAACCAAAAGGTGTTTATCAAAGAGTAAATTCAATCTCATCTAAACATAATTTTTAATTGCAATAGAACTTCCTCTTAATCAATGAGGAAGAGGAATAGAATATGAATAAGAAAAGAGAGAAAAATATCATTGATCGATAATGGCTAAAATCTTTGACTCTTAAATTATATGCAACATATGTCCTATTAGTGCTATTATAGGCAGGGACTTCCTTTGCCTTCTTCTTTTCACTAAAATAAGCAAGTAGCAATATAAGTCAACTGATTTAAATAGGCCAAGTTTCAATTTCGGACTTTTCAAATAATCAACTTCTATTAGTATCTGTTAAAGAGCGATACTACAATGAGGACAATTATGAATCGAACTATCTTCCATAAGTGAAGGCTTTACTCGAAATTTAAATTGAAAGTATCAAAAAAACCCCTTAAATTGATAATCCTGGGTGGGGTAACTACTATAATGGATTCCAAGCAATATATTTTGATAATCTTTGCGATTATCTTTTTAATCAATCTTGTAAATTAATTATATATTTCTTTAGAATTAACCACAACTGAATCGTCTGATTGTGAACAATTAGTGAATGGCAAATTAAAAGCTGGTATTGTGGCATTTAATTAATATTTTCTCTCAAATGTGCAAGACTATGTTCTATTAAATGCGGATAGATTTGGCTTTATCAATAGTAAAATAATTTGGAACCTTAATTCTTGTGTGGACTATGTCAAAACAGCCTTTAAATATTTGCTTACTGAATGGGCTCAAGTATAATATCATTATACATTTTACTAGGATTTAAATTAGCTCATCGATTCCAATATCACCTTAATTTTAGTTTTGCTTATAGTCATGCAGTTGTTATAATTAATCGTATTTTTGGCAATTGCTGAGATGTATTTGGTTGACCAACTCAATAAGGCATTTTCTTTTTATCGATTAGTTTATAAATCCTATATGCCAAATGATATCATTCAAAAGGAAAAAATCATTAGAGCCCAATTAATACGTTATAATATAATAAAGAAATGACTTTTATATATATATATTTACAATATTAAATTCTCTGAACTAGCAATAGAAGGATATTCATTACATTTTCAGTATAAAATAGATTGATTATTGTTTATATATCAAAATGACATTTAAATAGAGGGTCTTTCTAACCTCTATTAATGGGACTATTAGATTGATTATCCCATACATTTAAGTTGGCGTCCTTGATTCCATAAATCAACACGGCACTCCAATTATGAGTCTATTTGATTGGTTTCCAATTTGAATAAATGTTTTAATTCCTATAAGTCCAAGTCCAGATCTACTTCTACGATACTTTATTGAATATTGTCAAGTTCCTCCTAAGTATAATTTCCGTTCAATATGATTTTTATGTAATTAGACAGACGGTAATTATTTAAGAAATTGATAAGTTCGCTTTCTATTTTGACCATATCTAAATTTTCATATTAAATAATTTTGTAGACTTCATCTAAAGTTTTATAGGTTTCAATTTTATAATCAATAATAGAATCATTTTACTTTACAAGCATGGATTGACTTATATATTAGATCTAGTATTAAAAAATAACATGATACATGTTGTTTTTCTTCATCTATTAATTTATGTAAATTGGCAAAATGTGATATAACAGCCTCATCTTTACATAATTACTATATTTGGCCAAGTATGGCTAAGTATTCTGCTTTTAAAAACCTAAATTTTCTAACAATTCCTCCCAATAATTTGTGTTCCTATTTTACAAACAATTTATTTATAACGATCTTGGAATTTTTCACATTGTCATTTAGAGCTCCTTATAACCAAGGGTGACAAAACAATTGCTCATAGTCAATTCTTGTTATTTTATTTGAATCCAGCATTCTACTTAATAAGTCTTTTCCATCATCGGATAATTATAACACTGTATCATCAAAATTTATCTAATTCTATGGAAAAAAATACTTTAAAATTTTATAATTCTCTAACTAAATCCATTAAGCTCCTTACTTTAGAACTAAAATGATATTTACGATATATCATATAGTACAGTATAACACCTAAGGACCAAATATCACATTTATAATCATATTCCTCCTAACTTCATATTTGTAATTTAGTTACTTTAGAACTTCTGGAGCCATTGTTGCTGGTGTTCCACAATAAGAGGTTAAGACATCATTTTAATTGTAATACTTGGCAAATCCAAAGTCTGCAATCTTCACAACTTTATTTTCATCAATCAAAATGTTATCAATTTTTAAGTCTCTGTGAACTATTCCCTTTTAGTGTATGTATTTCATTCCTTTTAATATTTCAATAAATATAGGTTTGATTTCATCTTCCTCGAGTTTACTATTTTTAAGTAAATTATTTAAATCCCCATTCCTACAAAACTCAAAGACGCAATAAATCTCTAGATCTTCTCTAAATTCTTCTATCAAAGCCACTACATTTTCGTTCTAAATATTTTTATAAATGATACCCCATTATCATTCTTAATATTTTTATAAATTTGGATTTCTTATTCAAAATACTGCAGTTACTTCTGCGAACCATCTAATTCTATCGGAATTACTTTTATCGCAAATTATTAGTTTTTGCTGTTCTCAGCTAAATAAACTTTGGCGAATGAGCCTGACCCAATAACCTATAAGAATTTGTAATCCCTTTTCTACATAATAACCCTTTTCATAAAATTAATTGCAAATTATAATTTATATACTTATTTATTTCATTTTGGAGCCTGCTTAATTAATTCATTTAATGGAATGTTTTTCTTATTGAGTATCATTTGCAACACTCCTTCCTTGTTTCTATTTTTGAAGAATGGCAATTGGAGAGCTTCTTCAGCTGTCAATCTAGTTTTCGAATTCTTATCTAAAACTTTCTCAATAAATTCTTAGAATTATTTCGAGAATTTGATAGGCAATCGCGGCGGGTCATTAGCAGTGATCGAATACATGGCTTTCAATGGAGGCACTCTTAAATAAGGTGGTTCACCTTGGGCCAATTCAATTGCAATGATCCCCACACTCCAGATATCCACTTTTTCATCATAATCCTGTTTCAATATCAACTCAGGGGACATCCAAGCAGGAGTACCCACAACAGACTTGCGATGCTGTCTCTCTGCTGTCAATTGAGTTGCGAATCCAAAGTCAGCAATCTTGATTTCCCCTTTCTTATTCATCAGAATATTGTCACTTTTCAAATCTCTATGTATCTTTTTCTTTTTGTGCATGTAATTGAGACCTGATAGAATCTCCCCACATATGTAAGCAATTTCAGGTTCCTTCATTTATTTAAAGTTCTAATATATTATTTCAGTCAAACATCCACCATCCAAATATTCTACAACCATGAATAAACATGATTGATATATGTATGAGTCATAATATTTGACGATATTTTAATTTGCACACATTTTCATTAATGCTATTTCCACTTTGATTCTCTGCATGTCATTGCCTATTTTCATCACTCTTACTGCGACTTCATCACTTGTATTCCTATGTATTGCCTTATAGACCTTACACATGGCCCCCTTCCCCAATTATTCTGTAAATTTATACAATATGGATGGATCTTATTCTATGAATTTAATCTCCATCACTTGTTAAATGAATTCGTCATTTGTTGGCAAGGTCAACTTGGTTTGTCTATAGACTCCATCCTCGTAATTTGCGATGATTTATATCATCACTTATGGGTTTTACTCAATATCCGCTTTCTAGAGATCAGCTTTCTAGAGCTTTTCAATCCACTCAGGAGGGAGACCCTTGAGACCTAGTTGTGCTGTTGGATCTATTTCAATGTGAATTTTGTGTTGCAAATTAAAAGGTGCACTCATTATAGGTTCGTTGATCAAATCAAGAATTGCCTCTGGAAGTTCTGATGGCTAAACTGAACTAGGCAGATTCTTAGTCTCCACAGTTTTGTTTTTGTCTGAAATTAATTATGTGGAATTCAACCTATCTCGAGTTTGAGCCCATTCAAATCGGCCCATTCTTTAGGAACACCCAACAATTTCCCCGTTACAGGATCTCTAGTTATTTGTATATGACTTTAGAAATTCGAAATCTGACCATTAGGAGCATTTGAATTCTTTTCCTTAGAACTGTTCTATCCCATAATTCTATATTATAAAAATATATTAATTTGTGATATATAATCTGTTACTTTAACCAATAATACAATTGAGTTAGCTCACTTAATCTAAATGCATAATAGTGTGACTTCACCAATATCAGTCAAGAATTACAACAATGATTTTAAAGCATATCAGGACTAAGTTAATGGAAATACTGAATGCAGAATAAATCTAATTAAAGTATAGGAATTAATATTTTGCATCCTTTATGATAATAATAATATTTTTAAAATTTATAAAATATTTATCATAACTTTCTATTAGAAGTATGAGCATTTCAATTCATCTTAATACCAATTAATTATCTTACTTATTATGCCTTAAAAACATTTAAATTTATAACTGATTTATTTGAAATTAGTACAAATCCTCTATTGAGTACCACTCTGTTTGTCCTAATATACAAACCTTATCTCGTTCTAATACATATTAGAGTATATCTACCTATGATGTAATAAACCCCTTATCAATTTTACTATCATTATGCTTATGTATTGATTTATGGTTGAACTAAACAAAATTCTATTTGGATTTCAACTAAAAAAGTTTTGAGTAACTGAAAATTTACTGAAAAATCAAGGATTCATAATCTATTATATCTTTTATTTGATTTCATTCTTGCATATAAGTCCATAATTCCTCTTGTTTTCTAATACTTCTCCATATCCTGCATGATTCTTCAGATAATTTCCTATGTTAGTAGATTCTGTCATCTTATTATATATTTTTACAACCATAGAAATAGTTGTATTAGAGATTCCAATTTAAATTGATTAAAGAGTATTTTCTCTGCTTTTTGCTAATATAAATAAAAGATATTTAAACCACTTTGAGTAATCAGTAATATTTAATTATTAAATATTTTATATGTTACTTAAAATTTTTAATACATAATTCTTCTGAATAATGTGGATCCAAATAAGTTTCTCTTAGATATTTTTAATTTGATACAAACATATGTTCCTCATTTTAATTTAGAAATAGAACATGATGTTAATTGTCATTTAATCAAATTTTATAATAACTTTTTTATAGTAAAATTAAATTGATTTCATAATTCATACAATGATATTATAACTAGTTTTTTAACTTTAATTCATCACTTTTAATATATACTTATTCCAATCTTTAATAGCCAAACTAAGATTTTGTAAAGTCTCACTAAATTTTGAGAATAGTTTTAGAAGGATTGAACTTGGATCACTGATAACTTAATTTAATTCTTAAATTCAAATTAATTCAACTAATATTTAATGTTAAGATGCTTGTTAGGGATTTTGGTCTATTTCTTGAGTCTGAATGTTGACTCTATTGAAATTGCGGATTTTGTATAAAGTTGTGATTAATTTATAAAATTAAAAATAACCAAGAATGAGTACTTCAAGCCATATTTGTCTTATCTTCAGTTACGTCTATGACAAGATAAGCAAGATTCATCCTAACAACGTCGCAGAGAGTTTGCGTTCTATTGAAAATAACCTTTAACTAATTCTTGAATAGATGGATGAAGTGACTGAGAATCTTACCTATTCGAATTTAAGGATGTTATTTGATTACGCAAAGGGTTGTTAGCAATCACTTAATACTAGTTTTTTCTATAATTTAGAATACTCTGAGTTGATGTATAAAATCAACTAAAATTTACTTGAAATATTTTAACTTTTTGATACTGCTATTGATAGTAACTTTGTGGTGCCACAATCGACGATATGTATTACTAATGAATTAGGTAATATCATAACACATGAAGAAAATTTTTTTGAAGTTATGGGACATTCTACAGAAATGAATTTTGCTTAGCTTATCGATGTGTATGCCACTCCTAATTTCAATTTAGGTTAAGAGAACATCGACAACGCATAAGCAACATTTTATAAACTCAATTACCGAGCATTGGAACAAGTATTCACATCAGAAAATACAATTTTTTAAATTAAATAAAATGTTTCCTAACTGAGGGAATAGTTCTTCCAGAGATTCCAATTAAATATCACAATAGGAAATTTTGAATTCACTAAATATGATGATTAGAATTAATTTTTTTTTTATGATCCTCTGTATGCTATGAACGAAGAACATATCAAGAAGTTGCTAATAGTTTAATTTGTGGCACTAAATTATTAACAATCAACATAATTAGATGAATTCGTTCAGTCTGCTAAATTTGCTGATAGAATTGAAAAGTTTTATCAGAAATTAATAAGTGCAGTATAAGACGAATGATTATTATTAATTCAAAATTTATTTTTTAAATTAAATTATTGAGTCATTATCATTCATCTAGTACATATATATATATAAATAATTAAATCTGATATCAAATAAAACATAATTCAGTTTTTCAATATCTTAAGTAAAATTGACTAATATCTAAATCTAATAATTGTAAAACCAAGGTTGAATTCTTAATTATAAAATCAATAACAGGTTCATTAACTATATTTATTTAGCATATTAAATAATATAGAATAGATTGCCAAAATTTATTTTGATCTTGTGGTAAATTGAAAAGTAAAAATGAAATAGGAATTTTAATTTTAATTTTGATTAATAATTTAAACTAAGAATTTTTGAATGTGAAGAATGATATTTTTGAAATAGATCATAAGATAATAACCTGTTTATTGATTTTGCTTAAATATAACAAAAGGATCTGTGGACAAAGCCAAATACCTCTTTTAATAATAAATAACAAAACTGTTTTAAGAATGACAATTATTTATAACAGAGTACAAATAATATTTTAAGAATAATCAATCATTATTTAATAAATCTTTATACTCTGCGTATCTTAGTGATTACAAAACATTTGATTGAATAAGGGGATGTGTGTGGCTTTTTATGTTTTTTAAGAACATCAATTGCATAACTTTATTATCTGATGATAACTTGATCATAATTGTTATGTGGGTAGTAGATCTTATAGGATTTCATTTTTTCAAATTTGTTAAAAATGACATCATTTATAAAATATCCTTGATTCTAAAATTTTATGTACAATTACATCAGGAGAAGTAATGGCTTAGAATTAGGATAACTAAGCTAAATTACTCTATTTAGTTCCAGTTCTTTGACTCTTTTATACTTTCTTGTTCTCATCTGATTGGGTATTGGCACTGTTGGACTTTTTGCCATTCTCCTTTGTTTGACTAGACAAGCCCTATGATTTATTTTATCTTGAATTGGAAGATGGATTATTAGAGACATCTTTAGAATATGAGTTTGTATAGGTATGGGATCTATTAGTAGGTTAGCGTTGTGATAATTTCAAATTGGCATAAGAGTACTGCTATTGAATATAGTCTTGTTTAATCATGTCCTGTTTATTAGCTGTCTAAGGTAGACCTTCCTTTTAAAATTGGAATGTCAATTTGTTTGGACCACTCCTATTAGTAGTTGATAAGAACAGTTATTTTTAATTAATGATTTCATTCTTCTACCCCTCTTGCAATTGCATTAGAATTTCCTTTTCATCCTTATCCAGAGTTGAATAATTCTGACTTTAAGGATTGCCAACAAATCCAGCAGTTCGATGAGATGTCTTATTTGAGTTGTGACGTAATCGCCTTATTGATTAATCCAAAGCGGGAGGGGTTACTTCTTCGTATTACTCTTGTTCATAGTTTAATTATTCCAAACTGTCGACATTGACATTACTATTAGAGATCTATTGATCTTGACTGGGTTTTTGAAATGGCATTGAATTGCTTACATAACTAACAGAATAAGTTTAATCTAATTGAATAAGGAGACATACTTTCAGAGTAAGGCAATTGCGATGCTTCAGGAAGTTCTTCAGACAGAATTTCTTGGGTTTGTTTATTGATCACTTATTTGGCTTTGTCTTGATTCTGAGTGAGATTTTTCATAGTTAAATATTTCTTGTTCTTTCTTCTATAAGGTTGCCGAATTTATTTTAAAGTATATAAGTATTTCTCAATAACATTTTGTCTTTATGGGAAGTATTAGATGTGTTTACATTCAATAATATAATGTCCTTTGATTTTACAATAGTAGCAATCGAATAGATGCTAATTGTAATTTGAATTATCCTTCATCATGCAGAAAATCTCATTGTCTTAGGGATAATTGGAGATGATGTCTAAGAAGTCTGATCTTTTGAGTTTCATGAGAGTGGTGACTCCGCAACTGTATATGCTGATGTTTGATGGCACTCCCGAGATGAAAGAGTACTATCCAAAGGCCTATCCTTCCTGTAAGCGAGTGACCGACCTTTTATTATTGGCAAGAGACGATCCTTAGAATTGCACTTTGACTTCTCCTTTGAGTATGTAATACAATCCCAAATCCTCAATTTAGTGTTCCTAATTCATATACTAATTATTTACTATGATGATATTGTCCTCGGGATTGAAAGTCACTTACTCAATGGCATACAACAATTGTTATTTGAATTGAGGTGAGAATTTATTCATGAGTTCTATTTTATCAATCATTCTCGTTCTCAAAGATAGATCAATCTCATCCTACAAGGCAGGACTCAACTTCTTAGTTAATTGATCTTTCGTTCTCCCTATATCTTCCTATACAATAATTTAAAGTGATACATCAATTCTAAACTCTAAATACGAATAACATCTCCTCAAGAGATCGTAATCTTTGCATTTCTCCTTCAACAACTCCACGAATCCTTTCAACAGTTTTTGTTTCTCTTCTTGAATCTCCAATTCAGGTTTGATCCAAACAAAGAGGAGTATGAATGTGTAGACATAGCATAGATAAGAGATCAACATAAAGGCTGAAACGATGATAGAATTCTATTCTGTGATCTCCAGAGCTCATATTAAATTATGAAATGTTACAATTAATTGAATTCTAAGTAATCAGCGAGATCGAATACGTTATGTAAAATCCTAGAGAGTATTCCTCATCATTGAACACTCTTATTATACTAATAAATATACTTTTCAAAAAGCAAGTGCACAATACTATGAATGAAATCCATAATTATACAATGAATATTATATAATGAGTCGATTTGTAGACGTTTTCAAACGTTTCCCAAGTTCTAATCAAATCTGAAACAATCAACAACGATGTCAGGATTATCAAAATCACATCCTTATCGAATTCAAGAAATACAATGGCTACCATCACTAACATTCGAAATGTATCTAAATATATTTTATTCCAGTCCTTGAAATTGCCGATCAATTTTCCTCGAATGATTTTGTATGGCCCTCTTAAATAATACAGATCCTATATCAGAGTCAACATCTTAATCCCGAACACTATTAACTGAACAATCCTAGGTCCCTCAAATAGATTTATTAAAGGTATTAAAGTAATTGAAAGTAAATTAGAAATTATAACCGATAAAAACACATACATTGTGAAATAGTAATATCTCAATGGGGAAACTAAAAGTATTCAAATTCAATACCATCATGTTATTCTTATGTTACCAGTGGATCATTGTATTTCGAATAGTGAATAGAGTTCAACAACTTTTATTTTATCTCATTTACGATGATCCTTACTCTCCCATGCGTAAGCTTTCTATTGTGATCAGATAGTAAATGGGATTAAAAATGAGATTAGGAAGAAATGTACGAACTGTCATTGGATATCAAAACTAATTTCTTTGATTCTGATTTTTGATGCAATTAGTCCGAACTCTTGTGAGAAGCTATGTTGGTTATTGTGGGAACCTTATAATCGTCGCTACTCTAGATGTCTATTGGTTGTTAAGGACAAGTCTGTACAAAGACAGGTTTCATCTAACAAATCTAGGACAAAGAAGAGTGTTCCTCCTCTTCCTGAATGGATTCACTATTCTTGTACTGTAGAGTCTGGCTAATCCTGTGTTTGGGGTTGTAATCAACAACTTCTGGGTCTTTTATTTGCTAGAGTAACTATTTTCTAATTAACATTTAATAAAAATAGTACTCATGCAATAATTGTCTCTCAACAACATCCCTCAAAATCTATTCCCCTTGCCTATTGTTAAATCCCACTATGAGATCCAGCATCTCCAAGAACTCAGGAATGAACAAGAAAATCAAATTTTGCAAGATCACTCCAAATTACTCAAAGAAAAAACTCCCAATCGCAGAGATTACTCCATCTTACAGAAGAATAAAAGACAATCCACAGTTCCTCACGATATCAAAAACAGCGTTCGAAAGATTTCTGAATACCAGAGTCATTCATAAGATCAAATACTCAATTCTCAACATTCAATTCATAACAACACAATTGATTGCTCTATTAATTATAAATAACTAAATAAGCATATAATAACTGAGTAACAATTCCAAATAAAATAAAATCAAATCTAACAAATGATCAGAGAAAAACTCTACACCTCCTATTGCAATTCCATGAAAAAGCATTCCAAATTAAACGGCATCTTATTGTAAAAAATTAGTTAATTGGCCCCCTTCATATCCCAAGATAAAAATATGCATCAACCCCAAGTCAAAAGAATGAATCAATTTATGAAATTTAGATCCCAGTCAATCCCTCTAAATCCAAACATTGAATCCGTCTAAAATAGTGTCTAAAGAATACAATCCTTACCCAGAAATCAAGAATACACTCGATAGAGAACCGCAAACAAGCAAATTACTCAAAGTCAGGTCATCTATCAAAATAGGGATGCCGACAGAATCATTCGAAAATTAAACAGAAAAACTCAAAGGCTATTAAAAGAATCATATCCTGAAATTGATCCAACTCCTATTGTGGATTATCAAAAGCAAATCCTCAGCAGAATCGAACTCAGAAACTCAACCAAAAAGAAACTAATAGACAGCTTCTAAGAAATTATTGATAAATATTGAAAATATTAAACATTTATTCTATTAATTTAATATATGCTTATTTCTGAGATCCTTAGTATCCTATCTTTAATTCACATATCAAACAGGAAATAAGAATTATTTAATAGAATTGGTCAGCATAAATGAACTATTTATCAATTAATAGATTTAAGTAAAATTATTCATTTTTAACCCATGTTCATATTAATTAAACACTTAATTTGCAATTTAGCTCTTAAATGTAGATCATAATTTATTAATAATTCGTGTTTCAATAATATTGAAATGTATAATAATCGCATATTATGAAAAAAGTTCTAAAAATATATATAAATTAATTAATAAGAGAAAATTCTCAGTATTTAATCATTAATTATTTTTTATTTTAATTCAGTTATGATTCGTATTATTATACACTCTGTAATTTAAGGAATTCGCCATTTCTACGATTTAGGTCAGAATCCTCACATCTATTTCTCATGATATCTTATAATAAATTTACATAGATTTTAGAATTTTCAACTGTTAAATAAGTTTAATACCATTACTCTTTAATTTCAATAAATGATAAGATTTTGCAAACTATTCTAAATTTAATCAACCAATAATAATGATTAATACTTAAGAAATTACATTATATTTATAATTTAATGGAAAGTACTTAGTATTGGTATATTTTATAGATTTCATTTATAAAAATGTTGATCATTAATAAATGCTTTCATTAATATTAAATATATGTTTATATATGAATAAATGCAAAATAAAGCAAATTATTCAATAATGTAATCTGATTATCAATTTTTTTGTGTATTTTCATTAATAAAAATAACCCCTCGAATTATAAATGAGCTAAGAGAAAATTAGAAGATATAAGTTAAATGTGTTTTAAGTACAGAAAAACAAAGTGAAATCTGAAGATAGGGTTATTGTAAACACATCGACAAATTTCAAAGCACTCTCTCCATAGCAATCTCCTAAAATTAAATAAATTGTCAATCGTACCCAATTAGAGCTCGAAAGATCGAAATCCTCGCATCGAATGGAAAATATAATAATACAAATCAAAAAGAATGTACCCAAGAATAATATCAACATACCAAATACCAGTAAAGACTTCTTTAAGGAGAGTACTTTCTCAATTGAAGAAAAGAAGCAAGAGATTAATGTGCAGTTCTTGAGATAATGTAAGGCCAATAACGCTAGAGCTTGTCTCTAATTATTAGAACCTACTATTGTTCATTAAGTTTGTAAGTTGATGGGATTAATTTTATAGTAAACATTTCGCCCTTGATACCAATAAGTGCAGATTTAAAGGCCAACATCAATTGTTAGGATGGCAATCTAAATTCTGCTTTACATATAGCTGTGAAAAATGGGAATATTTAATTAGTTCAAGCATTAATTTACAAATAAATTAACTTGGAGATCGAAAATTCAGAAAAGATGACTTCATTAATACTGGCTAGTTATCAGTAAAATAATATATTTTAATTTTAAAAAGTGGAAATGTGGAGTTATTTTAGATCTTAATTATTGCAGGAGCCCAAGTTAATCATTAAGACATTTATGGTAACACATCACTACATTATGCATGTAAATTCAACAACAAAGAAATTGTAGCCATTATACTTAAACTCCGAAATCTCATATTTAAGCCAAATCAAGATCAGAAGTATCCTGACTATTATGTTCATGATACTGAGATATTGTAATTATTTACTTAATTTCAATTGGAACATTCAAAATAAAGTAAAATAACTCACAATTAAATTTAGAATAAAAAACAAAAGAGATCAAGATACAGAATATATAAATGGAAGACTAGTGTCGATCAAATCAATTTTAGACTAATAAATGTAAATTGCTAAACTGTCCTCTACACAATTTGTCTCCTGATACAAAGCAAAGAGTTCTTCAACTTAGCAAAAATATTAAGTAAGAGAAAAAAGGAATTATCAATACTCCTTCTACTATAGATTCGATGAAGTAGTCCAAAAAAGAAGAAAAAGTCTATCCCCAACAGTTTCGTGTATTGGGTTTGATAGGTAAAGGTAGCTTCGGAAAGGTGTATCTGGTTCAAAAGAACAAAAAGTATTATGCAATGAAGGTACTTCTTAAGAATATGATCTTCGGTAATAAATCAATTATATGGAAGAACAAAACATTTGTAGATATGCAATAACTGAAAGAAATGTCTTATCTGTGACATCCCACCCATTCATAGTGAAATTAAGATATGCATTTCAGACAGGGGACAAATTATTTATGATTTTGGATTATTGTCCTGGTGGAGATCTGGGGATGGTTCTTAATAAAATTAAAAGGTTTCCTGAGGAACTTGTAAAACTGTATGCTTGTGAAATAATTTTGGCTTTGGAGGATCTTCATAAAAGAAACATTATATTTCGTGACTTAAAACCTGACAATATCTTACTCGATGCAGAAGGACATGTGTTGTTAACTGATTTTGGATTGTCTAAGGAGGGAATTCCTTTATCAAATCAAGGAGCAAAATCCTTTTGTGGTTCTGTAGCCTATTTGGCTCCGGAAATGATTAGGAGATAGGATCATGGAAAAGCTGTGGACTGGTATTTACTAGGAGTGGTAATGTATGAGTTGCTGACAGGGTTGCCACCTTATTATACGAATGATAGAGAGGCGTTATTCTATAATATAGAAAATGCCAGTCTAAAAATACCTTAATTCATTTCAATTGAATGCAGAAACTTACTAAGATCAGTAAAAGTTTGTTGAATACTTTAGTTGTTGGAGAGAAATCCAGCTCGACGTTTGGGATCAGGCTAGGGAGACTCTATGGAAATAAGAAGTCATCCTTATTTTGTGGATATAGATTGGGAAGGAGTTTTGAAGAGACAACTTCAAATGCCAAAACCAGATTACAGTCTGAAGTTAAAACCAATCGGAGAGTAGAATATTTTTGATTTGCAAAGCTCAGTGGAATTTGAGTAATCGAATGTGAATGGATGGTCTTATGTTCAAACAGAATGAAATGCATTTGATTCTATTGATTAACTAAATAATTCAATATTATGATGGCTGTTTATCAGATTTGGCACCAAAGAATTTGAGACACAATTACTCAATGTCTTCCAATGTCACTCTGCCTGTTCCCTTTCCTATGGTTATTAATTATAATAGATACTATCCAAGATTCTGGAATATGAAGCGATATCTGTGGGTGTCGGATTGAATCCTTTATTCATGGCTCTGTAACAATCACTTAACATATATCCAACTTCAAAAGAATCAATATTTCCATCAGAGTTGCCATCATACAGAGCAAGAATTCTCTGAGCCAATTGTTTGCATTACTCTGGGTCCAAAACTCCTCCGAAATTTACAGCATCTGTGATTTGGTAATGTGAATATTTGATTTACTTATTTGGGTCCATGAAAAACTGTTAATTAATTATTGCTTATAAATACTCAAATTCAAATAGTTTAGTATGGAATTCAATCATTATGTTTAGGTATATATTTTTCGACCATCTCCTTCTGCCAATATAACACATTGTTCACCACGTTTATTGGAATATCATACACTTCAGGCAATCCTTCATGTAGTTCTGTCTTCTTGAGATTGTGGAGTCTTGTATATTTGTCTAGGATGATCCCATTCATTCCATACCTTCGACATTTTCATATGAATCCAATTTGTTGCATAAACAGTAATTCAGAGCTGCATAGCCAGTTATCACTGTAAAAATAGTGGCAACAAAGAAACTCGGAATTGCCAAGGCCCAATACTTCTAAGGGAAATAATGAATTCCCAATGACTTTTGATTAGCAATAAGGTTAAAAATACATAAAATGCTGATTCTGGTAGGAATACCCATGCCAAATAAACTACAAATACTATGTAGGAGGAGATCCATCCAATGAATCCGTATATTTCGATGCTTTTCATAATATAAACAAAATTAATATAAATGAATCAGAGTAATTTAAACAGTATTTATTTATTTTGTATTCTTTTTTTAATCTCGCAAGGCATGAGCCTATCGATTTTCTCCAATATATATTCCTTATCTAAATGCTTTATTTTTTTTACGCCATTTATTTTTATGTTATTATTTTTAATCCTTACGTAATGGTTCCCTAATATTTTATGAATTTTTATTATTTTTTTCTCTTCCTCGCAATTCAAAAATTAACCATTAAAACGTAATCGTCGATCTGCTATTTGTTTTCTACACTCATAGAGAGTTCTATTCATCCACATCCTCTTTTTTGCTCTATACCTTTGCAAACATTCTTTGCGAATAAAATTTTTATCAATTAATTTTTCTTGACCTTGAGATATTACAACTACGCTGTCTAATTTAGATTCTTAAACAGTTGATTAGGTTTCATTTTAAATGAGAAAATTATTAAGAACATTCATTTTCTGCAAAAGTAATTACTACTATTGTAATACTAAATTTAATACAGACTAGTTCCCTAAGAATTTTATTAACTCGTTTTTCAGCTCCAAACTGATCTATCCTAAATCATCAACGAATTGAGGATAGTTGTATAGATATTGCATTTGTTTTTCTAATTAATGTATTAGAAAAAACTAGGATTATTCGATCATTTTGAATCCCAAAAACAATGTTCTCAGAATAAAATGCAATGGACCCCCTTTACTTTTAATTAAATTATTTTTATACTATCTTATTCTCAATTATATTAGCCATAATGATGAGACCTTCATTTTATATATAAAAATATATATTCATTATTCAATTTCTCTCTTATGGCCACATCCCCCACAATACTTGTGTCCCAATTGCATCTTGTTCCCACATTAAGTGCAAAATTTTAATTGACTTTTCAACTGAATATCAGTCTCCTTTAGTATCTTTTTCATCTAAGGCTATTAACCGATAATGGCTGGCAAAACAGGCTCCAATTTTTTTGGTTTCGGCAAATTCGCCTTATTTTTAAACTTCAATTCTTGGGTTGATATTATTAATATTTACTAAATGATTCCTTGCTCATCAATTTCTCACAAATTGGAACGTGACGAAGAGCAGCCTTCGGATTAAATTTACGCAAACAATGCGGACACTCAGTATCTGACAAAGCAGTCGCCCTTGTTTAACAATCCATGAATCCTAACATATTCACTCACTTGTCATACCGAATCCTGTATAGATTGCTTTCTTCAGTTCTGGAAGTTGTCTCTTCTAAACCTCAGCTGTTTTCATCAAACTCTAAGCACGAAAGGATTGCTTAGTTTGATCAATATTCTCATTCTAATTGGTCGTCGATGCTGTGCTTAACTATGTAGTTCTTTTCAGTTCTTATTGCTACTTTTTTTTGGGAGGCTTGGGCTTAGCCTTGATTTCCTTGCACTTCGGAATATGTCTCTCAGCGACATCTTCAAATACTTCTTTGAATTGTTACATCTGTCAAAACTACGCTAACAATGTTCACAAAACACATAATGTGAATTCTCTGCTAATTCTGGAGTCTTTACGGTTCTCTCCTCACCACCTTCATTTTGAACCTCATTAATTCATTCAATGTACTACCTCTTTTTCCTTTTTATTGCAATGAATCATTTCTTAGAATTACTTATGTTATTCTCTCCAATTATTAACTGTTTTATTTTTCACTTGTTTCTCCTTAGCTTCCAACATCTACTAAAGTTCAGCTTTCTTTTATTATTTACGTTTTATTAGCTTATCCCTTTCCTTTTATTTTTATTAAGCCTTCTCGCACACCTACCTATGCTTTTCAATCCTCTCCGTATGAAATTTTCGGGAACAAATCTCACATTGCTCCAATTCCCCTTCTCCACCCCCTTACTGCTCCTATTCCAAGTTCATAAATTCATTATTCTCGTCTAAACACTCTGAATGCTCAAATTATTCCTCATCATATTCATCCATTAATTATTATATAATACTTTATATATCCTATAAAACTAATAAAAATAAATAATTCATATATTTTTGATACCTCCCAATTAGTTACCCCCCCCTCATTCCTTTCATCACAGAAATTCAAACTTACCGTAAGTCTTAATTCTCTATATTTTTATTAATTTTAAGTTAAAATCTATATGTTTTCTCGATAAACAGACATTATAAATTTCGAATTAGATTATAATAACTATTTCAGAGAATTTTGTAAAAATTATATTTTATAATTTGTTTACTACTTAACTTTTGGAATAATGTCAATGAAGAAATCAAATTTTTCAAGCTATCAAAAAATTTAATCAGAAAATAGGTATATCCAATTATGCTATCAAAGGTAGTCCGTGTCTAAATTAATCAGAGTCTCAAGCATGACCAATTTATCCAACACCAGTAAATGTTGATACTATGAACATTAGGCACGGTAGTCAAATTTTCCATTAAAGAATTACTCGAAAAACAAAAGAAAGGGGAAATCACAAAGCTCTCCCAATAAAAAGAAAATTTCATCTCCAAAATAGCTCCAATCAAAATGCAGACCTAAAACTCCAAAAATAGTTCTCCCCGTTTTAGGATTAAGCTACTCTCAAGCCCTCTAAGCACTAATCGAACCACCTTATCTAAATCATCCTAAGTTTCCCCTCTAAGACAAAACAGGACTCTAGTACCTAAGGACTTCATTTGCTTATCATAGCCCCAAATACAAATCAGCTAAATAGAAAAGTTAGAGGAATTTGTGTCCATTTCCAATAACTCTCCAACAAGAATTGATAACTTGGAGGACTATTCACCTACTATCAGAACCAAAAATATTGAAATCGAACAAGAAAAAATATTAAAGGAAGATATTAAACCTCCTAAGAAAACCAAAAAAGAATTAAAAGGCTGTTTATTAAGAGCCTTGAGAAAACTCAAAGAAATGAATATAAATACAAAAATGATGCTTCAAAAATAAATCTTCTCAAAGAAACCATATCAAAAACCAAATTCGTAAGAGTTCATCCACGCTGTCAAATTAAATCAATTAGATAAGGTAAAATAATACATTGAGAAGAACAAATATATTATTTTTGATTTTGATTACTTTAATATGACAGCTCTACATTGGTCAAGTAAAAAGGGATTATATGAAATGACAGAATTCCTAATTAAAAATCATGCGGATGTTGATGCTATTGATATTTTGAATAGAACTCCTCTCTATTTGGCAATTCAAGAAAATAATATTCCTATAATAGAAGTAGGGCTATCTAATAATTTAATTTTAGTTATTATTAAGAAATAAAGCATATCCATGGTCAACATCCGTAACTGATTTAAGCGAAGCTGTTGGAAACAATAGAAGAATTAGAAAAATATTAACTTAAATTCGAAGAGTAACATTATATCATTATTTGTTAGGTTGATATAATAAACATGTGGGGAGAAAAAAAGCGTAAGGAAGAATTGTTTTGAATTATTAATATTGTATTAACATCTTATAAATTTCGGATTGAACATAAAGATTATTCTTTACCTATTTTATTCATCTAATCTTGTGAGATTTTCTCTTAGGAGGTCCTTATGAGTCAAAGCAATAAAAGAATATGAAATTAAATAATATAGGAGATAATATTTCTAACAGAAAAACATGAAGATTAGTCCCAATAAATTCTTTTCTTCAGAGTATGAAATCTAATATTAAAATGTCAATTTTTACAATAAAGTTATCTTCGAATTCACATTACCAAAATATTGATAGGATTTTTGGCACACCAACTCAAACATTTATAAAATGCTTCCATTTGTTATAATTCTTCCTATGACTTTTATTAAAGAACTTATGGATTAAAGCGCGTAAAATTTACTGACTAAGAGAAATAAGCTTTAAATTTACCATAATATTATCTGTAGCCGAATAATTTATGACATATATCTCTAAATCTTAAGAGGCTTTATCTTAAAATAACATTTACAATCTTCTTTAAAAAGTATTTAACTTCCTCAAATTATTGAGACGATATAGCATATGAATGAAAAAAAAGAAATTTTTGAATAGTAAGCAATAGTTGTGTAAGTTGAGGAAAAACAAAAATAAAGTACGGTTACAGTTACATGAATTAAAAGCCGTCAAGAAACTATTGGTATATTCTCAAGTCCATTATTCAAAAATTGTAAAAACATCTGCAACAACCTCTAACACTAATGAATAGAAAAAAAAGAAAATCGGCAGAGCCCACCCCATTTTTTATTTTTGAACTTATAAATTTCTAATATTTCTGATTTAGGATTAGTAGATTTTAAACTGCATGTTTGAACCAAAAAGGATATATACTTAATATTTATATAGCCACTATCGTTAAAACAATTCTTTCTCCAATATTATTGATATCTTAAACAATATTTTTATAGTTTTGTTGAAAGAATCATAATTTTTTTTAGTTTGGAAAATTAATTTAATTTTGATTAAAGAGGTGCCACCGCTTTTTTCATAAATTTTTGGTTAAATATTCTTAAAATTTGTTAACTAGCAGCTCATTTAATTTCACTGCAAAATCAATAATTTTCAGAGATTAAAACAAAAAATCTTGATCAGTTTGAAATTTCTTACAAGCAAATAATAATAAAAATATATTATAATAAATATTTATGAGTAATTGTTAGGAACATGTGCAAAATCAAATTAGTATTATATGCGTAAATCCACATATATGTCAACAAAATAGAAAACTTTGCGTAGAATGTTTAGAACAACACCACTATGAACCCTAATATTCTATTCTTCTAAAAAAATTTTCAGAAATTGTTCAACAGAAATTCGTAGGTTTCGTACCTTTAGATTAGTCAATAAAAAAAAAGATATAAGCTGATTTCGATTTAATTTTTGAAAAGTTGGAAAAAAGAATAAAAACAATATAGAATGAATTGGATTAGAAATTGCATAATAGCTTCAAAATAATAGAACTAAAGGATTAATTGTATCTTAAATTGAGAGACTCAGATGTCTTGGATTTAACTAATACCGAATTGAACTAAATAGTTGAAATAATTTAAGACAAAGAGGCAATTCCAAAATGGTAGAAATTAAAAAGTTCACTTTCTAAAACCATAATTGAGGCCATCAGTAAAAGTGAAGAATCAATAAATTCTTTGAAATCATAAATATAGGAATTTTAGTAAGATAGACAATAAGAATATAACTGTTTAACTTTCGATTCTCTCAGCGATAGTATCGTCAAAAAGAAAATCAAAATCAAATATTCTAAAGACCAAATAGAGTATCTGATGGACGGTTAAATAATAAGGAGGTAATAATTTGAATTCTAGCAGGTAAAAGTGATAAAATTTAAAATATCTAACAGAACCCCGATATGCTTCAAAATTTAGAAAAAATTTGCCATCTTTAATGGATTGGCTAATATAAATAAAAAAATTAAAAGTAAGGAAAATGGATTGCAAATTGGAACGGAGAGAATCTGTCTAATGTAGGCGGTTTGTACCAAAATGATGGAAAAAAAACAGGATAATGGACGGAATTGAGCAAAAATTTTTGTAGGTTATTGAGATATTTATATATTTTAGCAAAAGTTAAATTTATGAGATTGGATAATATAACGATAACTAGAGAGTAGGTATTTGGAAGCAAGTTAATGATTTTTAAGAATTGTAATCAATTATTATTAATGAAATAGAGGGAGTGGCGAATACAATGAAAAGGGTGAAAAAAATGGTAATTGGAGAGAAGTTTCGGATGGATTTTGGGATTAAGCTTAAGTGATTTATGAGGGTAAATATTTAAATGGTGTTAAAATTGGTTGTTGGAATATTTATTCAACAAATGATAAATTAATTTAGATGTATTAATAAAATATAACATGTGTTAGTGGAGGTGGATCATATGAAGAAATAAGCAGTGGCAAAAAGATTGGAAATTGGATTGAGATTTCTGAAAGATTTTATAATTAACCTCAAGTAATTTACAAAGGTTAGTATGAAAACGGAAAAAAAAAAGGTAGATGGGATATTTTTTATGAAAATCAAAGGATGTAGCAATTCATATATTATTATTATTCTATAGTGGTGGCGGATAGTATGATGAAGAATTTAATGGCAATAAAATTGGTTATTGGGAGGAGCTGTCTGATAACATCGCTAAATCCTCTTAAATAACCTACAGAGGAAAATATAGATAAGGGAAAAAGGTTGGGGAATGGTAGATTATTTTGCAGTAATAAAATCAACAGATGTAAAATAATTTTATAAAGTGTTTATATAAAGTGGAGGAGGATTCTATGACGAAAACGGTAATGGGAGCAAATTGGGCAAATGGGTGGAGCCTTCTGACAGATTTTAAGTAAATTCATAAGTAACATATGTTGGAGAATATAAAAACAGAGTAAAAGTTGGGGAATGGAATGTTTGGTCTGAATTGGATGGATAGAACTAAAGGATGTAAATTCATTTTATAACTTATTAATATTTAGAGGAGGAGGAAGATATGATGAAAAGGGAACTAAGGTGGGCAATTGGATTGAGCTATTTGATGGTTTTTATCAAGATTTATAAGTAACATATAAAGGAAATTATTAAAATGGAGAAAAAATTGGGCGATGGGATATTTGGTAAAAATAGCATGGAAAGTAACAAAAGATGTAAATTAATTACGCAAAAGTTTATATTTAGCGGAGGAGGATCATACGACAAAAAAGGGAGTGGGATTAAATTGGGTCATTGGATTGAGCTTTCTGATAATTTTGATAAGCTACACTAGGTAACTTATAAGGGAGATTATAACAACGGTAAAAAAGTTGGGTATTGGGAAGCTTGGCATGATGCAATCTAGATGTATTATATATATGTATATACTAGTGGAGAGGGAGAATATGATGAAGATTCTATGAAGGTAGGTTCTTGGATAGAAATTTCTGATAAATTTAATAATGAAATTTAAGTAGTATATAAGGGCGCATATGAGAGAGGAAACAAGATTAATAGATGGGATACTTTGAATTTTAGAAACGTGATGTATAAAATATATAAAATTTACTTAAGTGCTGGTGGATAATATGATAGTCAAGGATATGGAATCAAGATTGGTGAATGGGTAGAAGCAATAAATGACTATTCAATTTATTACAAAGGATCTTATTTAGATGGAAAAAAGTTTGGTTCTTGGGAGGTATTTGCAATAGGTTACAACCAAGAGAAACAGTCCTTATAAAAAATAGATGAATAATATTTTTGATAATTGAATAATCTTAATATGCATTTTTAAGTAAGCTGTTTGATTTAATGATATGATTTTAAGTTTAGATCTCCAAATCTTAGTATTATTTACATTTTATACTTCTAGTTTCAAGTTAACTATCATTTAATTTAGTTCATACTTTAATCCTGTTTATCATGTAAAATTTATGGATTTAAATATTTGTAAAATTTCAATTATCAAATATTATAAAAAAACGTGAGTTATTCATTTAAATTTAAAAGGAAAAGAGTAATAAATCGTTTTCCTTTTTGAATTATTACTAGCTTCCTTTCTTCTAATTTATTGAGAAATTCTTAGGCGGTTCTCATTATTTTTTTAATTTGAAGCAATTCACTTATTCTTATTATTAAATATATTATTTGAAAAAATCACTTATTTAATGAGATTTTAAGTTATTCCAGTAGTACATAAGGAAAAGTATCTTTAAGATTTCTCTAAATCTAGACTCTTGATACTCCAATATTTTTGATTTCAGAAATTGACTAAATTTATAACATTTAGTTAAAAAAAAAATTATGGTTAAAATATTTTGAAAATTTAATAATTATGTGATTCGTATTTGAATAAAAAACTTATGTTATTTTGTATATGATAATTTCGTTATTAAATTCAAAATAGAAAACTTCAATTTCAGAATAAGATATCTAAAACATTTAATCATGCTAAATATCTGTGATAATTCCTTGAAATTATCTCTGTCCAAATATGATTCAGTTATAATGGACTTATGCGATCTCTAAGTGCGGCTTATGAAAATGCTTAACTGAATCTATCAATGATGTGTTGCAACGAGGAAGATACATTTGGTTAGGAACAAGCAAAAAAATAAATTGAATCTCGAAATCGTTTTTCTATATTGCAAAATTTTTTGACTTCGTCATGCTGTGAGTAATTTAAGAACTTAGAGGGGAACCCATCAGTATAAAACAGAATCATGGTACTAATTATAGAATTAAAATAATTACTATTTAAATTCAGAATGTTAGAGAACTAACTCTCTTGCAGCTGATAATGCAGGACCAAATAATGTAAACCAGCTTCCTTCATATTATATAAGTCTTATTTATTGATCAATATCTACAGTTTAGCAATTGATGACTATTTTAGCAGTTCCACCAAATATAATCACACTTACTTTGGCATTTTTCTTTTTTTTTTTTATTTATTCAAATTATTCTACCATACAATTTTTAATTGACTACCAATGTTAGCGCATAGAGTCCGAATTATCCAAAATATAAATATAATGATATGAATGATTCTATTAGTTCATAGAAACATCAAGTATTTTTTAGAAGACAATTTCTTACTTAAATTTTCTTTATAAATCTTTTGAAATTATTTCCCCAACTCCTCCATTCCAAATTTAAATCATTTTTTATTTGTTTTCATCAACTTATTCTTACGATTAATAGTCTTTAAAGCTCCAGTCATTATAAATCCTTTTGACTTCCCTCCATAACATTACCTTGTTTGTTTCATATATTTTAATGATTGCTTCGTCAAGAATTTCCTCACAAGTGTAAGGTGAAGGATAAGAATTTATCAAAACTCTATTCATGCCTACAAATTGACATTCACATTACCTCTCAACTAATGACCATTTAAGCATTTATGTATATGATTTCTGTTTTTATAATCGTCGCTGTCACATTTTCTATTACACATTGGACAAGACTATTCACATCCTATCATATCATTCTGTAAACAATCCAAAATATTTTAAACATTGAATTTTTCTATCTTTGGTTATGTTTTCTATTTTTACAAAGTCTCGATTTCCATAATAAAAGATTCCAAAAATGCATCTACTTTATAACCTTTATATATTATTTTTATTTATACTTAAATTTTTCACTCCTGGAATAACAAATTTTTCAATATTTTTATCATCAAATATATCAGAGTTTTAAAAATAGTATTGATTTTCAGCCTATTCTCCAAATTTAAAATTAAGGATAGCCTAAATGATTGTCTTTTCCTAACTCTCTTAATCTAAATTATCACCAAAATAATCTAACAGTTTTACCTCTTTGTTATCACTGAGGTTTTTAAATTATTATGATAATTCTTTAGCGTTTTAGAGTATTGCATCTAAGATTTGATTGATTAAACATTCCTTTTCAAAAAGTTTAATTGCTTCATCTTTAAACCTCTAAATCTCCTAATATACATATTATTCTATAAATTTTTTATGTTGATAAACGTATAAACTTATTTATTCATTTAATTGTTTGTTCATCCAATTAAAATTTTCCTAACGTATTAATAACTTTTAGTCAACCATATTAACTATTTCATAAGATTTCATAGATTGTTTAATAAGATATTCTTAAATCTTTGGTTAAATTTTCCTATATTATTAGTTAATTAGATTTTGATATATGCATTAAGCCAATAATTTTCCATTTCGTATACTTACTTCTTTATTATTTGACAAAATTTCATCATTAAAAATCGCTTTCATTTCTTATAATACTTAATCTAACTTTTATTTCTCTTAGTAATATATTGCCCACTTCTTATAGCAAATAAATCTCCATATAAGAAATATTGAATAATAATATAATTTTCTTTCTAACAGTTAACTTATTGATATGCCAAAAAAGGCAAATTAATTATTAAACAGTTTCAACAAGTTTTTTACTTTTCTCATTATTCTCGAGATTAGTTAAAAATTTATTTAAGTCATATCCTCTTCTTTAGATATTGAAGAAACAATCATTTAATCAGTATGCATGTTTTAAGTCAATATTTCCTTCTTAATTAATTGATATATGCTCCAACTAAGTCTATCCCATCCTCCCCTTTTTTTCATAATATCATTAAATTCATCAGGAAATTCTTGTCTAAAAGTATGTTCATCTATTAATTTTGTCTCACATGAGATTATGAATTCAATAAATTTATAATACCTGGAACTAGGATCTAACTTGTTTTTATATTCACATTTCTCTGAAACAATAATATAATTGTTTATATCTTTTTAAAGTAAATTCGAAACTTATTCACTTTATCCGATAACATTAGGGAAATAATCTCTAAAAAATTTCAAAATGTAATTCTGAAACTAATGACATTTAATGTTTTGAGAACTCAATTTGAATGTTTAAACAATACTTTTTAGTAATTCAACTACTTAATCTTTATTTATAGAACTACTCTAATTAGGATGAGATTTCATCATATCTTTTAACGATTGGAATTGGTTTTAATCAAAATCGATTTCTAATTCCTTAATAAATTCAAAAAAGATTGAAATAGCTTCTTCAAATTCATCCTTTTCTTTTTTAAGTAATAATTATTATGTAAAATGTTGGAATGATTTTTGCAGATAATGTATAAATTAAGATCTCTCTATTATTTAATAAATCTTATTGATTTCTATATAATCTTTAGGATTAATTATGCAATCATCAGGGATATTTTCAAATCTTTATTGGATTGGACTTTTAAAAATGTTTAAACAATCTACAGGACTATCTCTGTTCAAATAAATAAATGATTATTTTTCAAATTCAAATTAAAACAATTAATAGGAAAGCCTTTCTCGAAATATCTCGTCGACATCGTCAGGATTACTTTTATTGATTTTTTAGCTGAAAATATTCTTAATTATTTCTTTTTGATTTATATTGTAAACATATGACTTTGAAAATTGACATATACTTTCAATTAGTTATTCTTAGAACTAATCATAAATAGATTCTATTTAATCATATGATTGATGAATGATATCCATCCAAAGCTGCTGAAAATGATTTTCTCTGCTCTATTTATCATTTTTGTATAGATTTAATTTCTATTCATCATTCAAAATTTCTGAAAGGGTTTTATTAACTTTGTTCTCAATTTATTAATACTATAATTGTATTTATTATTTTGAAATCTCCTGCTATATTACCAAAATGCCTTCAAGTGTGTGACTGGATACTAATTCTTAGAGATGATCGTTTACTTTCTCTACAATATTTTTAGAAAAATCATTCGTTTATGAAGTTAATTCTGATGAAATGTCTTTTTTGATTTAATTTGTATTTCCCTTAAAATTATCTTCTATTGAGTTTTTAATATTCTGTAAATTTGTTGTTGACAATTTTTATTATTTTTTTATTTCATATCGTATGTCATTAGTTAAAGAGGATACTTGTTCTGAAAACTATTTATCTCTTTTCTTTATTATTTCATTCAAAATTTTGTTCAGTTTCTCATAATCCTTTTACTATTTTAATTCTACAAATTCAACAACATCAGGAAATCTAGATATAAGCTACCAGCATTCATCAAATTTCTTCGTAAAGCGTTCCCAAGTTAGAAATTATTCCGCTTCTATATTAATAGTTTTACATCTGTGAATATATCTTAAAATTAAATTAATTCCCATTTAATAGGCATCCTTAGAAAAAGTTCCAATAATCCTTTCTTATTTCCATTCTTTTGAATGCATTGAGCAACTAAAATTATTCCATTTATCAACCCTAAATGCAGACCCTAACAGTTCAACATCTTATTCCCGAAATCCTGAGATTTCATAAACATTCTGTTTCCATTTTTTTTCTTCTTTTAATTTTTCAGCGATGGTTTCAATTTATTTATGAAGTATTTTTTTTGCAGTTATTGATGTATCTTTATTTTAATTGAAGCACCAACTAAATTGTTTATTATTAGATAATTTTTAATGTTCAACTAAAGTTAATAAGCACATCTCAATAAGGTTATGAAATGGAGCATGTAATTCACCTTTAACATTGAATATTATGATATCACTAATTGAAACTATAAATAAAGCAAGTCTTTTATCAAATACACAATCTTATTAGTCTGGATTTTACAAACCTTCAGAATCTAATAATAATATATAATCATATAAATTGTCAAATTATTCCTTATGTGATATCTTAAGCAATTATAAATACATCCCTTTCGTACATCTACCAACGCTTGTTAAAAAATGACAGCCAAACATTTTATTTAATAAAGTGGATTTTCCTGAGCTCTAAGGTCCCAAAATGCTAATTATTAGTATCTTATTCTATTCCTTATTTTTAATTAATTTTTCACCCAATTACTTCAAAAATTAAAAATTAATGGTAAGATCATCACCGTTGAGAAACTCAAAAGGTTCTCCTCTCTATAGCAATTATACAATTATGTCTAAATAATTTTAGTCAAAATGAGGATATCCATTAATAATTTCTCTCCAAATTAGCTCTATACTAATATTTTATAATTTTTTATTATTTTCAAGTGTTTTTATTTATTTATCTGTCTCTTTATTTCCATTTAGCTTATTAATTTCTTTTACTTATTTGATTTATGTATCATTCTCAAGTTATAAAATATTGTTAAATTTGGTTATTTTTTCAACTGTCATTATATACCCTATGTATTAATTATCTAATTCAAACAGGCTTTTAAATATTGAGAGCAACTCTGAGGGTTCAACTTTTAAACCTCTTCTTTATTATTAAAATTATTAAATATTTTCAATTATTTTATGCTATTGCTTTTAAAGTGATTCTAAATTCTTATTAATTTCATCTTTTTCTCTTATTTTAGCTTCAATATCAATTAGAGTATTTTATTTTTTTGTATCATCCTGACCCTCACATTATTTTTTTAAATGATTTATGGATCCTTCTTTATCATATAAATTTTGTTAAGTTGATTTTATTTCTTTATCACATTCTGATTTTTACACTTGTAATTCTTAAATTTTCCAATCCAAAAATCTTAAAGGGAAAGCCTTCTTATTGTAAAAACCTTCTGTATCTGATTTATTTATATTTAATTCTATTTCTAATTTATCTATCAACCTCTGAATGTTACTTATTTTATATGTATTAATTTCAAATTTCTTACAAACTGAAAGAAATTCCTATTTTAAATATTATTCATTAACAACCTCATTTTCCTTTCCAATCATATCTAAAATTGTATTTCTTATTTTCGCTATTTCTCCTTTCTAAGCTTGATTATCCATCTATTAAAAGTTTTCTACTTGACAAATATTAATTTTTTTAGCTTTAATTTAATTAATTTAATCCATTTTAATTTCTACTTTTTTAGAATCCCTAATTATGAAATAAATGATAGGCTTCTAATCCAAAAAAGATAAAATATTATTGACTCTATCAACATTTTATTTCAATTCTTATTCAGATTTCATTTGAATTATCCAAAATTAAAAAAATGGAAGTAGTAATTATAATAACTCATCTTAGAATGAACCATGAGCATCTGCAATAAAAAAATTTCTGCTTCCATTAAAAGCGAAGTCAAAGGAACAGTCAATTGTATTCTTGTTGATCAACGATGAATCGCAAATCTCAAATTTATCATCTTTGTAAAATATTTTATTAATTAAATTAGTTTTTCCAATTTTTTCTTAATTTTTACTGAGGGAAAGATTTATAATAGTGAAATCTTGCTCCAAAAGATAATAAATATTTTCATTTAATCTAAACAAATCTAAATCTTTAGTAGCATTTTAAATTAATGGGTGTTTATAAATTAAAGGAACAGAGTGGTTTTTTGAATGTAATTTAATTAGTATTGCTTATAATTCTTAATCAGCATTATTATATAATATTTAAAATAGGGATTTCATATTTAAACAATCCATTTGGTCAAATTTTCTATCCTAATTAATTAAATCAAGTAAATGTTATGAAGGTTCCCCTCTTTTAATAATATTAAAATAATATGGTATTAGATTTCTAAATTTTTTATTATCTTTTCTATCATTTAACCATTCCTAAACAATTTATTCAGAAATTTTAGGATTTTCTTTTGTTAGGGTTAAATTAAATTCATTTAGGTTGATCTATAAATATTGGGGATATTTTTCAATTAAATTAATTTAAGAGATCCATTTTGAGATTGTCAATGGATTGTTTTGGGTTTTCGCATTTGTAAATTTCAGCATAAATTTTAAATGCAAAATATTTTCCAGCAAAATATCTTCACTCTAAGGATTGGTCTACCTAAATATTTCTTTTCTAATTTCGAATAAATTGCAATCCTGCTTTAAAATCATATTTAATTCCTTTATCATTTTTTATGAATAATCAGTTGTAGAAACAAATTAGAAAAAAAAAAATTCTTGATTATTTCGACCAAATTATTATTCAAACTGATAGAACTTTAGTTAACCTATGTCATTCCAAATTTTAGTTAAGTATTAAGTATTATTCAATTGGGTTTTTATATTTTCAAATTTGTATTATTAATATTATATTTGTTTAAACCGTTCCTTATATTTAGTATAATTCTCCTAAAAGTTTTAATCTTCAAAATTAGAAAAAAAAACAATTTTATGAATCAAATATTTAAAGATTAAGTCTGTATATGTATTTACTAAATGTTCGAATCCTCTCTCTATACATTTCCTTTTATTAGCTGCTTTCTTTAATTTAAATTCAAACATATCCTTTAAATATTTCTACAATTCAAATTTCTCAGAATGTTTTATCCAAAAGTAAATCACTAATTTGAAATATAAAATATCAATTAAATTACTAAAATTTTCAGCCAAGTTAAAAAATCTAATGATCTTAGTTTTATCTTGATTATTATTATCAATATTTGGGTAATTTTTTATGTATTCTAATAATTTTTGGTGATAATCTTCTATATCAATCGATAGAAGATCAAATAAATGCAAAATTTATGAATTTTAATTTAAAATTTGATCCACTTCTTCTTTCATCTTATCCTTTTATTGTATCAATTAAATGTTTTTAATTACTTGTTGATATGCATCGTCATCTTTTTCCTTAAAATTATCTATATAAAGTTCGAATTCATATAGTTACAATTTTAAGCATGACCCAACAAATTAATGAATTTCATCATTTAAAAAAAAAATCTTAAGTAAAAGCTCTAAACTCTTTATATAAGAATAACTAATTGTATTTTTCTGTTACTCTATTAAATCAAATATCAGTCCAACATTCTCTCCTAATTTCTCAAGTTTTTATTTATGATCTTTTATTGACACTGGTATCTAATTTTTTTCACAAAATTCAGGATTTGTGATTCTTTATAGAATTTAATCAAATTATTTATATTTTAAAGCTTAGTTATAAATATTTACTAAATCTTCTTTTGGTTAATGGCTATTATGATTTGGAATTTATTCAATGCTAAAACTGGTGAAATTTAAGAATGATCTTCCTTTGAACTTTTAATGTAAATCATATATTTATTTGGCTTTTTTATCTTCGTCAAGTTTTTCAAGTTGTTCTATCAATTCATTTTTAATTTCCTCGTCATTATTATATACATTATTCTCTATGTCTTAAATTATATCATTAAGAGAGTTTTGAATAGATTCATTAGATTTTTCATCATCTTAATCCATTTATTAATTAATAGAAAAAGAAACTTTATTATTAATTATATTATAAACGCACATACTTAGTTTATTGAATAAATAATTAAAATAATTCCTATCTGTTATAATTATCAAATAAATTTTATTAAATTTATTTATTGGAATGATGCAATACATTTGCATTCATGAAAAATGGTTTGGTTTAATTAAATAGTTGCATTATAAATCTATCTCTCTTTTCTTAAGGAATGAGTTATATTTTTGACTCTCTTCTAAGCTCAAGATATAATTGTTCAGTTTGAGCTTGATTGTCCATATTATTTTATCGAGTTTATTCTTATTCTATTTGATTAGTGTGATTAATTTAAATTCTTTGAGCTTGGCCACAATTACAACAAAATGAACCTTTTTGAATTCAGTTAGACCACTGATTAGATTAAAATTAATTCACTCCTGAATATATTCATTAGATTGTGGTGGGTCTCATTTTTCTTAGAAAGCAGAATCAACTCTAAAATAAATTTATTTGATATCAAAGATTCTTTCATTTTGATTTGATCTATGATATTCCAAACTATAAGTAGGAATTGTAAGTCACTTTCATAATCATTCTATAAGAATTAAATCGATAAGATCAGGTCTGCCATCCCATTTATAGTGAAATTAATTTTTAATTATAAAGGCTAATTTCTACTTTAATGCCAATTTCCATTTGAGGATTTGATAATTTTAGTCTTATGGAAGACTCTTTATTAGTGAAATTAGCTTATCCAATTTAAGAATTGTATATAATTATATTATTAATATGAAATTAAGTACTGTAAGAAGCTTATTTGAGTTTAGAGACACACAAATAGAGGGGGTTTTAGAGAATCTTATTGGCTCAGTAGGTAAATCGTGTGTGGGCTATACAATATAGGGCAACTCTAAGGACTGGGACTGCCTGATATTTGCATAATTTGTAAAAGGCAACCATTAGGGATGTTTAAATCAGGGTTTGATTAGTGGTCAAGTTTCCATTGCGTATTAGGGATTTGCCCAACTTCTTAAGCAGAGGTTTCGGCTTATATACAATCATTAATAATGAATTAAGAAAAGGACACTTTTTCCAAAATTTTTGGGAGCGACGTCATAATATTTAAAGTATTTTAATTTGTAATGATTATTAGATTACTTATATTACATACGATATTTTTTCAAAGATCCTCTTGGTGTGTTAATTCGAATAGCCAAGTGAAGGTCTATCGTAATTTAAAAATTATGGAATTCAATAAAATAAATAATGCATTCAATTAACAAAAAGTCATTGGGAAGGAGCTCACATAAGTGGAATTTTAAGGGTATTGGATGCCAATTTCAGAATGCCTAGTATTGGTAGATTCTATAATTAGACTAGTATAAATAATCCAAAAACATTATAAAATCTCATTGCAAAATTGCTTTAAAAGATGTCAGGTCTAGATAACTAATTTTAGGAACTCAATAAAATAAAATCTAAATCTGAGTTTCCTCCTCTAAATGATATAATTTTCTATCTTAATTGGCCATTGAGTATCATCTTCAATTATTTGCATAATACATGCCAATTGGATTTGCTGTTAGAACAATTCAATAACTTAGATGATAACATTATCTTCAAATTGATCAAATCTTTAATACATTACAAAATGAAGTAATAAAATACTTAATATAATAGAAATTATAATAAGAGTTTATTAGAATTGATAAAATTGTAGGAATCCAATAATTGGTTCAACCTCCCAAAATACATAATGGCAAATGTTTTTATTAAATAAAATAATTATGAGAAGGCTTTTATTTTATTAAAAGATTTAATAGTGGAATGTTATGAGAATTAAACAATATGGATAACATTGGTATATAAAATATGCTGATATTTAGTCGAAAATATTTCGAAAACAGAAGTTATTTTAAATCAGCCTGTTATTCATTAATAGAGCTATTTCCTTGCCATTAAAATAAACAGCAAAATAAATATGGAATGAAATGAGTATTGTCAATTATAGATTGTTGACTCAAAATAAAAATTTACAACAGCCTTCGTAGATGGATTAGATTTTTAAAATTGTGCATCCTTTGGCAGCAGACAAAATTGAAAGCTATGTACAACTTTGTGGATATCCAAGCATAGAAAATTTACTAGTTAGACCAAGATTGAGCAATAAGCGAGATTAGAAAGTATTGTCTTAATTTATTCGTCCTTAGCATACAATAGAAATGATGTCGAAGCATATCTCAAGACCAGAGTTTAAAGTTAATTAATAAACATATGATACTTTGATGCATAATGACCTCTTGGATATCGAAAGTGAATTATCCTACATTCTCAACGAAGTTATTAAGATTTAATATGTTGTGGGATATTAAAAATTAAAGTCTTACATCAATTAGTATTTTTACACTACAGCAAAAGTAGTCTAAAAATAAATTGATTAAATCTACGATCCAAGCGAATTCTAAATTGCCATTAAAAATCAAAGAAACTTGAATTTAAATGTTAGTTAGATTAGCAATACAAATGTATGGATTTATTATTATGAACCAAGAAAAGTATGTGCAATCCAAGATTACAAGATGACATAGAGGACTGTGATTCTGATGAAGAGTAGCCTGAGTTTTTGAAAAAACAAAAAGTTAATAAATCTTTTGATTTTACAAACATAGGTCCTCGAATGTATTAGACTCCTCAACATAATAATAATAAGGGTGCAAAATCACCTTTAAAATTTACAAGCATGAAAAAGAAATAATAATAAATCAAGAAAGCAAACACAATAATAATTGAAAATGCTTTTGAAAGTGTTGAATCAGAAAGGTAAAACAAATAATTCATTACCATTGTAAACAGAGTTAATATCTAACAAAATGAAATGATCTCCTAGGCCCCTAAATCAGGTTAAGATGTCCAACCATAGAAATCATTTATATATGGTTTGGTCTCTTACTTGAATTAAAATCTAAATCAATAGGAATAAGTGTTGATGAATGAATAATTGAAAAGGAGGAAGGAACAAGTGAATAGTTTACTATAAGGAATGGTGGAAACCATTAATCGAATATAAATTGAATTAGATTAACTGTTTTACCCCTCTCAAGATTCAAATAAATAACAGAATAATTAATAAAACTCCCAACTAAATTCAACAAATAACTAACAGCCAGTAAACACGTCTTCCTCTCAGTTGTTCAAGTCAAATTTAAAGAAGGCTTTGCAAACTAAACAACATTTGGGTGGATAAATAGAATTAAAGGATTTTTACATTGTACAACCTTTAAACGAAGAAGAACAGGACAAAGAGAAAACCTATATCACTTTTATTAAGGCTGAATCAATGTTTTTATATAAATGTGCTCGTCTGGCATAAAAATTAAAGAGGAACGATTTATGCTTCTCAATCCTTTAGCGATTGAATAGCAGAATTATATCTGTGTAAATAACTGCACTGTTCTTTAATATAATAAAAGACAATAACAAATTATTGATTAGACAGTAATTATTTGTTTAAGTTTATTTATAGAATCCAAAAGATGTTGGCTGACTTTTAGGACTGCGGAATCAGCCAGGTTGGATTTGTGCCATTGTGGTTGGAAATGAGAATAGTAAAGATGACGAAGTAATATGGTGCTAATCAAATACTTGCTTTATTATCTTCATCCGAGAGTGACTTCACTTTTTATTTAATTAAAAAGATCATTCTAACAACTGACAATTTAATTTGATTATTAAAACTTAATTATGAAATTAATGATGTATTCAAAAACACTTGCCATCCACATTTCAAATAAAATATTAATTAAAAAAAAAATAATAAATCTATCATGATAATAATTTACCTTAGATTCAAATAGGAGGTGCATCTGCCTATTTAACGTTTTTTGAGCATTTTTATATTATTTACTATTATTTTTAACTCCATTTATAGAGAGTGTTTTAATGTCTTCGTAAATTTTTCTAATTTTTTTTATTAATTTATTGTTTATGAACAAAAAAAATTCTGAAAGAACATATCTAAGAGTTCTTGAATTCAAAATAAATATTTTTGGGCTTTTCATTTATGGATTACATTTTATTTTGAATTAAGTTAATACAACGTCAATATATATTGGATAGGGGCTTAACACTTAAAATTTTTAAATTCTTTACTCCAATTCTCTTTTAAATATAAACTTGTAATTTTATTTCATCAAAGTAATTGAAAACTCTATTCACATTATTAATTATAAATGAATTCCTTATTAGAGTAACCATTTCAATACCGATAACTCAGATCTTAATCACTCAGTCCTTACAACGACTGCAATCTGATTAAGCAACTCAAGAGATAACTCCATTACCCACCTTAAAAAATGATGTAATTGGCATCCTATGAGTATATGCAAAATCCAGAATAGGATGAAACAAATGTGATCAGTTCAGGTAATCTTGGTTTTCAATAGAATATAGATTCCATATAAAATTATTAGAGGATGATAAAGGAAAGAAAAAACTCATTAGTTGTTGACTCAGACCTAAATACATTAAAGCAAGAAGCCGCATAAAGTGCAGATATAAATTAACTTAAATAAATTGTACCCAAACTTCTAGTAGTTAAAAAATTGAATTAGAAGTTATCTAGAAAAAAGAAGAAAAAGATAAATCCAGTCAACCCCCAAGATTGTAACGATGACGACATTCTCCACCAAACCATTGTTGTACAACAAAATAATTCGATCACATAAGCGTAGCAAAAGAAGGAGGATATATCCATCTTACCTTAAATAAGGAAATAAAAATTGCAAATTGACGAATAGCCAATCAAGAGATCAGCCAGATATGAACAATTAATGGTATTAAAATAGTAATTTAGAAAAAATCTTTCGATGATTAATTTGTAGAACTATAATCATTAATCAAGAAGATGTAGAAGTAACCAAACAATAAGAAAGATAAAAAAGTTACTTTTCTTCTCTGAAATTCATTGATTTCCAATTGAATCATAATATTATGTACTTATGTGTTTAGGTTATAGATAATTATTTATTTAAAACTAGTTGTCATACAACATATAAATTCAAGATCTAAAAATATAATTTTTCATATTTCTCAATAGTTTTATATCTTTGCATGAATTTATGTAAGATTGGTATATTTGGAGAGCCAATGTTACAATAACAAATAATCAATTTCAATTAAATGTAATTAACATTAATATATTTTATTCACTTTTATGAAATTAAACACAAGCACATCGAGTGCACCATTCATTCCCCAAAGACCAGTTAGTTAGAATTCCTCATTCGTTTAAGGTAGAATGCAGACACCTCCAAGAGTCGCGCGGTTTGCTGATACATCACCGCATGCATCTTTCGAATTCGAAGATTTGAATTCACTATCACTTGAGGAAATCAATAGAGAATTAGATTAGAATAGTATGTTTATTTTTAAGTAGTTAATGAGGTGATCATGTTGCTTAATAGGAGAAAAAGTTTAATTTTAAATAAGAAGAGAAGACTCAAGGAGGAATTTTCAAACAAAATTGCAGAACTAAAACGTTATCAATAGGAGGATTACATTCAGGATTTACAAAGAATAGAAGATCCATTGATATAATCCCTCATGCAATAGAAAAGCTTACCTAAAATGCAAAAGTTGTTAGGGAATGTAATGAGAGATCAATAAGATCGTAAAGTTATGGAATTGAGTAAATCATAGGAATTTTGGTAACACAACAAGAATGTTGAAACAGAAATAGACAATCTACTCAAAAAGTTGAAGTATTTTGATAATGAACTAGAAAAGGACAATAATGAAATCTATGAAATTTGTAGACAATTAGATACAATAGATGATAGCATTAGAGACTTGCTTATTACCAAGGTTGATGACAACGTCTAAAGAGCAGAACCTTTATTTGCAAATAAATAGCGACAGTAATCAATCCTTAATGGGAAGTTGAACCAAAGAAATAAATTGAAGGATGAGAAAATGAACTTAATATATAAAATTATAGAAGAATTGCAAAGATTGAGAGGATTAAGGTAGGAGAGGATCAATAAACTAAATGTTGTATTTGGAGATGAAGAAAATATATAAAATTAGAATTACTAAGGATTGCAAAATGTTTAGGGTTCACAATAGAATTTAGACTAACCATAACCATCAAAACTATAGGCTTATATGGACTTTATGGAATAATTTGATAATATTGCATTGATGAGGGATCAAATATCTAAATTAGAGTAAGCTGAACAGGCATTATTAAATGATTTGGATAAATTGTATAGAGAGAGTGACCAAGTTTTCAGTGAATTAATTAGAAGAATTTCAGAGGAAGCCAAAACATTCAATGAATGGACAGAAAATCTGAAAAGAAGAATTAGATATATAAAAGCAAATGAATATTTCTTCTCATAAACCAATTTGCCTGAACAGTCGAATGGGTTAGGCAATTCTTTGCAATTAGATTTGAAGGAGGTAAGTAGAAAATTTAAAGAAAACATGAACTATCTGAAACCGTTAATTGAAGAAGATGCCACAATAAGAGCAGGCTTAGAAAAAACTGGAAGCACCATTTAGTAATTCAAGAATATGATTTTGTATCTATATATTTGTTATTTAATTTATTAGGGCTATTTAAAATGAGAAGGAGAGAAGAAGAGAGTTGCTTTAAATTTTAGAGAATTGTGCGAGATTAAGATAAGAGGAAGATATGTACTTTAACAGACGTTATTTATAGGAAAACTGAATAATTGAGGAATATAGAATTGGAAATAAATAAGAAATTACAGTAGAAACGCAACTTAGAGGAAGACTTAGATGGTGTATTGGGAGATGCTGATTTGAACACATTCAAGAAGATCGGTATTACAATATGAATTGAACTTAGAATCTTTATTACATGATTTCGATTAAGAGCTGGGTCATTTGAATAATTAAAAACGAAAAATAATGAAAGAAATTGAAGAAATTAATTAATCTGTTATCAGTCTATTAGCAAGAATAAAAAGTGATTATGATGATATACTAAGAGAAATACTACCAAAAGATTGGACTAATACCTATGATTTAAAAAAAATCACTGATTTAAAAAGAATGAAGAATTACTTAAAAAAAACTTTCAAACGCTTTGGTATAATGTCAGATTGAATACATTATTATTATTATTATTATTATAGTAATCATTTATTCATACCCAATTATGATTAGGTTCTCCTTAGCTTTTACACAACATCTTGATATTCAGATTATTAATTGATAAACTTATTCAGTAATTCATTCCTTAATAATCTGCCTTTGATGTTTCCTTAAAACAGTTCCTATTTCGTAGAAAATGATACTATCGATATTTTATTATGACTATTAGTTGTGAGTAATTATTATTAAGATCTATTAATACTTAGACTATTTTATTATTGAGTCATTTATTTTTCTGGAGTCTGTCTCAACTTAAAAAATCGAGGATTTGCCAGCTTAGCAAATCGAAAGTGCTTGGTACTTGTTTAATTGAGCTAGTATTATGATTACAGTGATTATTCGATTGGTTGTTCTGGGAATATTCTCTACAATGTCTTTTTCATCTATATACTTTTTTGAGTCTATTTAACATCGTTTATTCTCTTCGCCACAAACTTCTTATTAAGGTGCGGTACAATCTAATTCAAAAAATACACTCCCTCAAATACTAAGACTGATCCTTCATCACTGATACACAGAGCCTGAGACTTTCTAGTTTAGTAGAAATTAACACATTCAAAATCCCCTAACAATTGTCCAGGTGTATAGATGTTGATAGATTTTGTATTGGTTTCCGTTATTTCTCGCAACTCAAAGATCCCACTCATGACTAAGAACACTTATGATGCCTTTTAATTTTGGCTATACAATATATCTTAGCAACAAAGGTGTTAGATAAAGCTGTTGAGGTAGAATTACCGAACTGTGCTAAATGGCAATGTCTTAAACAAGTGGAATGCATATATCTGTTAGAGTAGACCATTTATTTTGGAAATCTCGCATGTTAACATATTGATTTTAAAGTCCAACTTGGAAATGACGGCTGCTTTACATACAGATTTGGTCTTAACCATCAGGTTTGGGCTTGCTTCCTAAATATGGAATACATATCTGCATAACAATCATTCCCAAATACTATCAAATTCGATCCAAAATGTTTTGTACACAGTAATTCCTATTCATTAGACTAGACACTGATTTCACCAGTTAATAATATTATTAATTATTCCTGATTCTCTCTTCCTCTTAAGTAGAGAATTTGATTTTTTTTTAATTATTCGAATTTCATGAGCTAACATACTTAATAAATTCATACTTAGCAACATTCCCATAGATAATCTAAGGATGAGTTTCCTTTAAAATATAAATGTGATCGCATGAAGTTCATCAAACGTTAATTGTCTTCATTTGTTCGTCTTAGTTCTTCCATCTTTAGAACCCTTATACAAGCCATTATGATATTTTGATTTCTCGTAATGTGCTAATCCAGCCTTCTGATGTCTTCCTCGTTTATATCTGTCATAGTTGCTTAGTTTTGCATTAATATTATCAATATAAAAAACATTATAAAATTAAGATAATTGTTAGGCAAAATGCACTTTGGCTGTCCTTCTTAATCTTCATATTTTTACTATTACTGAGTAGAAAGTGGATTTTTTATAATATTTTAGATATTTGGGAAATACAACCTTGAAATTTGTTATCTTTTGAATATTAATTTTGATGGAATTAAAATCAGAATGAATATTTTATAAAAGATGCTGAAATTTATCAGACCGTCAAAAGCAAGATAGATTAACTTATATCTTGCATGTCCACTTAATCTAAATTGATAATATTTACGAGAATTTCAATTTAAATAATCGAATAGAATTTGTATTTTTAATTATTTAATACATCTTACAAATAGTTTTTGCATTATCTGTTAAACTATGAAGATCATCTCAAGATTTAGGTTAATTCTAGTTCTTACTAATATCTATCAAATTAGGTCAATTTTAATCGAAATCAATAATTTCATGATTTTAACTTTTGTAGCACAAAATTCACTTAAATTAACTAATCACTTTACTTAAGAATTGTGAAAACCAAAATTATCAGTTATGATAATTGTATTATTAATATGAACTAAAATTCAGATTAATGCAGATTGATCAAATAAGTTGAGAACCTATCTCTGATACGTAAACCTCATTTTATTTTTACCAAAAAAGAGAACAAAATTTCTATAAATAACATTGACTTTAACACACTTTTACAAGAACTCTTTCAAGATGATTGAATTACTTGAAATATATGTATTCAAAATTTGTTTGTAAAACAAATAAATTGATATTATTCAACAACACCCTCCTAGCCATCTCCTATTACCCCCTTAATTTAGCAATGTATTTTAGTTTTAAACATTATTACCCTTCCAAATTCCACAATTCTAGATGTCTAATTTATTTTTACACCTTGTTGAGCAAATCGATTTAGTTGCTTTTCAGCTTTTGGATTATCTCTTTAGAAATCATAAAAAAAGTATCATCAACATGGTATCCTGCTTTTGCACTTGTTTCAATAAACAAAATATTTTATTCCGTAGCCAATTACTATCCTTCCTCTGTTGCCACTTATCTCTTAGACTCTAGATCTGTTTTATTGCCAACCAAAATCATGATCATGGTCTAACTTCCTTGATCCTTAACTTCTTGAATCCATAATTCAGCATTCTTAAAGGACTATCTCCTAAGAATATAGTAATAAATCATTTACTCTGTTACATCATAAACAACCAAAACTCCAGCAGCTGGTCGATAAAATGATGTCGGTATACTTTTATATCGTAATGACCACAAATCATCCCAAAGTTGTAACTTTATTTAAAGATCATCAATCTGTATAAATTTTGTTCCAAATTCCTCTCCTAATGGATCTTTTTATACCTAACCGAATCTTTTCCCTACTAATTCAAGCATGACGGAGGTTTTACCAACCCCTTTTGTATATATATTTAATCCTACCTGGATCTCCTACCAAGATATATTTAAAAAGATAATCGTGGGTCATCATCAGAATATATATTAAATAATTTATGATTAAAAATAATATATTTGACACCTTATAAATCAAATAGATATAAGCTATTTACAATTTATTATTAATTAGAAATAATTCGCATTTTCGTTATCATCGTATTTTTATTGTAATTATTCATAAAATTGCACAAAATTGAAATTGTTACTCAAATAAGATCATGTTTTATGCTCACTTGCTCGAAATATTAACGCATTTCTTAAATGGAAAATACGAGAGACATTTCATTATTTTAAGGATTTACTTTTAAAGATGCTTTATTTTGTATATAGAATACATCTAGTCTAACATAAATAATTTATGAGGACTTAATAAATCTTAAATTGATTATGTTATCTCATATGGAGAAGTCTATAGTGACTGAACTCTTATTAATAAAATATAATACCTATATTTTCATTAACTCAAAGGAGATTAAAAAATATGTTAATTTAACACACAAATAATTTATCAGCAATTAACAATTTAATTAGGAAACGTTTGCTTCTTAATTTAAATGAATGCTTTTAGAGAAGAACAGTAATTCGTTTGAGAAGGTTCTATTAAATAAATTATTGATAGAAACAATGTTGAAAAACTAAATAAATTGATTTATTGATTTATTAGAAAATTTATGAATAATTTATGTTTTGATGATATCCTTTCTAAGAGGATAAAATTCGGAAAGGTCTAGATTTAAACCTTTTTTATCATCAGTTTATTAGATATAATTGATGGATCTGAATTCATGTTTTTGCAATTAATGAACGCAATAATTTATAAGGAGTGGTCTCTAAGTCTAGGATAATTGATAATTCTTACAACCATTTTTAATTTGGGTTAGTTTATCGGAGCTATGTTTTATGGATAATTTTCTGATTAAACAGGGCGCAAATCAATGATAGTTTCCTCATGCTTACTTTAAGTATTAAATAATAGTATAATTGTTCATAGCAATGTTCCTTACGGCATTTGTCTAGAATTTACCATAGCTACTAATATTACGGTTTCTATTTGGATTTTTATTTGGCATAACATCACCTGTATCCTCAATATTAATGGCCGAAGTGACTCCTCTTCATATTCGAGGATAATTTATAGTCACTTTATAGATGATGTGTATAGTTGGTAGAATGTGGGTATTATTATTGGCCATCTTATTTTTGGATTCCATAGCCTCCGGAAATTGGAGAGCCCTTGCAATTACAAATAGCGTTCAGTCGATTATTTGTCTGATTGGCAGTATTATATATCTTCATGAATCACCCCGATTCCTGATATGTCAAGGGAAAATCAAGGAAGGAATAGAAGGAATAAACTACATGGGTAGAATCAATGACAATAATTATGTTGATTTGTCAGATGAGGAAGTATAATCCCTTAAACAATGGAGGTAGATTATATTTGAATAATAATTTGAGAAGAAGAGTTTTAAGGACTTGTTTAATGAGGAGAATTTGCCGATAACTTGGAGAGCATATTCATTAAGTATCATAGCAATGTTGATGTAATCTGGACTTTATATTATAATACCGTTTTTATTTGATGAAGAGGAAAAGACTTTGTTGGATTTATTTTATACTGTATTAATTGAAATTCCTGCTGTTCTATTAGTAGTCTGTTTGATAGATAGAATTGGTAGATTGCCAATAATACTTATAGGAACAGTAACATCTGCGATTGCAGTTTTTATAATTTGGTATTGGAAAGCCCGATTTCTATTGTTAGGTTTAGTCACTTTCAAATTTTTTAATAGGATGATTTTTATTTCATTCACTCCACTTGTTTTAGAATCATATTCAACTGTATATAGATCTCTGGGTACAGGAACAACCATTGCCTTTGGTAGTGCAACAGGGTTCATTTCTCCAGCAATAATACTACATTTATATGAAAAAGATAATTATAGTCCTTTTCTAGTTTCATTCTTTATTTTAATTGTTATGACAATCATTTTTGCAACTTACCCTAGAGATTTAACAAGAAAACCCCTTGATATTAAATTTGAAAAGGAAGATTGAATAAAGTTATATTTCATCTAAATATGTGTATATTTTACATTTTCATTTTTCTAGTTAGATTATTGATAAATATCAATAGTTCTTATATATAAATGAAATAATAATTTAATTTGACATAGAAATTGAGCATAAAACAAATTAAATTAAATTGTTGATTTTTCTAATTTTTAAAAAAGGACATAATAATAGAATAAGAGTAAACTGAAAATCTAAAATCTAAAATCTAAAACTTAGAAATAGATTAGATTAATTAAGAATGAGTTTAGAAATTTAATATATGAGTACTTAATAATATCATTAGAAGGAATGATCATTTTATATAGTTTTGATTATGAATTCCAAAAACTCCTATTCAGATAAGACAGTTTTTTGCTACAAATTGTTTTTGCGTAGAATGTTTGACCAATTCTTATCACTGATTCTATTGCCTCCAAAGATTCTTCTCATTTCAATCATTGACAATGCATTATCTTTATCTACATCCAATTAAGCGAAGACTAATTTCAATTTCTCCACTGTCAATAGTTTCTTCTTGTCTTGACAAGCCAGTAAGAATTCTGTATGATAGATGATTCACATACCTGTATAATCTAGATAGCCATTTCCATTTGAATCAATCTTTTAAACCAATTTCTCAATGTCTTTATCCTCCAATTTTGTACTTGTTTAATATTTTTTATATCCTCTATCTATAATCAAATAAGTACCTTCAATTAGTTCTTAAGTGGAAATCTTACCATCTCTGTTAGTGTCAAATTCTTAAAATACCTAGAGGATCTCTCTCTTTTGGTCTTAAGTTAGAGTCATTTATACTATTTACATTATAATGGCTTCCACTAAGACCTCACATTTCTAAAATTTACGAAGATTTGTTAATGCAGGATTCATTTTCACTGCTTACTTTTTTTGTTTTGCTTTTACAATCCATCTATCCTTTAAAGCATCTGATGCAGAGGGTCTGTGATTTTATGAAAAGTTTAATAATTTTTGTACGAATTCTCTGGCCTCTGGGATTTTATCCCAATCAAATGTATCCTCCAATTTGACAATGCCTCTCATGATTGAATTTTTAATTGATTATGTCATAATGCCATCAAAAGGCATTGCTCCAGAAAGCAGAAAATGCAACAATACTCCAGCTGACCAGATATCAGTTTTGAAACTATAAAATCCGTTAATCATCTCTGGAGATTGATAGTGTTGATCTCCAATTGGTAATTGGATAGGATGCTGAATTTTTTTGGCTGCTCCGAATTCCAAAAACGTAATTGTAAGTTAATCATCACAGAAAAGGGCGTTATGATCTTAAAATTAATAATTTTCACAATGTAATACTTAGAAAACGATAAATGATATTTTTTGAATGTAAATATACAAAGGTACTTAACACTTACTCTATAATGACCGCAGCCATTTGTTCTGGGTTTCCTCCCTTGTTGATCATCTTGCTAAGGAGATTGCCACCTACATAGTCCTCATAAATGATGTAGTAGTATTCAGCTTCATTGAAATATTCCATCATTTTGGCAATATTTGGATGATCCTTGCTTTTACATTAAATTTACTAAGTATTGCATAGTGTGTATGTTATTTAGCATCAAAACTGGCTCATCCGATTTTGGATCAGTTGACTTTTTTATAGTTTTAACTAACTTTCGAGAATCTGTTTTTTTGCAATAGTACCACTGATAAATTCCGTATTCAGTAGTCAGAAATGGGTTGTGGTCAATAATACTGTATTCATCCTTAAATAGGTTCTTATTCAGTTGAAAGCAATCTCCTTGATCAAAAGGCATTTCTGCATAAACAGGGTCTGCTGACATATAGACTCGAATATATACTCTCCAGCAATTAATTTTTGGGGATGATTACTTTTAATTTAGATGAATGTCTTTTGTTTGCCTCTTCCTAGTGTTTACTTGCAAAACAAGAACCCATTAGTTTAAAATAAATTAAAAATTATGTCTTAATATCAACCATAAAGAATCAATATATCTCGAACTCAGCCTTAACAAGACAGTTTATTGCTAGAAGATGATTATCAACAACTCAAGAGTCCCCAATTTGCCTCCGAGTAAAAGTAAGCATATTGATCAAATTGACAGCACTCTCCCAAGAAGTACCTACAGAACACCAGATGCCAGAGTCAACCAATTTGATGGGACATCGAATGAAGAAATCTATAAGAAAAAGTAAACACAACCCCTATTCTAGAATAAATGAATTGCAAAGATAAAACGATGATCTAAGATAAAAGTACTTATAGGTCTCCAGTGAAAATTAAGATATAATCCAAGAGCAACGAGAGGAAATAGAATAATATTAAAATGAAGTTAACTTATTGAAGGAACAATTGATGCAAAAGGAAATTGAAATTTAATAGCTAAATGATCTAAATCAAAACTTAAAATAAGAGATTAGCGATTCAGAGGGTAGTATTATAATGTAATAAACATTTCATAGAGGGTTTTGATAAATTGGAACAAGATTATAAAAATAAACTTAAAATCGGAAATGACTCTCAAAAAATATTTTCAGAGGTCTAGCTATTGGGTGAAGAAAATCAGAAATTACAAGAAGAGCTTCAAGATAAAGATAGACTATATAATTAATGCAAACAATAACTATAGAGTATTCAGATCGATTTGAATTAATTGCAATAGGATAGCTAGTACAATCAAGAATTATTGAATCAAAAAGATAGGGAAATTCATGAACTAAATTAATAAATTGAAAGGAATAAGGAACTCTAACGAAAATAATAGGATTTTTCAAACAAAGTAGTATTTTAATCTAATCTATAGCAAGATCTCTTGAATAAGGAAGTTTAAAAATTGAATCAATAAGTGAAGCAATTGTAAAAGGAAAATCAAGACTTGAAGAATGAAAAACAATTAGTCACGTTAGAACTTCAAGAAAATAGAGCCAATCCTGAATATATGGGCAAAATCAATCTATTGGGATAGGTATATCAATTCTATAATATCAGGAAGTCGAAAGACTAAATAATACCTTAGCCTTAAAGAGTAGAGAATTAAATGATTACAAAGCGTAGATTACTAGAATGCAAAAAGAAATCTAAAATTTAAGAATGAATGAATTCAAATTACAAGACATGAATATGAATTTGGATAGCTTAATTAATCAATACAATAAGTTGAAAGATGACAATTAAATTCTCAAATAATAAATTGCATAAAAACAAGTGAAAATCAATTCAGAATTGGAAAAGAAAATCCAAATACTTCAATAAGAATGTGAAAAACTCTCATCATAACTGAATTCTAGCAAGAAAGAGAATGATTATTTAAGAGAACAACTAAATGTTTCATCTTAATTCGAAGATACAAATAGGTTATTAAAATAATAAGTAGACAAGTTTCAAATGTAAGCTAAATAGCTTGAAAGCGAAAGATAGAGTTTATTACAGGAATATTAATTGCTATCAAATAGTTATAATAGCCAGAAATATAATTACTCTTAGTTACTGCAAGAATAATAAGAAAATAATAATTCAGTATTGTATAATAATTAAAAAAATAGGTTCTCCAATTAAAAAATGAAATCTAAAGATTGTAAAAAATGAAGCCAGAGACCTTCGAGAAAAATCAAAATAATTGCAATCACTAGGATATAATCATGTAATAATAAAAAGATTTGGAAGTAGCTAATAAGTAGATTCCTTTGTTGAAATAAACAATTTAGAAGTTGAAAAATGAATTAGATATAACAAAAGAGTTCATTCCTTAAAATTCTTAATAATCATAATAACCAAATATTTAATAGGATTAAAAGTTGTTTGATAAGTTACAAAACTATGAAGTAAGGTTTCCTCAATTAGTGGAGGAAATCGAGAGACTTAATTAAATACTGACAGAGAGAAATGAACAAATCTTGATTTACAAAAAGAACTCCTTTTAAGCTGATTAAGTATTGGAAAAGGTAAGTGCATATGAAGCAGAAATTGAGAGATTGAGATAGACAATATTTTTAAAATAATAAACAATAGATTCATTGTAGTAATATAAAGAGAATCCTGGAGTCTAAGATTTAATTTTTAAGTTGCAGGATGAAAACAGAAGGTTATCAAATTTAGTAGGAGTTAGAAATAATGAAATAGCTGAACTTAAATTTAAACTATCAGAATATGAATAGAAACAAAAATTATTGAGTGAATCTAATTCTGGAAAATATGAATTGTAGAACATGCTATTAAATTAGGAGATTGATTAATTGAACTAGAAATTGTTGGAGGCAAAGAATGAGATAAGTCTGTTGAAATTGACAAAGAATGATAAATTCAATGAAGAAAGAGTAAAAGAATTTATAAATGCTTTTAGGGGAAAGTGTTAACGTAGGAATTAGAGAAGTAAATGAGGATAAATAAGGAGAATGAAAAAGAATTATTGAATTTAAGATCAAAATTTGCAGAAGTTGTAGATGCAGAAAGAAAATTGATTGATTGCAAATGTCTTTTAGTTTTATTGTATAATGAAATAGAACGATTGAATTAAGAAAAAGAAAATGATTATTTGTTATTTTGAATTTATATTAATTTATTTAACAGCTATGGAAAACAATAGATTTTATTCAAATCAATCCTGTCAGAAAGAATTAGAGTAACAACTGAAGGATTCATTCCTAGAGATTAAACTTTTAAAATAAGAGAACAAATACTTGTAATTGCTTTATTTAATTTTTATAGATCATCTACTTTTGAAGAGTTTAAATTAAAACAAGAAGAAACTAGAAAATTGCAATCCTTAGTAGTTGAATTAGAATAAAGAGTGTTAACTTTGGAAGAAGAAAATGCTAAATTGGATGCTGAAATAGGATACCTGTAAATATAGAAAAATATATATTTATTAGAAGAGGATTTTCATAAAGCAAAGAAATTTAGGTAAATTAGAAGGCTAGTTATACATAATTGGAGCAAGAGTTATAAGATTTATAGATTTACTTAAGAAAGTATATATAGTTATAGGAATTGTAAGTTATTTAATATATAGTTATAGTCTAATTGAACAAGTGCCAAATATTAATTTGTAATTATGTTGGAAGGAAATTAATCAGATATTTAAAAATCAATTCAATACTAATTAGTAAATTTAGAATTTACAAGATGAGCTAAAACTGATTGAGAGTACCTATAAAGAACTTGTTCATTCTAAAGATAATAATTTGACGCCTTTACAAGAGATGGCTAAATGTATTAATAAATTATAAAATTCAGAGTAAAGTATCAGAGAATCAAGGGTAGAAATAGAGAGAATAAGAAAAGAAGTTCAATTAAAATAGATGGATTTAAAGTAGTCAGACACAAAATTAAGTGAGTTACAAAATGAGTTTACTTACATCAGTAAAATTGAGACTAGGAAAAACAATGTGTAAATGGAGGCTGAAAAATAATTAATTGATTTTAGAAAGGGGATCTCAACAACAAAAAATTCTCATCACAATGTTTCATTAATGAGAGACACTTTCAAAGAAAGAGACACGTATTAAGAAATGATACCTGAGAGATTAAGGGATTAATCGGATGTACTTCCAATCACTTCTTCAATTAAGAGAATACAAAGACCCTATATAGAGATCAATGATAGATTTGATGACTATCAAGATGCAGTGAAGACTCCAATAGAAAAAACCATAGATTAAACCAGAAAGAAATTAAGTCGACAATTAAGTTAAGCAAGTAGTCTTCGTGATTAAAAATATATTTGATCATTATAAACTTTTAATTCATGAAGGAAGTTTTTATAGGTATAACCATAAGGACGCAGGATTGAAGGTTAAGTTCTATTGTAATTGTTGTTATTAGAGTTGCTATTGCTGTAAGTACTATTATGATTATTCTTGGGTTGGAAGTCTCAATTAGACATTATTGGGTATAGAGAATTGTTCCAATTTGATAGGGTTCTAGAGGATTAGTAATAAATGCATACACTTTCTTGTTCAGGCATCGAATGTGAACTTTGGTTAGGAAGAGTACCTGAAATGTGAATAATTTTTCTTATTCTCTCAGGATTAACCAGTTACTCAGGTTCTTTAAGTTCTTTTTTCTTCTTTTTTTCTGGGATTTTTGCATTATACTCTTCTTCTAATTATTCTTAATCGATTTAATCGTCCTCCCTTTTGTATTTTAATAAGGAGTTGTAAACTCTATGGTATGCTCCTTGGAGTTCATCCTATGATGTAAACGATAAAAAGTACTAGATTTTCAACTTGGGTGAATCCCTTGGGGACATCATTGATATCCATAATGACTTAGACGCAATCATTGTTGAGAGGATCAAGGAATTCTTGGATCTTTTTCATATTCTATTGATATTTGGCTTCGTTGCTCTTACAATCAATATATAATATGATGAGTTTCTACTCTATTTTTTGAATTCCTTGTAATGCATTGCTAGTAGAAAGAACATGTTGTAGTGTTTAGATTAAATTGTCTGGCTAAGATAAAATAGAATGATTCAGTACATTACCTCAGTAAACTTGATTTTGGCAGAATTTACATACAACGAGATGCAAGCACTGAATTTAAGAAGCAAGAAGATTGGATGCTTGACCTTGTGCCGAATATTTGGGGCGGTGAAATAGTTGATGAGTCCATCGATAGAATTTTTAATGACTTCTGAGTTCTGGGGTTTGATGATCAGAAACTATTTCTCCAAATTGTTGGGCAAGAAGGGATCGAAATACGATTACAGTTTTTGGATCTATGTAATAGTTAGGTCGACTTACCTTCTGTTTCACAATATCTCGAGCGGATTTGCGGGAATCCACAAAAATGGGAGGTGATATACGAGAATCTAAGATCTGAGGAAATTCAAATTTGCTCTGACACAAATATAGGGTTATCACGATATGGAATCGTTAATGCTGAACTATATTTAAACTTTGTTACATCGTGGTTATAGGAAGTGGTATTAAACTTAAGGCCCGAGAAGATGCACTTCCCGTTCTCCATGTCCACTTTGAGGTTTCCTTTGGCTCCCACTTCCAGCAGATGATGAGTTTTCATCGGAGTTATGATTGGCTTCACAATTTGCAGTTTACACTTGCTAATAATTCGATGGTTACATAAATATTGTTCGGAGGGGCTAGACGCTCATTCGTCAACGGGTCTGTAATCTATTTGGTGTTGTAACACATAAAATAATACTTCCATTTCTAAACCAATATCTGGAAGGTTCCAACTCTTATGCCAATTCCAACCCAAGTTGTCAGTGTATATGAAAGGTCTACTTTGGTCAATCTTAATGTTGATGAGGGGATCTATGGTCCCATTCTCAGTCGGAATCTTAAGTGAAATTTAAGGACTCAAATTCCAAGAAGTCTGAGTATCCTTTACAATTCTTTTGATATCATAATTGCAAGGAACCCATTCCCAGATGTTCTTATCTTGGTCTTATTTCATCATTTATTTTTTATAAAATTTTTACAACAATTATCAAATACTGTCGTGCTTATATTGTATTATAATCTATAAAGGACTTTAATATTTATTATAAAGAATAGAATGGAAAGGTACAATATTCATTAAATATTTGCCAGTTAACAAATCAATCCAAACGAACAAACCTTACAAAATAATTCTTCGAGTTCCAATCCTTAAGTCAGTTTAACTACAATCTTAAACGAAATCGTCAAAGAAGGAATCCATAATTAGAATACGGAATTATTCATTAAATAGTAATTAACTCCCTTTGATATTTTTAGTGTGACTCTTAATTTTCAGACATTTTGGGAATTGTTATTAGTCATCAATTTTGATGAATCCTCCCAAAACGGCAAGTAACATCTAAATCATTATTACTAGTCATCTCTTTATCGTCACTGAAATACTCAGGACCTAACCCGAATAGATCTTCGATCATCTCTTTCGTTTTAATCAGATTGAGTATATGGATTCTATGAATTTCCTATTCTAAACTCTTGATAGGGACTGCATAGATGAGACGATTGCTGCTTATTTTTCAAAATTCATAAGTAGTTTTATGCAAGTGAGGGGTGCAGAGGTATTTCTATTAAATTATAAAAGCTTTGGAATTATTTATAAACTAATGGAAAATATATTTATGAAGATCTGATGAAGAATCTTCACATCAATCATATTGCTGATATTGTTTATAATCTAATAGCGTTTTTTAACAAGAACGATCAAGGTTAGAATTATAATTAAGAAAGACTCTTTTTGTTAAATAGAACTATTGATATTCTATTAAATAAACATTATGATTTATAAATCGTTGAAAACGTGTGCAACATCCTCATAGACTTATTAAGAAACCTAACAGATTAGGAATTCAAATAGATGATGCTTGATAAGGTGTATATTCCAGATTCCTTCTTTGATTTGATAGTAATGTTTACAGTAATCTAGTTAGTTTCTCACAAAGTCCCATCTCTTGGCTGACCTTCTGATATAGCTACTCTACGAATCCCAACAATTTACAATGTTATCCCAATAGTATTAGCCGGATTTTTAATTTAACTATCAACAATTCGAGGTCATCGGTAAAAAATTCAGCCAAGCACTTACTTTGGATCTCAACCTAAGTATGCATTTATACGAATGATTAGATAACTTCTCCACAAGCTATGGAGTCTAATCAGAAATCTTGGGGTAAACTAAGATCAAACTCATACAATTCTACCTGAATATTCTTTAAAGCAATAATTTGACTCTGATAAACTACTTTAATCATCAGGAGATTTTACTCAATCTAATGTTCTTTATTCAACAGTACGAATTCAACAATCAACTTTAAAATTATTTTATGCACATCATTGCTTAAATCTTTTCAAATACTAATTTAGAATTCTTGTAAAAATAAGTTAGTTATGAATTGAATATATTAGGATTCTTGAGCTTCCTCAATTAAGAATATTACAAACAAGTAGGTTTAATAAGAAAACCCATCACAAAAGGCTATTAGGGGATGGTCAATAAATTGACAGCATTTTTCAAGGATGTTATATATACAGAGGAGTGGAATCAATACATTCAAAATCACCAATAAATTCTATATATTGAGGATAATTATCTCTTTGGCATAATTCCAGAAAATAAAAAAAATAATCAACAAGAAGACTTGATGTAAGATTTACATTTAAATTAGAAAACCTGAATAAATTGATAAGGAGGAAGAGGCTCCCCAATAGGAAACAGAAAACAATTAGCCTATTTAAATTAACGAGGACTAAGGTATAAAATTAATCATGTCTTTAGTACAATAAGCTGTAGTTTTGGTAGAGAATAATTTTTAAGATCAATCTAATTTTGGAGAAATACTTGGAGAACAGATTCTCCATTAAATTGCAAAATAAAGATAAAATATCTCAAAAAGCTAATAAATTATTATGAGTAATAATTTTGATTTCAGTACAAAATTTCGGAGTTTATCACCTACTTCCACTTAGAGTAGCAACAAAGATAAGAGATCTAAATCTTAGGAGAGAGTTTATAAAAACTAGAAAGTTTCCATTACTCAAAGCTTTATATTATCTAGAAGAGCGGACATTAATAAGAGTCAAGAGATTATTCATTGATTGTTTTAAGATATTTTTATAAAATTAGATCAATGTAAATGGTAAATTTAAGAATCAATATATATTATAAAACCATTCAAGTACATTAGTCTTAAATTGTCCCAATATACAATTAATTATAAATAAGAAGGTATACTCGTTTCTCTCATACTATTACAACATGATTTCCTTATTCAAATAATCCTTCACAAAGAAACCATTCTTATGCATCCATTTGATTATTGTTAGAGCAAATCTATCAGCAAAGGTATTGCTTTGTTCTTAAGATTCAATGGAACTCATGGCTTTACTGATCGTTTCCTATTTGGAACTGGAATATTGATTCAGTCTTTGAGACAACTAATATAATTGTGTACGCACCGAAATATCACTTAATTCTTGATTATCATTCATAAAATAGTGGAGTAAGAATTGTATTACTTGGAATGGATTTCCACAGTTTTCTTGCAATATTCTAAATAACAAATATTCTTTCCATCTGAAGATACCACTCTTAGATTACTATTGTATAGCTTACATCTACATTAACTCCAAGAGCCCTGTATATCTTAAGCAATTCATTCTAACAATGTCCACTCAGGTTTTCATTATAGATAACAAAATATTTCATAGGGATTCCATTTTACATAGTATTCAACATACACAATGATTTGTAATCGATGTAGTATTTATAAATTAGGTAGTTGTCTAATTTTGGATTACTTTGTTTTATTGTATTAATCATATCCAAACTTAAATGATCAATTTGTTTGTCTTAATCATCTTCTAACACTTGTGATGGTTGTATGACTTTAAATTTTGGATAGATGTTTTAGACCACCAGTTTTGGTAATTACACATCGTATTCCTTTTAGTACTCCACTAACTATTGAATCTATTTAATTTGCTTTAAGTTCTATCGAATCAATTCCTATCTTTTGGAACTGCTATCTCCATACACCACCACATCTTATTTACAACATTAGAAAATCATCTGCTATTTGAATCTCTGTAGCTATTTGATTCTCTTGCTTATTCGTATGCTTTCCTTAATCTTTGGCAACTATTTAATCAGTGTCTCTTTTGAGTCTGCACATACCAAAGTCGGGGGATTCCAACCCAATTAACAGGCATTCAAAATTTCTATTCCATCGAAAAATGAAATCACTTTTACTGGTTTCTGAATCATCTTAGCTAACTGAAACTTCAAGTCATTAATCACTTGAATGGCTAACTCTCTTGATGGAACAAAGAAATAATCGAACATTTTTTAAATCTATCAATCCAATTAATTTATACTTAATACTCTTCTCCACTTATTTTGAGTTGATGAAAAAAATTAATCAACTATTAAACATCTTTAATCTTCGTGAATTGATCGCCTTAGAATCTACTCTAAGGAAAAGAATACGATTATGAATAAGGCAAAAAAAGTGCGTACGTCTACTCATTCAATAAATTGGGAATACAATTCTTGGTAAAAGATTCCAATATCTATTTAAAATTAAATTTAAGGTAGTCATTCAGTCCATTTTCATCTACATAAAATAAATAAGCATTTTTTCTAATCTTTTGACTCTGAGTCTTATTTGATTTCCCACAATCCACACTTAAACTTACTAAACTATTTCTCAAACTTTTGGCTGGTTTCTCAATCACTGAACTCGTCCTAGTTTAAATTATGGATCTTTCAGTTTGAAACTCTCTCTTGATGTAATTATAATTCAAATAAACCTTCTTCGGTTTTATATGTTGATTATACATATAATAAATTAAATTAATTAATACACAATAACTTCATGTTACAATGAATTAATTCTATGACAATACTAGCTTACTTATGTATATATCTTATCGATCTCAAAACTGGAAATAATGATTTAACAGAAAATTTTAGAAATTAGCACCTCTTGATTTAAAATATAACATTATACAAGATAAAATTGAAAGTTAGGCCCATTTAATTTTGATTTTAAAAATAGTACTCTATCCTTCCTGAAGCCTACTTTCCAAGTTTAAATTGATAAGATTTTGTTATCAATGTAAATTCGAATTGAAACTCATGTCTTATGCCTATTTATATAATTGAAACTAAATTAATCTTATCAAATGAATATTTTAAAAAATCTTGATTTATTCGGAGTACCTCTCGTGTATGGGATTGATCAAAGGCAGTCTAAGTATAAGAGCATCTTGGGAGGAATATTATCCTTAATTACATTTTTAGGCAGTTTTGCCTACGCAATTTGGATATTTTATTTGTGGCAAACCAAATAGATGAATCCTAAGATATCGAATTCGAAATATGTTTCTGATTACTCTGCCCTTGACCTCAGTGCAGGATTAATTAGATTATATTATTGGTAGTATGATCCAAATCTAATCGATCCCTTTTAAACAAAAATTCTCTTGCCTCTTGTGATTTACAACAGAAAAAATCAGTTGACATCACCTTCATTAATAAATGAAACTTCGGTTACAAGTCATGGAAATACTTATATACCTAAAATAGAACTAGGGTTTTCTAAAATAGATGGAGAGATTTACACTTCAGAGGAAATGTATATACAAATAGTTATGTGCTCCGAAATATATTTATAACCTAATGAGAAGTGTGCATCTCCTGAGCTAACCGAACAATTTTTCAAATAATCTTCGAATATGGTTGTGTTGCAAATTTATTCGACAACCTTGGATTCTCGAGATGGATCAGAGTAAAATGGATTACAGGAATTATATATTTAAATAGAAGAACACTTCTGTTATACTATGAATACCTTTCTTTAAACCAATATGTATGAACTTCAGGATTACTTTCTATTTGGAACATCGAGATATAAGGAATATATTTCAGGAGCAGTTGTACAGACTTAAACAAGTTCAACTGATTATTGTTATAAGGCATTCAATAATAATGCTCTTTCTCTTGTTTACTTAGGAATGAATGGCAATCAAACAAAAACAATTTTTGAGTATCCTCGTGCAGGAGATCTCTTAGCAAATATTGGATCTATAGTGTCTTTATTATTTATGATCAAGTACATTATTATTGTTTTGAATCAAAATTCTTTAAACTAAATGATAATAGTAGAACTGATATCTTTCTATTATCCAGAGTTTAAATCTATTTGTATAACAAAGAATTGGAGATAAAAAATTACAATGGTTAAAATAAATGAAAAGAAGGTAGATGTAGAAGAATTTAAAAAATTTTATGATAAAGCAAAACATCAGATGCATTCAAAATTGAACTATTTAAATTTATTGTATGAAATTTCGAGACTATACTTTATTATTCGATCGTTTAAATACAAAGAGGAACTATTTAAGTCTCATAGTGTTGGAATAAAAATGAATCTAATTTCGAATAAGGACTTTGATGTTATCTACGATTATAATTCAATTAGTTCAGCGAAATCAAAAACAGAACGTATTTTATTAAATGAAGATGATGCCGACATAATATCGTTAACAAGGAGAAAGAATCTAAATAATATTGATTTTATTCCAGATGAAATAATTAATGAGAACGATTTTTATAATACCAATAAAATAGTTTGATTGTTAATTATTATTCTTTATTTTATTAATAATTTACATTAGATTGAAGTGTCAATTATTTTTTTATGATTTTCACAATAAGGGTGTTGAATTCTGTGTTTATAGTGGAAATCATAAAATGTATAAACAGTATTGAAAGTGTAATTCTAATAATTATGCCGATTGTTGCTTATTATATTTAATAAATTTAACCAGTGTTTAAGCAAATTATAATAAACTCAATTTAAAAATATAAGTAATTCGCTTATTTTTAATATGTTACTATTGTATAAAATTTATCAAACTTCACTTTTACGAGCAAAAAGTACTCTTTATGATTTCATGTGATATTAATATTTCACACCATTTTAAGAATTTAACCAAAATTAATATTATCCATTAATAAAATATATAATGAAAAATAGATTATTTATAATTTTTCAATCTTATAAACCTCTGTAATGCATTTCTATGTTGGGATAGTCGGTTGCTTCGAATTTCATTCTAAGATTATTTGAGAATAAATACTTATCTTGATTCATTTTCTTTCTATAATAATTTATTAGTGTGTAAATAAGGGCAAATGCTAGGATCAAAACAAAAGTATATTTCATGTATCTTTTCCATCGCAATTATTTTATGTATTCGTTATTAACATTGATGGGTTTGTAGAATTTTTCTAAGTGAATCATTTCTTAATTTCTTAGTTAGATAATAGCTAGGAATATAGATAATAACCTTACAATCAGTGTAGATATTGAATTATATCATTTTTGCATCTATGAGTTTAGTTTCGTCCAATTCTTAACTTATTGAAAATGTCAGTTGAGTTTCCTTAGCTGGATTTTCATATTGCATTTCAAATTAATAAGTTTCAAAGCAGTAATCAAATGTTTATGTCGAGCCTTCCTCAATAAATTGATAAGCCAATATATATGCAACCTATAATGTTTTAAAGTTGGGATTCTCCTTGATTTACAATCTGAAGCCAGTGACAGTTAGGTAATATTTATCATCCTTTCTTTCAAATTCCCAATTGAGATTGCCATCGTTTCCAGGTTGAATATCATTGAGTGGAATATAAGAATCCTGCTTTATAAGTTGAGCAGTAATGGTGAATGGAGTTTATGAATCAGAATTATAATTGTTTGCACTTGCAACTAGATAGTAATAACCAGACTTTTTGACTTCAATAACTTCCACCAAACGATCAGTCACCTAATATTGCTTATTGTATTATCCATTTCTTAAAAGATCGATATCAGTAGACCCGAATAAGTTCAATGTAGATCCGCACTGCTGCACCTAGAGTAACAATTACCCTTCAGATGGACAAAAGTATTCCCAATATTTGGGTTACTATTTTAATATGCTTACACTTTTTTGACTAGGGACCAATATGTTTAGATAGCTATTGCTAAAGATCAAACTAAAGTCGATGCTTATCTAATCATTTTTATTAAAGATTTCGATTTCGTAATCTCCTGCGTGATCCTAAAATTCTGCATAGTAATATTGAGAAATTTGGGCTTCCTTGTCTGGGAACAGTTGATGGGATACTTGTTTCTCATTGGTATATTTGACAAATATTTTCGGGACTTCTTTCTTGTATTTGTTATACTCGTCTTTTTGATAGGTGTTGAAGAGCATGGTAATAAATATTGAAAAGGTATTTTCATTCCCTTTCTATACGCTATTGTAAATGAATTTCTCTGATTGGTGAGGATGTAACAATAGAGTATAGACTTCACCAACATTGATAAACTTAGTTCCTTTTACATCTCTGCATTAGATCTTATAAGTAGCACTTTTGTCAAAAGATTTAATCGTGATATTAAATTGATTTGAAAATTCAGCTGATACTTTCATTAATTCCTCAATGAAACCTTAAGCAGATGTTTCCTTGCTCACTCTTTTTGTGATTGGCTATTTTGAAGGGTCGCTGCTATATTCAACTTCAACTTTACCTTCTAACACTTCTACTTTCAGAATAGAGTCATAAGGACTGTAATAACTGTAGGATTAGATGTCATTCGGATCAAGTTAGTTTATCATGATCACATCTTTGGCAAGATAAACCTTTGATGATTTAACTTGAACAGCCAAAGTGATATCCGAATCTTATTCTGATCTGACAGCGACTAGATACTTGTGCCTATCTTGAGGTGTAAACTTCATTTATTTTTTAAATCCCTTCCCCGAATTGTTAAATTGGAATAATTCAATTTATTTGATGAAGGAATCAGATTCCTTAGAATCATCAGCTATTTCATCGACGAAATACGCAGCTGTTCCACTCTAAAGTATGAATAATATTTAGAAGTCCTCCACTATGTATTGTTGGTATTTAAAATAGGCTACTTCTCCTGATTTCAGAACTATGTTTTGTGGGATGCCTTACTAAATTTGGTAGTAATGGAACTTTCCAGTTTGATATACTATGCTGTAAGAACAGGTGGTATACCCAATAACGCCAATAATGTAGAGTCCAGCCATCTTAGGGTGTTTGGGATTGCCACTTTCGATGACTAATTGATCTCCCAAATAATCGATGGATGTCCAGTCATAGTTCTCAGCATCTGGATATTCATCCTTACTGACTACAATATTGACATCACAAGACGACATAGGAGTGAGGACAATCATTAGGTTTGTATCGTTATCGTAGACATAGGCTTTATAGTATTTGATGATGGATCTGTCGATGGTTCCATAATAGGCTATTTATTCATATAATCCAATGTATCCAGATGAATATTGGATGGAGTATGTCTAATCTTGGGTTAAGTAATATTCTAGATCATCAACTTTCTTTATTGTGATAGCCAGCACACATTAATATTAACAATATTGCAAGGATCCTTAAGGGAGAGTCAATTAACTATGAGGTACTCCAACAATGGTTTTTGAAACTGAAACTATATTTTTGGATTCTGAATTTGTGGGATACTCGTAGACTCCCTTGTTAGGATACTGAACGGTATTAAATACAGAAACTAAGATTTGCAATGGTTATGGATATCCGAAATTGACAACATTCAGAACAACATCATTTTCTGGTTGATAAAATAAATAGTAGTGATGGTATGAGGCAGGCAAGGTCTAAGTTACAGGTTCTTCTAGAGTCAACTGAATTTACGAGTTGTCTTTGGAAATGAGTAGTGAGTAGAAGGTGTCGACAGTGCTTGTGACTTAGATTTAAACTTGGCAGTAGAAGATTTCTGTAATGGAACTCTTACATTTATCCAGAGGCATGTTGGATGCACTCAATATCATGGATCCTGTTATTAATTAATGTTGATTGCTGTCAACAAATGCAGTCACAATTAATTCACTATCCTTATGAGAATGAGCTCTTTTGGTAAGTTGAACATCCTCGTTTTTAAAAAAAGTGTAGTAGAAATACTGGAAATCACCTGCTTCGATCCAAGTATAGAAGTTCTCATTCAGAACCAACATGTTGTTCTTCCACCCTATTCTATAAATGATTCTGAATGAAACTTAACTAAAAGGTTCCGAGGGTTCCACTCTCAGATAAATGACTTCTGGGTATTCATCTTCATTGAATTAGATCTGAATCTCCTCAGTACTTTGCCATCTCGACTCATTCAATTTGATTGATGGATGATCAAAACCATAAAGCTATAATTACCCAGTCTCATGCAAGATTTCCACTTTCACATTGTCATGTAATGATTATTTGCTTTGGTCAGTATTTAAGTAATTTGTGAGATCGATCTTATACAAACCCACCTCTCCACTAAATAGAGTGAAATCTTGAGGACTTCCCTCGTACAGTTGGATGTATTGCCAAGCGAACTTACCTTTTACATGGAAATCATCTCCTGTCCTAATCACTACCACTGTGATTGTATACAGTCCTGCTGTTTCTCCGAATACTGAAATGAAATAGGTTCCCTGTTGGATTTCTTCATTCTCAGAACCGTAACGGATCATATAATTGTTTCCTTGCATCTCGAAGTTGTCTTTATTTGGTCTCTGACTTGTGGTTGATGAATAGATCTAAAAGGTTCCTTAGATCGGTGTTAGGATGATTGAGATTCTATTGATATCCTGAGAATTGCCAATGTGAAATTTGAAATAATTAAAGCTTTGTCTCTCCACCATCGATTTATGTGGTGTGTTCTCCTTCAATTGAATGTGCGAGGACTGAGTGGACACCAAAACTGAATAGGAGCATCGATTGTATAATTGCGTATGGGTGTTGCTAGGGTATATGGCTAATACATAGGTGCAACTATAGAATTCTCCAAAGGACTGACAAACATCGGGATCATAATTGAATACCAGTATCTAATTATTTTTTGTTGGTATCGTGTAAATAAACAAGTCTATTGGATTCTTAGAGGACCTCTCTTCTAAATGGTTTAGATCGTCTTGGATTATTTTGCACTCATCCTCATAACATCTCTTAAGAATCAGAGCACACTCTTAATCGTAATTGGTCAACTCCACTGTCACTGCTTTAGTTTTAGATCCTGACAACACAAACCAATAATTGATCATCTCATTATTCTCAATATTGCCTTCATATGGAACATTGACATTAATGTATTGGTATTCAAAATCTTGAATCCCTGTTTCCAACTCATAAGTGCACATCTCGTTTCCAAACACTGCGATATACAAATACTTCTCATCTCCACTCTAGAATTTGAATTGAGCCTTTTCGATTATTAGAACCTGCTGGGTCATTCGTTCAAAGTGATATTGATACTATTCCAATAGCACTGGCTAATAATCAGGATTCGCATATAAGGTGGCGTGTCCAATAAATGGAGTTAATTTAATAAACTAAACATAATCTCACTATGATTTACCCATTTTATTTTCCTGTCAATCTCATTCAGATCACTATAACTGTTTTCTTGGATCTTCACTTTGAAAATCCTAGCAATGCCAGATTCCACTATCCCATTGTAAATCTCTTAGAATTTCAATTCTCTCAATATCCCAGAAGTCTGAGTCTTGATCTAAAATATAGCTCCAGCCTAACCAGATACAACCAGAGTCAACATGGAGGACTGTGGCAATTCTTAAACGGACAGAGACAATAATTTAGACCCACTCCATGAGTCCTTGGCAACATACTAATGGTCACTTGATGTAGGTATTGTTGTTCCTACATTTAAATAGACTTGGAATTCAGTTTCGAATTCATATATGTTTAATGCCTTCACTTCTATTTCTAGTTCCACTTCCGATTTGCTGTATTCACCAATATCGATCTTTACAATCTCACTTTGTTAAGTGTCAGACAATTTATATTATATAAAATCATCTAATTAATATAAATATCCCTTATTTACTTCTTTGGAGCGTGTATTCTTAAGCGTAATCGACACGCAAATCATATTTACAATTGCCAGTACAAATTACTGTTATATAGAATGGAGTGTTGATTATCAATTTAGATTTGTCAATAATACACAAATCTTATTGAATATAGAATTATTTTTACCATTTCCTTTCGATGTGCATGAAGCAATATCCCCAAGAATTTTATTGTTGGGAAATTCATTGTCTTTTGATATAAAAATGTTTGGATCTCCTCCTGGATTTATTGCCTTCACCATTATCACGATGTCAGAATCATCCTTTAGTTCCTCCAAAATCAAATCATAAAAGTCTGCATTCTAATTTAGCCATTTAGATTAAGTGCTAATCAATCAATTATTTCTTTACCCTTCTACTCTTTGCCCTATGGTTAACTTCTTTAATTCTTAGGTGAAAACTACATTAAAGAAAATCAATAATGAGAACATGTTCGTAATTAAAATTATTAAATAAATATTATTCTTTCTATCTAGTCTTGTCACCCATTCTTATTAAGGGCAACCTCCTCTCTCTCATGCCTATTTCTCAAAAACCATTTAAACCACAATCCAAATATTTAAAAGTTGATACCCCACTTTCATTCCTTAAAAATCTATCTAGCGTATACACAGGTTGAGAGAATAGTCGTTCGTATCTCTTTGCCTATTTTATGTAATTTAAATGATAAGATATAATAGAAGATGTCAAACACATTAGATTGTGTAATCTTTTTTGTTGAAATTTCTAAAGAGATTTTTATTTGCTAGAAAATTAGTATAGAGCAAGTGAATTAATGCAAATGAAATATATAAATAATGACTAGAATTATTATCATTCATGTTTTTTCAAATTTAGTAGTTTCTTTAATTTATTCTGCAATTTCAAGCAACTACTTCCTTATGACTGCTTTACAATTCAAATCATTTTCTTTCTAAGCTTACCTAATTAGATTCTCGTATTTCTCATTAAGTCCTTTGAGTTTAGTTTCGATTTCAAATTGACGAGTAGTTGACAAGGGAGAGAGCAGAGGTTACTTCCTATTTTCAGATTTTCTATCAGGACTACAAAAATTGAAATTTTAAGTAGTTTTCATGTCTTCCAAACATTCTCTTATTGCTTGTTTCAATTAACTTTGTCTTAAACTGCTTTCAATTCTCGGACTGGTCAATGGAGGCGACATCTAGTCAATATTCAATTTAGTAACAGTTTTCTGTTCCTTGTACCCCTATTTAAGTTCGGTTTCCCCTTAACTAAGCTTCCTGTTGATGTACCTATGCTATCTCTCCTCGTAATCCAATTTAATCTTGACTTGCTGATATTTAAGACTCAAATCCTTATAATCCTGAGTTAATTATTCTACGATTTATTGGTACTCGTTGCATTTCCCAATCAGATCCTAGATTCTTCGACTCATTTGTTCTTCTCTTACACTCTTATTGCTTTCGATATCATCGATGTTCCTAGAGTATTGCTTGTCCTTCTCATCCAATTACACTTTTAAGGCATGAATTTGTTTTTCGAAGTCATGCATTTTCATGGGAGGGTATTTTGTTTTATAATTACTAAAATCTTGGAGGACCTACTCCTTCTCTATTTCCAAGAATTCTATTTTCTTCTCCTATTTTTTTATTTGTTAATCTTTTAGATCAAGTTTTATTTTCAGATCTTAAACATTAGTTTAAAGAGCAGCATTCTCTTCGAATTTCTTAAGTTCCACTTTATGGAGGAACCCTTTTTCATTTGACTTGTGTGCTTACAATTATCTTTGTAAACTGTCATGCGCCATTTGAATTTCGTGCTTTTCATGCTTCAATTCCTCGTTTTTCCTTATTAAATCACTAACTCTATCTTGATAGTCTTTGAGATGTTGCAATCTTTCGGCTTGCAAAACTTCGATTTATTGCGATGCCACAAAATTCATCTAACTCTCTTGATTAGTCTTCATTAATAGGTATTACAATCTTTCGTTTTCATTTTACAGATCATTTACTTGCTTCCTCAGTTGCTCAATTAAATTATCAGAAGGGTTTTCTATCGATCTCCTTAAGCCTTCAACTCCCTTTAATTTCTCCTACAAGGCTTTGAGGGCTGAAGCATAAGCATTCTAAGGAGCAGAAGTAGGATTAGAAGAAAATGCCCGATGAGACGTTCGAGATTCTCTTTCATTCATTTTGTTGGTTAAGGATATGAATAAATTTATTTATTATATGAAAACACACTACTTTCAATTTATTTTCTACTGGCTCTTCCAATGATTTTGTAATACAGAACTCTCTGTCGTTTCTCTAATCCTCTTAGTTTCACTGATAAATCTCTAAATTTGAAATCAAAGTCAAAACTCGAATAGGTCTTCGTTCAGAATACCCAATCAATGGATCTTACCACCCATATTTATGAGATCATCCTAGTATGCAAGAATGAGCGAGGAACAAGAAATATTTGATATGATGCAAAAGAGATTTGCTCACTTGACTATGTTTGTGAAATTGTTAAGTGAATGTTTTAAGATCCATTATGTACGCACTATAAAATTATTATAAATTCTATCTATTCACTTTTTTATAATGAGGTATTTGATATCGTTAAGGATATAAGAGATCAATTTATCATGACTATCACAGGATCAAGTCTTATTTTATAGTGTAATTATAATACAATAATAATTGGGATGGTTTTGTTTTTATTTAATATAGTTTATTAATTTATTATAAATCGCAATTAATGTAAAAATTAACTCTTGAGAAACAAATTAATCTTTTGGAAAGGGACATTTAATAGAAATAAAATAAGATTGAGGACTTGACAAAGTAGTTATTATTCCATTTCTAGGGTTGTTGATCAATAAACAAACTTCGTTGAATCGGCAAAAGCACAAATTAAGAATTTATAGGACACTCAACAAAAGTTGTACTCCCAATTATTTGATATCAAACAAGAGAGAGACAACTTCAAATGTGTTAATCAAATCAAGGAATAACAAATAATGAGTTTAAAAGAATAAGTGTTAGCAAAAATTCACGTGGAAGATGTAATTTATATTATGTAACATAGACCTAACAATTGAAACACGAACTTCAAGATTAATACAATCAAATACTAGAGTTATAGGTTGATCTCAAAGCAGCAAGGAATCAATTGGAGCACTCTGAATTAGAGCGCCAAAACTTATTGAATGAATTGAAAATCAAGGCAGTTAGTTAGGTGGTCTAGATTCAAAATGAATTCAACATCGCTCCCTTACAAAATTTTAATCAGTATCTAGATAAATTTGAAGAGGAAAGAAAATAATATTTGAGACAAATTCATTAATACTAGATACGCGAAGACAAGATAAGTATGAAAGAGATTTAATATTAGAAAATGAAAATAAGAAGAGAATAGATAGATTATAAGCCATCATTGACAAAAGTGAGGAGAATAGTAAAAATTAGAAGGAAGAATTACTAATTTTACAAAAGCAGATGGAAATGTATAAAAAGCAGTCTTAGGCGGACATCACTAATTAAAGGATCTATGAAGAATAGAAATTAAAAAATGAACTAGAAATGAGAGCCATTATTGAAAAAAAGGATAAATTGATATCAGATCAAAAAAAAGAAATTTAAAAACTGCATTAGCGTATTGGTCAATCTCCTTAGATGATTCTTTCAACCATAAATGATATGTTCAATATGAGTGTGGATGAATCAGTCGATATGAAAATAGAAAATATAGAACTAAAAAATACAATAAAATCACTTCAAGATCAGATTGTTTAAGAGCAAAAGGAAAAATAGAATATTCAAGAATACACTAAAAAGGAATGCGCCACTGCTATTTAGTTGAAATAGGAATATTTATAACAAAAAGCATTTGCAGAAAGCTAGAATTAAAAATTGGTTTCTGAAATTCAAGAAAATAAGTAATTAAAGGATGACATATTTAAACTCGAAGCATCGTTAGCATAATTAAAGAGAAAAGATTAAATATATAGAACTGAGATAGAACGATTAAGACAAGATAATCTGAACAATTAAAAATAAATTTTTATCTCTTAAAAGGAAGACAATAAATCATCAGTTAATCAATCTACCCCATAGATCACGATAAATTAAGATTTAATTAAGAATAATATCTAATAGTTTGAGTAATTGACAACAGAAATTCGAAACTTAAAACAAACCCTAAATAAAAAAGAAGAAGAAATTATCAATTTAAAATACAAAATTGATAATCCTGATTCAAATACTGAATTAGAGGAATAGTAGAAGAATTCAACAATTACTATTGCTAAGAAAATTGAAAGTAAAGAATTTTATATCTTAATATAGAAATTTAAACTTATTCTAAAAAACAATCGAAGATGTTGGCGGATTTTAGAAAACTTAAATTGGAAAGGAATAAATACGAATTTACTATTGATGAGCATTAATATGAAATTAAAAAACTACAAAGTTAGATTCAATTAGAACAAATCTAAAAAGAATAGCTAATGTAGACTATTTAAAAATACAAAGAGGAATTCAGAATCTTGGAAGAGTAAAATATGAAAGAAAAGTAAGATTTTGGAAAAAAAATAAAATAAATATAACAAGAAACGGAATAAAAATTTGTTTCTCAAGAATAAATAGATTATTAAAAAATGAATTAAGAATTACTGAAATTGAAGGAATAGGATAAAAAATTGGTGTAGGAATTGAAGGAGAAAGTCAAAACTCTGAGCTAAGATGCTTAAAAATATAGAGAAGAAATACTTTAGAAAGATCTTGAAATCAAAAGACTCTAACTTGTTGAAACCAAGAGTGAAGAACATCAAAACACTTTATAAATGAAATTGTAAATAGAAAATGATAAAATCATCATCAAGTCATTGAATGAAAGAATATTTAACTTAAATCAGGAAATAGAGAATAAAGAAAAAGAACTATTGGCATTTTAATAGGATAAATTGGATTGGGAATCCTTATAACAGTTTTCTAGACAAATCGCCAACGAAAATAGGTCTAATTTGAATAATTAGGAAGATATCAATGATTTGAAGAAGAATCTAAAAGGATTATAAAAAAAAATATCAGAACAAACATAATAATACTAATAAGCCATAGCAGACTTCGGAAAGGAGTTTTAATAGATCATTATGCAGCAAAATGATGAGATCAAACAATTAGAATAAGAAAATTAAGATTTAGCCAAAGCTTTGGAATAATACAAATAACTATATTAATAAGAAAGAATGGATAGACAAAATAAATCAGATTTAACTTTAGCTGAAATTGAGGAAATAAAAATTAGACTAGATTAAGTCACTAAAGAAAGAGACTAACTCTTGTTAAAGAAGGAGATAATTGAAAATAAAGAATATCAGATTTTGAGAAAAGAGGATGAAATCAGATCTTAGGAGATGGAACTGTAAGAGGAGAAGAAGAATTTTGAAAGTTATATTCAGAAGAGGAAATTGGAAATAACTGATGATATTTTAATAAAGAAAAATAAAGAATTATCAATAATAGGATGCGATTACATTTTAGGAAGGGAGTTGGAAATTTATAAATAGAAATTAATAGAGGAATAAGAGAAAGTAAACGAATTAATGCAAAGATCAATTCAATAAATGGAAGATTATCAAGAGGGAAATTAGGATTTATATGAGAAAAAATAAATGGAAAATTAACTGAATGATTTAAAAAAGTAGATTGAAGAAATGAGAGCTGAGTAACTAAAACTTAGAATGGATTCGAAAGTATAAGATGAAGAGCAATATAATTTTGAAGAAGAAAGATAATAATATTAATAGTAAATAAGATAGTTGATGCATCTTAAAGAAAATGTAACACTGGAGGATATTAAGTTAGTAAGAGATATAATTTAAAGTGGAAAATTAATCTCTTATTTAGAAAAGGCCAAATAAATTCATGAACTTTAAACTTCAATGTAATCTTGATCTTATTATACACATTTCATATAAAAATTTAATTTAATAGAATGATTATTTAAATAATTAAAGTACCTATGAATTTATTTATTATTAATTTATTCGAGAAAGTAATTCCAGAATTCTTAACCATTTAAGATTTGCGAATAATATTAATACTTTTATTTGTAAAAGGAAATATGAAATGAAAGATCTAAAATTATTGTAGAACCTTTATTATTATAAATCTATAATAAGATTTTATCTAAATATTTAGTCAGATTTTTTTTAAATATTTTATTATTAATTAATAGGAGATAAATATAAAAAAAATAATTAAATAAAATTTGATTTTTTATTTGAAATAGCTTATTAAACATATTTTATCATATAGCACTTATTTTCATCTTCATTTAGTAATCAAACTTATCCAATTTAGCCTTTTTTAAAGCATTTCGAATCACATATTATTTTGGTAATAATTTACTCATTAACATTTCTGCACAATTTTAATAAAATGTGAGATAAATTGAAAAATTAACATTATTCAATTAAGACTTCTATAAAATCTAAATAATTCCATATGAAACTATTTGAAATCCATACTCTGTTAATTTTAAGTTTAAGTAAGACTTGAACATGCAAATTTAAAAGCAACAAAGATTTTATATGTTAAATTACTTAAAGCAATAATTACAACTAATAGAGATAAATTTCTATCAAGGTTTTTCTTGCAAGAGAATTTTTTACAAATATTATAAAATGTTAGCGTTTTGAAAATAATTAAAAAAAAGCAGCAATTTATCTTTTGTAATTTGATTAGACAATTTCAAAATGGTTGAATAAATTATTATTTTTCAAAATTCTAATCTTGGTTCTAAGATTTCGGTATTAAAATTACTAAAAGAAATAATTATTTATAAAATAATGCCTGCTGAATGTGTAAAGGTTATTGTGAGAATGCGTCCATTTAACCAAAGGGAGAAGGAAAATGGAAGTAAGCCCTGTGTAATAGTGAATGAAGATGCAAATAGTGTTGAATTGCGAAATGTAATTAGTTTATATATTTGATAAATCAGAGTCAAGATAATGAGGTGAAGAATTTTACTTACGATTATGTGTTCGGAGCAGAGACTCCATAATTATAGATTTATTAGAAGACAGCTTTTAATTTGGTAGAATCTGTAGCTGATGGCTATAATGGAACAATATTTGCATATGGTTAAACAGGTAAATTCGAATTTAAGAATGATTAGGTTGTGGCAAGACTTTTACAATGATAGGAGATCCTTCGAATGTAAGATCTTTACTCAATTTTAGGAAAACATGAAAGGCATAATTCCAAGGACCTTTGATTAAATAATAAGCCTAATCAACAATAATTCAGATTCAAATAAAAAGTTCCTCCTCAGGTGTTCATACATTGAAATCTACAATGAAGAAATTCATGATTTGTTGAGCAAAGATGTAAAATAGAAATATGAATTGAAAGAAGGATAGCAGGGAGTATTTATTAAGGATCTCAACATTGCTGTGGTAAGAACGACTCAAGAGATGGATAGATATATGTAATTAGGAACTCAAAACAGGTCTGTTGGGGCTACTGCGATGAACAAAGAATCTAGTAGAAGCCATTGCATTTTCACAGTTTATATTGAATGTTCAGTTACTGATTCTAAAGGAAACGAGAGAATTACAGCAGGAAAATTGAATTTAGTCGATTTGGCAGGAAGTGAAAGGTAATCCAAAACATAAGCAACCGGGGATCGATTGAAGGAGGCTACAAAAATTAATTTATCATTATCTGCATTAGGAAATGTAATTTCTGCACTAGTTGATGGAAAGACTTAACACATCCCATACAGAGATTCAAAGTTGACAAGACTATTGCAAGATTCCTTAGGAGGTAATACAAAGACAATAATGATAACTGCAATCAGTCCATCTGATTTTAATTATGATGAAACAATGTCCAGTTTGAGGTATGCATCCAGAGCAAAGATGATCAAGAATCAACCGAAAGTTAATGAAGACCCTAAAGATGCCTTATTAAAAGAGTAGGCCGAAGAAATTAAAAAACTTAAAGAATTACTATCTAAATAAGCAGCTGGATAACCTATTACTTTAGAAGCCTTCCAATCATTTAGTAAACCCGGAAACAATAACAATGCAGAAATTTCTAGATTAAAGGAAGAGAATGATAGACTAATGAGAGAAAGATAAGAATAACCATTGGGAGAGCATTCAGAGTAAAAATTAAGGGAATTGAATGAATTTAAAGAAAAAAACAATTAACTTCAATAGGAAAAGGAAAAATTTGAATAGGAGATGAGAGAAAATGAATTGAAGGCTGAATAAGAGAGACAGGCTAGGTAGAGATTAGAATAATTACTTAAGGAGAAAGAATAGATGATGGTTTAAGGTGGGAAGGGAAGTGAAGATGATAAAAAGAAATACAAGAAAATTAGATAAACTATTGAATAACAAAAAAAAGAGCATGAAGCTTTGATACAACAACAAGAGCAACAATAATAAGAAATGCTAGAGATTGAAACCAAATATCAAAATGTGCAAGAAGAGGTTGAGAAACTTAGGAAACTAATTAAATATCTGAGGAAGAAGCTAGAAGAAGCTACAATTGAATAGAAGGATTTAAAAAAAGAAGTAGAATATGAAAAAGAAGATATGTTAGAGACAATAAGAAATCAGTAAAAGGAGATTAAACTTTATGCAGGTTTAGTGAAGATGATGTTTAGTTAGAAGGAACTAGAGACTCTATAGGCTGCAAGCGAATGGGATGAGGATGCTCAAGAGTATAAAATACCACCCTTTAATTTTAAAGCTAAAAAAGTAAACTTTCCATCTCTTCCTTATAAACAAGGTATTTTTTTAATTAATTTAAGCCATGGATTTGATAGAGTTAGAGAAATCAGAGAGAATGCTCGAAGTTAATTCTCGATAACAATAATTTGAATATGATTAGGATAATCGATAAAGACTTATTTCTCCTAGGGTGCCTCAGAAAGGTAGTTACTTACTTTAATATAATTAGAGCCTTTACAAAAACAAAATGGAGTTAGTTAACCTTAATTGGAGAAGGGATATTTGGTGGCTGAGAAAATTAAATAGAATTATCAAATGCTCGAATAACAAGAGGGAAAACTACGCTATCAGAGTGATTTAGTCAACTAACAATTTTTAGAGAAGAAACTAAATCAAAAAATTATTCTTAGTCCTATTGATAATAGGGATAACTCTGTCCCAACTTAACATAGTTAATATAATTATAATGGGTATTCGAATAATAGCAATTTATCCCAAGCCACTCCGAATAAGATTAATAAAAGTAAATGTTTGATTTAAATAGATATTAATTTGTAACCGCTTGAATAAAAGGGTTTATTAATGTAGAATGATGATTAACATAAAAGAAGATAACACTAAAAAGTGTAATAAATTTGAATATTATTGACTTTTTTTAATTTTAATGTTCATATGTTTTACTATACTATTGTTTCTTATTGATACTTTTAAACATACTCAATCTATTAGTTATTACGATTATTGAATCTTTTCTTCTTATCATATTTATATTTCCTATTTTATTACATCTCAAATTTATCCTCTAAATTAACAGCCTGTTAAGTCTCTTTCTTATTGTATTTTTAATCACTTTAATCTTAATATTTGTTTTGATATTATTGATATGGATATTGTTAGTATTATTCTTATTAATAGAATCCACTATTGGATTACCAATATTACGGTTATTGATAATACCCTTTAAAATTAGATCAATAATACCATAATTGTAATATCCATATTGTGGTTTGCGTTGTTGTCTTCTCTCATATGATGCAGCAGAAAACGAATATGGAATTGTTTCAAACACTGCTCTTAATTCTTGAAACTTTTTTTCAAAATTTGGATCGGAATCTCTTTATTATCTACTTTGATTCTAAATACTTGTTTAACTTACTTCTAATTTATCTAATTGGGAAAAGTCCTCGAATAAACTTTTCTTGGATTCCTCTCTCTTAAAAATCTCAATCATTTTAATTCCGTTCTCTAAAGTTAACTCAGTGCAATCGATCAAATCATAAACTGATTTAACTGTTTCATCACTTCCTTCAAATTTTTGGATTTGTTTGATATTCTCAAATAATTTAAAAGGAAGATCCTTTACATATAACTACATTAAGCAAAGCTGCTTACCCATTTTATTTAGAATAAGCCAAACCATTTGTTTTCAATTAACCAATATTTAAAATGCGATTTAGGATCAAATCCTGAAGTCAATTTGGCCATCCCACTAAAGCAAAGACTGTTTATTTCAGTAAAAAAGAGATAAACATCTCCCTGTGAAAATGCTTCATTCAAACGTTCATTCTTTCGAGAAGAGCTGATAAATAACATTGAAAACTACCTGGTCCATATACCATATTTCATGGCTCTATGCACATTATCTTCGCCTTAAGTACGAATGATGAAATATTTGCTTTTATCCAAATTCTTAAATTCATGTTCAAAATTTATATGTTCCAATGGTGAAAAGGTCTTCCTTATCATATCCAAATTATCATATGAAGGGAGTGCCTAAAATTAAGGCTGATTCATAAATAAATAAATAAAAGATTTAAAATAAAATAATTTATGTGACATTAAATTTTTATGATTTCCTTCATCAAAAAATTATAAACCATAATATGCATCTACATATTCTCATTCAATTAAGATTTTATAAACTATTTTTAATACAATATTCATTCATTGTGAATTTCAATATAAAATTAGCCATTAAATAAATTTTATTCTCTTTTTTTTTGTAAATTATCATCTGATCTCCTCTATTAGAATTCAAAATAACTAATAAACTGCATTCTAGAATCAATCCCCCTTTAAAGTTCTCCCTTTAAATAGAAATAAATTATAAATGTTTGAATATTTTCTAGGATATACAGATATATATTTTTTGTTAACAAAGAAGCCTTTAGTTATTTAAATTCTATTATTTCTCTCAAAAATAATTTGAAAGACTCCAATTTTAAATGAAATTACAATCACAATTCTTTATAAAATAGAATTCTGTATTAATTCACTTGCCAACTGTATAATTGAAATATTTATAAAAACAATATAATATGAGAAATCAAAGGAAATCATAAGTAACTTAATATCTTAAGTTTATAGAGTCCTTTTAGAACTACTCAATCAATAATGAGAGACAGTCCCAATACTTAACTAGATGAATCAAGTATTTCTACCAACAGAATCCCCTAAAATAGAGAATCCACCAGAGCAAGGATGAAAATTAATTAATCTCATAACAATGCTCTAGCTTAAGGTGGATAAATTAGAAAATAGATTGCAAATGAAAGAGCATCAGCTAAGGGTGGGAATCCTAACGAATTTAATCCAAAGAAATTTGTGACTAAAGATCTGAAAGTAATTGCTGCTATCTATCACAGGAATCTGATATTATAGATATCAAGCAAGTTTTTGATTATTATGATTCTGAATAAGCCGGCATATTATCACCGAATGATTTAGAGTAATTGCTCTCAAGTTGTGGATATCATCCAACTAAAGAGACTCTATATGGTATTATGGTTGTATCATAACCTTTTTAGAGATTTTTTCAGAATTGGATGAAGACGAATTAGGAGGAATTACCTTTGAATATTTTCTTGGTATTTTGAATCAGGATAAATCTAAGTCAGAAAGAAAGGATACAATTAGGAGGGTCTATAGGAAATATGATAAAAATAATAAAGGTTTTATAACCCTTCAAGATTTAAGACAGGTTGTCTATAAGGATTTGAAGGAGGAAATTGATGAAGAGGTCTTGGCAGAAGTAATTCTATCTAATAAAAGAAGATCTTTAAAAAAACTGACTCTAATCAAGATGGAAAGATGACATTTGAGGATTTCTATAACGTAATGACCAAAAAGGTGTATTATTGATATTATTATACAGTGCATATTTAATTATAATGTCTTGCTTTATAAAATTAACGCAAAGGACCAAAAGAACACTCTCTATTGGTATTGTTATTATAATAAGAAGCAGATTTTCAAATTCAAGGGTATTTACCAAAAGTATAACTGGCTAAATCAAGAGCATACACATACAACAACAAAAACCAAATAACAAATAACTCTAAAACTATTTCCTCCAAAATCAATTCAATATCACCAAAGGTTATCTCGAGACCTGTCATGAACGATCTACATTTCCTTAAATTGTAAAACTGTAAGAGAGCATCTCCATTGAAGGAATTAAAAATGACAGAAAAAAGTACAAATAAGAAAACCTTACATAAACAACCTTCTTTTGATTTCACTCTCTCTGGATTTTAAACAATGGATGAAGAGAGGGAAGATTGTTTCCTTTAATCATATGTTAGAAAATAATGATTTGTATACTAAAAATATAATTTTACATTTAAATAGTTAAACAATAAATAATTTATCTTGATCTCTTAAAATTAAAAATCTTATTTAACCTAAATTATTATTTCTAAATTTCTCTGTTTAATTAATAATTCTGAGCAAAATTGAAAAATTTCTAAACTAATAGCTAATGTCAATGCAGAGACTTGATTAAGATTCAAAAAAATTCTATATCTTATGAATAATCAACAACAATTTAATATGTCTTATAGAATGGACAACCTTCTAAATCATTAAAGGTTCGATTTAGATTTTTAGATTGTTTAATTTTTAAAATTCTGATTTAGATCTCAATTTATTGATTGTATTATTCAAAAAAATAATTATTATACAGAAATCTATCAATATTATTTACAATATAAATATTTTTTAAACATAGCAAGTTTAATTAGACTAAATACTTTCTTCAATTTTCATCATATAACCTAAAGATGTTGAGTAGCTTTGTCGGAGTTAAAAAAATATATGTGTTGAAATAATAAAAAAACTGGAAATTGTTTATTAATAATTGTACTTAAAATTTAATCAAATATTATCAATAAGATCAGCCAATACATATCGTTTTGGTTTAAATTAAAAATTCTCCTCTATCAGTTTAATGTGTACCTAGGTACTAAAAGAGACTCTTTTAGGAGAGAGTTTCTAAATAATATCTGGACTTTCTTAGATATATGGAGATTTAATAGGTTTTAAGCTCGAAAATTTAATTCTTTTAGTAAAAATGGATTTCTGTTCTTCTTTTTCATGAACTTCAATAGGATCATTATTAGAATGGTCTTTACTTTTTGAATTAATCAATTTCAATATTCCTTTAGGTTAGCTTTTATCTAAACTAGTTAATTTTTGTTCTTTAAATCTACAATTAAGATTAGAATCTCGATCAGTGTTACTAACTAATGAAAATTTTTTTTCATTTAAGATAGAGTGATAATTTGATCGTTTAGTCAAGGTTTCAGTATTAATTTCATTCAGACTGTGCTTTATTTAGAACTACTTTTCTTAGATTCTAGTAGTTATTTGAGGTATATTGGTTAGGGACTTGAAATTGGGATTAAGATGTATTTCTGGTTTGACTACTCTTCTGGATGCAGGTCGAAGGGATTTTGATACATTTTACCCGCTCTACTAGTTTCTGTTTTACTACATAAAATATTTATAATCAGATTTCAAAAATTGAACATTTAATTTAATAAATAAGTTGTAATTGACAAATATAAAAATAAATTGAAGCAAGATTCAACTATCTAACTCTTTTTGGAGTTCCTGAAGATTGATAAGATGAATTAATACTTATAATTGCTATTCCAATTATTAAATTTCTTCGAGCATCAATTATTCATTCTTTTGAGCCTGTTTCTTTAAATTAATATTCTACATAAAATATTAGAATTTACATCCTCTTTTAAATAATCTACATATTCAAAAGCAATCTTGAATTCCTTCTGTGATGTCAAATTTTCTTGAATATCAAAACGTTGTATTTCAATTTATTTTTATTCATTTTTATGAGAAGTATTGAAATTAGATTCTTCTGATAAAAATGTTTTTTTGACTTAATTCATAGTCGTAAGCAACTCATTATTAAGAATTTCTAATTATTCGATATCACTCATGATGGCTTCCTATTATTTACTATTATATTTAATTAACCTTTTCATTCCTTAACACTCTCAATCTAATTTCAAAATCATGATACATAGCAGTCGGAAAGGTAACACTGATTTGCCATTATCTAAGTTTATTCCTAAGTATTTCTCTTTCATTATGATGATTTCTTCTAAAGATCTGTTCTATACGATATGTTATCTCAAGTTTCTAGGATTTTGCATTTTTTGCTTTTATCTTTTGACTCAATCTGGCTGCTATGACACTCTTTAATAAAATCACATTTTACTAAATTTTTCACAGTTCCATCCTATACTTCTGTGTCTTAAGCCTATTTCAATCCTTTTATTTAATAAAATATAGGATAGAGTTGCTTATTGACTAGATATTTCATGATTTCACATATGCCTCTGTGAGATTTTTTATCTATTTGTTTCAACTATCTTTAAAGCACTTTTTAATGCTCCAATTTAGAGTGCACAGATTATCTTGCTAATTCAATGTCAAATTATTGTAATTACTCTTTAGGTACTGTATGATCAGCTTCTTGATCTATTATCCTAATGGATTATATGAACAAAGTTCTCAAAGCATTTATTTTACTATCTTATGTAATGTAATGATGTTACTGATGGTATTAGTGAAGATTAATATAAAATAATGCTGATTAGAGTTAAAATGTTAATAATGCTTTAACTTTTAAAATGCAATTATTTTTTCTAAGTTTTAAGGTTTCTTTAAATATTAGTAAGTGCCTTACTCAGAATCAAATAAACTCAATCGTAATTACTATAAACCTAGATTAGTGATTAATTTATGTATAATTTATTTTCGAGGTGCTGTTTTTAATCTATTGAAACTCCACGCTTTTAATGACTCCTACTTTGTTAGTATTTTATTTAGAGTAAATTTATAAAAACTTATCATATTTGATTTTTGTTATTTCATCAGCTTATTGAATTTAGATTCAAATGTTAACTGCATCCACTTCCTAAAGATTTAATGGGTGATTGGCTATTAGCCTTACTAGATTTAATTTCTTAACTCTTTTTTCAAATGTGATACTACATCCACCTTTGCCAGACGGAAAAAGGCCAGGCACTTCAATCGCTGATTGAATAGCGAGATTGCATGCTGAAACCTTAATAGTCCTTCCTGAATAACTCTTTACTACGCCTTAATTTCCTCCTGCTATTTGTTTTGAACATAAATGCTAACTTTACAAATTAAATACACCTTAAATATTTAAACATCGTAGCTGCTTAATTTTTAATTGCATTATTGACTATGTGAATTAATCTCTTAAAGCGATCGTTGCAAATCTTGAGATCACGATAATGCTAAATTTAAAAATTTCCACATACTGAATTATAACTTCTGTTATTATAAGTGGAATAAGGAGACTTTTTTATTCGCCCATACGATCGTGTTTCCTGAGGCTCCTACCTCTAAGCAAATCCTAATCCTTTAACAAAGTATTAATTTTACATATATTTTATTTTTTTAAAAGAAAAGTTGTTAATAAATAAAATTATTCATAATCAATATCCACAACTTTATATTGAAATTCAAATCCTTAATTTCGCATTCAAATTATCAATCTTGTTCATATATTTTGTATGGACAATTAGCAATTTTAAGAAAATTAAAAGATTAAAAATTTGAATTCAATTATTATCATAGTAAGTAAAAGCTAAGGGGGGAAGGATGGTATCCATTTAAAATAAAACATATGTTTTCATTGAAATCTTCATCAATAAATATTTTTACATTCTCTTTTTCTATTAGAAATATTTCTTAATTTCTGGTACAAATATTCTACTTTCTGAAAATAAATAAAATTAATTCCTCTCAATCTCGGTTTAAATTCAATAACAATAAGTGAATGAGAAAAATGAATATAAGATGTAATGATTTAGACATTTAAAATATATTTATGAATTATTTAAACTCAAAGTATGCAATTGGAAAATGTTAAAGATCTATAATTATAGTTGGCTTGATTTTTTGCAGGCAAGTAGTTCGATATTTTTCCTACTAATTTTGATGCTTCCTGCTCGTCCTTGTAATCAATATTCAAATCTCGATCATTGATAATGGTTTTTATGGTTTACCATGAGAATCTGACATATTTTGGATATACAAAAAATGGTATGTTTGTAAATTCCAAATATTTTTTTGTTTTTGGATCACCAGGATATCCTGATCCGATAGAATCATTAGGTAATATCTCCTATTATATTTATGTTATTCTATAATCCCTTGTGACTTTAGCGCAAATTGAGGCTGCACTTACATTTGCATATTTTGAGTCAGCCTTCTCTTCTACCACAATATTTGCTTCTTTTCCCAATTCTTGAAGTTTTCCTTACAAAAAATTTTTGTATGTTTGCTTTGGTCCAACTGTGTCAACAAAGATTTCTTTATTTAACATGATATGTTACCTGTTATTTTATAACCTTTTGAAATTGCGCTTTAAATGAGTTCTGCAGCTGTATTATGAGATATATCATTTAAATTAATTGTTAAGTGGGCTAATTAATTTTTTGATAAATATTCCGCGGTTAATTCTCGCGTTTCAAATGTCAACACTTTACCCTTCAATTAAGTCAACACATCAAACAGCTTATCACGTGCTACCTCATTAATTTACTTAGAGTCTACAAATTTGCAAGTCTCTGTAATTAATTTGTGATATTTAGTTGGCCAATAGCATGCAGCATATAACATTGGTCCCAATACCGGCCCTCTACCAGCTTCATCAATTCCAAGTTACCAATCAAAATTTTACTTTAATTCTTCAAAGGACTCAGGAACATTAGATAGTACCTATTTCACTATTTCCTCAGTATCAATTTATTGTTTTTTCATATATTAATTATTTATCAATACAAAATAAATTAAAGGAATATAATAATATATTATATACTCCCAGATTTTATATTAGATTTGTTGTCGAATCATAGAATTTCACTTAGATCAAGTTAAACTTGTAAATAAAAAGAAAAAAACTCGTATAAATATAAGGAGAATTAAAGAGGTTAATTAATAATTTTAACTATGACATTTGAAATACAATTGAGATTCAAATTAGAAAATTAGTTGAGACATTATCTTATTGTGTTAAAGTTTTCCCTTTAATTTAGTCATTATATTTTTCAGCTAGAATAAAAATTCAAAATTAACACCGAAATCACAGAGAGATAAAAATTAAGTCATTCAATCTCACAACTAGTCTTCATATAATATCTTAAAACAAATATTATGTTGAAATTCAATATTTATTAAAAAGATGGAATTATTTATATTAATGCGAAGAACTATAAATAAAAAGAAGTAGTAGATCATAAAGTCCCATTGATTTTATCTATTATTATAATCATAAATATATGAATTATTTTAAAGTTTAATATGAATTTTTATTTTAAAAGATCAATGCTGGTAAAAATTGAACAGAACACTATGTAATTAGGAATGTTTTGATTATCTCATGGGAAGTTAAAAATTAACTATGGTATGATAGATAAAGCCAGTTATTTTAATGTTACCAAATGGAGTTCTCTAAATAGGACATTTTCTTATAATTCATATTTAATTAGAATTATTATTATTATAAACCCATATTTGGGCATAATGATTAAATTTTAATATAAATTACTATTGGTATGAATTAAAAGGAGCGTGTTTTTGTAGAGAGAAACAATGAATACGCTGAAAATGAATACTTTGTGGGTCAGAAGGAATCGAGATTTCACTCCAATGATTAATAAATAAATATTTAAGTAGAATCATAATTAAGTACTCTAAGTTATATTTTTGATTGGATAACAAATGTAAGAGTTTCAATTTATTAAATAAGGATCAATTATAGGAGCTACGATCCCAAATCCTTCACTAGATAAAGTTATTAGATCAGAATGTAAAAACTAAATATATCACTACTGCATTATCGTATATTTTGATAAAGAATACCAGCGGTATCAATGAGACCGAGTGTATACAGCAATTACTTGTAAGAATTTAGTTTAATATTGATTAGAATAAGTTTAATGTGAAATCAAGAAAATTGTTGAAGTATTTAAGAATGATTAAGGATGATAGTTAAAGAGATATGAATAAGTTATTACAACAGGTTTAGTACTATCAAGAGAAAGTGAGGAAGTATTTTTTTGGATAAGGACAATCTTTATTGCTGAAATTGAAGAAACCTAAATAAACTTATACTCAATTGATAGAAGAGATTCTTGAGACTAACAAATAAGTGATGATAAGGATCTTCTCTTTGCAATTAGTGAAATAGTTTTGTGTGAGTAAACGACCAAGTCGATTGGTGATAAACTTGGGTTACTTTGCCTTTTAAATCCAATCAATATATATTTTGCCTGGAGAATATGCTAGAATATTTAGAATATCAATCAATTCTTTGCGTCATTTTTCAAAAGGATTAATTAACTTACTATATCAATTTGTATTAAGAATAACAGGCTAAGGAATTGAAGCTTAATTCAAGTCTTGCGAGAGAAGTCCTTAAATTTCACAAACCATTATGAATGAAGGAGAATTTAAAAAATCACCTGAAGATACAAGCGTGTCAGAACCAAGCATAGAAATAGAAGGATTTAAGTTGCTCATCATTAGAAAACTAATTAATGAATTCAGCACATATTAATTTCTATTTGCTGACACTGAAGAAGAAGATGAATTATTTAATGAATGTTAAGAGATTTTGAACTTTTCAACAAATGATAACGTGTGATTTATTATTTTTGTATATAATAATGGCTTCTATATATTGAAATACATAATCTAGTATATATATCAATTTCATATGAATACATTATTTTTGTTAAAATATATATATCTTTTGTCAATATATACATATGATCAATCTTAAGACTGCCCTTTCTTAATTATTAATCTAAGGCAAAACTCGTAATATCCTTTAGCATCTATGTTCTAAATTTAATTTTAACAATAAATTTATTGATATTTATTATAGTTGAGTTGATCTATAAAAAGTAGATGAGAGTCACGAATATTTAAGAATTGGTTTGCAATGCTACTTGATTATTCTATGGTTTTTAAGAAAGTTCTAGGTTCATTATTCAATTGGAGAATGAATACTATAAATGCGATTAAGAAATGATACTTTCCTTTCTTGATTCTTAATCCAAAATATTACAAACCAATAAAAGCAACTGTTTAAAAAAGAAGAAGTTAGATTTTGCGAGACATAGAAATTATGTCTAAACTTATTATCTTGGATACTATTTTATTCAATTAATCAACATTTCAAATAATCTTCCAGACTTTCCTATGCATACTAACCTGTTTTAGCGATGTCAAATACTTTCTAAAAGGAGTAGTTACATTTGCCATTTCTTTATCTACATAATTAAATGAATGCAATATATTACACTTTTAAAAAGCAATCGACTAGTGTCATAGCATTGTCTTTACAAAATTCTGGTTCTACATATTTTCCAAGTGGAGTAGATCTGCATAAATTAAAACTCTTTCTCTATTCCTTGCAAACATGATTTCCTTTAATCGCATAAATCATTAACTATAGACTATTTTTGATAGAAATGGACATTCAACCTTTCATCATTTGTATAAGTATACAAATCTTTAGGAATAGCTTGAGAGGCCATCTTTCAAATTTATTTAATTAATCTAAAATATATAAAAAGATAAAAAAGCCGAAATTTTTATAGCAGACCATATCAAAATTAGAAATATGCTTGAATGTTCTTTATTGTTAATTCAAAAAAGAGCTAAATGCTATTTGAATATTAATTCTCGATTTGAATCAGAAAAGTGTACCAAACTAATTATAACCCTATTCAAAATTTATTGATCATGACAATTGTTACACTAATTTATTTTTATATAAAGGATATACAATATTCGCATAATCACTATTCTATTCATCATAAGTAATAGAATCTTAAATTTACTATTGACTATTGTATTACATAACTTGAATAGGTTTATTCTCTAACAATCAATACGTTACCTACTTTGAGACAAATCAAATTTTATATCCTTCTACTATATTGTCCAGATTTAATTATAATGTCAATATAGAAATTTGATTAATTACAAGATAAAAGGAAGAATAATCAATGTAACGAAATAAGAAAAAAGTGTTGTATCAGGTATTCGAAAATTAAATATCTTTGTAAAATATGGATGATTGTTGTTAATTTGAAATTTCTCCAGCTAGAATTAGAATTTTATCGCTTCTTTGATTCTTTCAAGTAATTTTGGATTTTGAGCCAGAATGAAAACAAGACTTAAAACAAATTTTGTGGATAAAAATTTAATTAATGAATTCTCTATGAATTATGTAAATATATATATGCGTAATAAAAAATATAGATTTTTATATGGAAAGTAATCAAATTGTGGTTCAATAAATTTCGAATCAATATACAATTATTTTTGTTATTTGTTTTAGAATATATATAATCACAATATACATTGAATAATAAGTTCATTAATTAAAATAACAAAATATGTGCTTACCTTACGGATGTTTGAAATGCTTCGTATAATTGGAGGGCTGGTTAACTTTCGTGATTGGAATTTTAGCAATTGTGGGTGCTATAATAGTGACAGTAATATCAAAGAGCATTGATGATGTGATTAAGGATCTTGGGATAGTATGATTAATTAACATAAATTAGTCGGATATAAGTACTAGCTCTATAATTGTGCCTTTTTGGGTATTTGCAGGAGTTGTGATTTTTTTTGCAATAAGTGGTTTATGTGGAGCAAAACGCAGGAGTAAATGCTTATTGGCAATCTTTAACTTGGGAAACATATGTTTGTTTTTAGCTTTCCTTAGTCTTTCCATAGTATCCTATGTGTTTGGATTAATTTTGACTGATTAAGATTGTGACAAAAGCAAAGGTGTATTACAAATTGAGGATTTATATAAATATTCAGAATAAACTCTGTGTAAATCATCATGCGAATGCTATTATTCAGAATAAATTAATAAAGAAGTGGAATCAGCAGTAAAAACCTACTCTCCCACTGATAAAACAAAGGTATATATGATAAAATAATCTCACTATAGCCAACAAGAGTATAAGATTGTCCAGGATTTGATTCTAAATATAAAACAGAAGCAGCAGGTCTAGCATATTTTGAAGAAAAATGGCAATGTTCTGGGTGGTGTACAGCATACCCTATTCAATAATTCAATAATGTCAATACAAAAGTCAAAAACTACAAGTATGATTTTTAATTCTAGTATTTTACAGCTATTCTTGTTATTAAGGATTGACTGACTACTTTAAAAATATGTTCACCACAACAGGCTCTATACTAATATCATTAGCAGCACTTTTTGGAATAATGGTCATCTTTACTTGTTGTCTATGCTGTCATCCACATAATAGCAACAAAGGATCGGATTATTATACAAGATTAGCATACACAGCAGACTGATGAATTTATTCATTTTATGGATATTATTATATAAACTCATAAAAATCCAATTGTTTTTATTTTTTAATTACTTAGAATATTCTAAATTCACATTAAAAGATAAATAAATATAAATAATTTATTAACTTTACTTATTCTTAGTAAGTCATTAATACTAAACTCTATGAAAATTGATACGTAATCTAAAAAATTTAACTAAAATTATTATGAATTACTATCTAATCAATAATTTTATAGTCTTCTTGCTGAGAAAATACAATTATAATAAATATTAATATGCAAAATATAACAGATCTTGTTAACATCTTTTTGGGATGATTTTATTAAAAAGTTGAATTTTCTAAGATTTTAATAAAGTTCAGCATTGAAATTGACAAAATATTTTTATTTTTAATGATCAAATTGTATTGTAATTAAAAATTTTAATAATTAATAAGCATATTAATTTCAATATTTTAAGATATTTTTACGTAATTAACTAATGTGCTTACCAATTGGAATTTTGAAATGTGTCGTTTCCTTAGAGGCTTGGATTGTTATGATTTGTGGAATAGCAGCCTTTATTTTCACAATGCTCATGCAAATACACTATAGCTTAATGCTTCAAGCGAACGAAGGAGAATCTGTACACAGATAATTTTATTTTATTATAGTGGATGCTTTTTGGATAAGGAATGCTAACTGCTTTTTGGTTGTTTTCATCGTATATAATAATAAATGGAGTATGTGGAATTGTTGGTGGTTAACAAAAAAAACCATGTTTATTGTTGGTGTTTAATGTTGGGAATGTCATAATTATAATTGCATTCGTTATACTAATGGCTATTGGCTTTGTTTTGGCAGATGAAGCCAATAAACTTATAGATAAAGATTACTAATAAAATGAGAATACTTGTCTCGAACATAGATTTTAATTAAATACCTTAGATTGGGAAAGCAAAGACCTCCTATGCTCTATAGAATGCCCGTGTTATTACACTAAAGAGAATGGAGAATTGCCCAAAAATAAAACTAAATGGGGAGATGATAAAGATTCCTCAAAAGTATTGAATAGAAATATAAATATAGCCTACCAAGGTACAGGATTGTGAACTGTATTAAAAAACCCAAAATACCACAGTCAAATATTTTTCAAATTACCTAGGAGAAATCTAAAAAGAAACTGGGTGCACAGGATGGTGTGTGCCATATTAAATGCAAATATTCTATGATATCAATGTAAAAGTTGAAAATGACTAGTAAAGAATATATATATAAATTAGAATGTATTGTCAATATATTGTAATTTCAAAATTAACACAAATGGGAAGAGTGATGGGAGGCATAGCAGCTGGAGTAACTGCAGTAATGGTGGTTTTAATTACTCTTACATGTTGTCTATGTTTCCATCCAACGAGTAAAGGTTAGGATTTCTACAGCAAAATGGCGCATTATGAATAATGATGAAATCTTCTATTTGTAATGATTTGAGCGATATAACATTTTTCACCTCAAATTTGATATTTTATTGTCCAAAATACTGAATACAACATGTGATTTAATAAAATTAATTTCCTTTTTGATTTTATATCACTTTTCATATTATTATAGTCTAAATTAATCTTGTAAATGTAGTTAATTTTTTAACCTAAAATTTACTTTAATTATCGGAAAATAGCAATTAATAGAGAAAAGTGAAGCAATTCTTGAGTTTTGTGTTTTACTGAATTTATTTATATCGTTTGTTTTTAGGAAGTTATTAAATGCAATAGAAATAATTATAAGTTATAAATTTATTTTTCTATAAGAAATATATATTCTTGTTTCAGACTGCTATCATGAAATTATGGATACAACAGTTTATCAAATTCAAAAATAAAATGCTAGAAATGCATAACTTTTAGTTTCACTTATAATTAATTCTAAAAATAGTAAAGAATATATGCATATACCTGTAAATTATGATTACTAATATCTATTCCTTATGAATAAAGAAACTACATAACAATATGCAAAATAATAAAAAGCCATATAAATTTATAGAATCAACAAAGGAATAAATTATTAGATCAAAATACCTAATAAAAGAGATTTTTAGATTTCCTTGATACATTAACCCCTTATAACTCAAAATAAATAGTATTTAATACCATATTTTCTAACTTACATATAACTATAAAATCAAGTGAAATTTATAAAATAAGATGAAGAAATTTGAATTTTTGCGATATAATTGAATAAACAGGGCAATTATAATTTAAATTTAAAGGTATGAGAATTTCTTTTAACTCAATACGCATTTTAGTTGATAGTAAATTTAAATGGAAATTACCTTATTATTAAATTTGTAGAAAACTAGGAAACTGAACTTTTTGAATGATACATCAACGTTGTTATCTTAATTTATGAAATATCAAGAATTATTTATTTTGTTTATGGAAACGAAATTCCTAAGCTTTTTTATTGTAATTTTGACGAATAAGAAAAGTAAATTCAACATTCTTGATAAAAGAATTTATAATATAAAAAACGCTGAATAAACTCAATTATTTTGGTATCTTTATAAATATATATATTCATAAATGTAATTATTATCATAGAATCAAAATAATTCTGGTTTAAAACCGTCATTTTCATTGATGCTTTGATTAATACTATCCACAACCATTGAAGCTTCCCCTTAATCTATAAAATCAGCAACAACAAAGTTAGGCATCTTTCTGCAATGGTGATAATATTGTAAGAACCGTTTTTTCACGTGCTGATAGAAATTATATTTAGTCCTATACTGGTAATCAGGTCTTAAGTAAATGGTGAAATGAATACTTAAAAGAATTTTCAGGATTTAAATGAATTTCTAAAAAAGGTGACCATATCGATCCATCATTCTTATTTGTTACTCCTCGCTATACCTTTCCAGTTTTAACATCCTCTAATGGATCGGTTTCCCAATCTACTTGAGCACTTACTCTATATGAATAATATGTATATTGTAATAAGTCATCCATCACCTATTCCCTTGGTTCAATTGTAATCAATATATTCTTATTATTTTCCCTACACCAACCTAAAGTAGGAGGATCATTTTCTTAAAATGTTATGGCTCTTTCATCTCCTTTAAGTTCTAATAACAAACTATGCAACATTTTGGTAATTAAGCTTCTATCCCATCCCTATGTCCCATTAGTTTGAGTATTGCAGAATAATTTACTCTCAAGTTTCACAATCATGATTTCATTTGGATATTTGAAGGCTAAATCAAATAATTCTTTTAGTCGATCTATGGCTTTTTCTGGACTTTTCAAGGCTCTCTAAACAACACTAAGCTTACAATTAGTACCCCCGTCCCCCTCATGTGCAACAACAATCTAATTAATTAAATAATAAAACTTAAGGTATGCCGTCTTAGATGTGCCAATGCAATGGAATTTTAAAATGCCTTGCACCATAAGTTTCATACTATTCGGTTATTGTTACGTTTTGTTAGGCATATACCCATCCGTAACACTTGGACATAGGGGCATTGTGAGCACCAAGATAGACAATCTAATTTAATTTTAAACTAGGCTTGAGATGTCCATTTCCACCTGGCATATTTGCTTACATTAATATAATAATAAATAATTTTATTTATATTTATCACTTTTTTTTTTTCTTGGAAATTGGAGCAGGAGATCTACCTGTATTTTAACTTTATGGTCTTAGATTGGTCGTGCTGGAGGAGGTTTGTTTTTTCTTTTTTTTTTTGGAAGGTGGAGCAGTGGATTTAGGTGTTTATGCAATAATTTGGAGTTGTTCATCAAAATGCTTCTTCAGTTTTTCAATGGCCTCATTAGATTAGATAGTGAGCTTTTCTTGGAATTGCTTTTGTTCTTGCAATAATCTATCTTCCACAGATTCTTAGAGTTCTTGTTCCAATTAATCAATTGCTGATTATGTTAGTTATTTTTATTCTTGTAATTCAGATTCAAGTTGCTTTTCTCTTTCCTTCATTTCTTCAATATCTAAGAGCAATTCACTGATAATTTTTTTCTAATTTAATAATTGTAATTAATTACACTTTCTTGATTTTCGATTTTTAATGCTTAGATCACCTCCTATGATTCCAAGAGATTATTTTTATATTTTATAGCCTTGATTCGATATTTCGATTAGGTATTGACCTCCTCTTCATCTGATGTTTGCTAATAATCTAGCAATGCTTTTGCATGTTTTTCTAGATATATTCCGTTATCCTTGAATGGTTTTTTTCTCATTAATAATTTTATTTAAAAAGTGAAATATATGAAATACACTTGATTTAATACTGACTCTTATTTTATAAATCATGATGAGATATAGTTCTTTAACTCTTATATTATAATATATAGTTATTTTATGACATGAATGCATCAGGTGTTAGTTTATCCTTTCTCTTTTTATAACACAATATGCAACGGAAAAATGAACTCAAATCGCTAACTCCATTTAACACATAAATCCAGATCGGAATAGAATCCTGAACTCCAATGCAGTCTTTTAAATTGCCCCAGGCTTAGCAATCTTTTTATCTGGTTTTCTTTATTTTTATTCCTTTTGAAATTGACTGTAATTAAATAAATTTCTAATAAATAATTGGGTATGGATTATATTAATCAAAGAATTGATGTTTATAGGAAGATCCTGAATGAAATAAGCGGAATATTCGAGAGGATTATGAATAAGTGAAGTACTTAAAATTTGTTGAACATTTTTGATATAGATAAAAGAAGAGAATTGTGCATTTGATACTTGGATCAATTGAAACTATTTTTGAATCAAAGAAATATATAATATAATTCTTAATATTCTCAATTTTAATAGTGAAATTAATTTTAATTATTCATTAAGCCCTAAATGATTTTAACCTATAATTATTAACCTGCTGAAGGTATTAATTATTAGCTTTTGTTAAGATAAAATTTATGACATATTAACTTACTAAATATAGAATCACAACTAAGTTTTAAACTAAATTTATTTGTTAACTTTATGATTATCTAAAATAGCTAAGATACTTGTTTTAATAGAATCAAATCAATTATTAAATAATGATATCAATAATAGACTTTTATTTTATTTGAATTTCTATGGAAAATTAAATCTATCTTGAGAGATATATTGTCAATATTAAAACTTATATTAATCTAAAATATTTAATAATAATTTTTTAGTTTGTGAAATAATAATTAAATTGAATAACGTAATTGTTAAAATGCTTAGAGTTGATGCAGATAAATTACAATTTATAATAAAGACTTATTAATCTAAACAATTACTATAACTGCGATGTCATTATAAATAATTTTCATGAATTTATTAATCTGATCTTTGTCTGTTCCTCCTTTTGAGGATCACCTTTAGGGTAAAAGCAATAAATGCATGTGAAACCAAACGTTAAAACAAAGAGAAATGCTAGCACGAAAGATGTGTATTAAAGAATCTATCTAAATGAATTCCAATAATTCTCGATGGTTTATTTGCATGCATAACTAATTAATATAATGTTTATTGTTTACGATGAAGTTGTCTTCGAATTCACATCGTTAAAAAATTGAATAGGATATTTTGTACACCAACCAGAACACTCATAAGCATTTTCACTTGATTTCAATTAGGCCATAATTGTAGAGTTAGAGCTAAAAGATGAAGGGCATTATTAAAAATTTATTGCCTAAGTTGTAAAGGTTTAAATTTACCATTGTAGTATCTGTTGGTGAATAATTTATAACATACTTTGATTAATCTCTAGAAACTGTACCTGAAAAATAGCATTCACAATCATCATTACAAAGACTTTGACTTGCAACTTTATATAAAGCCTCTCTTTCCAAGTCATAGGTAAGTGAACAACCTGAAAGTTTAATGAAATCAGAAACTTTTGAAAAAAAAGAAACTACCGCGTAAGTCAAGGCAAATGCCCAAAATAAGCAACAATTAAATGTATTAAAACAAGTCAATAGACACTTGTTGCTGTTTAGAATTCCACCTATTCCAAGAAGTGTGGAAACACCCCCAATGATGCCCATTACCATATGGGCATTAAAAAAGAAAATTGTGGAGGATGCGGCCTAAATATAGTTTAAAATGATTCATACACTCGAAGAATACTCTCCTTTATCACTATCATCTATTTTATTTTTGCTAACGTAGGCTAGAATTTCAATTGTAAGACACATCGCAAGGATCAAACCTGCCCCACTAAGAACAATAATCTTAAGAGTTTTGAATGGTATGCATCTTGCGCATACCAAGCCATCCGAACCAATCTAAACTTCCATCTTTTTATTTAAAATTAATGAAAAAATGATAGAAATCAAAAATTTATATTAAGAAATCAATAGGTATTTATCGGGGGTTAGGAGATATTAATAATTAGATCTACAATCAACATTTATTCATTTTGACTTGTGAAAATGTTTCCAAATAGCTTGTGATTCAAGATATAAGTATAAAACAAGATTCTATCATAGTTCTAATCTTTTCCCATTTCAAATTGTGTTGCAAATGGTATACTTTATATAAAATAGTTGAAAATTAAATAAGATTATCCAAAATAAAAAGTCCAAAATGAAAAACAAATTCACATTAATAATAATAGAAATTGATTAATATTAGTAATAAATTTCTATTAAAATTAAATATAATTTTATGAAACAATATAAGTAATTTTTTAAGACTGTTAATTTAAACCACAAAATAATTAACAAATTTAATACATTCTTGAGAGGAGAAAAAAAAGTCTAAAAAGTAACATAATTGAAGATTGTATCTATTAACCAATTGTGAATCTACAATTTATGATTTTCAACTTTAGAGTTCGATTAAACTTTGTGTGAATTTATTACTTTATTTAGTATTTAAATACATAATTTCTAAATACATCTTAAAACCCTTAAAAATCGAGAAAGGTTTGAAACAATAATTACTCGATATGTCTTAATATTTTTGATCCGAATAATGTATTTAATTTTAATTCTCATTTTTTAATTTGTAGATGAAAGATGCTTATTTCTCATCTCGCTTGATAAGAATCTGAATGTAAATCAATATTACAACAATTGTCATGGTTAATGTGATTAATTATTATGCTTTCAACTTTAGTTACATTTACAAAAATTGACTTTTTTATGATTTGCAAGGCTATCGATTAGATTAAGTTCAACAAGCTTTAGATTCATTGTATGAGGACTTTTTGAAGGAAGAGACACACAATTTATAAGAAGTTTTAGAAAATCTTGTTGAATGAGTAAGTAAATCTTATGTTAATTATAAAATAATGTCTCTCTAAAGATTACAATGGTGTTATATTTAAATAATTTGTAAAATCCAATCATTTGAGAGGTTTATTTTAGGCTATTTTTAATGATGAAGTTTCCATATTGAATTAGGTTTATGTGTTCAAGATCTTAAACAGAAGTTTAGGATTAGATAGAATTTTTAATAATGAATTAAGAAAAAGATTCTAAGGGAGGGATATCATTATATTTAAGTATTTTAACTTTTATTGATTAATGGATTACTGATATTATATATACCACCTTTTCAAAGAACTCTTTGGATGTCAAATTTAATAGCCATGTTAAGCACTAACTACCATAATTTTAAAATTATGGAGTTCAATAAAATAAATAATAAATTCAATAAAAAAAGATAAAAGCCATTGAAAATGAATTAATAAAATTGCAGAAACCCAATTATTGGTTCAACCTTGCAAGGTACATAGTAATAAATGTTTTTTATAAAATACACTGATTCTGAGAAGGCTTTCATTTTATTAAAAGTTTTTAATAGTGGAATGTTAAGAGTATTAAACAATATGAAATACTTTTAATATGAAAAACATGCTAATATTTAATCTAAAGTATTTTGTGAACAGAAGTTGTTTCAAATTACCTTGCTATTCATAAAAAAACCCAAATTGTCTTGCCATTAAAATAGATAGCGAAATATTTAAGGAAGGATTAATCAAATTAATTTTACATTGCTTCATAAGTGATAGCATAAACTGAAACTTCTTTGTAGATGCTTGCCTTAGTTTAAGCAATTGTGATCACTTACTTAAATATTGAAATTTTATGCAATGATTTGAACAATATAGATTTTACAAAAATTTCAGAATTGAAATTAAGAGTTAGATAATTATTGATAACATTGTAGTACAGTTGGATGAAGAATAATAATGTCGCAAGGACAGTTTAATTCCATATAGAATACAATCAGAATCGATTAGTGCAAAGAATGATGTTAAGAGTGACGTTATTAATAATATCATATTAAAAATATTAATTAATAAATTTGTTTTTAAGATTAGAATAATTAATTAGAACAATTAATAAAATTAAAGACGAATGGGGTTATTCGTATTATAAAAGAAACTTGCATATAATTCACATGCAAGCAAATAAGAATGAGAAGATGTATCCTAATTATTATGATGTTATTTGTTTATGATGTGGAAAAATGTGATACTCAATTTGAATGCGCTTCATTTTTATTGTGATTTCAACTATTCAAATGTTTAAACAGGAATTAGAATAAACTTTTGATTTCCAATTTGAAATTAGTTGTAACCCAATTTAACACTGTTTTTGCAATCATCGCATTTACATAATTCAGAACATTTCACTCCTGCATTATAACATTCACAATATTTTTTTTAGCAATTACTTTTACGACAATTACATTTAATCTAAGCAGGAGTATTCTTCTCAACCATTTGTTCAAGCACTTTGTTTCTTTATTCAGGGTGTTTATCATCATTGTGACAATTTTAACATGAACACTCACTTCCACAATACTCTCCAAAAGCAAGACAATCACAATACATCTTCAGACATTAGCTTTTTTTGCAAGTGCATTATCTCTATTTCTATTGGAATGGTTTTTTAATTGTTGTTTCAGTTATAACTCTTTTTTGCTATCTAGTAGGAGTCTGGAACTAGTCATCGTTAAATATAGTGTCACAATGATTTGGTTTCATTTATTAAATTTATTTATCAAAATGCAATACACAGAATCCAATAGTGATTAAACACATTGCACTCCTTCTTCTAGATGCTACTCGCAAGAACACATATAACATAATGATTTAACTCTATATAATAAATCAACCCTTGGATACAAAACTATTATTTTTAATATAAAATCTCCAAGGCTTATCCTTCCATTCTTCTGCATAATCTATATTGATTCTAGCTGAAACTCCGATCTCGTATTATTTCGTATTGTCTATCAAATACATCCCACTTTTCTGATCGCACAAATTTAATCCATTATGAGACTTATCAAGAAGCAAACACCCTCCACATTTCCCTGGACCATTAGATAGGTCCTACAACTTCGGAGACTTGGTTTTCCTTATCTCTTTTATGATATCAAAACTCAGAGGCTGAACTGCTCTAATCAAAACAGCCTCTGGATCATCCTTGGTTGCTGCTGTGATATTCAAGCAATAATTATTTCCATAAATCGAATAAACATATAAATGACCACCATCCTACCAAAAGTACTTTGTTCTGTCTGTTTTTTTGTTGTTGTAGGCATGACAAGCCTTGTCTTCAGGAGCTGATAATTACTCATTAATAAGTCATATTTACCTTTATAGGCTTCTGTTTCTACTATTATTGCTCTGACCTCTCCTTACGGCAATTATCTCACAATTATCTTACCTATCAATTTCTATGCTAATTCAACTACGTCGACTTTGTAGAAATCTGCAGTCAACATTGTGTCAACCATTTAGTACTCTTCCGCTGGATTGGCCTCATTCTTTTTTATTTTTTTTGCAACTGGTTTTTCTACTTATTCCAAATCTGCTTTCGGCTTGGTTTCATTTTATTTTGCCTTTTTCATTTTTTAATATCATAAAATTAATCTATATATACGCTTCTAATATTAGTGTATCTTTATTTTCATCATACTTCCCTGTAATACAATTCCACATTTTTACAATTTATCTTAATAAGAATAAACTATCCAATCTTATCTTAAAGATTCTTATTAAGAATACTTGAATCTTGATATATTAAATAATTATAAAAGAAATTATTGTAAATATGATGTTATTAATAATATATAACGAGTGCTTTGCAAATTAGATAATTATAACTCTGTTGTAAACTAGATATTTATTGTAAATCAAATAAGATTAGATAAGAAAATGAAGAAGGACTACTATTAAAACAAGTTTGTATATCATAGATAGAAAAATTCCATATTTTCTGATTTTAATTATTCATACATTAGATTATATAGACCTTTATAATAAAGATGGCATAAAGTTTAAGAATAAATTTCAAGATGAGAACTAATTGAATTATCATTTAAACATAATGATGATATTTGCTTAAAGTCGATAAGTTTCTAAGATAGATTATTAAATTAAGAACCTAGAGGCTATAAACTCTAAATTTAAGCATACATAACTAGTTTTATACATTAGAAATAATTAAAAACTTTAAGAAAAAGAATTAATTTATCATTATTAAAGACCAAAATGTAGATTTTCCTGCCTCATTAAATTCACATCACTTGTATTTGTTTTTATTATTCAGATCGTAGCTTTAAGTCCTTAGAGTGAAAGCTAATAAATAATAAGTAATTAAACATGTAATTTTGATAGCTGGTTATTTATGTTAAGCAGTATTGAAATTAAGAGATAGAAACAATTTACAACAGGCAATTGAATTGGTTGGAACTAGTAATGCAATCCCAATCTGTGTTTTGATAGCTGAAATTATCACAACAAACTCTCCAGGATTATCATAGATTACATACTTTCAAAAGTGATTATTGATACTATCATTAGAGATAATAAAACGCAGGATTAACAGTCTTCTTAAATTGGAATTAGGATCAAATTAACCTATTAGCCAACAGAATCTGAAATGAGAGAGCCTGGTTTTTAATAGAGAAAAGTAGATCCTCTCAAATAGCATAATTGGGATGACTTGTATAAATTTATATTGTTGTACTCAAAAGATTTGTCAATGATTAAAAATCATGGTAAATGTATGTCAAATATTACTAGAGATTATAAGACTTTTATCTGATGAAAAATAGATGGATTAAAGATCATCTTACTCTTCACGCCATTAATCAGAAAGTCATATTACTAAGAATAATTGCGATCCTAATTCATTTGTTTATACATCCAATCATGGAACAGATGATGCAAATAGATCTAAAATTAAAACTAGAGGATAAAAAAGATTATGAATCTATTAAACAATTTTATCTATAAAAACAAATATCATAAAAATTAAATCTGGGCCATCAAATATTCAGAATTTTCTAAGAACAAAGAAGTGTAATGATCAAAAAGGTTTTTGATTTCTAAAATTTTTTGTTAACAAATTTCAGATAAAATACTTAGCTAATTCTCTGTTAGTTATGAATTTGAAAGGTACGCTTTCACTATCTTACAGAAATAATATTTGAGAATAATATATCACAAGTTAAGTAATTAATACTCTTTGATTGTTCTTCTTGTCATTAAATTATAGATATCAATTGCAGGTAAGAATAGGGGTCTATACTTTCCTTGTTATATTTTATTCAGACTATAAAAATTTATAGAAATATTAAATAAAAAGCAGAAGATGATATTACCCTCATAGTTATAGAATTGATGAAATGATGGCTGTAGTAATTTATATTATTTATACTCATCCAAACTAAATTTATGATCTGCCACCTGGAGGATTTCTAACTTTGACTGATGTTTTAACATCCGATTATTATTATTAAACAGGAGGTTGATTGACTTGTTTTCTTCCTAAGGGTTGAGGTGCTTGCTATTGAGGAGTATAATCTCCCTTTGGTTGTTAAATATGGTATGTACAAATGAGATCGATGAATTTCCTCCAGGTGCTTAGTGTAATCTAATTGATGGCTTATCTAATCCATATCCTTAAATGTTATTCATTTTTCAAATATTTAACTGCTATTTATATTATTAATATTTAATGACCAATAATTTAAGTATTAAAATAGATTTTTAATGAATATCTTATTAATTAAATTAGAGAATTGTGAATTTAATTAATAAAGTCAGTTTGAACATGATAAAGTGATTTTAATAAAATTTTTGTTTATTAGAAGGATCTAATAGTTAATGGATCGAATAAAATCAGATAGTAAAATCGTAAAGATTTTAATAAGTCAGAACCAAAAACAAAAATTAAGTCATCCTCACTGAACAGAATTATGAGAAATTGATATTATTGTCAAAGTATTTAAATATAAAATCATAAGTATACACTCTTATTCTAATTTCATTTATAATTAAAGGTAAATCGAAAGTAAGAATTACAAAAACATTACAATTTATTAAATAATTTTAAGTTAAAATTGATTTATAGGCATGATCTTTGAAATGATAATATTTGAGAGCTAATAATTGTAAATCCATAAGAAACTGCAGTATTCTATTATAATTATAGAGACTTTAATAGGCAATAAATATTCAATTATGGTTTAGCAAATTAAATTAAGAATTTAAAATTAACACTTATCAAATAATTTAAATGGTCTCTAAAGTGTTTAAAAATCATAATATTTCTATAAAATAAAGATCATGAAATCAAATGTAATTTAAATGATATAAATAAATTGGAATTGTAGAACATTACGAATAAGTTTTACCAATAAAATTCTAATCTATTTACAATTACTACTTTTGAGCAACAAGTAAGAGATATAGCTTGATTCTTGGTAGCATAAGATGCAGATTTAAATCAAGTTATAGTTAAATGGATTGCAATTTATATTTCTTATTGTAATTAAATACTATTTTGTAGTTTAAAATATAAAATAAATATGTTAATTGAAATGAATTTGAAAACGAGCAAGGTTTGATAGAGGAGAAGTTTAGGGTGAGATGAAGGTAGTGAGTGGGTGTGGGGGATGTTGAAAGGAGATTGAGTAATTAATTTAAATGATTGTTATACATTTGATTTTATAAAATAAATTATTATGAACCCGGAAGAATCGAATATTTTGGTAGCTATTCGTTGTCGGCCTCTTAATCAGAAGGAAATTTAAAACGATGATTTAGACATAGTTAGAGTGGAGGACAATTTGATTGTATTAATGATTATGGATGACTAATTTAGATCATTTTGGACCCAATACAAATGGAATATGAAGCAGAGAATAAGAAAATGCTGGAAGTGTATCATAGGAGCAAAGAACAGCGATACGCCTTCGATAAAGTGTTTAGGGAGGAGAGCCAAGATGATGTATTTGATGTTGATTGGTATAGTTTAGATCTTTGAATAAACATGCAAATAGCTGATTAAGCCTGTGATGAACGGTTACAATGCGACTGTATTTGCCTATGGTCCCACTGGAACAGGGAAGACGTACACGATGTTGGGAAACCAAGAAACCATGGGAATAAGTGTGCTCACAATAAGGGACATGTTTGAATTCATAAAACGTGATCTGGATAACGAATACATAGTGATGATAAGTTATGTGGAGATCTACAACGAAGCTATTCGTGATCTACTAATTTAGTAATCCTAATATTTGGAGTTACGAGACGATCCAATAAAGGGAGTCACAATAGCAGGAGTTACTGAGTATAAAGCAATAAGTGTTCAGTAGGTTATGAACTTATTGCTCTAAGGAAATAGGAGGAGGACAACCGAAGCCACGAATGCCAATCTTACTTCCTCCAGGTCTCATGCAGTATTTTAAATAAATGTGACTCAAAGGAGCAAAGTGAAAAATACGGAGATGGAGTCAATGAATGGGAAGTTGAGTCTAATAGATTTGGCAGGCAGTGAAAGGGGGACTGTGACAGAGAACAGAGGACTTCGATTGAGAGAGGGAGCAAAAATCAATAGGTCTTTGTTGGCACTAGCAAATTGTATCAATGCATTGGGCGACAAGAGCAAGAAAGGATTCTTTGTGCCTTATCGAGATAGCAAATTGACAAGATTGTTAAAGGATTCCTTGGGTGGCAATTGCAGAACAGTCATGATTGCAAATATATCGCCAGCTTCGTCTTAATTTGAGGAGACCATCAACACTTTGAAATACGCCAACAGAGCTAAAAATATAAAGACAAAGCAATTACCTAATAAGAAATTGGTTGCTATGCATATAGCTGAATATAAGAACATAATTAGTGATTTGAGATCGGAAATTGAATCCTTGAAACTAAGATTGAATGAAAAATAGTTTGATGACAATGAAGACGAATCAATTACTATCAACAATTACATTAACAAGAATGGTAAGCCAGAAGTAGAGGAGTTGAAATCAATTTAGGAGGAAATCTTTGAAAACTTTTAGGAAAGAATTCAATTAAGAAGGGCACTTATGGAAATTGAGGAACAGAATGCAATGAATTTCTTGGAAATCAAAAAAAGGTAGAGTGAAATTTTGTAATGGAAGAAGTCAGGTGAGAAGAATATGCCAGAAGATATAAGACAAGGATTAAAGAGCATTTAGACATTGAAAACAAGTACGGAGAAGAATATGATCAAAAAAGAATTGATGGGCTTGTAGTTGGTTGAAAATATTAATAATGCCAAGAAGATTAGAGAGTCAATTCCAAAAAGAATTCAGAGTAAGGAGAAGAGAGACTATTTGGAATTGGAAATTAAGAATCACGTTTTGGAATTATAAAATGTTGAATTGGAAATCAATCTATAAATTCAAGAAAAAACTATTAATGATTTAAAAATGATTGTTGAAAATTAAAAGAAACTTATTAACGATACTCAAGATGACGAGAAATATTTTGAAGAAACTGACATTGAATATATTGATGATTTATTGGAGGATCCAGAATTTTAACAGGAATAAGATGACGATGATCTGGAGGATTTGGGGGAATTGGATTAGTTTAAAGAATTCATCAAAAAAGAGGAATTGAAATAAAATTCACCCAATCAATTCAAACAAAGAGACAAGAGTGCCCCAAGAAAGCAGTTTAACAAATAGGAATTGTCTATTCAAGAAGACTACGATGAAATTAGTTAATCATAATCCAAACCGAAAGTTAGAGATCAATCTCGTAATAAAAGGGATGGAGGTGGATCTGCTATTTAAAATAAAGTACTGCCCCCAAAAGATAAATAATTGCAATTTCAATAACAAATCAAACCTGCAAATATTAAACCACCAAAAGATATATCAGTTCTAAATTTACAAGGGGTACTCATTATTAATCTAATTCTAGCGAAATCTATCAATAGGCAATTCATAGCAAAGAGGAAATTCTAAGGCCAAAAAATGATTATTAATATTTTATAATATAAATGCTTACAAGATAAAAGTAACTTATCAATTGTTCAAAACAATATCATCAATTATTCTAAAAATAAATGAACACCAAAATTTATTTAAATTTGTTTTCATTTAAAAAACGATAATTACTAAAGGAAAAACGATAATTGGAATTATTATTACTGATTAATCAAACGAATCCAAGAATTTTAATTTTATGATTCTCATTTATACTTTATCAATAGTTGCTATGGTTGTAGGCGAATCCACAACTGAAGAACAAGTTACTAGGAACTACTGTTAACTTCCAGATCCCATATTTGCAGATGGAATATAGGCTGCTAACTTTGGTACCGATGGTTGGAACTATGCAAATGCTGAAAATTGGGAATGTAATTGTTGAAATATACCATATTTTAGAACTTGTTGTGACTTGTGGTGGAAGCTACCAATCACCAATTGATATTGTAACTACAGGAGCTAGTCAATAATAAGTTTAGCCGTAAATCTACTATAAAAATAAGACTTCGGATATTGGATACGAAGAAGTAAATAGTAATAAAATTAAATTAAATTTAGCACCATACACCAAAGAATATGAAGGAGAATATTCAGTAATAGAAGTATTAGATGCTTCAGGATTGGTGGTCAGATACTACGCCAAGCAATTTCATATTCATACTCCATCAGAACATACTATTGATGGAAAGCACTTTGACTTAGAAATTCATTTTGTTCATTAAGTCAAAGTCTTTAAATATATAATTAGGCTATTCAAGATGAGGAGTAAGACTGTAACAAGGTAAAGAATAGTTTGACAGTTTTCGGTCTTATGTTCACAGAATCAGCCTCTGCAACTGATTATGAAGTATTCAAGCCTTGGTTTGATTAAAATATGACTGGAGAAGTGGAATCTTTTGACTTGAAGTAAGATTCTAGTTATTAAGTTTAATAGCGACTTCTTCTAAAAAATGACTGATTCTACCTATTACAATTATAATGGTAGTTTGACAACTCTTCCATGTTCTTAGATTGTTAATTGGATTGTATTCTATCAAGCATTACCAATCTCTACTTTCTAATTGAATCAATTCAGATCAACATTTGCTGATTCGACTGCCTTTCCACTCAAGTAGAACAACCGTCCAATATAAAACTTGAATGGGAGGAAGATCTTAAAAGGAGTAATTGAATATGATGACTATATTTAAGACTGCACTCACAGCTGGAGTGACAGAAATCCCAGATGTGTAATCATCCCAAGCATATCTATTACTTTTATCCATTGTGATGGGTGCTTTTATATTATGATAACACATTAATAATTTAAATTAAAAATGATTCTAGCCTCAATATTTCTGACATTACTTTTGGATTCAATCAGGTCGTAGAGAACGTACTGTCAATTGCCTGATCCTATTTTTAATGACGGAGTTAAGAATTCGACCTGGGGAGATGCAGATCCTTCTGATTGGAATTACTTAAACTCAAATGACTGGAAGAGTATGTTATTTGTGTTAGAAAGCGTAGGCAAAGTTGTGACTTGTGGTGCCAGCTTTTAATCTCCCATAAACATAATCACGTCTACTGCAACCAAGGAATCTACATTCCCAGCCATTAATTATATACTGAAGTCTTCAACCAAAAATTACTTCGAAGCTCAGAGTACTTCTCTTAAACTATTTATCCAGGGGATTATACCAAGGAATTGGAAGGAGAGTACGATTTTATCACTGCATTCGATATATCAAATTCTCAATACAAATATTATGCTAGGCAGTTCCACATTCATACTCCATCCGAACATCAAGTCGATGGAAAAAATTTTGACTTAGAAGTTCACTTCGTGCATCAAGTATGCTTTCAGTTTATCAGGCTGTCGAAGACGGAGAACAGAGTTGCAATGACATCAGAAACAAATTGACTGTCTTTGGATTACTCTTCCAATAGTCCAACACTGCTTCCGATTACGAAGTGTTCAAGCCATGGTTTGATGACACCGTCAATAGAGTTTCATCCTTTGATATGAAGTAATCCTCCTCTCTCCTACATTTAATAGCGACTTCTTCCAAAGAATGACTGACAAAACCTATTATCATTACACGGGCAGTCTCACCACTATGTATGTTCTTAGAAACTAACCATAGACCTTGCTCTTAAACTGTCAATTGGTATGTTTTTACTTCCCCCTTGCCCATCTCTAAATCGCAATTTAAACAATTCAAAGACTTCCTCGACAATGATGACTACTTCCCCGATTAATCCAACAATCGTCCAGTTCAAAATCTTAATGGGCGCACCCTCTACAAAGGAGTAAACATCATCAATCATAAATTTCTAGACTGCTTCTTTCAATGGAGTGACCTCTCTTCCTGTTATAGAAGCAAGTTGGGGTTCCATTATCCAGATGGCTATGCTATTATTAATTTATCTGATAATATGATATATTTCTATGAGAATCCATAGATTATCAAAAACTTTAATTTTATAATTTTAGTTTGTTTGAATTTCTATTAACAATTAACAAATATTTATTGTGATGTCATAATTGGCGTGTCATCAGGATTTACCTCCTAGGCCTGTCCTGTCGTCTGAGCAGCTCAGATAGACTTAGAACGGACACAATGACAAGCAAAGAGGCAACATAAAAGTGAGATTTAAAAATGAAGTCTCTCCTAGAGACCCGGTCAGAGCTGAGATGCTCAAAGATGTTGAATTATTATTAGTATTCTATTATGTTAAATATTTCTATGAATATGATAAATTAATTATAAATAAAAAATTAAGCTCATTATGATGCTGTAATAATCTAATCATCCCAAAGAAAGTGATGGCGAAACTCCATTCTAAAAAGGAGAGTAAATCTTAAAAAAAACAAAAGCTTTTCAATAAAGGGCTAATGAAATATTAAGTGTTAATGCTTACAAAATACAATTCGTAAAAGGCAAAGAATAAATTCCCAAATTTGTGAATCCATTTAATTAGACTATTCGCGTTTAAGTCTCTAGTTCATTAAATAAGGCTCAATAATTTTCTCCACAATCTTACTATGATATTGAACAATGGGGATAAAATAGTTTGAAATATTATTTATAATATAGGATTTACAATCGGTTAATTGGAGAAGGAATTTGTGAATGTGTACGATGACGTTTCGGCCGTGGTATATTTCAATAGCGTAGAGTGCCCAAATGAGGAGATGATGAGTCCCATACACCTTCTTGTCGACTATTCAAACCTATCTTAAATTAATAGTTTATAGGAACATTGTAATTAGTTAATACATTAAATGTAATTTAATCCAAAGACGAACATGCTTTCATTCAAAACTAAGGAATTAATTGCCAAATCAACTTACTAGAATAAACAAAAGATCAAAGTCTAAGATGTCTCATAAATGAGGGGCTATGCTACTTGCATTGAAATAACACAAACCTGTGAGAATCAAATACTCGAAGATGGCAACATCTTTAAAGTCGGCCTTTAACCCCTGTTAACAGTTAGAAAAATTTATCACAAATTTCAGAATTTCTTTGAGAGATACTCCAGTAAAAACAATATCGATGACATGATTTTTGAGGCCCTGCAATCTCTTTAGTCCAAAGTTCAATTTTCAGGAATTGATGAAAGTGTCTCAGAACTATTTATGCACGTTCAAGACAGAAGCATAAACAAAGCTGAATATTTGTAAAGATTAGAAGATGAAAATCTGATGATGCAATCTGTAAATTTGTAAATCATATATATATTAGAAATTATACACAGCCTTGGAGAAGAATTGTATTCTATTGTAAACGTAGAGGGATGAAAATCCTATCGAACATTTCTTGCTGGTAGCAGATCAAAAAAATACATTCCTTTTTGGAAGAATGGATTTCTCAGATATCGCATTTCAATCCACTTAAGTCTCAAGAAATCATGGAACCATACAGTTTATGCCAGCTACTAACAAATGGATTATCATGGATGGCTAGAAATCTTTTGAGTAGAAGTGGAAAAACAGTACTTTTGGAGTGTGGTTGCAGATGAACCCCAAGACGTTTTACTATATTGATCCAGAACAAATTATAAAGGTGGGATCAACGTGTATTAATATGATACCAAATAATGTGAAAATGAATGATCAGGATGTTGATAATTCAATCCAACTGAAAGAATTCAACAATTTAAGAGTGAAAGAGATCGAAGATTTTACGAAAACATTACTAGACCTATGAATAATTATGAGTTGATAATTAGAGATTATTGAATTTAAGTTTGTAAGCTGTACAAAAAGAGTCTTGTACCATATAAGAAAACACAATAATATGGTATTCATATTTTAAAAATGTCGTCAGGGTTTATATCTCTGTAATATGTGATATTAAATTTGGTGTCGAGTTGAATTATTGTCTGCAAACTTTAATGGAAACCAACACCAAGTTGATTATTACATTTTTCAATAAATTCTTTTATCCTCTCTGTAGTCTGCAAATATTAAATCGCGGAATAGCATTTTTCAATTGGTACTTTCTTGGTTTGAGATTGTTAAAGCCATTTGAATTCATCCTCATATTATTTCTAATTTTTTTATTCTATTTTTTATTTAAGTAATATATTAAAGTCATTTTTGTATGTTGTTTAAGCTTAATAATAGTCGTTGGTTAACCTATTTTACAAGGCCATGTACTCTTTGTTACCTACAGACTTCTTCATAAAATAGGTTAGAAGTTCGATTAGTTATGGTATATCATTGTCAAAGAGAATTGTAGGTTCAAAATCACTTATATTCTAGTTCAACATTGCAAATCCATAACTAATTTAGTAAAACCCAATTAACTATAAGAACTATTAGAAGATCAAATAATCAATATGATTGACTATTAGTTTCTATTTCATTAAATCAACCACGTTTTTACAAAGCAAGAATTTACGATAAAAAACTTCAATTAATAAATTTAATCTTTTGAATTTTTCTGCCTTATTCTTCTTTATTTATTATTTTTATTCCAACTCCAACACTTTTCTATCAATAGGTATAAAGATGGAGTCTGTTAGCATTCGAGTAGGAGTTCTCTTAATCTCATGAGACCATAGATCTTCAAATTAGATTCGCTTATCCTAATCATAAATTATCATCTTTTCAATTAAATCCATAATCATTTAACCGCCTTGTAAAACTGCACATTTAAATGGATTATTTTTTATTGAATCATGAAATTCCGTTAATTGTTAATAAGTCTAATAGTTGCTTGGAAAATTGAATCTATAAGCTATTTGATGGAAAACAATTCCGTAGGAGTAGATATCACACTTGCAAGAAAAGTTTTATCCTCTCAAAATTTCAGGTGCACAATATGAACGAGTGCCGACTCTTGTTAAATTAGCTTTAGCGTAGATATCGTCTATGAATTTAGTAAAACCAAAATCAGCGATCTAATTTAGCATAATAAATATACTTTATAAATTTTCCTTTCTGTTGGAGTCCCTTTGTTAAGTATTTTAACTAAGATATTTTAGGGCTTGATATCTCTATGTATAATGTGGTTATCAATTAAAACCTAGGCACCGTTAATTATTTATTTCATTATATCATTCATTTCTATAATTGAGGGCCATGAATTATTCTGTTGAAATTATTTGAGCATTTTCTCCAAATCCAAATCACATAATTCCATTACAATACATAATCTAGATTTTTCATCGATAATCTCAATCATTTTAACTAAATTCTCACAGTTTGCATTCTTTAAAGTTTAGAATGTCTTTATTTCTGCTTCAAGCTATCTCCTCTAACTTTATTCCTTTTTCTGGTCGGTATTCATGGATTTGTTAATTATCTTCATGCAATATAACTCATCCTTATTGCCCTCTCGATAACACTTGTAAGCGGTTCCATAGGCACCCGAACCTAATATTTCATTGGTTAAGACACAATAGTCTTTAATTTTTTTCATTTTATTAATAGAAAATAATATTAAAATATGTAAAAATTAAATGAGTATTTATTCTTGAGTATTTATGATATTAAATAAATAAAATATAAAAATAAGAAAACTCTACCATGTGCATAAATTTTCTAAGACTTATAAATATTAGATGATAAATCCCTTCTATTTTACCAATTCTCAAAACACACAGATCATAATAAGATATAATGTAATAAAAAGGAATGTTATTATTTGATTATCAAACTCTAATCTTAATAATTTTTTTTAATTTGAAATTCCTATATATTAATCCAAAAGATTAGCATAGTATTTTTAAATTATGTGTCTTCTTATTTATATAACTCCAATTCATAAGGAATTGCTTTAATATTTTATAATTATGACAATCACATTAAAACATCAAAATAAACTTAGGTTTATAATTATTACTTATATATATGATGAGGTAGATCTATTTTATCGCCTTGTATTATTTTTTTAAGGATATTGATTATTTTCTACCTTAATGGAAAGTAAATAATCTATAATACTTAGTATCGTCTATCCAGGTGATATCTATAAGTAAATGTAAATTATACATAGTTTTTGATTTTCTTTGAAACTCAACTAAAATGAATATGTTGCTATCTTTCTCTAGAGTTGATGAGATGGTCTCTTGCACTTATTGAGTCTTCTTGGACCAAGTATATCAATATTGAATTGAATTTCGTTTATCTATTTGTTATGGGGAGGGAGATTAGAGGGAGAATTGCAAATGGTAATATTTTATATGTATATCAATTATAATAATAAAAATTCGAATATTTTTAATCACGAGGATTATTATGAATATGGGGTGAAGGATTGTAACGGAATGAGTTTGTTTCTTGATTACTGGTATGTTAATCTAGGAATTCAATATATTGGTTGTTTTTTTTTAAGTTTTTATACTGTATTATGAAAATACTTTATTCACATTTCAAAAGTATTTGTGAGCTCAATCGAATAGTTCAACTTCCTGGATGAAGGCATCAGAATCAAAAGATGAGATAAGATTTTCAAGTTCCTTAAATTTTTCATCTCTTGTCATTGGATTATTGGGCCTTTCATAATATAAGGATTCAAATGTTTAAAGTCTATTAGTATTGGTGATGATTACATACAAAACTTTCCGCGGACTTTACGAATGAGTTTATGCATATGATTGCTTTGAAGTGCTATCCCACAGGATGTTAGAATTTGAACCTTGTTTACTAGAACGAGACGCACTAAACTATAGTCTTAAAGGTATTGGTGTATAAATGATGGAAGAGCCGTGGGATTCAGGTGTTTGCTAATTAGACATATTATATTTAATTTTAATGAATAGGAATGAGATTAATATTAGATACCTCTAATACACTTATTAGGCTATCGATTCAAATAATCCATCCTTAGCTCACCTTGAACTGAACTCCCTCTCTGGAGACTGTCAAAATGTTTTATTAAGATTATTTAAATGATTTATATAAAGGGTTTAATTGGAGATATATTTGAAACTTTTATTGACATCAAAAATCTATTTAATTTTACTTAAATGATCCAAATTTCACATCTAATTGCCATCCACAAAAAGGCAATGGAGTTCTGAATTAGCCCCTCCCTTTCCCTGGTGAATTAAATTGATATCGAATCTAGGATTTGTTTTCCTGATTCAAGATTACTAAAAGGAGTGCTCCAATTACTAGTGTTGATAACAAAAAGTAAAATTAAAAATAAAATCAAATTATTCTAATTTGGGAAACAAAGTTGACCGAATTGATTTTTAAATTAATTAATGGGAGCTTGTCAACATTTATGCAGATAATAACTTGTTATCTAATAGGAAGTCACAATCCAATAGAAACGGTAGAAAAAGAAGCAATCTGATAAGGATTCAAAGATTGATCATAGTTGTTCTCAAAAAGGAGTTGCCGAGGAAATCATAGGAGAAGAATTTCGGTCTCCTCAAGAAAATAAGTATTTTCGCAAAAGAATCAAGAATCTCAATATAGCAGGTGATCGGAAAAACAGATTTATGCATGATATAGAAGAAGAGATAAAGTATATAATTAGGAAGAAGTATCATATTAATCGTAACCTAGCATCGAAGAAGAGTAAGAAAACTTGAAACGCGTTCAATAAATTTATGAACAAGAACTTGAACTGTAAAGGAAAGAACAAATCAGAAAATAAAAGGAATAATTAGACAACCAATTTTCTTTTTAAAATTCCATCATTCAATCAAGTGATAACCCAAGTGAACATCCAAGTGCCAATCCCTTCTAACCAAAATCAACATCCCAATTTGCCCCCAAGAGAAATGATAATGATACAGTTTCTCAAAAATCTTAAATCTCCAAAACTCCTACCCCTCCTTACAAAGATAAATCAATTTCTTCTTAATCTGATGCCATGAGAAAAAGCGCTTTAATCAAAATCATTCAAGCAAGAGAAGAATTAGCCAGTAATAATGCAAGTAAAGGCTCTTCCAAAAAAAAATTGATGCTTGATGCCTATGAAAAAATGTTTAGCGAATTCTTTTCCCAAGACGAAAGAGGATCAAGTAGCTAAAGTAAAAGCTATAAAAGCATTTTGAAGAATAGATCTTTAACTCATCGCAGTTTCTCAGGTAGTAAATCCATTAAATCCACTCATACTGCTGTTAAAAAATCAAAAAGAGTTCGATTTTCGAAAGAAACCAATTTCAGTTTTGAAAGAAAATCAACCGAAAAGAAAAAGAAAAGCCTATGGGATTGGTGAAAATTTGTCAAGATTATCACTCACAACCTACATCTACATGATTAAAGATCTATATCATACTTACATTTGAAACCTTTTATAATATATACAATATCAATGCCCTCTAAATGATGTCACTTTGCTATCTCGTATCCCCAGAAGTGATTATTTAAATAACAAATAATTATCATTTAATTCTTTTGAAAAAGTGTTGATGATATCAGGAGCCGTAACAAAAATTTACAAAGTAAATTCAACTGTTTTAGGATAGGATAGGCTGATTAGGTAAAAAGAATTAATTATGCAGAACTTACACATTTTTGTTACGGGTCTTCAAGTTGCATTTACTCAAGAAAATCAAGAGTGGGGAATGTCTCAGAATGTGGCAAAACAAATTAGATGCACTTTGTTCTCACTTCTCCATGACAAGAAGAGTATTTAATTTTAGTCCATGTAGATTTTGAGATGGTCAAGAACAGCATTCTATCTTCAGATCCTATTTAATAAATTGAGTCAATCAAAGAGCAATCATGCCTTGAAACATTATAGGAATCTCTTCGACATCCTGTTCTACACTTATCTTATACTTACAGACATCAGTGATCTTCTTTATTGGATGTGCTTAATAGGGCTATGCAATAACGCGAATTTACAAAAATTTACTAAGGAATATACACCCAAGTTTTATTTAATAGAATGCATTGGGTGGTTTATATCCTTATGTTTTGAATATCGAGTTAATCAGATAGATATTGCTAAGGCTAATTTACAAAAGGACCCAAAGAATAAAATTAAAATAAGACAAATTCAAATACTCTAAAATTTAGTCAAATATGCCTTGGACATCCCAGTTTCCTATTCTTATGTAAATACTTAGGCTATCACACAAGAAAAGGCTGTGATTTTAGGGACATTTTCAAGCATAATCAGTTTATATCAAACATTTTAGTTGCATTCTGGAGGTTTCTAATGATTTTGCAGGGTTTTAATGATTAAAATATGTATATGTTGTTTATTTTAGAAGTATGATAAATGTATTCAATAATATTTAATAATTAATGAATTAAATTGAAACCAACAATTTAACTTTGAATTCAGAGTGTCTTTAACAGGTTTTGAGTTACATTCCCATCAATCAAAGACTGAAAATGAGAGAATTGAATTCATTTTTTGATTAAGCTGTTTGCTCAACATCATTCCCTTTGCATATGGATTAAATATAGGATGAAAATTTTAAACCAAAAGAAGTGAATACCCTACTATCCAAGTTCATCAAACCATAAGAGATTGTATTTCCAAACATAAATGCAAGAGAGTTGCAGGAACTTGTGATTCCAAAGGATCTATCAGAATTAATAAAATTTGATTCCTACTTAATTACTGATATTCCATTGGAATACATTGAAAAAGTAGTGTCTGCTTCTCCAAAATTAAGATCATTTGGATTCAAAAACAGAGATACTGATGATTTGAGCAATATCACAAAGTTTTTATCAAAGTTATCTATTTGCGAACTCAAGGTTGGAGAATGGAATCAATAAGTCAGGGATATCATAATTCAATAAGCAGATCACTTAAAAAGCATTACAATTGAAAAAGGAAATAATGAAATACTTCGAGATTTGATTTCGTTGTATAATTCAATGAAACTTTCCAGCATAAGTAATAAGGAAGAGTAATTAAGGTCGGAGTAAAGTGAGTTTTCGAATAAATTAAATCTTCAAGGGATAATGTTCACATAATTTGAAAGTTCATCGAATTAACAGGAGAGTCTAGAGGTGTTTGAAGAATTACTTAATTAATACCACTTGAAGGCTTTTCATTTTGGGATAATCCAAGGAGAATATCAAGATTAATGTATATTATTATAGGAGAACTTTTTCCAGCATCTCAAAGGTATTATTTCATAGTTTAAGAATAGAAATTCAGGAATTGCAATTTGGGTTTAAGGATTAAAGTTTATTGATGAAGGTAAAGCTAAAGAAAATTGAAAGCTTAAGATTATCAGGTTTTAAATTTGTAAAGGAGAATTTCTAGTGGTTAATGAAGCAAGCCAAATTGTTCAATAGGATTGATTTGAGGGAATGTACCTTTGATTTTGCATTTACAGATAGCATAGATAAGGTGGAATAACATGATTCTATGGTGGATGTTTATGTAAGGAGAATTATCATATTTTTAGGTTAATACAAAAATTCATGAATAGTGGTCATGTCAACTAGCGTAGTTTTAATATAATAATATTTGGATTAACTTCATCTTTCCATTTTTGTACGATCTAGAAGAAGAATTAGAACTTTAGACACAAAATAAATGATGATTGTTAATTTATATTAGAAAAATAAGGATACATTCTATGGAGCTAAATAGCTACCAAATTTAAATAACATATTAAATTATTTAATAAAATATATGGATCTAAAAATAATTGTTATTGTTTATTAATTTGAATTATAACCATAAATTAGAAAGGGTATATAAATAATTGTGGTTAACTTTTTAATGTATAAAATATGTTAATTTATATTAGTTCTCATTAAGAATGAAAGCAGAATAAAAGAAGGATGACAAGAATGACAGAAAATATGGTGAAAATTAATTTAATGTACTTCGCATTAATTTAATGGTGATAATATGTGCAATGACGGATTAATTTTTGAATGAGTCATAGTTGAGTTTATATCACAATTATTTCTTGAAATCTAATAATTTTTTTAAAATAACTAACAAGTATCAATGAGAAGAAGATTTGGGGCAATCCATTCAGATACTACTGAAGAATACATTCAACAAGCCCAATCAGCTTGGAACAAAGATCTATTTTATTATGAGGGCACTTCTAAGAAATCAGCATAAAACTATGTGAACTTTGATTTTGATGAGCGGGAAACAAATGTATGAATGTAATCTTATATTGTAGAATACTGAAATAGAGGAGGAAGTATAGATGGAAGCATAGAATGTTAAAATAATTTTGATGGATGCTGAGAATGATTCTTAAACTGTTTTTGATTATTGTGGTCAAGAATTTCATCAGCAGAAGAAGGACTTCGATTATGTTTCCAAGATTGAAGTCAACAAAAATAAATAGATTACCTACCATTTTTGGATCAACAATATTCATTCAACCAAATTTACTGATATCGTTGATGGTAAAATTTATAATTTAATATTTAGTTTATGTAAAAAATTGCGATGTCGTGATTTACATGTACAATAAATCAGTCGAAGAACATTACCAAGAATTTGTGGAGAAGATATCCAAAATAAATAATAAGAGTTTTGTTATTTACAAAGTTAACAATTCTTTGAATAGAACTCAGGTATTTTTAATTTTTTAATTTTAGAGTTTTAAATCTTTAAATGAGAAGAATTAAGAAAATGTCATTGCAGTTAAAAGCCTGTAAGAAGCTATCACAAAAACGATTAACTAATATATTTGATTATAAACCAATATTTATTTTGCGTACTACCATTGCTAAATAAATTTACTATGCGAGTCATCTTTGAGTGTGCATCGTTGGATTGTGATGTTTTTAATTTTATATCATTTTAATGTTATTATGTAAAACGGATTTATTTTCATTTATTTTTATATGAAATTATTATTGTTTGTGTTGTTCGTATACACTTATGCGACAAGTGCACAATACAGATAAGCGATGGAGGATGTATGCATTAAACTACTCTCTAGCTCAATGATGACAACTTTGGTCAAACCCTTCTTGAAACCATTCAAATGCACATCTAATCTGATGAACCTGTAGGTAATTTGATCAACATGTTATAAAATCTTCAATCATAAGTGGAGAAAGTGTAATACAAAGCTGATGAATAACATAAGAGAATCACTACAAATTGCAATATCAACCTAGATTAATTGAATGACCAAATCAATAATTATAAAATTAAATCTGTTACTCTAAAATCATACATTGACAATCTAAACCCAAATGTCAAATAGAGTGTGGCTACAGTTGAAAGAAAACAAAAGGAATTAGTATTTTTACAAATAATACAGATAGGATGATTATAAGCAAGAATTGAAATAAGCAGCAGAAAAGAGAGAGAAAGAGCATAACACCTACGCAACCATCCTTGATAACCTTGAATAAGCCCTATTTGGTTTCCATCAAATTAAATTGGCATTCAATCAATTTATCGATTCTGTACAAAAAGGATAACGTAAATTTGAGTCATTTGTTGAAATGAAATAAGTCTTAAAATAAGTTAAACACACTTACAAACTCGAAGGATATAAGCACATTGTGTAGATGCTCTAGTCTCTATCCAAATAGACAAGCGAAGAAGTATTAGGTTTCATATATATTAGGAAGCTTTAAAATTAGCAATTCAATTGAGTGCCATTCTCAAATAAATTGAGTCATACATCCAGACTGAACGAACCAGGGAAGACCAAGCAGAATTGGCAAGGGAAACAGCTTATAATGATTACAAGGCTCAAATTGCTGATTTGTTCAATGAAGCTTCTAAATCTCTTACTGAAATGACAGGTATGATTTGTGAATAAATGAGGGATATTGGATAGTCAGTCTAATGAATTGAAGTTGAGTGAGAATGAAAAGAAAGAGGCAGATGTTAGATTGCAAAATAAAATGAAAGAGTTTGATAACATTCAAGCAGAATGCTCAATATTGGATTAAGAATATTAATAACAAAATAGATAGAGAAATCAATAAAGTAAATTACTTGATTAAGCAATTCTATTAACGACAACTTCATTAGGACAATTGAAGAGTGACTTATTAAAACATGCTGAAGTTTATTGACATATACAAACCCACAAAATTTAACAATTATTATTCTGCATTTATCATTCTCTTTTTATATATTAATATATTATAAAAGAATAAAATGTCTAAGATCGATGAACAATAGATCATCAAAAACACTAAAAGCATGTAGAAAATGCAGGAAATTGCAGATCGCATCTATGCTACCACTGGTGATTTAACCAAAAGTATAAACATAGCAATATATAGCAATTAGTTCTGATAGCATATTGAAACCGTCTAAATTGACATAAGAGTAATTATTAATACAGGCTAAGAAGATGGATAACATTTAAGATAGTAAGTAGAAGAAGGGCAAAGGATAATAATCTACTTCAGCCAATAAAAGTGAGTTAAATACAACTGAATGGCTGAATAAATTATAGGAAATATAGTTATAACATAATGAAGAGAAGAAGAAACTTAGAGAAGAGCTTATAGCCAGATATGTGCAAAGGGAAATGGAATTTAAGAAAACTATCGATGAATTACAATAAGAATTGAGATCCAGAACTGCCTTGGACCAGACTGATAAGAAAATTATGGAGATGATTTACAAAGATCACAGTAAAATAATTGAAGGAATAAATAATATTTAATTGAGGACTTCTAAAATTCTAGTAGATCAAGAAAGAGACATTATTAGATTTTTTAATAATAAAATTAATGAGATAAAGAAATAGTTTCAAGAGGAAAGAGAGAAGAAAGGTTAGAATGATAAAGAATATATTTAAAAGGAGAATCAACTGATTAGTGAATTGGAATGGATTAAGAGAATTGCTTAGAAAATTGATGATGAAAATCATTAGCTGATGTAGAAATATAAAGAATTGAAAGTCGAGTATTAAACATAGGAAAGAGACAGAGAAATGTTAATGAAGGAGTTGATAATCAAGAAAAAGGAAAATGCCATCCTCAAATCATAAATTTAATAATATGAAAAGTTATTGAACGATGTTCAAAAAGAGGATGAATAAGAATCCTATCAGGACTTAATCTTAGACAAATCAGGGGTTAAAAATCAAAAAACTGACAAATCTAAATAATCATCATCCTAGCAATAGGTAAGACTTCCTTAAATAGCAAATACATAGGCTTCATAAAATGTTGATGAAGCTTCTAAAAACAAGTATGATATTAATTTTAATAGAGTAGATATTAGAATATTATTAAGACATATCAAGACACATTGAAGAAGGAATAGAAAAGGCTAAGGGATATTAAATAACTTTATACAAAAGAATTGTAAGCAAAAACAGAATTATATAATATTTTGAGACAGTGTATTGAAGATATTAAAGAAGAGATAATTTAAGTGAGGAGTGATGAGAGGACTTTGAAGAAAAATAAAAGTAATGTATTGGTATATTTAGATCTAAGTATTGAAGAGGTGAAAATGGAGAAAGAAGATAGAGAGAAGCTAATTGAAAATTTATTAAAACATGAAAGAGTCATAGAAGTTATCAGTGATAAGATATTTTATGATAAGAAAAACTATGATGAGACTCTTTTGCAATAGCAATAGGAAGAGACAAATTACAATGATGAATAATATTGAATATTTTAATTTTAGTTTAGTTAATCACAACATAAGTCTTTTTGTAAATGACTCTCAATAAGACAATTGCTAATAGTGGCATTGCATTTTTTCTGACACATTTATCTAGTAAGCAATCATAAAACTGTCTTAATGCATTAGGCATTTCTTAAAATCTCTAATAAATATTGACACATTATGTCAAATGCTTATCACAAAGTATCGTATTCTATTAAAGTTCTCCAATCTTCAAGACCCTTGGAAAAAACACAGTTTTAATCAGGGTCAGTTGTTAGTGGGAATGTTACTTTGGGTATCAGAAATGTGAAAAATAATTTAAATGGTTATAAATTATATACACACAATTAATTAAAAAACAAAGAGTAAATTCAAATTGAAATTGTGATTTATGAGACTTGCAAATGCTCCTCTCTAGCATATTTTCTCTTCACAGCTGGATACAAAGTATTGTTTTAATTGTTGTAGTAAAGCTACAATAAATAAGTGGCACAATATTTTGATTCGTCTGTGATTTCCATTTCGGATTATATTCCTAAAATTTTGTTGGACAAGAGCAATGCCGAGTGAGCCAGTTATGAAGGCATGTATTGAAGACTTTCATAACTATGCAAGGCAATCTCAAGTATGTAAGATGATAATTGAAATTGTTGGGTTTGAAATACTTTATTGTCTTCAATTTAAGTGTTTTCAATAACAGTAAATTCTAGGAATCTTAGAGGACTGATGTAGTTTAGTGAAAAGTTAACAGTATTCAAAATAGAGCCTTCCATTTAGAGTATTTCTTCCTTGGTGTATGCTCTGTCACAGACGTAGACAAAGTCTTTGATATTTGGAGGGTAGATTTCTTCAAATTTGGATGCAATGAAGAGGGATGCAACGCCCACCAATTGGAGTCTGTTCCTCTTGACGATGTTGACACTAAGGTATCTGTCTATGAGGTTGATGGCTAGATAGAGACTGTTTGGAGACTAGAGAATATTAGATGTAACAAAATACAAGTTTGAATTTCATGTGAACTTCTTCAATCCAGTCGATAAGGATGGACCTCATTTTTTAATTGATGTCTTTTTGTGTTTGTTCCATAAAGCAGGAGTTAGGTAAGTAGTTACTCTAAATGAATAGAATAATTGATTTACCTATTCTTCTAAAATGTATCGAAATATGTCCTTTCTATAATTGCTAATGAATTGGGGGTTGCTTAATTCTTCATCCATTCTACTACTGCTCAGACATGATTCATTATATTCTTCATCCATAGTACTTCCCGATCCGCATGTTGAGGTTCGTTAATGTTTTGGGACTTTTTCGAATGTTACTGATTTCGAGTTTCTTCTTAAGGAATTATAAAATGTATTGTTGTTTGAATCTTCTATTTAGGTAAGAGAGGCAATCATTGCAATTAATTTAAATTCGAATTATTGTTTTTATTTATTAATTTTGTTATTTCTTCAAATATTGGGGAAATGCCCAATTTGAATTTGAATTTCAAATTATGTTTTAATAACAGTTATTAAATGCTTTCCTATTTCTCGCGCATATTCACTTTACATTCCAATCACCATGAAACTAAACTAAAGTATATACACATTCTTTAAATTGTTTGCTTCAATTTTTTTTGAGCATTTTGTCACTGAGTGCAGACTAGAACACCCAAAGATGGGCTATCAAATAGGGAATCCCTAGTAAATCATCATTAAAATAGACTCTATATGAACATCTATTAATTCAAAATACAATATACTGTAGTTTGGAAACAAGAATATTAGACTAAATATGCAGTTTGAACTTAATAGCGTGAACATATATATATAATTTGTGCATTAATTAGACATCTTAGTTGATTTAATGAGGAATTTAAAATCAATATACAATTTTAAGAAGGAAGAGCAATTTTGCAATAAATTATTCAAAAATTTTATAATAATTTTTATTTGCCATTCCTTTCCTAATTAATCCTTGCATCTTAATGAACATTATTTTGATACATTTTATTCCTAAATCGATTTCTGATATTTTGATCCTGATTTCAACTCAAATGAGTGTATGCTGAGTTATTGTAATGAGAACTACTTTACTTTAAGAATAAAATTGGAAGATTCTTATGAGAAAGCGTTGATGCATTCTGGAGAACATGAAAATGGTTCTCTTGAAGACTGATTTAGAAAATAATTTTATAATAATCACATTATTTATAAGGGGGGTGTTAAGATAAATCATAAAATTTCTTCATAAAATTTTAACTAAGTGAAAACAATTCGTATGACATCATATTTAGTTAATTACACATTATTAGATAGCTCATTATTTGAGAGTTAAATCCACACTTAATGATGGTGGCTTATTTAAAAAAAATATCATTTATTTTTTTGTAATGTCCATTTCAGAAGTCCAACACTAACTTAATTTGACAAGCTACTTGAATTAATAAGCAACGGTGTCTGTATTTCTCGGTGTAAAAGAGATCCAAATTGATCAGGTCTAACAATTAGCAACACATACCTTCAAACTAACATTCAAGTAATATGAGATAATTAATGTTTTTAGGAACTCGAATAAAAAGATAATTTTGCACACGAAATCAAGCAATTCTCAAGTCACTGTAAGAATTTATAATAAAATCCCATAGGGTAACCAATTGGAAAAGGATTATATGATTGCGTAAAAATTATCAGCTGCAAACATGCCAGTCCCCAAGGCATTATTCTATTGCGGAGATCAATCCATAGTGGGCGTGCCTTTTTATGCAACTGAATATGTTGAGGGAAGACTATTCAACGATAAGAAATTATTGAGTGTTTCTCAGACAGAAAAGAAATTGTTGTTTTAGGAAGTATCAAAAGCCTTGGCTCATTTACATTCTATCAGTTTGAATTATTTGGGACTTGGAGAATTGGAATCTCAAACTAGTCAATACCAAACACTCAATAAAAAATTATATAACCTATACAAATTACATGAAACCAAGATTTCAACAAATGTGGAAGATTTATTGTATTGGTTGTCATTAAACTCACCAGTGAAATCAGAATTGGATAATCTTTGTTTGGTGCATGGAGATTTTTCATTATCCAAAGTTGTCTTCCATCCAACTGAACCAAAGGTCTTGGCCATCCTGGATTGGCAATAAGCCTAATTAGGGAATGCATTCATCGATTTGGCTAGTTTTGTCTCACCCTACTACATCCCTTATTCAAATGGATAACATCAAGTTGATGGATGGTTCGGAATCGAAGAAATAATTGCTCAACCCAATCTCCAAGAAGTCTTATCAGCCTATTTTACAACAAGATCGAGTGAAACTGCTCAAGACATCAATTACCAACTGGTAATTTCATTGTTGAAACAATCAATCGATTAACAAATCCTCTACAAACAAACTAAAGATGAGAAATATCAAGATAACTCTCATTACATATCCAAAGCAGGTTATGAATTGATATTGAGAATAACTGAAGGAGATCCTTTCGGAATCAAGTTGAGAGCCAATAATGATGGTTAATTGTGGTCCAATTGGCCAGTTTCAGAAAGATGCAAAAGTTACTACTATAGAATCAAGGATTTTATGAAGGATGAAATTTTCCCAATCGAAAAAGCCATCTTGGATAAAGCCAGAGCAGTTCCAAGAACAGTGAAAAACAAACCAATTGTAGAAATCGAAGAACTCTAAAGAAAAGCCAAAGCCGTTGGATTGTGGAACTTATTCATCTCAGATCCCATGTATGGCAAAGGATTAACTAATTTGGAGTATGTGTACCTTTCAGAACTCATGGGATTAAGTTATCTTGCTCATGAAGTGTTTAATTGTTTCGCACCAGAAACAGGAAATATCAAATTACTGATTGCCTATGGAACACCACACCAAAAGGAGAAATACTTGAAACCATTATTGGAAGGATAATGCAAATCGTTTTTCGCAATGACTGAGAAGGATGTGCCATCTTCAGATCCAAATAATTTCTAATGCACCATCACACCTACTGAAGGGGGATTCATTCTCAATGGGGGCAAATGGTTTGTTTCCAGTGCTCCAGATGAAAGAGCCATCTTTGGAATTGTGATGGGTAAATCCTCCAAAGACATGAGCAACCCCATTGAATCATAATCGATGATTCTAGTTGATATGAACAATCCCAAAATAAAAATTATCAGACAATACTCTGTCTTGGGTTTCTTCGATGTTCCTCATGGTTATTCAGAAGTTGAATTTGATAATGCCTTCATTCCAAAAGAAAACCTCCTGGGACCCCTTGGAGGAGCATTCAAAATGGCTTAAGGAAGATTATTGGGAGGAAGATTGCATCATTGTGTTAGACAAATTGGGTTAACTAGAAGATGTCTAGATTTGATGATGGCGAGATCAGAGAAGAGAATCATTTTCAAGTAACCATTAAAAGATAATGCTGCCTTCTAAGAGAGATTAGGAGATTTGGAAATTGCATTCTAATCATGCAGATTATTAAGTTTAAATGCTGGATTGCTATTGGATTCTGCTGGATCCAGACATTTACATACATTCATGGCTGTCAGTGAATGCAAGGCTCACATTCCCAAGGCTTGTCAATACATCATTGACCAATGCATTCAAGCATTCGGTGCCGAAGGAGTAACTGAAGAGCAACCATTGACTCTTGCATACCGTTTTGCCAGAGCTATTAGATTCATGGATGGACCATGTGAAATCCACCTTAGACAAATCTCAAGATTTGCCTATGGAAATCACCTATTCAATGATCTAAACAATGCTCAAGGATATGGATTAGCAAAGCTATGATTTATTTAGTAAATAACAAATATATAATTTAAAATATAAATTTTGCACACATATGAATTCTACACTAAATTATATTACACATCAAATCATCTCCTTGTTTATTAATTTTACTCGATATAAACTGAGTATTTTATATTAAGTTATTTCCCTTAAATAATTTATTTAAATCATTATATCAATGAGCACAGGACTTGCTAAACCCAAAAAACTCAAACTTACAGATTATGAAGTCTTTCAAACCTTGGGCACTGGTAATCAATAATTGAAATGCTGAATTTTAGGTTCATTCGGAAGAGTGAAACTGGCAAGGAATAAACAAACCAACAAATATGTCGCCTTGAAAAGTCTAAAAAAGGCAGAGATCATAAGACTCAAGCAAGTTGATCACGTGATTAATGAAAACACAATATTAGGCAATCTACAACATCCATTCATTGTAAAATTCCCATCATCAATCGTAGGTTACCTTTGAAGGCTTCTGCTAAGATCCAAGATATCTCTATTTAGTCTTAGAATTCGTTTCTGGAGGAGAGTTGTTCACTTACTTAAGAAGCATCGGAAGACTCGATACTTAACATGCAGCGTATAATTGTGAGCTAATCTTAGCTTTTACGGTGCACAAGTTGCCTCAATCTTTGAGTATCTGCATTCCAAGAATATTATCTATAGAGATCTTAAACCAGAGAACTTATTGATTGCAGATGATGGATATCTCAAATTAACAGATTTCGGCTTTGCCAAAGTCGTCGAAGGAAGAACCTACACTCTATGTGGAACTCCAGAATACTTGGCTCCCGAAATCCTGTTGAACAAAGGACACGGCAAAGCTGTCGATTGGTGGACTTTGGGAATTTTAATTTATGAAATGAATGCAGGAATTGATCCATTCTCAGATGAAGATCCCATGGCTATTTATCAAAAGATATTGAAGGGCAAAGTCAAATTCCCAAAAAGCTTTGATAAGTAACCATTATTCATTAAACCCAAAGGAATGCCAAATCTTTAGTCAAACATTTACTTGTGGCTGATCTTTCTAAAAGATATGGAAATTTAAAAAATGGTAACACTCTCATTTCTATCCCAAGGCGCTGCCGATGTCAAAAATCACAGATGGTTTGGAAGTCTAGATTGGAATCTACTTACTTAAAAGAAATTGCCCGTCCCCTACAAACCAGTTGTGAAGTAACCACTCTATTCTCATTCCCTTTTATTAGAGCTCCCAATGATACATCCAATTTTTCATCCTATCCAGAGTCCGATACCCAAAGTCCTGCTCTCAAACCAGCAGACGATCCCTTCTTAGAATGGTGATTAATAGAGCATTATTCATTATAATAAATTCAACTATGTATTCTCATACATAAATAACTATAATAAACTATATAATCAATTAAATTATAATAAAATTAATGGGAACTTAACTTATATAACATTTATAAGCAATATTTAATTTAGTCAAGCATTGCTATGCTTACAGTATATTTTAAAACATACTTTCTTCCTAAGACTCATCTTATACGATTTTAGTTTATTTTGCATTCAAATCAATCAACAACTAGATTCGGTTTAAATAATAAAATATTTAACAGCTTGAAATTCTACTGTTAATTATTCAAGCATCTCAAAAAGATCTCTGTACAGACTATCCACAGTATGTTATCATAATAATTTGTTAAAAATGACTTTTAGCATGAATAATTTATAATATCATTTATTAATTAATATTTTTATTATAAATCAATATTATTTCTATAATTGGAACAATTATGAAACTATGAAACTCACTTATTCTCCAAAAATTGTACCTATCCCAAATTCATTGATAAAAAAAATATATTAATATTAATGATTGTTCTATTCTATTTTTAATCAAAACAATTAAATGCAAACGACTAAATAATAAATTCAATTAATCAATTGTTAAACATCGAATTATATGATATTAATTCATAATTTAAATTCTTCTAATAAAATAATCTAACTTCCTGTTAGTATTAATTTAATATTTTATTAATTTTAAGATCCTTTAATTACATTAATACCTCATAAATAAATCTCTTATTATTTTTATTGATAATACTGTTAATGAAATAGGTTGAAAATTCTAATATTTAGTTGATTAAGCAATCTTCATATATATTATAAAGATACTTATCACTTTTTGTTTTAAAATTAATTCTTTAAATCTAGGATTGCAATCCTCATGCAAAGCGTTAGAATTATAAAACTCATTTTTCCATTAATTCATGAAAAATAAATGAGCACAGGGATCATAACTATTAATAATCATTTAATTTTATTGATATTAATTGTTGAGACAACGTAATTTTCAGATTAGAATTAAGATTCTTACTGAGAACCAAAACTATTCATCATATCACATTTAATTCCCAAATTCATTTGATCCTTATCGATTTGTTTGTAAATATATTTATATATATTAAATATCAGATTCTAATATAATTTCTCTTCAGTAATTTAATCACCTATAGATATAATCAATGAAAAATGTTCTCTCCTTTAAAGATTAAACTCTAATATGTATTAATTAATCGATGAAATTCTAAATGTATTATATAATTTTATTTTTTATATTTGATCATGAATTTTGTTGATGTTTAAAAATTATTTTTGAAAAAATAAATGGATTAGTTTATGAAGTTTTTAAATAAATCTTTTAGTTTAAATAATGTAAAATTTTACAGTATTTAATAAATTGATTTATTATAGTAAAAGATCTTTTTAAATATAATGTCTGCTAGTTTCAAAACTTCTCAAAACAACATGATCATTCAATCCTAAATTATTTTTGTTGATTAATTCCAATTTATTTTTTCACACATAATTCTTCAACCCAAGTAGAAGTGCGAATATAGAATTTATAAAATTGGCAATGATAGGTATTTTAACAAAACTTCATTTCAATATAAAATTAATAAATACTTGTTGCATGAAACTAAGATAAATCTGTTTAAGCTAGCATAAATGACAGCCTATACAAGAAAAAACTCGTTGTTCATATGAAATCCAGCAGAAATTGCAAAATTTGGAGAACGAATTTTAGCTAAAAAACCCTGTTATGTACTCTAACTTGATGAATGTGTTATTTATGTTGTTTATTCGATTGGTTTCAAATTTATTTATTGGATTAGATATGAAGGAGTATTACCACTAAATATAGATGTAAATAATAATTATTAAATGCAATACTACGAGTAAGACATTGAAGATGAAAGTATGAATAATCAAATAACTTCCAGGATCGGATACTTCATAAGACGATTCTCCATTAAAGCGATGCATGACAGCTCCTGCCAGGCCTTTGACAGAGTTTGAAGAATTTAAAAGGTATTGCCTATTGTATTAAGTCTGTCTAGATCACCGGAATACGATCTCTTAGAAAAGGCATACAGACTATCGAGTTAACTTGTTTAGAGAGATTTTCATAAATATGATCTAGACAATCCTGAAGGATAGAAATAATGCAAAAAGTTTTTATAAAATCTCGAAAAAATGTGTGAAGTAATTAAATGTAATAACGCAGGTTTATTAGGTTAAGGTTGAATCTCGTGAATATAGGAATCATTTTTCGAAAGCCTATAAAATCTTATATAAGTAGGATGAATTGTGTTACTTGACTGAAATTCTCGATAGTGCTCAAGAAGGTTCTTTTAAGTAATTAGAATAGGGTTTCCTTATTTGTGGGTAAACTCTGAGAAATATTCGTTCACTCTTGAAGTTTTGGAAGCCGGAATAAAGTTAGTCGATGCTTTTTATAAAGTGCAGCATGCCATTAGACACCTATACACAAACACCCTTTAAGAGAGTCCCGATTTCTCAAGGTCTAGTTTGATACTAGAGATTTCGTTTTTGTTAGAAAATTTTGATGATATCTGGGTATAATTCGAGAAGGTACTTATGATGAGATTGAATAATAGTTATATGTGAAGGAATTGATGGAGATAGAGGGGAAGGCTCGAAGATTTATATTATAGGCCATTTAGATAGATAAGGAGATGCAATCAATAGAAATAAGAGAAAAACTAAGAGGAAAGATTTTGGTTACGAGCGAAAGTTATTTGCAATTAAAAACAGCGGTATGAGAATGTGTATATTGTTAGTTTTGCAAGGTGCTAGCTTAGATAAATTCAGTGGCAAATGTGGAAGGCAAGGGAAGAGATGATTTAGGAGTGAATATTTTATTGGAAGCTGAGGGCATAACAAGAAGGGTGACTTAAGAATAATCCAAAGCTGTAAGGAGATTAGCTGATAGTATAAAAATGAAGTATAAAATTATGAAATAATAGTTTTAAAAAGTTTAGAGAGTAGATGCGGAAATATGAGGAGAATATTGAGATGGTGGATCCATAGTTGAAGAATAATAGTGAATTAGTAGAGTTATTGGTTGAATATGAGACTCAATGGGAGAAGGGTTTGCATTATTTATTGGAGCCAAGAAAATATATTCAATTGATGTTATTTTCGCATATCATTGAGACAACAGCAGAGAAGCACATTCAATTTGCAGAATAGTTGGAATGCAGAGATAGTGATATCTTTGTTACAATCCCATGTTTGATAGTATTGAAACATTTGGAAAATGAAGACAAGAATATTTGCAAGTATTTTCTGCCCATGTTGGATGATGAGAATTCAAAATTGTATTCATAGTTTGAGCAGTTAAGATAAGACTTTATGAATTTTCGAGACTAGCATGCAAAATAATACGAATACTATAATCTGATTGAAAAGAGATTGCTAGGTATTGGACAAAGTGATATCTGTGAATAAGTAAACGCATAGATAGATAGAATTATGCAAAAGATAAGATTATTATCAATAGAAATCTAAAGATATAACGCCATTGAATGGAATCTATTTATTGATGCTGCAATTAATACTTGATGCTATTACATTAAATGTATTTGTTTAAATTCCTATTCTCTCTTTCTCAAATTGACTAAACTAGTTATCATATTTTCACAACCTATTCCTTTACTTACCTCTGGAGCTAGCAAATAATACAAGACATTTTGAACTGCTCTTTTTAATGAATCTTCAGCGACAGTTGCACTTCTCAAATTTATATTTAAGTAATTAAGTAATTTATATCAAAGAGTTAAATTGTAAATTTCCAAATCTCCCAAAAGCATTATCAAATTGATATAGATTAAAGTAAATTAGGATTGATTATGTTTAAATTGATGATCACATTAAAAAAAAGTTCTGCTCTTTCAACTCTATTTTCTCAATACTATTTTCAAGGGGTATGATCAAAAATTAAAATTGAAGTGAGTATTCATTATACATAATTCTGTTCTTGAATCACCTACAGTGGTAAAATATAGGATATTCTTGTAAATAAAGGCAGAATCGGCAGTGCAAAAATTCATCCATTTTCTGATGCTTTTTCATTTTTTTCATCAATTCATTTATCAAGTTTTTTTATTAATTAAGCTCCTTATCTTGTCTCACCTCGATCAAACAAGCGAAAACAAATATAACAACGACAACATCAAAGTTGTGCATATTAGTGTCTTCAATGATACCTTGCACTTTAGATTCTAACTAAAATGACAGATACTCCTGATTCAGTATTAATAAATTTATCCTTTTTGGATTAACTCATATTCGGACAGATTCAATATTGTATTTATTTGCATATCATATAAAAATTGTTATAAATTATCAGTATTTTCCTCTTTGAATCCAATCTGGTTCAAATTTAGTCCTCACTATACCTCTATTCGTTTGAACATTCCCAGGCTAAACATTATTGCTAGTTCGGAACATGATGTCGCAATCCTTTGAAAATCGTTCTTGATGGGTTATGTTGGCATATGAATTGAATTAGTCATACATTTTATTTTGTGAATAATCAATCACACTTGATGACCCCTCCAAGTATCTTCTTATCTTATTTTTTACTATTATTTACTTTAGCATAATTCTTATCAATCTTCCCACTAATCTCTCCTTGTATCCTACCTATTTGAGCATTGTTCCATTGCATATCTGCAGGGTATAATTCTCGATCTTTTGATTTTATTGCAATAATATTATCACCCTTTAGCTTGAAAATCGGCTTATGAGCACTTTAATTTTAACTGCATGAAAGAATACAATAAGTCAATACCTTTTATTTGTCTTTCCTTTCAATCTCAATTGATCATAAAAGTCTCTCTCTAATGATGATAGTATTTTCAAATGTACATTCAACTCCATATGTATTCACCGATTTAGATTTCTGATCGTTCTTACTAACTTATGCTTTTAGATAATGATTAGTAATGGCATACAGTGACTAGGCCCTTTGCTACTTGCCATCTGGGAATATTTAAGTAGGTCCATAATTTTTTAATAATCCAGGTCTCATTACAAATTATAATTTAATTCTGATATAAATATAATAGATCATTTTGGATATCCTTGGGGCTGACTTATGGGTATGCCTTATTGTGGGTACACTGGATTGGCTGGATAGGCTTGCACATTTTATGGATATTGTTGAGCTTGTTATGGATAGTAGTTTTAGTTCATATATGGAGGATATTAAGGAGGAAGTGGTTGTTATTGTTAGGGCATTGCCTGGTTCTGTTGTTAAACCCAATCTTAATATTATAAGTTTTAAGCAGGTTGGGCTACAAACTAGGGATTTTAAGCAGGTGGGGCAACAAACTAGGGAGGATACTAGTTTGGATTTGTTGGAACTTGATGAACAACCACAACATTCTGAGGTGGAATGTCTTCTACCAAGCCCACTAATACTACTCGTCGTCTTCTCATAATTATGGCTCGAATAATTGAAATCACGACTAGTACAAAAATGACAAAGAATACGCAATCAAATACTAGGGTAGAACTATAGTTACTTATATTTTCGGTAGAATAATGTGTTGCGTCTTGGCAGTTGGCGAATCCTAAAAGTAACAATATGGTTAGATTGAATAATTTGTGCATTGTTTATTTTTTTAATTATGAATGCAAATATAACTTAAAAAGAAATCTCTCCTGGAATCATACTCTTAAAGCATATTCAGCCAGGTCCAGAAATGATATACATTTTTAAAGTGCAATTGAATAGGTTGAATTGCATGGAATTCATAGCTGACTTTACAGGAAGTGAGAACATTTTGGTTGATGGTTAAAATAAAATGAAGACAATAACAATCATCAATCCATTTGAAACTAAACAAGTAGCTTAATTGACTATGAAATAAGACTGGAAATTGAAAACAAAATTCAAATTTAGTTTAAAAACAGCGGATAAATCAGTTCAAGCTGAATATTTGAAGGAAGATCAACTGCAGTTGAAATTGGAAATCCAGGATCAGATGAAGTAACTATATCGTTACCCATTTCAATTAAAGGAAGTTCCTGAAATACTTAGGTACTTGAAATCTCCCTTTGTTGACCCTGAATTTTTGCCGGTGGATGTATTTAAACAAAACTATATAGTCAAGTATATTCGGAGATGAAGAGGCCGAATTGGACACATTAATCCAATGGAGAAGACCAAGTGCCTTCTTTCAACTTAAAGATGCCAATAAAAGACCAGAGATATTTTTCGACAAGATAGAGCCCAATGATATCAAATAAGGGGCATTGGGTAATTGCTGGTTTCTGTCAGCACTGTCATCACTTGCTGAAAGACCTGCATTGGTGAAGAGACTCTTCGTAACCATGATAACTAATTCACTTGGAGTCTACAGAATCAAGATTTGCAAGAATGGCGAATGGGTATACGTCACTATTGATGATCTATTCCCTTGTTATCCATTGGGGGCTCCCATATTCTCAGCTGCTCATGGCAATGAATTGTGGGTGCTGTTGTTAGAAAAGGCATATGCTAAATTACATGGAAGTTACTTTGCACTTAGAGAAGGTCTGTCTGGGGAAGCCATGGTTGATTTGACTGGTTGTCCAACAGTAGTTTATGGATATTCTGAGTTATAATAGATGTGGCAGCAATTATTGTAATATGATCAAGAGGGTTATTTGATAAATGCTTTCACAGAGGGTAACGACACCCAGAGTGAAGGATAGAGAAAGGAATCCTCAGCCGATAATATTGGTTTGATTCCTGGTCATGCTTACTCAATATTGCAGGTGAAGGAAGCAAAAGGAAATAAGTTAATAAACATTCGTAATCCTTGGGGTAATTTTGAATGGAAGGGAGCTTGGAGTGACACATCTCCTTTGTGGACTTAGGAGATATAGAATATAGTTAATTTCGTTAATGATAGCAATGACGGTCAATTTTGGATGTGTTGGAAAGATTTCTTGACTTATTTCAAAGGTGTGAATATATGCAAGGTGAGAAATTGGGAAGAAGTGAGAATCAAGGGAAAGTTCATTAAAGTGACTGACATAAATGACAACAATATTGACGTTGTACTTAGCAAATGGTATTATTCATTTGTCATTGCAAAGTCAACCAAAGTCATTATGGGAATCCATCAAGAGGATGAGAGAATCAGAGGAGTCAAATTGTTAAGACCTTATTTAGATATCGGTTTGACTCTTTTCAAGCAAACAGAGAAAGGATTAGAATTACTTGCTTAAACCATCACCAAATAAGATAGACAAGTGCAATTGGAATGCGATTTGAATCCTGGTGTCTATATTGTAGTACCAAGAACAAGTGGATTATATTTATATGGAGAAAACAGTAGTCTAATCAATCTGTTGAATAATGATGGGTCTATTCATCCCTTGCTTTATTCGACATTGAGTGATATCTTCAGAAAATTTGATATGTTGCTGCTCAGAGAATTAAGTTTCATAGAGTTCAAAGGAATTTATGATTGTTTGGAGAAACAACTAGATCCAGAGTATTTCAAGTAGATGCTTACTAAATACACTTCTACAGAAAAAGGAATTACTTTCACCGGATTTGTTGAGTTCTTCATTGATCAAATTAAATAACTAGGGGTTGAGACTATCTACAGATGGCTAGAGAAATTAGGATATGATAAGAATCTCAATTCTATAAAAAGTAGATGTTTTATCTTTACTGCTCATTCATCTATTGAGATATCTGTAACAGTCAGAGATGCCATTAGTACTGATTTGAATAATAGAGTGCATGTCTTTGCTACCACATTTCCAGATCAATATCATTAGATTGAAAACATCAAAACTGAAAGAGAAGGCATCAGAGTCATCCAATGTTATAATCGTCATTCTGATACTTTTTGTATCATTGCCATTAATGATCAAACATACCCAATTGAATGCTTCCTTGATCTCACTCTATGTAAAGGCTTGATTGTTTCCACTAAGACTTCGAAAGTACTAAAACGATTAGACTCAGGCTAAATGGAAACCATGATCCATTTTAGATCAAACAGAATTCAAAAATTAAAATTAGCCATTCAAGTTAAGTGGCAACCTGTTTAATGATAATAATAATCATAAATCATGGAAAAAAAAAATTACTTATCATCATCATCATCGCTATTTTTCAATAACAAAACTAGTGTTGCAGTAATTATTGTTAAGACAAATTCTGGACAGTCCCTTGAATAAAGGACTGGAAGTATGAGTGGAAGCATAAGTGCTACGTTAAGCACTTTTAGAATTCTTTGTCCTTTCAGTCTCCTTAAAAAGCTTATTGCAATTATCTTATAACTTTATAATACTTTCTTCCTTCTCGATCATCTATATCTTTAATCTCTCCATGTCTATCTTGCCCTATTGTATTATTTTTAATTGATCCTGTATCTACAATCTCAACATTAGCAAATCCTCAGAATGCTATTAATTCTCAGCTTCCAACATCTTGATATTCTGAATCAGATCGTAAATGTGTCCCTACAATTTCTTGTTGCATTCTTATAACACATAAATCTGCGCTAAATTTTCATAACAACCATTTGTACATTTATAGGAATTCGTCTAATTTATCAGCTATTTGTGAGCCTTCAATTAACCATTCAGTTTCATCATATCCTAGTAGTTTTAAGCATCTCTCCTCAAACTCTCATATTCAGCTTTCGATACTGAACTAAATAAGCATTGTTACATACTTCTAACTGTATCATCTTTCAACTCTACTATAGAATCCTAACTCAAGTGGCGGTTTGTGTTGTTGGTTGGATTAGTGGTGTAGTTTTCATCCTTTTTGCAACTAGAGAAGAAATAGTATGCCTTAAATAATAATCAATTCACTTACTTCCTACTGAAACTCAGGGGACTATTCGCTTGAATTAACATCACCGAATGAAGGTATTTCAAGAGTTTTTAACTCAGTTTTTTTTGTTTCACATGGCTAAAACAAATCATGAATTTAAGTCTATGTTAAATATATGTTAGAAGACATTCTTTTAGCAAATAATTATTATATTAAAATTTTATAAATTCATAACTTCTATTCCAACTTCACTACTTTGAACTACTTTTCATAGCCTTTAGATGCTATCTAAAATATTGTTTTACTTATACGTCATATCTCCTTTCAAATTTGTATAATATGGAATCTGACTTAAAGAAATTAAGTCATTCAAGGTTTCTAGTTCTAGATATCAAAAGGGTATTTTTTACCAATATAAACAATTTTATTTATCAAAAATTTGCTGCCATTCAACATCCCTCAAATGAAAAGAAAGGGAGCTATAAAATTAGAAATAGAAAATTTTAATTAATCTTCAAAATTTTTTTTTTTTTGGATTATATTAGACCCACTGTTCATTTACTGTTGCAAACATAATTACAATAAATAAAATTAATTCTGTTAATGTCATATTATAAGCAATAAGCGAGAATTCCCAATAGTTTCTTGATTTTAATAATAATGTTTAGAATTTGATTTGATAGCAGTTAAATTAATGTAAATTGGAGAAAATATCGATATGTATCAGGATAGAAAATGCTTAAGAGATTAATGAATATTAGAAAATAAAGATATTGAAACTCATCTTATATTAATATTGTTTTAATTATATTATTTTTCTTAATATTTTTAATGTTATCATTCTATTGATAATTTATAGTTGTATAGGTCACAACTTTGTAGTTTATTCTAATCAATAGTATGAACTATTCGATTTCCAGTATTAAAATATAATACCGAATGATTTTATGGCGAAGATGTTAATTTATCAACTGGATTATAAATAACGCCTAATGGGTTTTGATCTTCATTCGAATTCTCAAATCTATCCATACCAACTGCTATATTATAAATCAATATTGCTGTCTAATTTAAATTATTTCTATGCTAAATAGCTGTTATGTTTCTAAATGAAATACTTTATCCCCAAGGAGACCAACCCTAATATCCTACATATTAGTAGCGTTTTTCTAGAGTTGTTGAAACAACAGAATTAACAATCATTTTGTAACTTGTAGATTCATATTAAGTATTATAAAAGTGTACTGAAATAATTGATATATTTTGAGTAGTTGAATGGATAACTGTCGATTATTTCGATATTATATAAGTATAGGGATCAATTTTTGCATCACCATTGCGATACGGAGTTACAAGATTATTTTTCACAAATGCATCTAACCAAAATATTCCATAATTGAATTCTGTTAGTATAATTTTATAGAATGATAAGTTATCTTCTGTGTATTCTGCAAAAGTGACATCAGTAATATTCATTTATTTTGAATAACTAAAATAGCCATTATCTAAGACGCTTTACTAGGCTTACTTCATAGTCCAACTTGATACTGTTATTACTAACGTAAACAGTGTTATTTAGTTAGTCTCCACTGCAAATACTGTATTAAGTCTTCCGGTTATTTTTTGTAATTGTAAATTCACATTAGGAAAATACACAATGTCACCAAATTATGAAAAATGAGTATCGTTAATTTATTTATAAGAAATTAAATATGGAGTCTCTAAACCTTTTTAACATCCAACAAAAATATAACCTTGATTATTCGAAATTATCCATTAACAGGGTGAATTAGATGTTTATGGGAAAGGATTTGAGCTTAATATATTTAGTTAATCATCGATAATAACCACTCTTTTTTCTGACAAAATAGCGTCTCTTGTGTTTGAAAGCTTTATGAACTCATATCGATTCAATTGGAGAATCATAAGAATATATTTTGGATATTCATTAAAAATATTATTTCAAATCATATTTACTTCTCTACTAGATGGACTGCTTCGCATCTACAGTAACAGAGAATTTAGAACGCACTTAGAAATATCTAATTACTAATAAAAATATTATTGAGTCTTGAGATCTCATTAGTCTTCTAGAAATGATATATAGATCAAATGTGGAACTTGCTCCTAAAAAATATTTAGCTTGTCATCATAAGAAACCAACAAATTTTAATTTTCAACATTAGAAATTTATATTTATATATATAATGATGATAAAATTATAAAAATATAAAATCACTTTTTTAAAGCTTAAGCTGGCTTAACACTACTCTGATAAGCTGGCTTTTGGAATTTAGAGGCTGGAGTTAACTAATTTCTTCTCATTGTTGATTTTTTTTCAGATATTGGAATCGAGTGAGGTTGTATTGTTAAATTTGATAATTATTGCTGTTACATAATTGGCTTTATTGCTTATTGCTATTATTAAGATATTGATTATTATTAAGTATTTTCAGTGTCAGGCTTCCCGTTTCCACCCTATAATTCTCTTTCAAACTACTTGAGTTGTCTTTGAAATCCAAAGTTAGGGCAAACTACACTTCTTTTTAATCTAACAAATTAAAAGGCTTCCGAAAATGACATTGCCTATTTTCTCATAAGATATGCAATAACTGTTGCAGCTGATCTGGAAACCCCAGCTGCACAATGCACAAGCACACTTCCCTTTTGCAATCCCTCGTCTATTTATTAATAGGTGTCTCCCCATATTCTCTTGATATTACATGATTCAATATCTAGAATATTGTAAACCTATGATTAATTATCGAATCTATACTTTATGGACAATATCGGCATTAGAAGGGTATTTAACATTCAATCCAGATGCTACTGTTAATACAGTTTTGATATTCTTTTATTTCAAGAGCTATTAATTGATTGCTGCAGTGTAGTCTCCTAACCACAAAGCTCCTTAACTTTCAGTTTAATCTAAGATAATATTCATGCTTTTGTAGTTATTGATGCCTCTGAATAGCATATTGATGCTGCCTTATATTCTAGAAATAAAAATAATTAATCAATTTAATTACCAATTTAGTTCATATTTATATGAACTAAATCCTTACAAACTTGATAGATTTCGATAATTCTGGTTTTTTATGATTCTTCATTTCATTTTGAATGTATTAATGCAGCCTTCATTCTTTATTTCATATTTTACTTGAATTCCTAAGTCAATTTAGAAGTAAATTAAATTTATAATATAAAGCAGATTTTTGTGTGATAATCAATCAAAACTATTGTGAAATGAAAATTTTACATGTTCAAAAACTAAATTCAATATACTTTATTTGCAATTTAATTGTTTCCTTAAAAGACTAAAGTGATAAACCAAAATTAATTATTAAGAATTAATTTTAATGGAATATTAGATCTAAATTTAATGCTTTTTAATGGCTTACGCTATCCATCTTATACCACTTGATGAAATCGGCTTTCATTTTACTTGTTGTTTTGACTCAAGTCAAAGAATTCAATGAGAAAATCATCATGTAAATATCTTTTTTTTTAAAAAATAATCTATTTTATTTTTTGTATTTATCTCTGTTATATTTATTATATCAATTATTTAAATTTCTACAAAACTCTAATCAAGCTGATTTTATTATGATGAGATTAATTATCAATTCACATAATAATATATCGAATAAGAAATGCTAGAAATTACTATTTAACAAAATTCTATCTCTGATATTTTTGATGAATTTGTTGAGATCGATGTTGAAGCACTTTTTGAAAAAAAGTATACCTAATTATGCGAAAGAAGAATGAAGAAGATTAAAAAAACCGGTAAATTTACAGCGAAATTATTAAGCATAGAGAATATAAAAAGTGGCAATACAATACAATAGAAGATATTTTTATTTGCAGCCAAGGGATCGAAGTACACATTAACATTTAACAATAATTAAAAATCAATTTAGAATAAATTAATCATTGATCCACTTTATGAATCCTATTTAAATATTCTCTGATGGCTTTTATTCGTTGGATGAGATTCAATGGTATCATTGATAATAGCAAGGTTGTTCTTCTGATCTAAAAGATTGCATACATATATTTACTTCATTATTAATTTTGTTAGCAATGGGCCACCAGAATAATAAATACACGAGGACTAAGACAACTAAGAAAACTATGAAAATGGTGACGGTGGTAGTTGTATTGGTATCAATGTCTTTTTGCAGACTCTGATTAAACGTAACCAATAATTATTGGAAGATAGACCTAATATAAATGTCCTGCATTTAATCTAATTTTATGAAGAATAATGTACTTATTTCAACGGCAGCAATATCTGTATACATTAGAGATAATATTTTATTAGTTTATAGGTTATCTGTGAAATTGTAGGTGGTTCCTGAAATAGTGGTGGATGTAGAATCATTAAGGAGGGAATCATAGACAGTGAGTAAATATCTGAGATTCTCAAAATGTCTGGATAGAGCCAAGGCTAGAGATTCATCTACAATTCCTTTAACAAATGCTTAGCAAGTAGCCAGATCCACAGGAGCAACTTGGATGACTTATGCACAGGCTCCCGCTTTCATGATTGAATCAAAGTAATCATTGTAAAGTGTATTGTGATAACCCAAATTTAATGAATGATCCTTTTGCATGTTAGTATTAAGGTTGTATAAGTCTTTAACAAAATCTGTGGAAATAGTCTTTGAAACATTATTTTTAACAGGGAAGGCAGAGTCCCACAACATTTGTCTAAACACATTATTAGCAAACGTGATTGAAGGAACTGCAAGTGAAGTGGCATTCATTTCCTGAATCAGTTATTACATTGAACTTTGTAAATTAGCACCAATAAGATAATGAGCAATAAAATAAGCAATCAACAATCCCATTGAAATGATGAATTTAATGTAAAAGTTACGTTTATCTTTGGAATCATACTTGTACTTCTTTCTTTTCTTTCTTCTTCCAAATTCCTCCACCACTCCTTCTCCTTCCTCATTTTCCTCAAACGATGCATCATTCTCTTGGTTTGCATCTTCATCTTCACCTATTTATAGAGTATTCGAAAAGGCTTCGCACTTAGCAAACAATTGCTTAACTTTAGCTAAAGGAATCTCTAAGAATAACTTAATGACCTCTTCTTGATTCTAGGATACCAAACTAAAGGCACAAGCAATCCACGGTATGGATATGACAGTAAATACACAAGCAACAATAAGAAGCACAAGTAATACATTAGAATCATAAGCTAAGTTTATAAGTTGATTTGTATAAAGATCTGCACTCTCCAATGTTGCTTGATAATAATCATTGAGCAAATTATACCTAATGAAAAAGATAGAATCAGCCTCAGGAGTAAAATCTTGTATATTAAAATTCATAACTTCAAATGCTTTAGAAATGATCTATGAAGTTCCTTGATTGATATCCACTAATTAATTGCTTTCAGTTCCACTGGTATCCTTACTAATCATCTTAATAGTATTAGTAGTCATTAATTCATCTTGTCTACCTGATACTTCAGTAGAGGATTGAATTTTAGATTGGATATCCTTCAAATCACTTATTGTAGTGTTCATATTTGTCAATTATGTTTTTACTTTCTCATCTGTGGCTAAAACATTGATTTTATTCAATCTGCACAATTCCATAATCTACCATTGTATTCTTTGACCTAAGGCTACTCTTATATTAGAATCTTGCATCATTATGTATCCTTCTTGGATATCAGAAAATAACTATTATGTCAATACATAATCAAGTAATCCCAAAACACCCAGACAGATAATTAATACAGCAGCACTCCATTTAAAACAAATCATGCTGGTTTAATTGACATTTCTACTTTCTTATAGGAATTGAACAAAAGTTCTTCTAGATTTATAAATGTTAGCATGACCTCCTTCTACTTCATCTTCATCGTCTTCTTTTTATATTTATTGCATTCCTGCATTTCCTGCTCCTTTTTTTTGTTCATTTTCCTCTTCCTCATCTGAATCTTGATTCTTAAATTCTTCAATATCAAAAAGTTATCCATTGATGTATTTCATTGTTCTGATTCCCAAAGCTAAATCAATCTTATCATCCTTTTCTCCGACATTGGAAGAAGGTGTCTTTTCATCTTCCTTCAAAGGTTCTCTTTGTGAGTAATCAAAGGTCTCATCTTGTTTCACACTTGAAATAGCAGACATCTAGAAATTCTAATCTCCTGAATACTCTCCAACATACTAGTGTTGAGCCTAATCAAATTAGAAATAGAATTTGGTTTATGATTATTATTTCTTTTATTAAGATTAATCATTAGGATTGAGAAAGGATTTCTCCTATTTGTTGTTTTCAATCTTGATTATATACCCTTGTAATTTAGAATCTCTAAACATGATCTCTCCAGCCGTTATATTAAATTTGCCCTAAACTGATTAGTCTCTATTCTTAAAATTGATATCTGCTTCTGCTCCTGTTTTATTCAAATACTCAGTGATGTTTTCTTAGAAATTAGGTATTATATCTGTAACCTTAGTCTTCTTTTTTGTGATGTAATTAAGATCTATATGAAACATCGTAATAAAAGTAGCTGAAATATTTTCAATCTCTTGAGTCTATCCATTCACAATCATAAACGCTACATTTTTAAATACTTTTTCTTGTCTCATGGCTCCAAAGAACTAGGCACCATGTATAAATGATGGGACATATCTCACATAGATAAAGAAGGGGAATATATATCCATTCTTCGATTTTCCAATAATCATTCTTTCTCTATTCATTATTCTGCTTTCGTAAGTTTACAAGTATGTTTCCATAAATTAATCATGTGATTAAGCAAATACATTAGGCATCAAGATATTAACTTTTCTATTTATCAATTCACTCTTAGAATATCCAAACATTTTGGATGCTGACATATTCAATCCTATGATTCTACCAAAAGTCACATCTTCAGCTGAAATACTAATTAACGCAGTGGATTCATTAGGAAAATCATTGATGTTGTTAGTTATTTTGCCTCTGTCCATATTGACTGAATAAAAGTTCTTCAATCTTTCCAATACTTCTTCAGCTGATTCTTTATCATACAGAATATCCACTAGATATCTCGAATAAATCATCATCAAATTTGGAGGAACATCTAGATTCATTTTAATGATTCGTTTCCATGAGTCTTCCAACATTTTATCTATAAACATCATTCTAGTTCCAACATCATACAATTTTCCTAGATCTGGGGTATCCTCACTCAATTGAGACCAAAATTCTATATGTTGTGAGGCTGACTTTTCAATTTATGCTCTAATCTCCCTTAGATTATTTTCAGTTGTCAATTCATTTACTGCATCAATACCGGCAGCTGGATTTTTAGATGATTTTGAATTTTCAAACATTTGCTCTTCTATCAACTTCTTTAATCTGTAGATAATGAATTATTCATCGACATATGGCTTCTCTTATTCTGCTGCTACCAATTCTTATAATGCTTGTTGATTCGATTGCATTTTCTCCATCAAAAATAAAGAATGAGAAATTCGTAATTCTGTGCAATTGGGAAATCTGGTTAAGGATAAGGTAAATATTCTTTCAATAATGTAGACTAACACCACATACTACTCTTTAATTTCATCATCCTAATTTTACAATTTAAAGTTCTTCTGGAACTTAGCAATTTTCTTATTCCCCATGTTTTTGGCTTAGCAAGGACAGTCTTCTCTTTTGCAAATTGTCCTATGGTATTCTACAAACCCATCCAATAAAGTGGCTATGTTTCTATCTGTATGATAGTAATTCAAAAATTTGGTTAAATATTGCAACTGTTGAATTGCTTAATTTAGTGAATCAAATTTATTTGAGTCAATCATCATTATATCATATCTGTACTCCTTCCTAAGCATAACGATCAATAGCAATAAGGGACTTCCAAAGACCCATAAATAAGGTGCACCTTCATAATAGGTCTCTTCGACGATGATACCAAAAATGATCATACAAATTGTCCACATGATTATGGCATGTTGTGAGTTCAATACTTTTGAATAGTAGTAATTAAGATAGACACTTGATTTGTTGAATGAGAAAAATTAAATGACTGCGAATAGTGTTATTATGATGACCACTAAGATTCTTAATTCACTTACATTCAGTAAAGTGAAACATAATACTAAAATGATTTTAAAAATTAAGAACTTCATATCATCTCTGCCTGATGTCTTGCAAAGTGGATTATTGGGTTGGAATCGAGATTCATAAAATGTCATCGTAACCAATCCACTGATGCAAATCAAAATGAATGCGGCGATGGCTGATAAAAATGCGTGAAGTAAGTAATTTCCAGTGTAGCACTCTTAATCCGAATAATATTTGTGATATCCAGTCCCTGAGTCGCAATAGAAGATAGTCAAAAAGAGATGCAGGGCAGGCATAAAGAAAATGTAGTTGAGGACTTCAAAAAATATTTTGAGGACAACCAATGGTCCACTCAACTTACCTACTGACGTGGTTTATGCTTTAATTGCAATGAAAATGATTAAAATTATTAGTAACAGGAAGAACCCCATGATGATGTAGAGCACTAAAATGAAGCTTTGAAATTCCACGTTCTTCAGGTATGGGGAAATCATAAAGTACCCAAAAAATGATTGAAATGACTCCGACCATGATTTCACCTTCCATAATGATAAAAACTATCATAATCACGAATATATGTATACTTCATCACTAAAAGCAAAGTAAAACACTTGGAAGCTCTCAATCAGAACAAAAAAGATGTAAAGAAAAAGCGGGAAGTTCTCACCAGAAATTAAATAGTAGATGATTTCAAAAAGAAGATTCTTAAAAGAGTTTTGCATCTTGTCCAAAGCTGATTTATCATCATCAAATATAGAAACACCTTGCATGTTTTAATGTTATTTATATATATAATAATAAAATGAATGTTTATCTCTGAATAATTTTATATATCAAATCCCCATATATATTAATGAATATCACACTTTTTTCCTCCATATGATTATATTCACCTGCTGTTATTGCTAATTACTTATTGTCAGTTTGATCTCGAAGATTCGTTTGTCGTACTATCTCAAAATGCAATTGCTACACGAATATCCGTAATCGTAAGGCAGAAACAAAAGTGTGGAGCAGGCACTTTTGAATTTGAATTACAATTTAAATACTTGATTGATTGAATCGTATTGATGATGGAAAACTTATTCTGCACAAATGGATTAAGCATACGGTCTTTTTAATGCATCCAACTTCAGTGCTTGCTATATGCTTCCCTTGTATGTCCTTCAATATAAACACAATATCTTACCAAGAGGATTGGAAATAATCTGCATAATTGAGTAATCGGTTTAACAGATATTCATCAGTGCCACTGAATTCAGACAAGAATGTTGAAACTTAGGCATGTTTACCGACGTGAATTTCCAGCCACATGGAATAATAGTTCAGATTTGTTGCTAATTCCTTGAAGTAATCCGATTTGTAGTTGATTCTATAACTGTAGGCCTCTTTCTTGCGATATTCATTTCCATTGATATTGTCATCGAATCCTGACCCTATAAAATCTGTGTCTTGTGTCTAATAGAATACAATTTTCGATTTCTCCACTTCCCTTATGTACGAATTCACCTTCTAATAGAATGGCATTATCAATTGTCTATTGTTCCACCCTGGCCATATGCATTAATAGTACGTCCTATGATAATTACCGCATTGTGGGTTGTTCAGAAGGTCGTACCCAATGACATTCTCCTCATTCTTCATCTTTTCAGCTATCTTTTACCAAAATAAGCCAAAGTATTCAGTTAAGTTGTTTGCGTTCTTGTACAGGCTTTCGAAATTGTTGCCCACATCGTCAGTTTTAAGGAATGAATCAAAATTCGTGGAGCATTAATCTTTGTTGGGATACAGATCAAATTTTATTTTCCCATAATTATCATAAGGAACTGGAAAGTTTGTCCTTTGAATTGCCCAATCTGGAAATCCATATCCACAGAATTGTTTGCTCAGCAATACATGATCTGCAACCAAAATAACAGAAAAATTATTTTTCTTCGCTTATTAAACAATGTGTTCCAAATCAGTTAAATATGTTTAATTGTAAGTTACGTTGTTTTGAGATGTAGGCTTTTAAGGGATTAGTTGATCAAGGAAAACAGAAATTCTTAGAAGATTGAATCCACTTTTTGAAAGTGCAATTAAATCATCGTCGCTTATTTTTGTTAAAGGATAATCATTAAGATTGAGTCCGTGAAATATTTTTATTGTCTCATTCTTATCTATATAATACCCATTTTGAAATTCACATAGCACGATTGAGATTAGGTAATTAAAAATAATTATCATTTATTAATATTCAATGCTGATATGACCAATTTAACCCTACCTGAAGCGTTTCCCACTCTTTATCCATTCTTGTCCCATTAAGTTAACTAGCATTATCCTATCCTTGATTTGCAACTGCAATTAAACCCACTTCTCCAAGCATCTCTATCCTGGTTGCAAATTCCAGTATCACAAATTTTATATTGAATCGTATTTCAAGTTATACTCCTATTTCCGGATTGAACTTTGAATTGAATACTTTAAATCAATGAATTTTTTAATCCTTCTGCGTAAGTACAGCTTCCATTTTGACATTCGAAGGAGATTCATCTTGGTTGATCTTTCTTCATCAAACATACTTGAAGCCGTTGAAAAATAATTGTACCCTTTTTTTTATCAATAAACCCCAGATTGTAATATTATCTGATTTAGATATTAAAGAAGGGATTTAGCAAAGTAATAATTTAGTAATGATCCAAATTAAGTTAGTATAGCTAAAGTTATGAAATGATTGATGCTCAATTTTCTTTAAAGGATACATTAAAAATGATATAATAATTTGCAAGTTAAGGTTGATCCATTTTCTTTAAATAATAAAAGTAAAAACATTAATTCCAAAATTAAAGATCATAACTCAGTAGCTCTTTTTATTTATATTTTTGACCACCTACATTTCATTTGAATCCAAACCAATACATAGAGTTCAAAGAATACAAGTTTTTAGTATTAAATTCTCTAATGCATTTATTCTTTAATACAATTGAATATTGAGATATATATTTATTTATTAACTCATCCTGACAAAACATATCAATTTTGCTTCTTTACAATTACCAGAAATATATTGGATCATTCTAAATCTCATATTCCAACACATTGCATTCTTCATAATGCAATTTGGGAACTCTAGTTGAAATATATCAACTAAATCAATTTCATTTTTCAACATTGCTCCTAAATTTCTTCGATCATCTGAATCAAATAGAATTTGCCAAAGTTGCCCTATTTTTAAGCAACCCTGGATTAATGACTATATTCATTTACTCTTAAAATCAATTATTTGATGAGCTGGGATTTCTATTCTAGTGACAACCCAATCTGAAGATTCTTCTCTAAAAATCTATCTATTTAGGTCAATCTTATTGAGCATCAAGAACAACCTAAGTATTGTATTTTCAGGTTATCTCCCTGCATTTCCAATAGATATTCATTATTTAATACTCCTCTTGAGGACATTCCTCTATTTGCAATCGAATTACATTATACCTTATAAGATTATATTTAATAATAATTACTATAAATCAATTTAGGAGTTGACAATCTTCATCGTATTAAGGGTGTCATAATGCCGAGATGATCAATTATGATGAAATGTGGAGCTGGTATGAAGTCTACATTATGGTCATGGAATATTCTGATTACTTCATTCTGATGAAAAATAATGCAGCTCTTGGTTCATCAACAAAATTACCATGATTATTAATGTGAATCGATAGGGCGATGCCCATAATACATAATAAAAACAGCATATTTAATTGAATATCCTTTGAATTCCAAATATAATTAAAAAAATCGTTAAAAAATAAATGGGCAACGAACCATCTGCTCCAAATGATAAGATTGATTTCTTGAGACCAGTTCAAAAGAAGGCACCCGAACCAACTTAAATCAACAAAGTATAGTAGAATGAATGGAGAATTGGATTGCAACATCCTCATCTCCTGTAAACTTTGGGAGGTCAACCTGAAGGTGATTAGTATCGATACTTTTTTGAATTCTGTCAAATCACATTAACATCACTACTTTAGGAACGCTACGGAACAAAAAAGTACTTCCCTGAAGAAGACTTGTAGGCATTGCTTTTAGGTATAAGTAGTGCATTGAGTTTCTTGTAAGAGAAGGGGTTGTCACACGGAGGTAAATTATTATTATGATATTTCAATTAGATATATGCACAGCAGAAATCTTCTTTGATTCTAACAGTTCAAGTTTCAAAGTTTTGGATTCAAATTTAATTAATGGAAGGGGAGCTTCCATTCAGTAATTGCTGTCAGGAAAGTTGAAATATCTTGCACCAGAAATATTACAAAACCCAACACAACCATTATCTGAGGTACAATTGAGTAAAAATGATGTGTGGTGTTTGGGAATGGTCATGTTGGAAGCAAGTACTCTTAAACAAAATGACAACCTCTATCAAAATGGCTTACAATTTAGATTGATCCAGGATAGAATTAATGAAGTAGCTTAAATCTACAATTTACAATTTGCTGAGAATATAGCTCTTATGCTCAATTTCAACCCAAATGAAAGATTGGATCCAGTCAATCTATTTAATTATCTACTGGAATAATAAAGAACAGCAAATGAATAAGATTAGTAGGTTGTTTAACAATAGTAATATCAACAATTACTTCAGTAATAATAATTGTATTAACAATAATTATGTTAACAACAATAACAGTAGTCATAATAATAGTTATTATATCAATAATCCTAGTAATAGTAGTAGTAACTGACTTATCAATAGGCTTAGTAATCTCAATTATAATATTAACAATAACCAATATAATATTTACCTTAATAAGTTGAACAATAGAATTTCTAATAATAATAGATGTAATAGGTCTAACCATAACAATTACAATAACCCTAAGTTCCTCCCCAATACCTTTAATAATAATAATAATAGACAATCCAATAATAATAATAATAATAATACAATACTCAATAAACCTAATATTAATAACAATAGCAATTTGCTTAGACTCAACAACCAAGATAAAACTATCATCAATCAAGACCATCCTAAGATTTTATGATGACTCAACCTGATATGAATCAAACCATGTAAGGTGGTGTTTCTAGAGAAAGAGTTCCCACCAAAATTATTAAAAAATTAGTTTATCCTGATGGAAGAGTTGAATACCAAGAGAAATCACAGTCTGCTTCAAGAATGGGTAATTTATTGTCCTACTATTGTTTTAGTCTAACAGCCCTAATAGTAGAAACCACAACAGCCAGCTCCTTAACAATAATAGCAACCTTAAGCTATGCCACAGCAATAATAAATTATGGCTCAATAATAATAGATACTGGCCTAATAATAGTAGATGATTTCTCAATAATAAATGACTTCCCAATAATAATAATAGTTTACTTAATAACCTCAATATAACCCATAATATTAATAGCAATAATATTACTAGTAGCCATAACCTTAATATCAACAGAGATAGAATGTCCTTGGCAACATTGAAAATTAAATGCATGGAGTTTCTAATGAATAAAACATCACTAGATTGAAATAAGAAATCGAACACTCTAAAACTTTAATTTAACAATATAACCAACAAAAACCTTAGGTTTAAGCTGAATCTATTGAGGAGAGAATAAGAAAGGTTATTGCCTAATCATAAGCATTAAGAGAAAACTTCGCCTGAATTATATATATATATAAATTATAAATTATTAGAAAATGCTGCCTAAATTAAATCCAAGTTTGTCAACTCAATCAGGGAAATCTCAAGAGGATCTGAGCTTGAATGAAGCCAAGAGACGTTAAAAGCTACTTGAATTGGAATAGCATAATGTTGAAAACAGAATCAGATAAATTACTAAAGAGAATGAGAAACTGTCCAAAAAAGTTTAAATGGCAGAGTAATTGGCTTTGGATGTCTATGCTTCCCGTCTAGCTTAGAAGATGAAAGTAATTGTTTATTTCCTATTAAATTGTCTAGAAAGAGCAGAAATTGCAATAATAGTCCACTGTTGATCCCTTGAGATATTAATAAACATAGTATGAGAGAATGAATCTTAAGAAAATGAAATAAGAAGTTAAGGAAATGAAACACAGCGATGCTTAATTGATGAAAAAATCACTTAAATACGAATTGATGAGAACTAGTGAAGATTAGAATAAGAAAGCTCAGAATCTGAAATTAAGAGCCGCCTTGATCAAAGAGGACGAGAAGTTTTCTTAAGTTAAGATTCTCGAGAAATTGTTTGAGAAATAATAAAAAGTTAGATCCCTATAAGAGCTTGAAAAGTAAAAGATCCTTATGGAAAATGAAAAATACGAATACTAGATTAAATAATTAGAGGCTCAGGAAATCAAATTAGTAGAAAAATTACAAGCTACACAACAAAGAGAATAAGATGTTAAATAGAAGTTAATGGCAGCAACTAGACTAGCTCCTGAAGAATTTGATAAAACCTACTTGGGCGGCTAATCAATAATTTGCGAATAGGGGAATCATGTATGATTACAGTTATAGAATGTAGGAAAAGACCTAAGAGGAATAAAAGGAACAGTAGGAGGATCCATAAAAAAATGAAGAAGAAGGAGGGAATGAAGGATAATAAGGCACTTAAACTGATTGAACTGATATATAATACGGATCGTCAGTATATATTGTAAGAAAATTTACTCTCGAAATAAATTCAATTTTCAATATCCTTATAAATTTGTATAATTATATTATATTACAATAAATAAAATGTTCTATAACAGTTATCCTTAATAATAAGATTATATTTGTTATTCAAAATTATATAAGTGACATACTATTGAATAAAATGTAAACTCCTTTCAATTATCAAAGAAATCTTTAGATATTACTTAAAATAGATTTAGAGTATTTTTAAAGAAACCTTAAGTATTGAATTTTGCGATTATAATTCAATTTATAGAGGTAGAAAACTTATATTAAAATTATTATCAGATGATTTTTAATTACAAACTTAATAAATTAATTAATGGAATTTAATTAAGCTGATCTCTTTTTAAGAGCTGTCTCTATTTGTGAATTGTAGATGAAATCAAACAAAGACTTAGAATATTACAATTAGTGTGCTAATTAATACTTAAAATACAAGACTGAATAAAACAGCTTAACAAAGGAATTTTAAATTTGTGATAAACAGTGTAATGAAAAAAATGAATGCAAAAGATAGTGTTTGAGACTGTTGACTGATTAGCAGCAATCATTAATCCAATATTTTGCAAAAACTATTTGAAAAAGTTTTGACTATTTTTGTTTATTGTATAATAGCATAATTTCTAAAATTAATTTAAGCTGATATTAATTTATTATTTTCTTGGCCTTTTGCTAATTTGCAAATGTTTTGTTAAAAATGCATTTCACCTAATTTTTTTTAAATTATAGATACATGTTGTATTAATCGATGAATTTAACTGTTTTGTAACTTACGAAACTTAATGTAAGACACTAATAGTGATTTTATTTGAAATTTAATTTGTTAATATTGCATTATATAATTAGTATTTAGCATTTATTCAAAATTTGAACCATATTGTTTCAATTCCAATTTATTTTTCAAATTTAATAAACATTAACTTTGTATTGACATTTAATGACATAATTAAATACTAGATAAAATATTTAATAAATGAATAAATTCTAAGAGCAAATAATAAAACAAAATTAGAAGATTCGTAATCCTCTCTATTAAAACCTTATTATTTTGGGATAATTTTTTTATACTCTTATATGGATTTTTATAGCTATTTAAATTTTAGGACAATAAAGGGAAAACCTGCATTTTAAAATATTTTATTATTTCAGTTTACCCACTATTTCAATACTATTCAATATTGAGTAAGTCATCATATAAAGCATTGCGATAATTTTTTCATTAACCTTTCTTTTGGCTCTGTTGTTGGGAGCAAACTAGAAATATTCATACAAGTTTCTTGGCGTCCTTTGGGATGCCTACCCAAACATATGGCAAATCATAATTATTTAAAATAGTGGGCATTGCTTACTAACCGATAATCTTAACTTAATACTGGGGATAATTAATATCATAATGGCAATTATAATTTCTCAATTAACCAGCCTGTACTCATTTTCACAAAACACAAGCCAAAAACTAATTAAATCCTATTTCGAAAGGACCCTGCTTCCATTTTGCTATTCAATATTGGCATTATTCGCAGGTTTCCAAATAAATAACTAATACATATCGTATCTGTATTTAGGTGCACAATTGATATTTGATCTTTATTTTGGGATATTGTACTATGTCAAGCCCCATATGCAATATTTAAATATGAAAACGCAGAAATTGGTTGTTCTGTGTTCATTCATCAGATTTCCACTGGTGTTATTCCTATTTTATTACCAGGGCGACGAAGTTATATATTTATCTTTATTTTCACTTCCACTCATGATACAAATCCACCTGGTGCTTTGGGAAAAGAGATTCATGAGTTTAATATACACAACCAATATGTTTTTCTAGTACATCTGTCTGGGTAAGTTTAGAGAGATGGACAACTTAATTGAATGCTACATCGAGTACTACTTTGAAATCGTCAATTACAAGAAACCATTGAACAGAGTGTTGATGCTGAGTATATATTGCAATCACATGAACATGTGCTAAAACCTCAAGTGTTTTTGTTAAAACAGGAACTTCCATGATGGTGTTACCATAACGACTCAGTTATCAATAGATGTGAAGGATATTTAGCAGCAAGTCAATTTCGCAGTGGCAGAATAGGATATTTAAATGTGTTTTAAGGAACTGATGTTATTATTTTTTGACAACTATATCAAGCATGTAAGATATACTGCTATGGGAGAAACGTTAATCTTAAAATAAAGTCTTTACGAAAGTGAGAACTTTAAGCAGAGATTGTTTTAAGCCAAACTCAGATTTTAATATTTGAAGATATATTATAATAAGTACCACCCCCAATTCTTGGAGAGGTGGGCAACATGTACATTGGTTACTGAAAAACTGCAATTTTACATAGGTGGTGTTAATAATTTGAATTTCGATCTTTCGTAATCTTTGTAATATTTTAAATTACTAGAAAACATTCAGAATAACATATGCAAAGTGATTGAAGATAAAATACTTATCTTAGAATTGTTGAAAAGGAATTATTAAAATCCAGTGCCTTATCTATTACACAATTCTACTCAACAATATTTGAATGAATGCAATCAACTAGAATTATAAATAAAATAACTTATCTAACTCAATGGAATATCAGCTGAAGTTAGAGATTTATAGGATGAATTCTATTCTTAAATTAAAGTAGACTACGGGTTCAAGAACATTCGCAAAAAAACAACCATTCCTTTCATAAACCAAAATCAAACAGCCTTTGTAATCTGTGATTATGAAGGAGAACTTGTAATAAGGGATTATTCTGGCAACTTCATATCCATGATTGATGTAAGTTCATAAGTCAAGGGAAGTGCTATCGAATAAATAGTTCCTGTCATATTGTAACAATATCATAGGGTTGCTATTGCTCAGATGATCAATACTGGCCAAACCAAACTTGTAAATAAGGATTAATACACTCTAATGGTTAAATCGGAAAAGTATATCTTGGAAGTAGATGCACTATTAAGATTTGATTATAGACAAATGGATTTCTTAAGGTTCATAGGTTTCATCCAATTGAGAGACAAGGATAGCATTTTATTGCTCGCAAACGACAAAGGAAAGCTTGATTCATATTCTAGATCTGCTGGAGTGCTGCTAAAGCTGGACGAGGTTGACCTTAATTTTTTGAATTACTCTTACTTATCCCCTTGTTTGTTAGATGATAAGGAGGAGTAGGAGTTCGATGGATTCATTTTAATTCCTAAGAGGTTGTTTAGATCAGATATTTTGGGATACATGAGATACTTTATAGGATCTCCTGATGAGTGCTTCATTTTCTTGGTCAACGCTTAACATTAAAAAAAGACCTACACTTCAGTTACAATATAATGTTTGAAGGTGAATTCATTTTATTAATTGAAAGAAATGGATTTCAAAATAATAGCCTTGGATATTATGATAAGATAGATTATGATCTTAAAATAAGTGTACAAGTCTCAATATTTGGCATCTCCTGAATAAATTCGCAAAATCTAAACTTTCAAAAAGACTTTTAAAATTCAACCGACAATAGAATTTAATGAAGGAGAGTACAATTTAATTTGTGAAGATGATTCAGAAAGAGAAATATAAATACAAGGCAGAAACCAAAATATTCTCCCTGAATTCATTCCATCTCTAGATTCAATCAGAACTTAAAATGAGAAATTGCTTCTAACTTTTGATCAATATAGAGATTATCACAATACTTAAAGCAAGGATAAATCATTTGAATAATAATAGAAATTGGAAACTTTTGAGGGTTCAAAGTCAGAGTTGGATGTATACAGTAAATAAAAAAAGACTACTAATTAACTTATAGAAATTGAATTGAATGCTTCAGAAGATCAAAACATTGAGGAGTAATTACAAATTATTTTAACTACTGTGAAGGCTAGACAAACACGAAAAGAAATGCTGGAAATGAAAAATTAATTGAAAAATAAACATAAAGCTAGTACTTGGCATGGAAATGGGAATGCATATACTTAAAAACAATTAGTTAGAAATATTGTACATTAATTCTAAATATCTTCATTAAGCTCATTATTGTCTATAAAAATAGTGTCATGCTTTTTAGTAATTATAAACATTGGATTTGTCCTTGGATTTGTTATTAACAGTCTAATCAATATAGCTGGTATATAGATGGATTCTAACAATTAAACCTATCCTTTAATATTGTTTCAAGACCTCAATTTGGTATTAATGGGGATACAACTTGATGATTGGAGTGAATCAAATTAAGAATTAGCATAAAACTTTAAGGTTTTGGGAGCAGAGCAATACCAAAATTTGAGTATTCATGTTAATGATATTTAAAATGACTATCATACATTTCTATAGGAACTTGATCAAGAAACAATATAGGTTTAAGAAAATGGGATACCAATTACTTATTTTAAGAAATATTTCCTCAAAAACTATATGGTGGAAAAGCTGAGGACCATATAAGAAGCTGATTAAGTTCCATTGCTTGGAGATGACAGTGAGTTCCTATTTGATAATTTTCCAAAAATAGCAGACTAATTATGGAACTTAGAAAGTAAAACAACCAGAGATGTAGTTGAAAGAATAGATGAATTAGATTAAATGTCAAAATTATTATTAATCCTTTCAGTTATTTGTAATCTTATAGCAATAACAATATATTTGACAATTCTGATGGGTATTATTTAGTGGAGAAATCAGCTTTATTCAACCTTGTTTCTATTCAACAACATTTAAGTGCTGATTACTTAATTATCGGACTCAATCAGTCGTACGGTTATCTAAGCATCTAATAACAAAGGGTATGACGAGGTAAACAACAAGAAAATTAAGTTTATTTGGTAAGTTTATGGGGCTGTAACCTTTTTTTTACTTTCAATTATCTCTTTAGGATTTTATATACCATTATTCCTGTATATAGATTCCGTCAACTTACAATCAATCGACGTTAATTAATTACAGACTGAACTCACTATGATGCAACTGAAATAGTCATTGATTCTCACTTGGTGGTCTGTTAATCAAACAGAAGGTGCACAAAATATTGGCTTAATTCACAATACTTCTATTATTTAATAGGTAATTGACGAGTGTACCCCATCAGAGTATTTTGTTTTGTATGATCTCCCTTTTGATAGTAAGTATGATTACTTTCCAGAAATTCAGCAGTATACTACAACTTCCATTTGCAATTGCTCTTTGTTGTAAAATTAATTGAAGAATGGATTTTAAGGGTTTTCATCTTATGTTTCTCAACACTTATATGATCCAGATTCATAAATTGAAATTATGCAAGCTTATAAATTTGTATTTGAATTTCAAATCCAAAAAAAAAAAGAGTTTGATGATTATATGGAAACTCGATTACAAAATACTTTATTAACGCTATAAATCATTCTAGAGATAAGCATGGTACTTATCATAACAATTTAATCATCACTTCTATTTATAATTCATGGATAAATTAAGAAATTGGTTAAATCTACTAAAAGCATCATGTACTTATTTCCTCCTCAAATTCTAGCAAACAATAAATATGCATTATAAGTATTAATCTAAGGTAGTAATTAATGAGAATATTTTTGTTATTTATTATTTTAAATCTTATAATCTATTTATCATAAAAGAATTCAATTCAATTTCATTTCAATTAAAATTCTTGATTTTCCTCTAGACTTTGTTATCTAAATTAGCCAAAGGAATTAATGGTAACAATATTTTACATTAAATAACCTAAAACCAATTGAAGTTATTCAAGGTTTCCTCTTATTTAAATACTGATGGTTTGAAATTACAATATTAATTAATTTCTAATAAAGAACAGTTTTAATTTATGATAAAAATATATACTTGTAATTATTTGAATAGAAATATATCTATTGTTTATACACAATAAGGTAGTAAAAATTACTATTGAAAATCGTTAAGATTAAACCACTAAATTATTATAATTTCTGTTTTTAATTAATAATTAAATCTCATGAGTAGAAATGGCCTTGAATCGATTTGTAATTAAGCCACAAATTTTTGGAAATCGCAACTTTTGCCATAAAAAAAATAAGTTGAAGAAGTTTCTACTAATTTTGGTTCAAATATCCTCGTTGAATGCTCTTTTATTGAAGTTTCAGCTAAAAAAACTGAAGAGTTTCTGTTTCCATAAGCCCCAAACCCCAGTCAGGTTAACGAAAAATGTGAGGAAGAACCTCTTTATACTTAAAAACATAACTCTTCTTAAATTGAAATTGATGAAAATTTTGAAGAGGAGGGATATGAACTATCCTGTTCTCAAAGTTAGTGTAGGAGGAAGGAAAAGAAGAAATCTAGAACTCGATCAAACAAATCAAGTAAGAATTTTCATTATAAGATAAGCTAAGTAAAGAATAACAATAAGCCAAGAGGCTTTCATCATGGAACAAACTAGAATGGGAACCAACCTCAAAGACATAGCTCATCAAATTCCTGGGGTGACTATCAACCAAATTAAGAGTGTGTTGATGAAAAAACTAAAAACATATAGTAAAAATAACGATTTTCAAAGCGAAGATATTTCAGATCTAATTGAAAGGATCTCTAAGTTACAACAGTAATTATAATAATTAAACTTAGGGAAGAAAACATAGACAATGCTACGAAAATAGAGGAGTTAAGACAGCATATCCACGCAATAGAGAATCACTTGGATTAGACGAAGAAGTTGATCTTATAAAAATATATGATTTTATTTCAACAATAGCAGTGAGGAGTTAAGATTTCACTTTCTTTTTATTTATTAACAAGTTGAATTTGAGTATCATCAATTTCAAACTATAATTATCTGATCAAATTCTAATCATAAAGATAATTCAAAATAATTAGTAAATAACATAAAATACAATTATTGTTTGTGTAATCAAAAAAATTCTAAGTACACTCTTTTATTGAAATCGTTTCTCTTCAGCTATTAAAAGAAGGTCTCGATATCCCTTTCATTAGTAAAGAACTTGCTCTCTTCAGAGACATTAGCTAATTATTTTAAATACAACATATTCATATTTTGATTGGCGATGTTGAAGATTAATAGATGTATGTTCTTTTTCTTAATCAAACTTTGAAGCCGATTGATGGACATCTAATTGTAATTTCTCACTCCTTCACTAAACACACAAACATATCTAAGCACTTAATCATCTTTCTCTTCATTTATCATATCGATGTCAATTTTATACTGATTCTAAACATAAATCTCAATATATAATACCATGTTCTCGTGCAGACTATTATTTTCCGATAATTCATCGCCTTCCTTAATTATTTAACTAAACCCCTATGAAAAGGTCTTGCCATTTCTCGAAGAATTAGAAAACCCCCTGAATTCAACATCCGAAAATTTAAACTCTTCCTACTCGATCTGCTATTTGATCTTATTTGATTTTAAGTGTAACGCTAATTACTTTCGCTGTTCTAGTTTGTCTTTTTCAAATAGAATTGCAATTACTATTTCCAACACCAAAAATATATTCGCCTGTCCTCCAGGTTTAATTAAGGTCTTATCAATTATTGATTCAAGCAATTTCTTATAAGTTCCTTTCACTTATAATGAGAATATCTCATGTAACGATTCATTAAAGGCATATAAAGCAACTTCGGCATCCTCATCCAATTTCTGAATAACATATTTGCACATAGAATGGGACAGAGTAATTTGCTCATTGGTCATTTCTGATGAATAATCTATCAAAAAAATAAATTCAAGCTTTTTTGGCTGATTCTATTAAGAAAACTTTATTAAACAATCGATGTCTATTTAACATTTCTTAAAAATCTTTATTAAGGATTTTAAAACCAATTTTTATAGTCCTGGATCATAGAAACCATCTGCTTTTAAAATGGACACAAATTTTTATGATGCCTAAAAGTAATCCTCATTGATCATCAAGATTAAAGCCTATTACAATTATATAAAATGAACTTACTTCTAGTCCATAGATCTTCTCTTGGAGTATTTCAAGAGGGATATTTCTAAAGATATCCACAAACTCTTTAGAATCCAATTATTTAATGTCTTCTTTGATTGATTTGAGGATAGCGAACTTATTCTGAGCTTCCTTTAATTCTTAATATGCCTTTTCCATAATCTTGGCCTTAACAAAACAGAAAGCCTTCTTTATGTAGATATTAATTTTCATGTATTGAATTGAGAAAGAATCAGGGAGATTTTAAATGTCATCCATCACATCATTGAACTATTTAACACTTTCATTCAAGAATGTTGATTATGTTTTAGACATACTATAATTAAACAGAATGCAAGCTAATTGGTACTTTCGAAATGCTATCTTATACTCTAAGATTTGTTTCTTTTGTAGAAATTCCTCGTCTAAATATGCTTTTGAAATTGGAGATGATTTTCTCGGAGAGGATCTCCTTGGACTATCTATAGGTTCTAAGAGTTCAGAGTTCTAGTACTTAATCTATTGGTCTTCTTGTGTGATATTCTTGATTTAATTTATAGTTTATCTCAAACCTCTATTTTCAAATTCTTGTTGGCTTTTCATCTGAGAAGTATCTATAAAATTCCTGGACTTTTAAATAGTTTGTCCTCTAGATAAATTAGTTTGTGCATTTTGTATTACCTTAGTTTTTTTTTCAATATCCTTGATGACACTTTTCATCACCTAATCATCTTGTCTCTAAAACTTCTGTAGGACGTTGTTCTTCAATCGGAGATACAATTTCATCAGTTGCTGGTCATCATGAGTTTAGGCTGCTTAATTAGCATACTTCTGCATTTCAATTAGACTTTATAAGTCTTGGTTGGCAATCAGAACAGATTCTTCTTACTCATTCATAGCTTCAAGATATCTTTGGTTTTTCATATGGATTCTTGCGATATTATTAGCACATATGCCAACAGCAGGATTGTTGTTATATTTCTTGTAGAAGCTCTTAGACATGCTTAGGATGATAAGTGCCTCAGCTTCATTGATTTCTTATGATTCTTATAACAATTTGTTGTTTGAATACTTGATGCTATTAAGTAGATTAATTATGACCTCGTATGATTACCTGATTTCCTCGTTGTAGAATAAATTAGAATAGCTTTGTAAATTGAAATCCTAAATCTCTAGATACTTCATATCCACGTCGGTTAATTTGATTAATTGGTTAATGGGCATTTCTAGAGATAGAGCTAATATAACTCCTTTTCTCCAAAAGTACAGTAGCAAGGCAATATGGATGGCACAACCTATGACTATCTCATTGATCAGTGTCGATTATGCAAGGTTATTTTCTCCAGCTAGTTTTGAATATTCTGTCAGTGACATTGAATATAGAAATACAACTGAACAGTTTTTCAATAATTGTTGAGTTAAATCAATTGAGGGATAATTTGGATGTGTAAAGTAATAGGATTGGAAAAACACTATTCGCTATTCACCCATCCCATCGTAGATCATATTCCATTCTCTCTATTGGATTGGGACACTTATTAATGAATACAGTTGGTTTTAAAAATCTTCAGTCTAATTAGGCCATAGGGAGAGGGCGCTTTCCAAGTTTCCATTTATGAGTTTACCATTTGATATCTCATTCAGTTAACCGTTTGCAAGCAGGGAATAGATAATTGGTTGATTGGAATTGGTTATTAAGGGAATATTAATTTTGGTGTGAATTTGAATATTACAAAAATGATCTTGATCGCCAACATTCAATCTCCAGATTTCACTGTTATTTTCTATCTTTGGAAAAACAATTTAAGAAGAAAATTGAGATAAAAAATATTCGCAATTGTCTGGGGTTTAGCAATTTTTAATTGATTATTAATACCATTCGTTTGCTATTGATTAATTTTTACTGAGAAAGGTGATTCCCAAGCCATTTTGGCAGAGCAAATGGAATTCTTCAAATATTTCATTTTCAATATAGATTTTTATAACTCTAGTAAGTGATGAATATAATTTTAAGGTTGAAAATTAGTTTGAGTATTACTCTTTCAATTGTTGTAGACTTGTAGCTGGTTAAAAGTGCCAAAATACATGATCAAGTTCCTTTTCATTCAATTATTAAAAATTATTGATGGAATTGACAAGATTAGATATGCCATAGAGGGAATTGATATCTGGCCTAATAGATCGACCATAATAATATCTCGCGAAACGAATTGAGTTCTAAATCAAAATTTCAATATTACTAATGAAGTTTCAGTATAAAGCTAGGAAGATAGTATTTCGCTCTAGGAAATGTTTGTACCTTTAAAATATAATCCTAATAGCACTATCAAACTACAAAGGAAATAAAGTAGTGCAAGAAATACTGTCATTAGTATAAGCCTATATCTCAATTCCATTAATTTATTTATAAATGGATTTTCAAATTATAGACAAATTATTTATTGGATTTTGGTTTATTATTATATTGATTACTCGTACTTCTTAATTTAAGATTTAATTTGGACTCCAAGGTAAATCAGTAAGTGTTGATGAAAAGTTGAGAGTTTGAAATTTGAAGACAGTTTATAAATAAACAACAATATCCTCGCCCTCCCAATTCATTACAGAATCAATTACGTCCTTTTCTAGACACCGTTTTCATTAGCATCATACAGAATTAAATATTAACTATCCTATATATTAATATTCATTCAGAATATATCACAACCCTAATCTACTAAAAATTGAATTTATGAATTGACTAGTAGAAAATACTCCTCCTATCACGGCAAAGATGGCTACCACTAATTGAGTCCAAGAGGATATTTTGCTCTAATAAATCGTTGTTATTGGATCGAATTCATATTTAAATATGATTTAAGGTAACCTTTCACTTGTTGGCAATCTGACTATAGATAACTTTTTAAAATCTTACTTCTGCTCATATGCTGTAAATGTATATAAGTCTGCCTCTGTAAACAAAGTCTCATAATGACTTTCAACCAACTTCAAATAATATTAAGTGTCTTCCTTCTATTTTAGCTAGTGAGAAGTACCATCAAGAGTGTTAGTAGTCTTGAAGTACCTTCCGAAAGTCGGTCCTTGCTTTTAGGGTGTAAACTCTAACCAGTTGATAGTATGCGAGAGTTAAATGTCTTAGGAAATCAACTATTTTAATATTACAATTTCTTACGCTAACTGCCTATCCCTTTCCATGGAAACTGATGTGAAAATTACCAGGAATTCTTTTAACGTAGAAATGCCCAAAGATTTGACAGGATTCTCCGTAAGTAAATGCCATAGCAGTTAAATCATTCATATCTATATATTGTTATCCTCTTCTTTCTTCTCCAAATTCTTCAGTAAACAACACTCTTCTTCCATTTTATTATATGTAAGAATATTTGCATTGTTGAATACTTTCCTTTCTCGGCAAAGGCCAATCTCGGCTTGCATATGCCAACAACACATCCTAACATGTTATGCATTTTTGTCCCTCAAACAATTATGCTCCATAACAATCATTTACTTCATTTGAATTATGCCAATTCCAGTGATACAATGATTGTTCAAACAATTTCACATTCTCTGCATACTCTTTATTTATGAACCTTCCATCTCTAATTCTTAACTTATGTATCGTGTATTCCATATCTTCCAAATGAGTCCCTGTGATATCCTACTAATCCAACGATAAGGCAAAACATGTCATATCGTGAACAGTGATATTCAAATTGACTCTTATTCTTTCATCAATATTGGTAGTATCAATCGTGGACAATACTTCCAATTAAAATGATCTTATTATTTCTCCAATAATTAGAAATCCTACTGAAAATACAGTTACAAGGGCTAATATTCCACCACAAGTAGTCTTCTTTGTTTCTACTTTTGACTTTGTGAATAAATTGATTTACTACATAAATTAATTTATATTAAAGCAATCAATTATGAGAGTATAATTCAAATAATCAACATGAATACACATTCCTTCTAACCTTTGATTATTAAGAATACTTTTTAGGATTTTTGATTAAATCGATTAAATATTCAGGATTCTCAGAACTTATTACTTAAAATTTTATATTATCAAATCAATTTTATATATCCTAAACTAATGTAATTAACGAAACCTCTTTGGCTTTCATATTCACCTCAAGCAAAACCATGATATTTAAGGAGGACTGAAATCTGAGAGTAAAATTTGTTTTATGTCACAAATTATTGTCTTTTTTGCAGAGAAATAAATTAGTTAATAAATACAAAATAAATGATGAGTTTATTCTCATTTTAGTGCCATGTGGACAAATTTAGAGGATTCTGAGCAAAATTTGACGTGCTTCTATGAGATTTTTTCACTGGAACTTGAACTTTGAAAAGATTCTCGTTTTTTCAATATGCCTTTTTTCTCAATGGATTCTTTTGAGATATTGAGTTAGCTTGGAGTTTTTGAGATGGAAGCCATCCTTTGACAACTATAATGAGATTCTTTTTAGACTTTTTTAATACGACTCTATTTGCGCCGTAAAGCTGAACCAATTTCACATTGTAACTCTTCATCTTATTCAATCATTTATATTTGGAGATTCTGAAGTGACTTGCAGATGTCTGCTTTCGTTTTTACATTCAATTCCCTTAATCTTTGATAATTTTGATATAATGGAGAATCATTTTATTAGATTTCTCTATCCCAATCACTTGACATAAATTTAAAGATAAAATATAATAATCAATTTTCGATCGATTAAATTGGAGCAAAGTAATAATTCTTGTGAGTTTATTATAATTGACTCGGATGTATAAAAATGTGTATTAATTTAATATTTCAATATTCATTTATTTTATAATAACTAAATATTTATACAAATAGAGAAAACCTCAAATAGAATAATTAATAATTATTTAAAAAAAATGTATATTTCTACTCAAATTGGAAGGTGCTTAGTCGAGGAACCTGATCTCAAAAATCGAATGCTCTACAAAACCTTAGAATTAGAATTATAAGGTACAGAAATTTGGCAATTGTTTAGCTCAGGGAGGCTTGAAAGTAGTGAAAAACACATTCTAAAATGATCCTAAATATGAGTTAAAGAACTTTGACTTAAGAAAGAGATTCGATCTGAGGCCCAAAAATATTCATTCATAGAATATTTAATAAAATCTTTAAACACAATAGTTGTAAACCTAGGAGGTTTCAAGAAATCTTCGATCTTTGAACTTCACTTAAAGACTAATAAGACAAGAAGAAATAACAGATCATAATCACAATGGTTTGTTGAGTGCTTTGATCTACGAAGCCCGATAGAAGTAGCTATAATAATAGCCTCCTGGCTCATAGGACTAAAAATAATGTCTTCTTGACAACCTAGATGGCAATGACATGAGATTATTGGTATGTATAACCATGTTCAGAGAACCCCTAACTTAGCTATAAAAGTCAATTGATGGTGTAGTGTAGTCTTTAGATGCATTTATGAAGTATGGGATAGCTCCTCATCAAATTGGAGTTTGTGTGTTCTTTGATGGAATAGAAAATATTCATAATGTGATGGATGAGAATGGGACAGCATATCATGAAAATATTATTCGTAATTAATAATAATAAAATTCTTAGCCTACTTTAAAAGCAACCTAGATGAGCAATACGGGATCAAGGATAAAAAGACACTTGACTACCAATATTGGGAGTACAAGAAACACAAGAAATTCTTGAACGATTACAATCCTCAGAACATTATAAATTTGAGGAAAAACAAGGAACTCCTATTAAAGAAATTCAAAAAATACAAGGATTCCCTTCTACCAATAATGAAAGCCTAAAAGGGCTATAAATGGATGCCATAAGATGAATGGGTGGAAACCAACATCATATAGGCAATGATCAGATAATACCAATTGTCAAAATAGTATATTTAGGATAGAGATAACACTGCCTGGGTATATTAAGGTAGACATGTTTATCAGGAATGCACAATGCCAATATTTTATGTTTTCAAATTCAAAAATGGGTCTAAACTCTCTTCCCATCTATGGTTTTTTAAAGGATTTTGCTAAGAATTGAAACCAGAATATTGTTTATTGATGGACTGTGGAGCTGTTCCTGCTAAAGACAGTATTTTTAGATTAATAAGTTCAATGGAGGCAGATCCAAAGATAGGCGGTGTATGTGGCAATATGAGAATAGAAGAGGAGATAGAAAACAATGAAGCCCAAAATGATTAATAAATGGATATTCTAAGCAAAATCCTAAATACACATTTCTTTTCAATAAAAAAATGCTAATAATGTGAATATGATATTGGACACACTTTGGATAAAAATTACGAATCAGCCTTGAATTACATCCATGTTTTGCCAGGAGCTTTCTCGGCTTATCGATACTAAGCCTTCAGTTAACATTACAAAAAGTACTCAAGGTAGGCAATGTACATTCAATCCCAATTAAATATGCTACCTAGGGTTACTTAAGATAATCAACAAGATATTAATGTTAATGTGGATAATTCACAAGGTTCCCATATTCCTATTCAAGTGGAAGACTATAATATTCTCAATTTTTATTTGAGGTAAGTGATGGAATCTGATTATTAATATAGCAGTATTACTGAAGCTAATATGTTTTTGGCTGAGGATCGGGTATTATGTTTATTGCTGTTTTGCTAAAGTTTTTATCTAAAATACATTCCAGATGCCATAGTTTATGTAGATGCTTGTTAAAGTTTGATTGATTTGCTATTTTAAAGAAGGAGATGGATAAATGGAAGTTGGTTTGCTCTGAATTATGTTTAAGAGACTTATCATGACAAATTAGAGGGCAGTTTTCATACATGGGAGGCAAAGCAAATGCTTAAATTTAGCATTATAACTGCAAACTTAAATCAACTATAATAATACTTTTTCTAATCATTCTAGATAGTTTGGTTGTTCATGGTATTGTAAACTGCTGTAGATTCTAATGGTACAATGGAAGATAAACATTATAATCCTATCTAGGAATCTACTGACAACATTGTAGTTTCTGCAATTATAGGATTGTACATCTTCTTGGTTTTAATGCTTATATATTTATCTTTGACTTATGACTAATAGATATTGAATAATGTGAATGGAACTATTGCTCAATCAAAAAAGCAGGTTTAAGATAAGATTAAGAACTACTATTATTCGAGATACTATTTTGTTTCTACTATATTGGGTTTAATGAGTTTAGCAACTGTTGGCTACACAATTTATCTACTAATTTAATAAATCATATTGGAACTCAAATTTAGTGAGTTTTTAGAAGTACCAAATGCACCCCAATCATATTATAGTTTACTTATAGTTCTGAACTTTGGAATTTTGGGACTTCCATTTCTCTTCACTTTAGTTACTTAGCCGTCGATAATATTGAGTGTGATTGTTAATTCCATTCATTACTTCTATTTTCAGCCTACCTATACTCATTTATTCATTACTTATGCTTTTTGTAGGATTGATGACTTATCTTGGGGAACCAAGGGTCTTACTGAAGACAACAGCAAAAATAAAGTATACACCGACAAAGTCTACAAAAAATACTTATTTGTTATTAAGTGGATAGTACTTAATTGCTTACTTTCAGGAATTCTAATACTATTACTAAGAATGAACATTTCAATGTTGCCTTCATTCCTAATTTTATTTGTGTCCGTAATTCTAACGGTCATCAGTATAATCAAAGGGTTTTTAGCACTAATTCACTTATTCCAATTCTACATGCCTTCAGGAACCAAGGCTAGAAGAGACAAGTAAATTTATAATATGAAATATTTAGATTAATTAAAAGCGTAGACAAAAAGAAAGAAACCTTAGAAAGAGGCAAATCTTTTAACACTAATTTATAAAAATTCTTCATGCCACAAAATTCTAGATGAAATGTTATTTTTTCAAGCATTATATTTTATTTTGAACATCGCAATCTTCTTAGTTATTTGAACTTCTTGACCGTACTGATTCATCTCTAATACTCACTTCTATTTGGCTTTATCTAATTTATTAATTGTCTTGAGGAGTATCATCCATTGGATCAGGCAAGTGAATTTCATGAATCTGAATATGCTCACTCTTTAATTCACTGTTGGCATCAAAAGGAATTTCTCTTGCAGATTTGAAAAGACTGGAACTCTTCAAATGCTTGATTTGACAGATTCTACTACTTCTTTTAGTATTTCCAGCACTTTATAATCTTGATTGTATGCTATTAACACTCTCTATTCTGGATTCGTCCATCATTGGAGACAACGCTATCTTCCTTTGATTTTCTCTGTAAGAATGTATTAATTGATTAAGTTCTATTGATTTTTTCTACTCTATGTTCTTTTCAATCTTCATAATCTATAATTAATCAGACATGTCTTTACTCTTTGTTTCATCTTGAGTCTCTTCATTCTGTATTCCAAATGCAAATCAATTTCCTCCGACAATGCTTTGTATAAACTCATCAAATCTGCTGTCAACTCATCAAAAAGTTACTATGATTACTCCAAATAGTCCAAGACCTTCTCATTATTTTCGTATAGTTGCTCCAAACGGTTCTCCATAAATTACAGTTCTCTCAAATTCAATTAATCATTTGAAGCAGCCTCGTGTGAGATTGAATACTTCTGTTTCAGTTTATCAATCTCCACATTTTCATCATTTTCCTTCAAAGTTCTGTAGAAGTTGATCCCCATGATGGCCACAGGCAATGATATTGTTGTAGTTCCTAACAATGCTGTTATACAGGCTATGAATTTGCCTTATATTGTCTGTGGTATCAAATCCCCATAACCAACTGTTGTCATCGTAACTACACACCACCAAATGGCATCTGGAATAGATTTAATTTGATTCTCTCCTTAATCGCTTTCGTCTTCATTATACTCCAAATAGTAGATGATCGTCGAAAAAAAGATCACCATTAGCAATAACATCACTATTAGCATTAATATATCTTTCAATGAGTTTTTAACTGTATCTGCCTTAATTATCGAAATAAATTACTAACATTGAAATTTCTTTCATGAATCTGGACAATTTGAACAAACGAAATATTCGAATGAATCGGATTAATCTTAGCACTCTCAATTATGAAAATGAGCCACTTGTTAGTGTTAGACTCAGTAAAAAGGGCAGGATAGATACAAAGTCGATCAAGTTCATTGGAGATATGATAAATTACAAGAGTGACCTATCAAAAGCACTGGTTGAAAATAAACGCAAAACTAAGGATAATTATATAATCTTACTATACTCAGTACCAAAAAACACGAACAAATACAATTCAACAGTGGAACTAGCAGAATCGTAAGTTTCGTTGCCTGATTCATAGATAGAATCAACTATTATTGTTATACATGATAATAAGATGCTTAGCAACAGTATAATTTATATCACTTTAGCTAGAATTGAGCTTTGTGGATCTTCTAACAATATGTATACATGCTATTAGCATTCCTTAATCAAGACTTTGAATTTCCCAATTACATTTTGATTCATCAATTTCCTCCTCAAGGAGAAATCTTCTGTTTTTAGTTTTCTTAAGAATGTAGCTTTGGTTTGAAGATTGTGTAACTACTTACTTTGGCTTTATTTCGAAACAGATGAAGAGTTAGATGAATTAGATTTCTTCATTTCTTGCTCAAATTAATAAATATATTGATATCAAAGTAGAAAACTATTTAAATGATTGAGATTTTAACAACCAAAAATTAAACGTAAAAGTTAAGCTTGTCTAAAATAGAGTGTCAAGAAGAGAAGCCTTGGAATTACAAAAATATTTTTATTAAGACAAAATAAAAAAGATTGTCTTATATCATTTTTCTGTTAATTCTCTAAATCCTTTCCAATCCTTTGGTGCCTTTCCACCGCATGAATGTATTACTTCCAAGAGTGTATTTGAGGGTCCGTCCTTGTGCTCAGGAATCATGGACTATGCATAATAAAAGATAAAAATTACTAAAGTCTTTTGGAATGTTTATTAGGCATCACCCCAAGATCCCTTAATGTATTGGTCAAAGCCTATTTTCCAGGTTTCATAAAACACCTAAGATCAATGATATAAATTACTTATGTATAAGGCTCTCTTGCTGCAGCCAATTCGTCATCAGTAGAAAATAGATCAGTCACAGATACTTAATTATTTTAGACCTTCTTCATTAAATCTTCCCTCTTAAACCTATTCAAAACTCTAAACTTCTTGGACTCCTTCTGGGTCATTTAGGAAACATCAAATTTGTCTCTTAACCCTTTGATTTTTGATTATAGGTTTTTTATTGACATGTCAATGGTGTGTAATTCTAGGATTATGTTATAGAGAGATACCTAAAGGAACAATACTTCCTTTCACAGTAACAATATCGATCATTCTCATTTACTTCTAGCATTCTTCAGTGAGATATTGTTTCAAAATGCCACTAACGAGAATGAGCGCTCCGAATTATTTCGTAGCTGCCTCCAACCTAGACGCCATGTTAACATTAGGACTAAGATAGGAAGCATCGATTTTAAAACCAGAACCTATGGCTCCTTCGATTCCCCATCCCATATGTAGACCAAACCCCATTTTAACAGAGTAATCTTTCATTCTTGCATTGAGACCTTCGTGTTTCTTATACTTTTCTAATTTCTTGGAAATTGAGATTCCAGTAATTATTTTTAGAAAAGCCAATACAGCCATATCTCCTTTCTATTTGATGTATCTGTCACTTTTGAGTTTCAAATTTTTAGGATTATCAGGGTCTGGATGGTAATCGTTAGGGGAATATTTCCAAACTAACAGAAATGCATCTCCTATATTTTTATTAGCTGATCCACTCATCGAGTCAACAGTAGAATGAACAATTTCAGCGATTTCATTTACAAATAGCATAACCCCTTGTTACAAGACTTCTGTGGCCTAGAATAATCATTACATAGTGTTACATCTGTAAAATTTCTAATATCACAAAAACCAAAGATAGCAAGAATCTTCTTCCCAGGAATCATGGGATCAACACTACCACCCTTTTTGATGTTCTCAGCTATAATTTCAGAACCAGCCTCTCCGAAACCAACTGCCAATAGTGCTCCCACTTTCATTATTAGTCTCTATAAAACATAGGTTTCCATATGTTTCTCAATTTCTTTTTGTTTTAACTTTTCTACATCTTATTGTTTTTCCAATTCCTCCATTATTAGGTCCTCCTACTCCTCAATATTGACTGCTTCCAAAGGGTTGGCTGCGATCATTTCAATTTTTTGCATCATAGCCTCAATGGGATCAATTACCAAATCTGAAACATCCTTACTAAACATTAATGCTGAAACTGCTAAAACAATACAGACAAAAACAGTTTAAAAGATTGATAAAATTGCATTCGTCTAATTGTAACTCACTAAATCAGCAGCTGCATAAGTTTATAGATCAGATCCTTCAGATTTAACATAGTATTAAAGATCAGAGAATCTATATTGATTTTTTGTTTCATAAGCAGGCTATTCAAAGATCTCAGGGTTGGTACTGTAACTCCATTCGTGTAATTTTTGATTAGTATCGCCTTCCAATTTAACATCCACACTATAGATTGGAAATATCTCAGACACATGGAATTAGGCATATTGTTAGAGAAGTGACTTCATCACTGAGTCATTGTCTCTAAATTAATAGATTCTGTAAATTCCTGAGTCATAGCTACTGATCATTTCTTAGTAGGTATCCAATGAAAGAACTGGAATACTTATTAGAATGGCTAGAATGATAGTGATAACTCTTCTCATAACGAGATCTGAAAGTTATGCACCGACTATAGACTCTTTAATTTGATCTTCCGCTTGAGAAGTCGTTGATGAAGTTTTTAAATTAGAAGTGGTTGAATTTTTATCAGGAGTCCTAGATGATTCAATGTCATTCTGAGATCCCCTTTATTCTTCATTATTAGAAACGATTGGTACTACTTGTTGGTTTGATTAAGCCTGTATTTAAGGTTATTGTGGAGCCTGCTAATCTTAGCTTTTATTTTGTTGAGCTTATCGAAGCAACTCCTATAATAACTTTTTCTATTATTCCTTCTCCATCTACTATCGAGCATGCTTATACAACTTGACTAATCTCACCAATCGAATCACTCTAATAACTCTGGCTGCCTTTCTAGCTGCTCTAGATGCTGTTCCGATCGATTTAATTTAAGCTGCACTTGAAAGGTCTCCAGAATACCATGTGTCAGTAATCCAGCCCAAATCCAATATCATTGTTATTGTGGATATAACGTCCAATACAAAGTAAAACTAAATCTTACGAAAATATTTACATTAAACACATATTCTGGTTTACAAATGCTGGTAAGAATTATCTCCGCTAAGAAAGCAACCATACAAATCACTGTTAGGATGAAGAACACATCATCTCCTTGTTTATCAACTGACAGTATGCGAATGTCATCTCCGAAGAGTGCATAAATGGTAACTATGGCCATGATTATTGAGAATGGGGTGCTCTCAGTAAGTTTCAAAATCTTTTTTGCAAACTCAGATTATTGCTTTTGAACATGGTGTCTGCTCTTCAGCTTACTATTCATCCTTTTAACGCGCTTCTGTGTTGTTTCTGGGATGTTAATTATCAAAATTTACATTAAGCTGGAGACTTCCCACCTCCTGAACTTTTTATGGAGATGTCATCCTGGCTGTGATGATTTGATCCATTCATTTACTTGTTTAATTTTTTCAATTCATCTGGCGGTGGCTCTTTCTTTCGGATTAATGGTTGAGCTGTCTGTTTATCCGTTAACTAATATTTATTATTAGATACTAAAGGGGCCTGGTTTTGTCCCTGATTCTCGGAAGAACGCTTAGCCGATCGATCTGATGGTAACTGAAGCTATTATTTTATGAATAAACTACAACATTTGGGTCGGATACCATTTCATTGAAATTCTTTACGACTTGGGACGGAACAAAGACTTCGCCTAAACCTTGTTCCTCGTGTACAAGTTTATCTTGCTCATTTTGCATGTTCATATTTTAATAAATTAAATATAGACAAATGATTAATAATTTACAACCCTTATTTGGTATGTATAAGGAACTTTGGATCGAAAATGCAACTTAATTAAAAGAGGCCTTGGAGAAATGGGATCAGCATCAATTAAAATCCTGGCTCCAAAAAATGGAAAGTTATCTATTTTGATTACTCATTAGGAACCATATTTACATTCCAATATGATGAGTGTATTGGACTGCTAAATGAGTTTTAACCAAATTATATCTAGAATTTGCCCAATGACATGGGCATATAATGTAACAAACTAAGGACTATGTTTTAGAACAACTCAACTTAATATCTAATAGTGAACACTTATCTAAAATTGTTACGCTGTTTGAAAAAATCCCTTGAACCAATTTACAACTCCACTCATTTACTTAACTCTATAAGAAATCTGGAATTATACCTTTCCTCTCCATTGAATTAAAATACTATCAAGCCTTAAGAATGCAATTGCACAACCTTCTGATATTAGTTTATAAAATATACAAATTTACTATAATGAATTAAATTTAATTTGTTAATCATCCAAACACCTCCCCCAAATTATAATCACTCATTGTGAAATACCAATCCTTCCTATTCAACTGTATTTAGTTCTTATATTCTTATTAATCCAAAATATATTATAATATAATATGGATATGAAAATTATCTGTTGTACTAAAAAATGCATTATCTTTAGCATTTTTGAGGTATAATTTATTATCACTCAAAGGTGCAGGCTATTGTGAAATAATTACAATAATAATGAGAACCCATATTTTAATAAGAATCCTGTTCGTACACAAAAGTTAAAGATACTATATATTAAATATTTACTAATTATATCTCACTATTGGGTTTATATTTATTATAAATTCAAGGTCTCTTAGAGATGTTAATCTTGCTCGATATCTTCCAAGAACTCCTCTATTTGCTATTCTTCCAACCCTTCCTTTTTCTTATTTTTCTTCTCCTAATTTTCTTCTATATCTAATCTTTTCAGTTGAGTCTTTCTCTTTTTGTTTTTCTCTGGTTTTCTCCTTATAATAATCAACTCTGGCTTGTCATAAATTTCATCTAGTTCATTATTATACTTATTTAAATCAAATCCTTAAACAGTCATTCCTGCTTACAAAAAATTGCCTAAATGCGATTTGACTTAGTATTGATTATAATCAGAATCATTATCTTTCATGAGTTCGACTGTGCAAAGACTATTTAAAAATGGATTGTTTTGATCATTTTTTGAAGGCTTGATTTTTTCTACATCTAAAACTGTAAATTCATCACAATTTTCCCTCAAAGGCATTGTTCTAATATCTAAATCATGTTTGAAATATTATTCAGCTGAGATTTCACAAACTTTTAATTTAATTGGATCAATTAATTGTATTGAACTAGCAACTCGGTAACATATCTAAATCCTGTTTATTCCTCCTAATTGATGACACAGCTTATGTGGTAAAATCACTAAATCATCTTTGCATATTCTTGGCACATCCACCACAAATGTATATTTAATAAATGAATAAACTTCTTTTGATTCCTTTACCTATATTGGAAGATATGATCTAATAAATTCCAACATATGAAGTGCTTGATTTTTTTGCTTAAAGTAGAAATTCATTCCATCATCTGCTGATTCTACCTTCAACATTTGCTAATTCATATGATGTTGCAAAATTAGTTGCTCTAAATAATAGAATGACTTCTTATGATTTACTCGTTATCTTAATTGAATGCAAGCTCCCCAAATATGAGGGGTAAATTCTCTCTTGCAATCTTCACATTAATGATAAACCTCCTCAAAATTTAAAATTTTTGAATCCTAAATGCACGTCCCATTCATAGCTTCTTTTTGTACAGTGATCTATAATTTGATTTATTTAGTGCTTGGCTCTGTAAAAATAAATTTCGTGTCTATTATTGTCTTTTCCTGCAAGCTATCATTATAAATAGGAATATTTTACCCTATTACTTTTTTTAAGCAGATAGCCAGCAACTCCTTCGAATCCCTCTCACAAAGAACCCAAGGAGGTCTTTGATATCTTCTACAATATCGGCAAAACAGTATTTCTTTATCATTATCGATATCTAATTCAATTTTTATAAGTACCCTAGGTGATATTCATTTATGCAATCAAACAATTTGGACAAATATTTGTCTTTGTTAATTTTGGTTCAAACTCCAATTCACATAATGGGCAAAATATTAATACAGCTCTTTGCAACATTGTAAATATTTTTAAAATGATTATTATATTTTTTTTCCTTTATTCAGTACTATCATATACATTTGTGATTCATGGAGAAAATACAACCACTATCGAATAAGACTCAATTTTATCTTCCAAATTTTCTCAAACAAACCCCATTTAAACTCAATGCTCCCCTATTCGACTTTACATTGTTGGCTCAACTTAAAATCAAAGCGAATTTATTGTAAAAAACAATAATGAAACCGATTTACACTTTTAATTTAACATCACCTCAGTTGACAACGATATCATAAGTGTTCATCATAATAAATAATTAGAACAGATTACAATAAAACCTAATAATTCATTTGAATTTCATGTAAATTATATCTGCTTGAAGGAAATCGGAGAATAAACTTGGACAACAATTCAAATTATATATTAATTTAACGAAAACCAACACATTGCATATTATTACAAACTCTGTGGAGCATCAGAGACATTTTTTCATCCATTAGCAGTTTTGTTGTTTTTTTCCTTATGTATTATAGTGAGCGGGTCTATTTATGGAATTAAGGAATGGAAATTGTTTGGGGGAGCCTAGACAGAAGCTTATGGACCTAAAGCTGCTATTATTTTTATAATTGTTTCGAGCTTTCTTCTGATATCACTATATAAGTTTTAAACTTTTGCTTCCAGTTTCACTTATATTATCATGATGTTTACAGCTTTTATTTCATTAGAAACAATATTGTTGGACATGTAAAGCGAGTACTCCTATTCTAACAATATTAAAATATTGTTCTCAACAATAATGAGTGGAACCCTTATTACATTATATCATCATACAAAAACCTGGATTCTAAATAACATCTTGGCAGTTTCTATAATATTTTTTAGTTTTCGAGTAAAATTCATAATAAATTAGATTTTAGAGTTTGATTCTTTAAAAACAGGGACTATCTTTATGCTTTTAGCTTTGCTCTATGACATGTTTTGGATATTTGTTAGCCCAACCATTTTTGGTTAATCTGTTATATAGAACATCACAACCACAATTGAATTACCTATAAAACTCTTAAGTCCATCATTAATAAAAAATTGTAATTCCCCTTATTAACAATGTTCAATTTTAGGAATTGGCGATATTCTAATTGTAGGATTGATCATAAAATACATTCTAAAATTTGAAAAGCTGTCGGGAGAAAATAGTTTAATATTTTTTTCATCAATTTTAGGATATGCGATTGGATTAACTTCCTATTTCATTTTAATCTATTTTTATCATATTTAATATCCAGCATTATTTTATATTATACCTACTACCTTCTTATCAATAGTTGTTCCAAGTACATTAAAATCATTGTTCCTTCAGATTTGGAATGGTGCCTTTGTAATTCAATTAATTGAAGAATAAGAGCTAGAAATGATTTGATTACTATGTTAATATTTAAAATTTTTATTTTTTCATCACAATTATGGGAAGTAAGAATCAATTTGAATTTATTAGATCTTTGTGGACAAGAAAGGCAAGAGCCGACGCAGATAATGCAATCGAAAGTCAAATTGGATAGAACGTTTGGAAATCTGAGAATTCAAGTAATTCAGGGAGAAGTTTTATCAGAAAAGGCAAATGCTTTTTGTAAATTATCATATTAATATCTAAGTAAATGCTGCAAATGAACCCTATAACACTTAATTCATTAAGAAGATAAAAGAAATCAAAAAATCCCCAAGTATTATCTTTTCTATATCATAGTAAAAAGTGGAGTTCCCTTATTACTGAAGTTTGAACCAAACAATATTGATTATATCATAATGATTAAATTGTGTGAAGAATATGTAAGATTTATTATTTAATATTTAGGAGGAAGATTGCGCAAATTAGAGAACATAAGCATTTCTTGCTTCTTTTGAATTGGCAAATAAGAATAACCTAAAAATCCTTTCCTTTACAGATCCTCCTTAATAACTTACTTAAAAAACTGAAGATCATTATTATATTGATTTATTTTTATCAGCATTATTGAAGCACAAAAGAACAAAACAGGATTGTAAAATCCAATAAATTAAATTGATAAATTTGGATATGAAGCTTTAAAATGTATATATTTAAGCCATTCAACAACAAGCTGAAAAGCTCAATAATAATAAATAAGAAGAGGATGTTTAACATTAAATTTAATAATAAGAAATATAAACTCAATAATCTGAGAATTCAGACTTATTAGAAAAGCAAAGCGATAATTAAATTGTGCAATTGAATGAAAATAAAACAAATGAGAAAATTGCAGAAGATGTACACGAAATTAAATAAGTTATTAATGAGGTTCATTAAACTCAAGTTTAACATGAAATAAAAGAAAATTAAGAAATCGCTAAAGTAGAATAAGTGAACTAATAATAAGTTGTACAAGTTGAAGTTGAATCAAGACATCAAAAAAAGGTAGAAGAAATAGTATAAGAAATCAAATAAGAAGCTCATGATACTAATAATTAATAATAGCAGAAATAAGATTAAGAATCTGCTAAAGTTGTATAAGTTGAAGTTGAACCCAACCATCACGAGAAGGTAGAAGAAGTTATACACGAAATCATATAGGAAGCTCATGAAGCTCATTAAACTGATGATTAACATGAGAAGAAAGAAGTTGAAGAATCAGCTAAAGTAGAATAGGTTGTTTAAGTTGAAGTTGAATCTACCCATCATGAGATAGTAGAAGAAATTGTACAAAAAGTAAAATAAGATGTTCATGAAACTCATGAGTAACATGAGAAAAAAGAAGATGAAGAAAATACTAAAGTAGAATAGGTAAGTTAAGAATAAGTTGAACAAGTTGAACCTGAATCTAGTCATCATGAGAAGGTATAAGAAGTTATACATGAAATCAAATAAAAGGTTCATCAATCTCATTAAGCTGATGATTAACATTAGAAGAAAGAGAATGAAGAGGCTGATTAAGTTGAATAAGTTGTATAAGTTGAATCTAGTTAACATGAGAAGGTAGAAAAAATTATCCATGAAATCAAATAAGATGAAGCTCATTAAGCTGATGATTAACATGTGAGGAAAGAAAATGAAGATGCTGATAAAGTTGAATAGGTTGTATAAGATGAAGTAGAATCTAACCCCCATGAGAAAGTAGAAGAAATCGTACATGAAATCAAAAAAGAATCTCACGAAGTCCATTAAGCTGATGATAAACATGAAAAGAAAGATGATGAAGATGCTGATAAAGTTGAATAGGTTGTATAAGCCGAAGTTGAATCCCACCATCATGAGAAAGTAGAAGAAATCATACATGAAATCAAAAAAGAATCTCACGAAGTCCATTAAGCTGATGATAAACATGAAAAGAAAGATGATGAAGATGCTGATAAAGTTGAATAGGTTGTATAAGCCGAAGTTGAATCCCACCATCATGAGAAAGTAGAAGAAATCATACATGAAATCAAAAAAGAATCTCACGAAGTCCATTAAGCTGATGATAAACATGAAAAGAAAGATGATGAAGATGCTGATAAAGTTGAATAGGTTGTATAAGCCGAAGTTGAATCCCACCATCATGAGAAAGTAGAAGAAATCATACATGAAATCAAAAAAGAATCTCACGAAGTCCATTAAGCTGATGATAAACATGAAAAGAAAGATGATGAAGATGCTGATAAAGTTGAATAGGTTGTATAAGCCGAAGTTGAATCCCACCATCATGAGAAAGTAGAAGAAATCATACATGAAATCAAAAAAGAATCTCACGAAGTCCATTAAGCTGATGATAAACATGAAAAGAAAGATGATGAAGATGCTGATAAAGTTGAATAGGTTGTATAAGCCGAAGTTGAATCCCACCATCATGAGAAAGTAGAAGAAATCATACATGAAATCAAAAAAGAATCTCACGAAGTCCATTAAGCTGATGATAAACATGAAAAGAAAGATGATGAAGATGCTGATAAAGTTGAATAGGTTGTATAAGCCGAAGTTGAATCCCACCATCATGAGAAAGTAGAAGAAATCATACATGAAATCAAAAAAGAATCTCACGAAGTCCATTAAGCTGATGATAAACATGAAAAGAAAGATGATGAAGATGCTGATAAAGTTGAATAGGTTGTATAAGCCGAAGTTGAATCCCACCATCATGAGAAAGTAGAAGAAATCATACATGAAATCAAAAAAGAATCTCACGAAGTCCATTAAGCTGATGATTAACACGAAAAGAAGGATGATGAAGACTCTGATAAAGTTGAAGAAGTTGTGTAAGTTGAAGTTGAACCCAGCCATAATGAGAAGGTAGAAGAAATAGTACATGAAATCAAATAAGAAGCTCATGATACTCATGAAGCGAAAGCTGAACATGAGAAAGTTGAGGAAATAGTGTAAGAAATCAAATAAGAGGTTCATTAAGCAGAAGATTAACATGAGAAAAAAGAGGATGTAGAATCTGCTAAAGTTGAATAAGTTGTATAAGTTGAGGCTGAATCCAGTCATCATGAGAAAGTAGAAGAAATCGTACAAAAAATCAAATAAGAAGCTCATGAAAATATTGATGACCAAAAGAAAAAAGAAGATGAAGATATTGATAAAGTAGAGTAAGTTCCTTAAGAATAAGTTAAATCAGTTGAAGTTGAATCTAGTCACCATGAGAAAGTAGAAGAAATTGCCCATGAAATCAAATAAGACGAAGCTCATTAAGCTGATGATTAACATGAGAAGAAAGAAAATGAAGATGCTGATAAAGTTGAATAGGTTGCATAAGCCGAAGTTGAATCCCACCATCATGAGAAAGTAGAAGAAATCATACATGAAATCAAAAAAGAATCTCACGAAGTCCATTAAGCTGATGATTAACATGAAAAGAAAGATGATGAAGAATCTGATAAAGTTGAAGAAGTTGTGTAAGTTGAAGTTGAACCCAGTCATCATGAGAAGGTAGAAGAAATAGTACATGAAATCAAATAAGAATCTCACGAAGTCCATTAAGCTGATGATTAACATGAAAAGAAAGAAAATGAAGATGCTGATAAAGTTGAATAGGTTGTATAAGATGAAGAAGAATCTAACCCCGAGGAGAAAGTAGAAGAAATCGTACACGAAATCAAATAAGATGAAGCTCATTAAGCTGATGATTAACGCGAGAAGAAAGAGAACGAAGATGCTGATAAGGTTGAATAAGTTGTGTAAGGAGAAGTTGAATCTAGCCATCATGAGAAAGTAGAAGAAATTGTACAAGAAATCAAATAAGATGAAGCTCATTAGGCTGATGATTAACATGAGAAGAAAGAGAATGAAGATGCTGATAAGGTTGAATAAGTTGTATAAGGGGAAGTTGAATCCAGCCATCATGAGAAAGTAGAAGAAATTATACATGCAATCAAATAGGAAGCTCATTAAGCTGATGATTAACATGAAAAGAAGGATGATGAAGAAACTGATAAAGTTGAAGAAGTTGTGTAAGTTGAAATTTAACCAAGCCGTCATGAAAAGGTAGAAGAAATTGTTTAAGAAGTTAAATAAGAACTCCATGAAAATAATGATTAACTTAAAAATAATGAGAACTAACAACAGGATTCTAATTCAGATATCCACAGTTGAATATTTATGTTCATCAATTATTAATAAAAATATCTTATTCTCTTAAGCTTATTTTCTTACACTCATATCTTATTTTAATTTCTTCCTCTTTTGGTTGTTGACATGTTTCTCTAACATTATTTGCATTTTTAATATAATTATAATATTAAAATTTAAATCCTTAAGTTCTAAAATTTCAATACAATTTCAAAAATTTGTAAAAATTAAATCAATATTACTATTGGTGAATGTTGATCTTTAATGGAAATGTATATTTAAAATATATTTTCACAGAGCATCCATTATAAAAATTGAACTTGCTTACAACTTGCTCAATGGATTATTGAAATTACAAATTATGATTAAAAGTCGTATGTAAATTGAATTATATAATTCTTTTGGTTTCTATGTTTGCAATAAACTTATTGGTGTGTCAACATAATATTTGTTAAAACTTGTAAAATTGGTACTTATGTGAAACAAAAAGATTTCCAATATAATAATGGCTTAGATTTGCAAAAATGGGAAAATGTAATTTAAGATAGAAAGTAATTAAATAGCTAAATTCTATATTTTCTAGAGAGTTTTACTCTTAAAATTTTGAAAAAAAATCTTATTTCAGAATCAAAAAAAAATCAATTGAATCTATTATTTCTTAGAAAATTTATTATAAACAGGTTACTTTTATTTTTAGATAAAAGCGGGATTACTAACCTAAGACTAGAAGATTAATTAAACAAATAATTTTTAAATAAATATCCCTGCGTTATAGCAGATGTCAGCGTATTTGCTAATAGAAAGTAAATCATTCATTTATAATAGCTGATTTAGTTAAATTCCAAGATACTCCAAAACCTTTTTAAAAAAATAATTACCAAATTAGCTTATTAAGCTATAAATAGCAAATAAGTTTGTATTTGGTAGGCTCCTTAACTGATAATACAAGAAATAATAAGAAGAAAGGAGATTGAACGAAAATTTAAGTAATTTGTATGAAATAGAAACAAAATTAAGAAACAAAAATTAGAAGATTCAATAATATATATATAAATTTTGGAAATTCATTTTTCTATTGTATTAGATAAACTCCTATCGAATTGCAAGCAAATAAACCTAAGAATATTAACAAATTGAAATTGTTCCCTTATTAAGGGGTTAAATAAAAACAAAATATTATATTATTATTCTTTTCTAATAATGTAATTTTCATTCTTAATATTATCTTATCTAAATTTATGAATATTTATTATCCCAAGTTATCAAAAATTTTCCATCTTCAGTCATTGTACCAAAAATTCTATTTGCATCATAATCAAGAACAAGCTATGTGACATAAGTCCCATTTTCTTATTTTTTTATAATATTAACTTTGCTTCCATTCCTGTCTACTATCATTAACTTTGTTTATACAAACTGTAAGGGAAAGTGGAAATAACAATCGTTCCCTGCTTCTACTTGAACATCTTATTTCTTAATAAATTAATCATTAGAATCATTTATGGAAAAGATTTACATTTTTTTATTATTGAATGGTTAAAATGCAAAAGTTAAACCCTCTAGAAAGCACACCTTTATTCCCCATTCTTCAATGTCTATTTTTTAAAATAAACTCCAATTCTTATGATTATTTTATAACTTAAAAATTTAAATTGAATTGTCTTTTCTAGAGCATGAAACCAAGTACTCATTAGATTAACTTAGACTAAAACTAGAAATTTCAAATTTATGAGGTAATGTTTAAATGCATTACCATTCCTTATCTTAATCCCACACTTTTATTGAATAATCACCACTTCCACTGCCACTACCACCACTAGAAGATATAATCCAATTCTCATTATTATTTATTGCTATGCAAAATATTCCTTATTTATGTCCTATTAGCTTAAATTTAAGACCCCATAAATTATTGTTATTTTTTTCCCAAATGATTATAGTTTTATCATAACTGCCTGACACTAATTAATTTGATTTTTTGAAAAACTTTAAACAAATTATATATTCTTCGTGATCTCTTAATTCTTAAATTTTTTCTATTTATCCTTAATTGAATTCATAAATATTAATTTTACTGGAATCAAAGAATCCAGCGGCAACAAGACTATAATCTGCATTAAAAGCAAATGTCTCAACTCTTTCTTCTTTAAAGGAATTAATTATTTCATATTTAAACTGAGTCATTTGTGTATTTTAATTTTTCAATTGCAAATTTTAAGGCTATATTTGAAGTGAATTTTCTCCTATTGAGTTATTAGTTTATTCATTTATTTCTGAAATATTCATGCCCCCTGATATTTCTCCAGAAATTTATTAAAATGCTGCAATGAGCTTCTCTTAAAACGACTTGAAAGAATTTAAAATTTTTTTCATTAATTAGACTTAGTAGATTTGGAATTCATTTTTGATAGCTTCATTAATTACTTCAAATTTATTTTTTTAACTTAAGATATTTGAAATTTCAATAATTTCTAATTTATTTAATTAGTACCAATTTTTTGTCTTCAGATTAATTAGATTTTATGTTGCCTTACATTAAGAAACATCTCTGAATACCATTCCTTATATTAACTATTACGATAGATCAGTAATGACTTCTCTATAGGATGAAAATTTTGACATAGCCTTTTAGGCTTACTCTTCAAGTTGTTGTTGTTGTTATTCTTAATATTTTAATGTATTATCTACATAACTCAACCATAATTATTTTAATTGTTCCAACTTCGTGTATTTGATTGGATATTCAGTAACGCAATCTATACAAGCCATTCTATTTGGAACTGTTGCCTATTCATTTAAATCAACTAGAGCCACTTATAGTTTGTGATTTTCACATTACCAGTTTTAATTAGACAGTCTACTTTATTGAAAGATTTCTGATGAAAAAGTTTGAATTACATCTTTGATTAAATTTTATTGATTATATTCTATTTTCTTTAGATTCTCTTCAAATTAAGTAAATTGTTAATGCATTTTTAATCTATTAATTTGCTCTTTATAGCAATTTTGTAATTCTTTATAATCAATAAATAGATGTTACTAATTAGTATTTTGAGATTCCAGCTAATCCAGTTGAGATATTGAGAGCTCACTTATTGATTTATTTTCTTTTTCTATGCCGTTTTTAATAAATTAAATTTATTGATCCATGTTTTACAGAGTCTTATCTATATATGTATTGAAAGTTGTTTTAAACTCTTTAAGTTGACCAAATAATCCTTATAAGATCTCTAAATTATTCTGATGAAGGGCTTGTTTCTCGCTCCAAACTGTCCTTTTGACATTTTCAAATTGTTTTTCTGCTACTTGAACATCTACCCATAATTACTATCTTTCAACACATCTTAAGCATCTATTTTGTGGGCGTTAGTCGTTCGTTGAAAAATCAAAATAAATTGCAGATTCGTTGTGTTCCAAACACATTTGTTCTTTTTCTCTTTAAGTTTAAATCATTTGAGATTAAATAAATGAATAATTTTTATAATAGTTCTTATATATATAAAATAAAATACTTCCTATATAAAAATATAAATAAAAAAAGAAATTAATTATTAATTATATGATGTAAAATAAGTTTTTAAGAGTGAAAAACTTTGTAAATACTCTTTCAGACTTTTCTATCGTAAAATTACTGGAAATGATATTAAAGAAATAATATTTGAATCATAAGGTTGCTTTTTCAGGTTTTGGGGGAAGAATATTTTCTTCCTTTAAAAGCCTTTAATTATTCTCTCTTTTAAATGCATAAAATATTGACTTTTATTAATTTTCAATGCATTTCGGATTTTGGTTTATTCTTTCTGAGATTAACTAACTTGTGTTCAAGACAACCTCACTTTAGATGCTTTTTACTTATGGAGATATTATTTAATTTTATTCTTACTCAAAGCCCTTTAAACTAATTTAATTTGAAAGGAGGTTTTCATTAAACCTAACATTACGAATTAAAAATATTACATTTTGAATTGCAAAATTCTCCTGGCCTTAGCCAATAGATAATCTTTTAGTTTCTTATATTTTATTTTAACTCTTAATTGCTTTTACTTTTTCCCCTCCAAAAAATTATAAATTTTGGGATGCTGTGTGATGAAATTTGGAAAATTTTTCAAAATAATTTCTTTTAATTTATCAACTAATAGGTCTAATCTTTTAAAATAGGATAAGACGATTTGTATAATCATCTAAATTATATACAACGAATTTATGAAACCCAAGACAAAATAGGAAGGCAAAATAATTTCGTTTAATTCTTATTATTAAGCAGTATAAATACAACTTGCCATAATTATTGATATTGCACAAATAATTGTAGATTGCGTATCCAAGCGATTTAATTATCCTGTAGCATATGGTTTATATGAAGTTGTTAAAAAGCTGTAATAAAATAATATTAGGAAAACAATTGAAGCTTTAATTTAAATATGATCATTGTAATAAATTAATACTATTATTATCGCTTCCTTTTCAATTATTTTGAGTGTTTCCCAATAAAAAGCATGTCTTTTATACTCATTATATAAATATCCCCAAATTTTCCTTATGGTAATTCTATTCAATTATTTTTTATTATTAAATAACTTAAACATAAAAAATAAAGGAATTATACAGCCAAATACAATTAAAAGGGGAAGACATAAAGAATATGTCCATTTTTAATGAGAGATCGTATCGTATCTATATGAAACATTTCCTTAAATCCAATTCTCATTTGAAATCTTTCTGTAAGACAACAGTGAGATGATTTACCCTATTAAATTTGGTTATAAATAGATGAATAAATAGATAAATGGAGTTGAAATATATGAAACATCAAGCCTAATTAATTTTATTGAAACAGCAATTCCAAGTAAAAGAAAAAAAAATATTAAATACAATGCTGCCATAGTCAAACTCCATATTAATTTAAAGTAAATTATTTCAATATTTGTAAAAGACACTATAAAGCAATCTAATGAATATGCCATAGATCCTATGGGATTAGCAAGGCTTTGCAAGATTATAAGCACATTAAAGGGAACCTCTAGTTTAAATGTTGAAATTGCTTGGATAATTTATAAATAATTTGTAAATATTTTAATTAGAATAGCAGGAGATGCTTCTTTGATTGAATGAGATATTCCAAAAGCCCTTAATCTTATTTCTCTAATAAAATCTTTCATCACTGCAACAGTACTGCTAACTGATAATAAAACTGAAAGGAGAGTCCATAGACTTATTAAAATACTTATTAAGACATTATAGGAAATTTAATCGCAATTCCCACATTGGAAATCTTAACTCACTGAAAATTAACCATCGCCTCTTATATCATATAGATCGCATTATTCACACAGAGCTCCAATGTGCCCTAATAAGCACGAATAATCTCCAGGCAGCCAACCCCCAATACAATTTTAAGGAAGATGATAACAATATTCTACAATGTCGCTATAGTAATAGGTTCTCCAATAAGAAGGCCTTAATTCAATCATAGAGGATTTTATTGAGTTTATTTTTGAATCATCCTTATAACTACAGCTTTTTGCCTCTAATTAAACAGAATATTAGTTTTTATATGGATCACAAATTACACATCCCCCAGAAGTATAATTCAAAAATTCTCCTATTTGACAAGGAAATGTTTGAATATCCACAAATATTTTATAAGACTTCAAACTTTTATCTATTTAATATGGCGGTTTCTCTTTATATTATGGGACCGAAACAGCATGACATTTAATAAAAAGCCTTAAAACTAGATCTTAGCTATAATTTGGATTGAAATAGATTACTAAATTATCTAAATTATAATCCCCAGTAGATTAATTAAAACTAACATTATAAAAGGAAAGGCTAAATGTAACATTAATTTCCTCTCCCTTAGTAGACATATTATAAACTAAAGGTGATAGGGTACAATATGAATTATCTAAGCCTTTAATTTACTTTTTAAATTTGTCAAGAGCAATAACTCTCAATTGATAATTATATGGAATGGTTTTTAAAGTAAAATTATCAAAATATTAGTAATCTAAAATAGCCTACCCAGAGGGCAACATCAAATATACTTATGAAGTTGATAAACCATATGTTTTATAAGGATGGATAATAATTTGTTCAACTATCTCATTTTCAGAACTAATTAAGATTTTTGTTTCTAAAAAAGTATACCCTCCATTCAATGATAACGTTAAAGAGCTTGGTTTTTCTACGACATTATCGCCATACAGAGTTGAATTATTATCGACAATAATGACATCTAATTCCTTTGTCGATTAAAGATACAAGGAATTGATGAACAATCCGCCAGCAATTTCAGCAAAATTCATAGTGATATCAGTTTCAATTATTAATAATTATTTCTATGAGGAATTATAATAGATAGCTCCACCTATTCTAGCAGAATTATTAACAAATATGCATTATCGAATTAAAGTTTCTATGTCAAATAAATATAATGAGCCTCCTAATTATGCTGAATTATTTACAAAGATGCTTTTCAAAATTGATAGTTATTAATTCATTTTGCTTTCTAAAAAATCATAATCAAGCTATTTCAGAAATCTAAGATTATCAGATAAACTACTTTAAGAAGATACAATGAATTATTTTCAAATTAATAAAATTTGATTTAATTTTACATTTCAGAAAAATACAATTAATATTTATTTGTACATCATCTGATCTAATAATTGATAAACAACCAGAAATTCCACATTTACAATTTTTGATCTCAATATATGAGAATTTCATGTTTTATTCTTCTATTTATTCAAAACCAAGGATTCTCATTAAACCAAATTGACATATCTCACATTGTGTATTTGAAAATTTGACATGTTAAACAAATAAGTATTGATTTGAATTTATTTAATCTATTTCAAATAGACTAAACTTATATTCATTATTTGAAAAAATTAAAATTTGATTACAAATAAGTTAAAGTTAATTTTTTTAAGTAAAATCTGGCTCATCTATAGTTAAGCTACCTTTTTGGGTTTCTTCTGGACATAGTATTTCATTTTTCAATTCTTAATCTACAAGCATGCAAGTAGCATCATAAGCTATTAATTTTGATTCTACATTAACAAATTCTAGATTATAAATTCTTAATTATCCAAAAAATTCTATTTAAATATCAAATATAATTACCTGATCTAAGATTTCATTTTAAATAAAGGAGAAGAAAATGTTGAACAATTTATGACTTTAATATCTGTCAATATTATGTTATCAACTTAGTCTAATTAAAGCAAGAATTAAATATAGGTTGAGTGAAAATTACAATTAGTTAAAGTAAAGTTGCTAAACCTAGCAAAAATTAATGGATTATAATTTGCAAATTATTAAGCCTAAGAATTAGTAAGTTATTCCAATAAGGAAAGATATCTATTTAACCCATCTTGTGTTTAATAAAAATTGACATTTTGAAATATTAAATTTGAGATTAAATTTTCAACTTTATTAGGAGAATATGCTAAGAAGGAGTATTTTAATGAAAAGCAATCTTTAATTGTTAAATTTATCACCTCAATCCTATTATATATTTCAGATGGAATGATAACAGCTCCTCCTCCTTCTTACTTAGCAAATGAGGTATCAATTGATGAATTAATTAATGAAAATGTGAGTTAAGACAGAGATGCATCAATATATAGGCAACCTCCACTTGAAAAAACCGAACTCTACAGTTACGTTTATGTATTTATAAAAAAAGAGTTCGATATTAATATTTTACTCATTCCTTAAGTGGCAATATAGAATCCTCCACCCTATAATGAATTAGAACTATTAATTGAAATATTATTTATAATTAGTTCTTTTACAATAAAGTATCCATTTCCACCTTTAGATTTAATTGGGAAAGCTGCTTCAAAATCTATTTAACTTAAATTTTGAATTGTTGAAAAAATCACACTTTAACTCATTTTTGAAATAAATTTAATGTTGCTGCTTGTAAAATATAGATTTTATAGATGTAAAGAAGTTGATTTTATGTAAATGATGGAATCACTTGAGTTAGTAACAAGATTTTTTAAAAATGTGCAGTTTTTTATGAAGGCTAACCCTTATTACAGAGACATATATAATACAGTTGCTGATGGACTAGTTGAATCTTAAAAATATTCATTTAAATGATTATTCGAAAAGTTGCTATTTGATATGTTTATAACGCATGATTATGATGATGTTATGGAAATTAGAGCTGCATTTTTATTAGAGTCAGTAATTATTAATTTATTATCCCAAAATTATGAGTTCTAAATTATAATGGATTCATTTATTGATGCTTCCATAATGTCATAACCTTAGAATATGATGTAAGCATTATTGAAACTTAAGCAGTTTATAATGGAAAATGATTCTACATTCACACTTTTATATTAACCAATATAAAGAATGAAGTATTAATCCATTTATGTAAATTTGTTAACACATTCCATAGATGTATGTAAAACTTTTGACATGTATCGTTAATCCTAAGAGACTGTGAAATTCTTTATATTCAAAATTTTAGAATTAGGGATGCTAATTTCTGGAAATCCATATCCTCTTGAAATGATTATATTTTTTAACAAACAGATTTAGCATTCAAGATAAATTATAGATTAATGATAATATATTTGATTCTATTCTATTTTTGTTGTCAGCCTATTGTTGGACAGGAAAATATCTTCTATCTGAAGATAAACATCAGATATTTCTTAATACTTTTTGATTAGTATGAGTTATTAATGATTATTATATTCATTATTTATTATGTTGCAAGACTTTATGAAAATTTTAGATGATTCAATTAAGGCTTATTCTGATCTTGAGTAATCTACATCATTTATTATCAAGTTGCTATCAAAAATTTAAGTATTATCCACAATACAATTTTCAATATTAATTTTATTGGATGAATAAAATCTCGAATTATTACAAAATCTACTATTTTCTAATTAGACTGCTTCAAATTTAGCAAATGTAACACAAGGAAGTTAAGCAAAATTTGAATTAAAAAACATTTCCATATTCTTTAACCTCAAATTATCAAAAACTACTGTTCCTGTTGTATAATTTAAAAGGCTTTTACTTAAAATAAACTAAGATTACATGAAAGTAGTTTCTTTTATTTCAACATCAGAAAAATTTGAATCAAAATTTAAGTTATTATTTAGAGCAATGAATTTAAATAAAGTTGAGTTGAAAAAAAAAGAATTTCTGATGGTTAGCTATTTCAAATTAAGATGATTTTTCTGAAAATATTCTTAATCTTCAAATTAGAACAAATTTGATGAGAAAATGCGAAAATTTTCCAAAATTAAATTGTTGATTATCAAAGCATAAGGAATATTTGAATTAAATTATAATGTGTAATTTCTAGCGAAACCATTTGCAGTAATAAAAATGCAATTGATCAATTTGAGGGTTAATGTATGTTTTAAATTATATAAATTTATGATAGTAGAATCCAAAGAGTTAAAAATATTTTCTCCAAAATTAAATTGAATATTTGTGAATGATACAGATGTAAAATTACTTAAATTTATCTAAGATTAGATTTTTAATTTGGTTTGATACTCCTTCCCCATAAATTCTATGTCAATTTATTATAAAGTAAATATATTTTATAATAAGGTAGAGTAAATATTCATGTTATTTTTCATAAGACACTCTTCAGCATTGCCTTATATTAATGTAAACTAATAGGAAACTTGTTTCACAGAAATTTCAGTTAAATAAGCATAAAGTTATTACGATTCAAAGAAATCAATGTAATATTCATCATAAAATCTATCAAGAGGAATATTGCTCTTTACAAAAAATTAATTATCATTTTCTTATGACATTTATTCGTAGTAATCGGAATAATCGCAAAATATATTTAATTTAAAAATTACTCTATTGAAACATTTCTCTTTTTCATTACAGGTAGACAAGGTTTATGTAAAGGTATCATAATGATAATATATATTTTGAATTCTCTTTTAAGTTTTTTCAAAACAAATTCTTGTTTATTGCACGTTCTAACTAGTTAATATAAAATAAGGGTTAATTTTTGCAATTTCAGATTCATTTCTGTTCAAACAGGCTGCGCAATTAGATGGACAAAGTAAACAATTTCCGTCTTCACTCAAACTTTTTAAAAGACTCTAAGAAGTTTCACGGCATTATATACAAGTTGATTTTCCTTTTATTATTTCACATTTTAAACAACTCTTATCACAATCTTGGATACATCTAAATTAATCTTAAATATAACCAATATGACAAGATGTGCATATCACTTCCATTTCTTTTTCAGAAGAAATAGATGCAAATTTTTCAAAAGAATGGTCATTATTTAAGTTAATAAAAAATTGATAAAATGCTTTAATTTCCCACTTCCAATAATCCTGATATTTTTGGTTTTATTGAACACATGACTTACAATAATTCGGACAAAGACTGCATTGGCCTGTTAAGATTTGTGAATAATATCCATCTTAACAAACTATACAAAATGAATTATTTGCAATATAATTATTTATGCACTCAAGACAAAACTGAATACCTAAACAATTTGTTGTTTAAATAGCATCCTGCTCTGAACCTCTAATGCATTTCTAGCGAATATCAGAACTATTTATTATCGCAAACTCACAATCATTGTTAATTGTCTGCAATTCACATTCTTAAGATTTCCAATTATAAAAGTAGCCTTTTGAGCATAAAGCACAACCTATATTTATTTAATGGAAATTAGAATTAAAAGCAGAGAAATTAATATCAAATGACGTTATACACATGTTTTCGCTAAAAATATATTCAAAGCAATATATGCAATTTTTTATGTTACAAACATTGCAATTTTTTCCATCTAACGAAATGTAATAATCTTAGGGAGATCCTTGACAAAAATTACAATATTAATGTTCATCACACTAATCACATTTTCTTCCGCATTATAGACATGTTGCAATTACTAATATTTATTTCTCTTCACAAGTAACACAATAAATATCATCTCCAAAAGAGGTACAACTAGCACAACTTTAACAGCTTTTGCATTTATTGTCAATATCTTTATAATAATTTTGGTAACATTAATCACAATTATTAATATCTAAGCAAGTTTGACAACCTTCGATACAACTTATACATTAGGAATTTGAATAAAAATATCCTGGCTTACATACTTATTTTCCAACACAGTTAGTACATAAAATTAATTCAAATTACTAATCTAAACCTACAGAAATTTCGTAATAGCTAATTTCGGCTTTATTTTTTACCCTTATTTCATAAAGATATTATTAGTTGAATTGAAATGTACTTGCCTCTTAAATACAAGTTAAATTGTTGGCAAATTCTAAAGGAGATATGATGCAATTAAAGCATGTGAAATGGATTAGAGAATTTATTTCATAATAGTTAGGACTAATATTATATAATTTCTTACCATTAAATACATTTCTTTTTGAATTAAAAATAGCCAAAGGAGCATTCGATTTAATCATCATCACAAATATTATATCCTAGTAATTAGCATTTGATCTCAACTTACTATATTTAAATATAAGGCAAAGAAGAAACTGCAGTTTCACAAACCCCAACTCCATTTTCATAATATCCTTCTTAACAAATACAAGAGTTATCAAATTTTGATAAACTTCTAAATTGAGTCTCTGAACAGCTTAGGCAATTATTTTATGTTGGACCATCACAAGTGAAGCAAGCCTAATGACATGGAAGATTAATAAAGGGAGCTGATTGGCAAAATATTGTTAGAGTCATTTTACTCATAAATCCTTTCATGAAAGAATTAGTATAATGATCTCCTCCTAAAAATATGTGAAGTTTTGCTCCTGTAAAATGCTTTATTGTTTTCTTCCATGAGAACTACCTCACTCTATCTATAGATGGAAAATAAATTGAAAACATGGGTTATCCACCATTATTATCTGATCCATACTCAAACGAAATATAATGTCATTAAATAAATAATTCTGAGTATTAATCACCATAATCAGCTATCTTATCATCATTTTGAGTTTGATGTTGTTTTTTAACAGGAAATTAATATGAATATGTGGATAATTCAAAACCATTTTCTGCTGGGATATTACTTTAATAGTATTTTAGAAGAGCAACTCGATCACCTAAGTAAAGATCATCATTATAATCGTTGTTTATTGTGATTCGAAAGATTAGAGTTTCAAGATTAGATTAATTAGTTAAATTTAAAATTATCCATCCATGAATTACATATTTAGGATCATCTAATTCAATTATAGTTTAATAAACACAATTATTTCCATTCATTTATTGGTTCCAATTTGTTAAAACTTGATAAAATTCTTGACAATACATATACATCATAAATTTTTTAATACAAAGATTAATATCTTCAAAAATGTTTTCTTATATTAAAGTAAAAGCGTAAGATAATTATCCTTTAAACTAATCTAATATGACTAAAGTTTACTCATTATTAGTATATTAATAAAGACCTCCTTAAATATGTTTTATCGTTTATCCAAATAAAGGAATTTCCTTCACTACTTAAATCTATTATAAAGCTTGAGGATTCTGAAATCCGAAATTCGATATTTTTTAATTGAAATCTATATAAAAAAAAAACATAATCCACAATCCTTCATACAAATCAGGATTTTAACTAAAATATAAAATCTGCTGTTTTGACTAGGAGGAGAAAAAAATCTAATATTGAATCACTTCCTTTTCATCGTCGAAATATACTGAAACAACAACTATCTTCTATTAACTTTCTCTTTGCTCTATCGAATAAATAAATTGCCCCCCTTAAATAATTTTTTCATATTTTACTTCAGTATATTATTATGAAGATCGATCTCCTAATAATAATTAAATTGATGGATTACTCAGATCATCAATATCTCTAAACGGTTAATATTTCATCCAAATACCATATCCAAAATTCGCCTTTTATAATATCTAATCATCTGATAATTATTCTTCAAATTGTGCTTTTGGACTTTGTAAAATTGGTTGTTAAGAGAAAAAATTACATTCACAATCTACTTATCTAATTTTACAAAGCAATTTACTTGACAAGCAACTCTATCAAAAAGAATTTTAAAACGAAAATCATAAATATATTTAATTTATTTATAAAACTTAAGTAGTAATCCTAATCTTCTTTACTTTTTTCGTAGGCGAATTTATTATACTACATACTTTTAAAATCAACATTTCACTGATGATGAGTAACTTAATGAATAATTTCAAATATCAAATTTAATTTAAATTGGAAATAAAATGTCTATTGTTAGATAGACAAAACTTAAAAAGGATAAGAGCACTGCCCTATTAAGAATGATACATTACATTATTGTATATGTAAAATTCTATAATTGATCTTTTTGCAATTAAAATAATTAAGCCCTCAGACCATAAAAATTTGCAGAATGACTTAGTTTATAGATTAATTGTATAGAGAGGTTATACGCTGTGACTAGAGAGCCCCCTATTTTTCTGCCATATTATGTTTTATATGAATTCTATAAATTACAACCTATTTTTCTTTTCAATTTTATTCGACTTTTATTGGAATACAGAATAATAGGATAGTCTTAACGTAAATCTTGGTATGAAAGTTGATTTATATCAAGTAAATTGAAATAAAACTTAAACTATAAGTAATAATATTTCTAATCATTGTTAAGAGAACTATTTGACAAGTGTACAAAAAATCGATTTTCGATATTTTTTCCTTTAAAAGTATAAAATTTAATCATCTGAGAAGACATATTCATTTTAGACTATATTTCTCTAACAGATTATTTTGAATGCACAATGGATTATTTATATGCACTTTGTCATTTTTAATTCACATCTTGATTTTGATATTTTCCTTTAGTTTGGTGAGTAAGACAATCTAAAAATCAAATTCGATTTAAAATTAAAATATAATAAGAAATAAGTATTCGAACGGGCTTAGAATGGTTACGGGAGGCCATTATAACTCAGGAGCCCTTTGAAGTAGGTGAGGGAATAGCTTCACCAGATGCGTGAAGTCAATCTTGGATAGGTCCATTCTTTTGGGCAGATGATTCAAGGAGGGCAACTGAATGGAGCATTCCTCATAGTCGGAATTGTTCTGGCATTGCTTCATTCAATTGTCTTGCGAGGATAAACGGCATCCTTCCTGCTTTCTCCAAGATGACTGATAAAGAAACACAAGAAAATAATATAACAAATCATGTTTAATTTACAAAAGGGGCTGATTTAAAAAGCTGATTTATCTCAAATAAAATGAGCAGAGAAAGAATTTAGCTAGAAATTGAAATTAGGTTAATTCAATAATCAAACTAATCCAGAAATTTCTTAATAACCGATAGGGCAGAGCATAAATAGCTATTCAATTATTCTTCAGTTATTGCATTAAACCCCCATTTAACAATCTATGCAGATTTAGAGTGGGAATTAGATTTTTTAAATTATTTAAAATTGTTCCACAGTTTTTCAATTGGAATCAACTCAGGAAGGTAAGAATGTTACCCAAATATTAAATAGTTTCATCACAATCTTTGATTTATGAATATGACTGTTATCNAATGAATAATTTCAAATATCAAATTTAATTTAAATTGGAAATAAAATGTCTATTGTTAGATAGACAAAACTTAAAAAGGATAAGAGCACTGCCCTATTAAGAATGATACATTACATTATTGTATATGTAAAATTCTATAATTGATCTTTTTGCAATTAAAATAATTAAGCCCTCAGACCATAAAAATTTGCAGAATGACTTAGTTTATAGATTAATTGTATAGAGAGGTTATACGCTGTGACTAGAGAGCCCCCTATTTTTCTGCCATATTATGTTTTATATGAATTCTATAAATTACAACCTATTTTTCTTTTCAATTTTATTCGACTTTTATTGGAATACAGAATAATAGGATAGTCTTAACGTAAATCTTGGTATGAAAGTTGATTTATATCAAGTAAATTGAAATAAAACTTAAACTATAAGTAATAATATTTCTAATCATTGTTAAGAGAACTATTTGACAAGTGTACAAAAAATCGATTTTCGATATTTTTTCCTTTAAAAGTATAAAATTTAATCATCTGAGAAGACATATTCATTTTAGACTATATTTCTCTAACAGATTATTTTGAATGCACAATGGATTATTTATATGCACTTTGTCATTTTTAATTCACATCTTGATTTTGATATTTTCCTTTAGTTTGGTGAGTAAGACAATCTAAAAATCAAATTCGATTTAAAATTAAAATATAATAAGAAATAAGTATTCGAACGGGCTTAGAATGGTTACGGGAGGCCATTATAACTCAGGAGCCCTTTGAAGTAGGTGAGGGAATAGCTTCACCAGATGCGTGAAGTCAATCTTGGATAGGTCCATTCTTTTGGGCAGATGATTCAAGGAGGGCAACTGAATGGAGCATTCCTCATAGTCGGAATTGTTCTGGCATTGCTTCATTCAATTGTCTTGCGAGGATAAACGGCATCCTTCCTGCTTTCTCCAAGATGACTGATAAAGAAACACAAGAAAATAATATAACAAATCATGTTTAATTTACAAAAGGGGCTGATTTAAAAAGCTGATTTATCTCAAATAAAATGAGCAGAGAAAGAATTTAGCTAGAAATTGAAATTAGGTTAATTCAATAATCAAACTAATCCAGAAATTTCTTAATAACCGATAGGGCAGAGCATAAATAGCTATTCAATTATTCTTCAGTTATTGCATTAAACCCCCATTTAACAATCTATGCAGATTTAGAGTGGGAATTAGATTTTTTAAATTATTTAAAATTGTTCCACAGTTTTTCAATTGGAATCAACTCAGGAAGGTAAGAATGTTACCCAAATATTAAATAGTTTCATCACAATCTTTGATTTATGAATATGACTGTTATCAAAGAGTATTGTAAAGGTTTGCCATCATAATGTGACATTATTAATCAAATTAAGTGAATAAGATGATAACATCTAATCTTAACAGCATTCATTTACTTCAACTAACAAAAATTTTAGGTTGTTTATTTACATGCTAACTATCTTCTTCTTTCTTTAGTCTATCCAATAAACAGCACTTTTAGAATAATAATTAGTACAGGCTACCATTTTATTGTATTTTTGAATATTATAACATCCTTAACTTATTATTATGGGGTAAGGTTAGGTTTGCTTCTAATTTTTTTATTCAAATTCTCAGATTTATCCTACATTCTATAAAGTTTGATTTTACATTTTAAAGCTTTATTTTGCAAGAAAGGTTTCTTTCACATATTTATAATTAAGTCCTTTGATATACTTTAACACCATCTCATATCATTCTTAACACGCATAATTTAAAATTGAAATCTGTTTTAAAAACAGATTATTTCATAGCTATGTCATTCATATATTACTATTCAATTTCTTGAAATTATGTGAAGTATTGCACAAGAAATTACAAGTTAAGCAAGGATATTACATAATATCCTGAAATAAGAGAAGAGCAAGTATTTATTAAGCACATTGAGTATTTGTCTGAAGCTGTGGTTGTAGATTTGCTACAGTACGGCTTGAATTCTTCTTGTAAGAGTAGAATGAAAATTAACTATTTACTTAATTTGAGGTCAGTGACTGTTTGATTTAATTGTAAGGTATGTACTGAGAATGGATAAGATAACTGTTCTTCTTCTTTTAGAGGGTTAAATTTTGAAGGAATATTGCTTCCTTCTTGTACTTTAAGTTCAGATTATTGGTAAAAATAAATTCACCTAATTATTCTTGCCAACTATTATTTATGTAGATACGGATCAAATACCGTTGTTAATAATGCTCATTTACTCTTCCGTTATTCTAAATGATGAAGATCAACTTTCCTAAACTGCCTTGCAGTTATGTTATGTAAGTCAATTTCAGTGTACTTTTTATATCTATCTCTATTTTTATTAAACACCTTTGCATGCATTTTGTGATATAATTTCTTTATTTACTGAATATTGTGCTATTTATTTTGGACTTTTTCATTTCACTCATGTGCAGTCCTATGTTTATCTCATATAGCTTCAAGGATAGCACTTGATCTTTTTCTAAAGTGGGCTGTACCTACTCCTAGATGTAATTATAGTTGCTACAACTTTTGGTGCTACCTACTCCCTAATCTTATAATACACTTGAGGTTATTCAATATTTGGCTTAATTTTTGTATCTGGCATTAACAGTGATCACCTTGCACACGACTTAAACTATTTTTGAGTTGCCCTAAAAGGAACTGAGACTATTCACAACATCTTTATGATAGCAATGTAATTGCCAAAGAAAGTTAATAGTCATCAAGCATCTTTTAAAAAGTATTAAATCAAAAATGATTCCAAAGTTCTATTGTTCCATTAGATATTGGTTTTGATGGATGTTGTATGCACATTATAGTTGAAGGTTATAGTGCCTCATAAAAATAGCAAGCTTCATTTTTAAATACCATTAGCCTTAAAAATTAGAGGAGTCTATCTTATATTAATCCTTAAGTAGCAAAATCAATTATATGGCTGGAAGATAACTAAATTCTTTGGGGGGCAAGAAAGCGATATTAAATCAATCAAAGAATCAAAAAATTCTTTAAAAAATAGGAAAAACATAGAGACTAACCTCAATCTGAAGAATGAATAAAAACGAAGTATTACAAAATGAATCGCGAAAAAAGAAAGCCACGACTTAATGGTCATGTTTAAATACATAATTAGACCAGTAATCGTATCAAAACTACTATAGTAAAACAAACTGTTCTTCAAAATATCTTAAATATCCAAATGGACTTTATGAAAAAGCAGAAGGATATATATTAGGGCAGTTTTAAAGCCCTAACTGGATTTCCAAGAAATCTTCCTGAAGAAATCATCAAACTATTGATACCTAGCTTTAACACCAAATTACTTAAATTTCTACAACTACTGCTAATAAAATGCGTACGAGGTAAATTACTTAAATATAACCAATCAGTAACAACTATTTTGAGCATTTAAACTTTGATTAAGGACACTTTAAAAAAATGAAAGGCGTCATTGATATACTGGCAAATAATTTTAATAAACTATTTCAGATAACTCACAAAATTTGTAAATAAAATATTTCTATTTAGTCATTTTAACATGTTGTGTTATGCCATTCAAAACCATCATGATCTGAAATATTAGTCATTTTATTGATGATAAATATAATAAAAAGTAATTAAGAGGAGAATAGAAGAGTTAATAAATAATATAGAGAGTTTATGAATTGATATTTGATTCATATGTGTTAAATTAATAATGATAATAATAAGAAGGATACTATATTTGCTAATCTTACAAGCCAGCAAGATAAATTTGACTTAATCCAAGGGTACTAGTAGATTTATTATTATTGAAAGACATCTCAAGGGAAAATTGTTGAGAGGTGGAGCTCTACCTTAAACACTTAAACGTTTCCAACCACTCTTCTCTGTGACAATATTTAATTAATGCTCTCTTTAAATTAAATCATGAGAAGTAATTATACTGTGAATTTTTGGAGTTTATAGAATAAAATTCAATGAAGTTAAGGTAATGTTTATCGAATATATTTTATGATTAAAACCAGACATCCATAAATACTATGTCAATATAGGACTTCAAGTATTTATTGTTATCTTGAATTTTCCTTGAACTGATTTTACCTTGTTCCACCAGACTTATAATGGAAATCTTGAGATTTATTTACCCTGTTATATAATTTCTATCACTTTATCTGCTATAACCCATAGTTTATCCAGGATGTACTTTTACAAATTAAGAAAAGTGCAGAATACCAATCTATTATAGGATTCACTTATTGAGTTTTTAAAATTAATAAGCAATCTAACCTATTAGGATGAACTGCAATTGTAATTGAATAAAATTAAAGAAAGCTGATTTAGATTAAATAGGATTTATTAAGTCTTTTTATTATCATATAGACTCAAGTATTATTTAAATCAAATAAAAATGTATAGTTTATATCATCCCTTTCTTAGCAAGATACAGAAATAATTCGATTTTTTTGTTTTCAAATTAAGTTAATAAAAAAAATCAAAAAAAATGTAAAATGTTTACTCCTTCTTATTGATCAGTATGAGGAAGTCACATTCTAATATTCGGCAAACTGTCTTAAATTAATTTAAGTATAAACAATAAGTCTGTTATATTAGAATAGTTTAGGAATTTTAGAAAGTATAAATCTGATAAATTATTTTACTTTTTTTTCATAAGTCAGGTAATCCGGGTTTGACTCTTTAATTTTAAGACAACGACAATATAGAGATGCCTTATGGGATGTTCATGAGATTGATATTAATGCATAGGAGAAAAGTTTAACAAATGGTTTTCATTTATTTTTTCAATAATCTCTATAAGAATAAATAATATTATTAAGCCCTGAATAAATAGTTGAAGAAGCTAAAATTGATAGCATTACATAAAGAGCCTTGTTTGAAGAATGGATGGGGAGATTTTCATTTTTGTAGACTTCGTCTGATTATTAGAAGAGCTTGAAGGATTAAATGAATGTTAAGAAACTCTTCAATCGATTTCATCTTTTTTAGATGGGCTATTGTAAATTATTACTCTCATCTACTTGGGGATGGATTCTAATGTATATGTTAAAGCTTTAATAGTGTTAACTATAGTACACCCAATCCTATATTTGATCTCATTTGCAGCGTTTTAAGCAAAAGTATATAAAGAAATACCTTATTCCAAGTAAGCATTATATGTTATAGTCAAGAAATTTGCTGAGATGGTTAAAAGAGAATTTAATCCCGATGCACATGTAAAGTTTAAAATTATGCCTCGAAATTCGAAGGAAGTTCCCACTCTCAGTTTTTTCATATCAGATTGTTTAAGTTGATCTGAAAAAGCGTTTAGCAAATTAAAAGTTAAACATTTTATTTAGCTGTTATGTGGATAACTGAGGCTTAAGAGGTTTAAGAAGCTTTGAACAAGCTACCTTCATGTTTATATATATATTTGCAATTGTCGACGGTGAAATTATGCCTATTATTTTCTCTTCCTTTGCTTAGCAAATAAAAGAAAGTTATGTTTCAATAAAAGAACTATTGGAAATTTTTATATTAGACTTTTTAATTCCAGCTTTAATTTTGAGTTAAGTTTTAGTGGTATTGTTCTTATAATCCTTATTGCACTTAATTCAATAAATCAATAAAAAAGTTGGAATATTCATTTTCAATATTGTTCAAAGTTAATTAAAGATTTATAAAAGAAAAATGTAATTTGAAAATCAACCTAAAAACCTTAGATTTTTCTTATTATTAGGATTTAAAATGAGAGAAAATACTAGCATGGGTGAGAGTCATGCTTGCTTCAATAGAAAATGTATTAGAAATAGATCAAGCATAAAGAGTCTTTTTTGTATGGGATTTGAAATTAATGATTTTATCAGATGCCTAATAGTAAGTCCAATTTATTAATTAAAATTTAATTGTTATTTAGACGAAGTAAATCCAATCATATTTGTTATTTTAACCACATATTAAAATATTGCCCAGCAAGATTGCAATTTATAAATATAAATAGAAGCTAGAGAATGAAAAACATAGAATTTGTTGGTGAAAGAAAAGACACATTCAGAGCCTTTTCTTACTCCTATTTTTAATAATAAAAACATAAGAGTCTTTTATTCAATTGTAGAGGTAAAAAAAGAAATTAATTTTAAACATAAATGAAGACTTTTTGCATTTAGATAGAGCAATTTTATTTTGAGATTTCTGGCAATCTTAAATTGTCATAATGTCACAAGCTTCTAACAAAGTTTACTGAGATGGAGTCTTTAAGATATCTCTTTATAATAAGACAGATATTTCAAATTTTCACAGAATTTAATCAACAGACTGGAAATCTTGGATTTTAATTTGAAAATATCAAAGTAGACTTCTAACTGTTACAGTTTAATAATCTGACGATAACGAAAATGGTTTTGAAAAGATGCAAATTTGAAAAAGATAAATTGCAAGAAGATATCATTAAGTTTAAACTCCGGAAGCATAAAAGAGGTTTATATTGATATATTTTAATAAGATTAATGCTTTACAATCTAGGAATAGACAGAATTATTAGAAATTTAGAGAGAAATAGAATAGATGTCATTATTAAGATATGATTTATCAATATTATTATTGAGATTTGTTTTTTTTATATTATTTATTTTCTATGTCTGCTATTAAGATTACTATCACTAGCTTGCACGATGAAGACTAGTTAATCTACTATATTAATTACAAATAATATAGTAATATACCGCAAAGATAATATAAATAACACAGCCTAATGTTATTTCAATCAAACTAATATATCTTCTTTACTGTTTATATTAGATTTGGATGGAATAATATGCAAATATTGAATTATTGACAAATAGATTCCTCAGGTAAGGGACGTTTTCTACTTCCTAAGTTCTATTTGATGAACTTGGAGAAATTAGTAAAAGTCTCTAATTCGGTTTGAAATGACTTTAATTCTTTTATTATCGTTTAATAACTATCATAAACCTAGAAATCACTAGAAGCACGTTTTTATTTAAATTTAAAATGGCTTCGAGTAAGATTTCCTTTCCTTTAACTTTGCTATCTCATTCATTAAAATGTTACTATAATTATAAAATGTACTTTCGTTATTCTTGGAATCAGAGTCATCTGCTTTTATATAAGATTTTTCCAATATTTATCAATTTCAGAGACTTTAAATAAATAGATAATAAAATACCAATTATTAATTATCTTATCATATAATAAACATAATTACTTCAGATGAATCTCTATGACAGTTAAAAAAAAATTTCCCAAAACACATAAAACACTATTAGTCCATAACCAACCATTACTATTCAACTTACAATCCAATGAATAAAATCTTTCCATATTGGTATAATTTCAACAACAATATCCTTTAGTAGATATTTTACTGCGATTTTATTCATGACCATCATGCAGATATAAACGACACCCAAAGGAATACAAAAATATTATTATATATTAGGATCAGTTTAAATCGCAAAGAGTCTTATTGTGGTTTTAATCAATAATAAGCTTTAAACAAAAATGAAGGAGGCATAATGGTTTAGATAATTGCAGAGCCAGGTAAAGGCTGAACAAAACATTATTCTTGGAGCTTTAATGACAAAATAGTGGAAAACTTCAGCTGACCCAACACTCCATCTTATTCTGACTGATCCATTAAAAGAATTCTTCACACTTATTTGAACCAGAAGTAGGTCCAGACATAATAGGGCAGGATATAGGTTTTATCTTAAGATCTCTTCTGCCTAAAGTCTTCCATCCAATGTAGTAAATTATGTCATCCATCTAATATGTAGGATGACAAAAGTCATCCTCTACGTGCAATTATAAGGAAGTAGTGTAGACACTCATGATATTTATGTTTAAAGGAATTAAGGCTCACATCATTTGCATGTATCTAGCCAATACTGTAATTCTTGTGTAAAACTATGTTTATCAAGTCCCCAGTTATAAAATAAGACTGGTTACTAAACAAATTGTTTCTGTCCTTCTCTTTCAGTATGTTCATCATTTAAATATTAAGAAAGTTTTTTGAAATATTGTGTCCTAGTCAAAATTAGTTTCAAAGTATTGTTAGAGTCAAAGCGAAGATCTTTTTGTTCAAATGAGCCAATACAGACCTAATAGCATAATTATTATTAGAGCATCTCCTGGAATCTCTCTTGGAGTTCCATAAGGAATTACAGTAACTATGAGTTTATCAAAACAATCTTTGAATTATTCAAATACTGCATCAATTTTGGATTCCTTCTTTGGAGTTTTGTCCTTCATACAAACAACCATGATGATTTGTTTAGCTATTCATTGTTGTTGAATGTTTGTAAGGTTTTTAATAGTATATCTAAAGATTCTTTGTAAATAAATAGCATCAATATGAATAAGATAGGCGTTTGGATTTGGAGGTTATTAGGTGTCATTTGAAACCTTTTCATCATTTATTTGATTTTTGATTATGTCTTGGCAGCCAAAAATATAAATAAAATCCATAATAAAGCATAGAAACAGTTAACTCCAAAAGTAGCTTCTAATGGAGGATAGAAAGGGAAACCCTGCCATTTTACTACATAGATAATCAAATTCCATATGAGTCTTCCCCCATAAGTTTTGTCTTGCTTTAATGTCAAATTAGTTGCCATTGGATTTTCTGGTAATTCACAAAAGAATAGCAGTAATTGATTGTTAATCGCAGAACTCATTTGATAATTCGTTTTAAGTTAATTTTAATTTTGAAAACGATATTAGAAATTCAGTGAATATGAACTACAATAGGGTTGCCATATTCATAATTAATTAACAATATATTTTTTCAATTCATTTACCATTCAAGTTTGCTTAGAATTTTTTTTGATTTACTTCAAATTTGTTTTAAATCCAGTTAAATATAAAATAGCCTTTGATTTGCCTCAAGATGATAAATTTATTCTTTATGTCAAAATAAATTCTCAACAAATCCCAATTGCTTTTTCAATTTTCATACATATTCGATTAATTCTTCTGCGATTATTTGCGCCCAATCTGTATGTTGAGGAAGCATTTTTGATGAAATAAATCTTTGAAAGTTTAGTTATTATTTCTTATATTTCTTATTTGCATCTCTTTGGAAATATATATAAATTATTAATTACTGCAAGAATACTAACAAATATAGAAAATTCTCAAACTTCTTTTATGGAACATAATTTGAGAGAAAGAGTAAACCAATTACTTTACTTTCCATTATTTTACAATTCAAAAAAACAGTGTTATTGTACTATTAATGGTAGATTACAATGGTTTTTTTATTACATTTCATATATAATAATTGTTCTAAATCAAAATTGGGTCTAAGATAGATTAGCAGTCCTAATTGTTTATGCTTTTTCTGGTTTTCTCAATCAATTTATATTGGTAGTTAAGCATTTGAACGTTCTGATAACATTTAAAGTTGGGTTTTAAAATAAGGATAAAAAAGTGATCATAAGAAGGGTGTTGATAAAGAATCCATCCATCAGTATCATTCTCTTCTGATTTTATTAAATTAACGTTTGTAGTAAGGCTAATACCCTTATTATATGGAATATAACAAGTATACAAACTATAAATTAGCAGCCACATTATAATTTTGCTTGTCCGATATGCCTCTCTCTTGAAAGCAAATACATTAGTATCAAACAGTTATCTGTTTATGGATGTCAAAAGTTTCAAGAAAATTCCAATTAAAGGGACATATAAAGAAGTATAATCACTAAACTTTTTTTAAATGTGATTACATTAGCATCTGACAGTTGAAATTCTGTTCTTTTTGTTGGATGTTAAATTCTATCTATGTGCTTCTCTTCAGACTAGTGCTACTCTAGCATTCTGTAGTGCAGATATATTGATTTGTATATGAGATATCCTTCAGTAAACTAACTATTTCATGATTACGATCTACTCATCAGGACACACTCTGTATTGGGAAATACAGAATACTAGTAATATTTTATTTAGCAAATTTCTTATCTCGTGGACTTTTAAAAGCATAGGAAAATTTTAATAAGTTAATTCATCAATCATTTGGGATTGGATTGAGACTTCTTTTTAAACAAAAAGTAGGCAACCATTTGGAATATTAAACGGAAGCAGAGCTAATTGGAATCTAAATTTGCTAAAGTAAATTTTGATATAAATTAAACAATTTATTAATAAACAATAGAATTAAGTTACCAAATTTGGATTCAAACTAAACTATTTTTAATAAGCAACATGACTAATGATTTAAAACTTATTAAAACTATTTTGAATACTCTCTTGTATCTTAGGTTACTTTATTATAAGTTAAATATTAAGCGATTAATTATTAATTGCCAATAAAGCTATTTTTGATAATGCAAAAATATAACTATGTTTTAATGAAGCTTATAATGGATAAAATTTTCCAAAATTTCAAAATACAAGATTTATATCTAAAAATTTATCAATATATTTTTGAAGAAATTATTTTCGAAAAACAAATCCAAAAAAATATCTTTTTAAATTGTATTTGTTTTTGATCTTTTCTAGTAACAAGTAAGTTGAGAGATATAATATTTAATTTTCGCCAACAATTATTGTCAGTAAATGTATGCATTTAAACATAATCTAAGATTTAAATTATCCTAATGTTAATTTAGTTGAATTTATAGAAATAAAACTGAGATCTATTGGATGATTAATAGATTCAATTTAATCATTGTCGATCGAATTTTCTTTTTATCAATAGTATTTCATGTTGAAAATAATATTTCGAGACTATTTTATAGATGTATTAAATTTTGATCATTTTTTCCAAATATTATTGTCATATGATATAACTAATACAGACCATAATTTAAGATTTCACTCGGCCAACCTCTTCAAACATTAATTTTGCAACTGCTTTTCAACATCACTAAAATGTCCTAAGGATGTATAATTCTTAAATATAATTTTGGTGTGAGAAAATATATAACAGACCGAGGGAATTGAATAATGATATGTCTGATGACTTTTTAATCATATTTGATCAAGAAAACTTCTAAAATGCAATCAATAAATGGTAGTAAGATTTGGGAACTCCTGAATTAAAATTAGTACCAAAAACATTTGTTGGATATAATAAAGTGATGAGAAACGTAGCAAATCCAAATCATGTTTAATATGAAGCAGGACATATAACTCTACAATTCGAAACTAGATTTAAAATAAATTAATTACAATGCTAGTATCTAGAATGTTCAACATAAGCATATGAAGGTGTAAATTAGGTAGTTGCAATTTAGAATAGTTTTAGGCAAAGTTTCAATTCTTAAAATACCTCTTGATCCATATTACTCAACCAAAAATCTAACTAAAATAGATTTCTTGATTGTACATTAGACTTATAAAATTGAAAATCAAAAAAATTAGTCTGTTCAATAACATTAGAGTTTATAAGTTATTTTCTAATGATACATATATTTACATTACTTTTCAACAATTATTGACTATAGAATTAACTTAATTACTTCATTTAAATTATATTTAACTTTTTGATTTTTTTGAATTTGTTTTATTCTCTAAAAATACTATTGTATATTTACTATTTATTTGATTCAGAAATTCCTTATTTGAATATGTGTATTATAATCTTTTATATAATTCTGATGATTCTATCCAGCGACACATCTAGAATAGAAGGAGATAAAATTTAATATGAAAATAAAGTAATCACTAAGAAAATAACTCCATTTATACATTTAAATAAAATATAATCGTGGTTATAAAGATCTTTATTAAGGGCAATTTCTGCAAAATTCGAAGCGCCTTCATTTCGATTAACTGTTTTATAATTAATTTAAGATTGAAATTTAGTTAAAAGTGTCAGCTGAAATATTATTAATTAAGATAGTAAGATCCTCAAATTGATTGAGATGTCGTACTTTTCATAATACTATTGCTATGAATTTCTTTTGAATTAAATTATAGATGATTGGGCAGTATTATGATGCAATAGCTAAATTATGTGAAATATCATTTATATTGTACTTGCCTTCATGATTAACAATTTATAATAAGACATTTTTTTTTATCAAAGAGGTGAAAATGCCATACTGAATTAATTATATTTAATTGATATTGTATATTGTTCATAATCAATATTTTTTCTATTGTATTTAGTTTTCTAAAATGAAACTACCTTTGGATTTGAACAAATATCTTAAATCAAAGCCTTACTAAGTAACAAATTTTCCTTTCAAAATTAATGCACCTTTAGCTTGCAAAATTTAGTTTTTACATTTTCTGAGTATTACATGATCAATGTTAGAATAAAAATAAATACCATTTTATAAAATGGATGGACTCTAAAGTGGCATTTCAAACTAACTAATAAGGCCATTAAAAATATTATCCTGAGGTAAAATTTCTATTGCTGTATTAACATCCCACAAACGGATCGAGTGATCATCAATACTGAATGCTAATGTAGTACCATCACGAGAGAAGCAGAATGATTTAACTTATTCAGAATGACCATCTATCTTAGCTTTTTATTATCCTGTCTTAACATCCCATAAACGGATAGAGTTATCAATACTACCAGATGCTAATATAGTGCCATCTGGAGAAAAACAGACCTATAGAATTCCATTTAAATGAGCATTAAATTTGGCTATTTATTAACTTGTCTTACCACCCTATATACAAATATATTTATCTAAACTATCAGGTGCTATTGTAGTAACATTAGATTAGAAAGAGACTGACATAGCTTCTATGGCTTACCCAGCTATTTCGGCTTTTTATTGTCCTGTCTTAACATCCCATAAACATATAGATTAGTCTTTACTACCAGATGCTAATATAGTACCATCAGGAGAGAAACAGACTGATAGTACTCCACTTGAATGACCATTAAATTTGACTATTTATTATCTTGTCTTAACATCCCATAAACGAATAGACTTATCTAAACTACCAGAAGCTAATGTATTGCTATTAGGAGAGAAACATAATGAAAAAACACATCCTTAATGACCTCTTAAATTGACAATTTATTATCGTGTCATAAACTCCCATAAATAAATAGAGTTATCTGAACAACCTGATGCTAATTTATTACNAATAAAGTAATCACTAAGAAAATAACTCCATTTATACATTTAAATAAAATATAATCGTGGTTATAAAGATCTTTATTAAGGGCAATTTCTGCAAAATTCGAAGCGCCTTCATTTCGATTAACTGTTTTATAATTAATTTAAGATTGAAATTTAGTTAAAAGTGTCAGCTGAAATATTATTAATTAAGATAGTAAGATCCTCAAATTGATTGAGATGTCGTACTTTTCATAATACTATTGCTATGAATTTCTTTTGAATTAAATTATAGATGATTGGGCAGTATTATGATGCAATAGCTAAATTATGTGAAATATCATTTATATTGTACTTGCCTTCATGATTAACAATTTATAATAAGACATTTTTTTTTATCAAAGAGGTGAAAATGCCATACTGAATTAATTATATTTAATTGATATTGTATATTGTTCATAATCAATATTTTTTCTATTGTATTTAGTTTTCTAAAATGAAACTACCTTTGGATTTGAACAAATATCTTAAATCAAAGCCTTACTAAGTAACAAATTTTCCTTTCAAAATTAATGCACCTTTAGCTTGCAAAATTTAGTTTTTACATTTTCTGAGTATTACATGATCAATGTTAGAATAAAAATAAATACCATTTTATAAAATGGATGGACTCTAAAGTGGCATTTCAAACTAACTAATAAGGCCATTAAAAATATTATCCTGAGGTAAAATTTCTATTGCTGTATTAACATCCCACAAACGGATCGAGTGATCATCAATACTGAATGCTAATGTAGTACCATCACGAGAGAAGCAGAATGATTTAACTTATTCAGAATGACCATCTATCTTAGCTTTTTATTATCCTGTCTTAACATCCCATAAACGGATAGAGTTATCAATACTACCAGATGCTAATATAGTGCCATCTGGAGAAAAACAGACCTATAGAATTCCATTTAAATGAGCATTAAATTTGGCTATTTATTAACTTGTCTTACCACCCTATATACAAATATATTTATCTAAACTATCAGGTGCTATTGTAGTAACATTAGATTAGAAAGAGACTGACATAGCTTCTATGGCTTACCCAGCTATTTCGGCTTTTTATTGTCCTGTCTTAACATCCCATAAACATATAGATTAGTCTTTACTACCAGATGCTAATATAGTACCATCAGGAGAGAAACAGACTGATAGTACTCCACTTGAATGACCATTAAATTTGACTATTTATTATCTTGTCTTAACATCCCATAAACGAATAGACTTATCTAAACTACCAGAAGCTAATGTATTGCTATTAGGAGAGAAACATAATGAAAAAACACATCCTTAATGACCTCTTAAATTGACAATTTATTATCGTGTCATAAACTCCCATAAATAAATAGAGTTATCTGAACAACCTGATGCTAATTTATTACAATCAGGAGAGAAACAGACTGACCATACCTCTTGATAATTACTTCTTGCTGCTACATATGATTCTATCAATTATCCTGTCTTAACATCCCATAATCTGATAGAGTTGAGATCACTACAGGAAGCTAATGTAGTACCATCAGGAGAGAAACAAATTGATTTAAAATGACAGTCTAAATGGGCTTTTAATTATCCTGTCTTAACATCCCATAAACAAATAGATTAGTCTTTACTACCAGATGCTAATATAGTACCATCAGGAGAGAAACAGACACAATTAACATACTCTTGACCATTTAATTTCAAAATTTATTTCCCTTTTTTAAGATTCCATATAGACACAAATTTGCCATTACAAGAAGCTATTGTAGTACCATTTGGCGAGAAGAATACAGAACATACTTTATTCTCTCCTTCTAACATAGAAATTATTTTTCCTGTTCTAACCTCCCATAAACGAATGGATTTATCATCACTGCAAGAAGCAAATGACTTTCCATCTGGAGAAAAGGAAATTGAATTGACACTTCCATGATGACCTTTTAATTGATTTAACTCATTTATTCTTAAATTCCTCCATTTGCAATTAAATAATTTGGCTTAATTTAAAATCATTCCACTTATAATAACTTAATCAAATTCAGATCCACTTAAGTCACATCTCACTAAATTTGCTCCGATTAAAGAGGTATTCTTAATCCTAATATTTTCAAAATTTTGATTTCTCAAGTCTGTCTTCATTTCAACTAATAAATGAAGAGAATTAGATCCACTTTAGATGAATCTATAATCTATTCTTGTGAGATTTACTAGAAATCTAAAAAAATTGATAATCTTCGCTTAATTTGATATCTTAGTAATAAGAATATCTTTATTCTCTTTGTCAAAATTTGCAAAATAGTTTATTTTATTAAAGTCATGCTTATCTATTTTTTGGAGAACGCTGATAATTTTTTTAATGTTTTTTTTCAAAGCATCTAATTTCCACCACTTATCAAAATGCTATAAATCGTCTTATACAAAAATATCATCATTAGTGTCAATCTAATTAGAATATTTTGAAAGAAATTTTAGAGAATCTGAAACCTTTTTCTATAAGAGTATTTCAGTTACAAAATTGAATGTTTACTTATCTATATCTCCAAAGGTTTATAACATCTCAAGCAAATCACTTATCTAATTTTGAGACATTTTATTTTATTTTTTTTTTTATAATTTCTATTAATTTATTTTGAAATTTTTGCTCTCAACCAAAAAAACAATATCTTTCAGAGATTTTTTAGAAAGAAAATCATACTTGTAAAGATTTTTGTTAAAGAAAATAAGAACACAACTCACATAATTGTACATAGCTTTATTTTTCATGAATATAGAATAAACAACTCTCCCAAAAAAGCAATGGGATTTCTCAGTTAAACAGTCAATACCATAATCATTAGATCAGCTTCATTATCAACATCAAAATAGATTTATAACTTATTCTAATCCTTTTTTCCTGTTATACTATTGTGAAAGATAATTATTTCAGATAAGGAAAGTTTGGAGTGGTGGACGAATTCTACAGAATGAATGAGCCTTGGTTAAATAGTTTATTTAGATTGTATTCATTTCTCAGAATTTGTAAACTTAGTAGTGTTTACTTTAGTTGTTACATAATTAAAAATTATAAATTTGGGATAAATTATTAGGGGTATTTTTTGGAAATCCAGTTAGTTTCTACATACACTATTTAAAGAGTTTCCTTAACTTATTGTATAAGTTGTAGTATTTTTGGGTAAGGTTGGCTTCAATTTTAGATTTTTTCCATAAATCAGCAAATAGGTAGATATTCTTAGTTGTTCTCAAAAAATTATCAGAGATTCCGTTGGGTTTGGGGTTGGGTTTGGGGTTGGGGTTGGGTTTGGGGTTTGGG